GTCACCAATCGCTATCTTGGCTGTGGTCTTGGCTGTGGATTCTGGAGTATTTGGTTCATCTTACGTACTCCGGACTCCATTCCAAGGTTACCTGGGGTTAAATTATATATATTGTACGGAGTAGTCTTTGGCATATTCACCAATTAAGGTACAAAGGAGTCACATGGTCTTTTCCATTTTTCTCTATGTTCCAAGGTTAATCTATTTGATTGAAAACCAGGCTTGTAAGTTATATCCAAGTATATATGATGTAGGTGGAAGCCATATCGTGATAAATTTCAAATGGATTTGGGGCTGAAGTGAACTTATACCTTGGTGATCTACGGAGTATAGCCACCTCTCTAGATAATTTCTACCAGTTTTCTCAGACCAAAGCCAAGAATTCTCGTTTATGTATGCAAAAGACGGTGCTCACTTGACCCTCTCTATCTTGAATATCAACTAGCACATAGCTTGTTATTGAAATATGCCTGAAAAGAACAGCGTCAATCTGATCTAAGGAATAATACTACCAAATATGAGACATCCATCGGACTACGCGCCAACGAGATTATTAAAGGTGGGGCCCTCCATTTAGCATCGATAAGGCCGTATATTTAATCAAAGCTTTGGTTGATTTTATACAAGAATAGTCGGCCGCTTATGCGGCCGTGTCAAGTCTTTTTTGGCAGTCTTCTCAGATGGTCTTTTTGATGTGTTTTTGGGTGGTCTGTTTTGGTGGTCTGTTCAGATTCTTCTCAGTTAGTCTTTTCAGACGTCTGTTTTCATAGATATTGTCTCCCCCTTCTCAGTTTGTGAGCTAGACGGCAGGAAAAGGTGGGAAAAAAAATCATACTTTATGCAGACAACTTTTCTATGTATAATCAGGGAAAATGAATAATGGTATCTCTTAACTTAATTCGTGGACGTGAATACACCACCGTTGGCATCAGCCTGGAATAGCTGGGTTCAGGAAGTTGACTAAATAATTTATAACTTCCTCAGACTAGTTGTCCGATAGAAGTTGAGTAGTTCTTGGATATTTCCGCGGCTAATACCGGAAGATCATGTCCTGTTATGTCGGCATCGAAGACCCTAGGATTTAGATATAACAACATAGGGACAATAAGATACGCACTGAACGGGAGTGCGTAGATCAATCAAAGTCTAGTACTACTGGCTTCTCAAAAAAAGATGAGCTTAACCATTAGCACTACTACTAGGGATGAAAGAACATCATCTGCGACTCTAGGTCAGGTGATCTCGGGAAGGGTGAAAATAATCTCAGCACATACAAAGCATTGTCACTGAATAGACCGATGTCATTTGCCGGCTTGAAAGCATGATTGATTCTCACTAGGACAGAGAACAGGACGTTGAGCGCCCTTATAAAGTAGCGGCACTGGTATGGGTGTTAGGTACATGCTAACTAGCGATCGTACGTGGTAGTTCATCCGAAGCCGAAGGGGAAATAGTATTAATCCGTTCGACACGCAGAAACGAAAGGCCGTCCTCCGTGCGATCATCCAAAAAAGACTCGGGGAAGTAAACAACTGTATATAGCTTCAAAATAATATCTAATTCCAATGAATCCTCCGTACAAATGTTGTTGCTTAATGCGGCGCTCTCGGCGCTAGCCCCCTTGAAAATCCCTCCCCGCGAAATTTTAGTTAAAACTTCACCACTTGCACTTCGCGTCCTACACTATCTTCCCCCCATCCCCCGGAGGCCCGCTTTGCCCACAACCCATCATTTCCCGTGAGGTTTTCGGTCTTATCTCACGCAATGAACCCTCGCGAGCAGTCTGACATGCCTCCGGCGCCCTCTTACCCGTCTCCCAACGGTGCGCAGATGGCCCAGGGCGTGCCCTCGTATTATGGCAACCGCCAAATGACCACCGACGAACTGCTTTCCGCGGAACTTTCACGCGATGCCTCTGGTCCAGGTCTTGGCGAAACAAACAACGGTGTTCATCATGGCCAGTCTATGGTGTTAGGTTCCTCTAATGCTGCCGACATGGGTCGAACTTCTTCGGAGGACCAACACCAGCACCAGCACATGCTCCAGTTCCCTCCGAGTCAACAGGTCGGCGTTGACCCTAATCACGACTTGAGCTATGGCGAACAGAGTGCGCGCAAACGATCAAAGATCTCAAGGGCTTGCGACGAGTGCCGGCGAAAGAAAGTAGGATAACAACTCCCCTCGAACGCGATTGCGAACCACGAAGCTAAGACGCGTTTTCTTTTATAGGTTCGATGCGATGCGAGCTCGGAAACTGGCCTTGAAACATGCTCTAACTGCAGACGCCTCGGCGTTGTGTGCCAGTTCAGTCGCGTCCCGATGAAACGCGGCCCCAGTAAAGGGTAGGAACAACAAATGCGCCACTGCGAGAATCGTTAGCGCTGACAGAGACACAGTTATATCAAAGAACTCGCCGAGCGACTCCATACTCTGGAGAACCAGATGCAACCAGGGATCGTCCAGCCTGACGTGCCATACCAGTCCATGAACGAGGTCTCGCTACCGAGAGGGTACCAGGATTTCGCATCGCCGGTGGAATCGACCTCAGGCAATCGCAAGAGGACTTACTCGGTCTTCGAAGGTCTTCCTAGTTCCTCGTTTGCACAACCTTCTTTCAACGCCCGCGTATCGCAGAATGCCTTCGACGCGTCTGAGACAGCGGCAGACCCGTACAACCCAGCCGTCGCCAGCGGTAGCGCACCGAAGCCTGGTAATCTATTCTGGAACCCGACGGGCCATGAGAATGATCTCCCCAGCGGCCTTGAGATGACAGATTTGCCAAAGCATGAAGGTGATGATGACATGACCCCAGTGACTCTGGATGAAGGAGCTCTTGATGCGTAAGTACAATGAGCAACCCTCGTAATTATGAGAAACCCACCTAACACCAGATTGCAGTTACTATCAGAAGATCCACACCCTTCTGCCGATTCTTCCCCACACCAAGGAGCGAACATTGGAGCTTTTGCACCAATGCAATCGCGAGGCACAGGAAATTTTCTGCCATGCGTTGTATAGCGTTACTCGAACTGACATGTCTCGCGTGGCGGGAAGTTTTGAGAAGATTAATGGATTTGATAATGCTCAGGATCTCCTCATGTTCCACACCCGCCAGCCATTGATTGTCCACACGACCCCGGTCAACCTTATCTGGCTTCAGTCTCTTTTGCTGATGATCATCGACTGTGACACTCGTGGGCCGGATAATTTCGTTCTGAAAGATGGTGTCCCTAAGGCCAGCCTAGTCCAAGCCGCTAACAAGCTCGGATACGATTTGGCCAAGAGCCAAGGCCAGCTGAAGAACAAGCGATCTGTGGATCCTGATGTTGACTCGGATGCCAATCTCACCCGGCGCAACTGGGTGTCTTTGGTCATCTTGGCCCGGTGGTACGCTATAAGTGTGGCAGACGCCACCGTTCTGGGGGGTCACGAGATCGGCGGCCGTGAAGATGAAAGGGTCGTTGGTCAAATCACAACCGGAATTGCCTGTATGTTGGTCTTCCTTTTTTTGCAATTGTGCTGTTTCACTGACTCTTTTCGCGACAGCTTACTCGACATTCCTCTCGGAGATGGTCACTTTGGCTAATGTCGACCACAACGTTTGCCAGACTAACTCCGGCTTGGGCCGTATCATCGGCGCGAACCTAGTCTCGTCCCTGGAGCGTCTAGCGGAGATGGAGGACATATTCCAGATCCACGAGCTACCCGAGAACTCTACCACTCGCCCACTTTACGAAAGTCTCCAAGCACAACTCTACTGGACCGTCCGTTTGCTCATCAAGCGCCACGTCTTCGTATATAGCCCGTACGAGATCATCTTCTGCGCACAGGAGGTAATCAACGAGATGCACAAGTCAACCATGCAATCCCGACTCCCATCACCCTTCGATCTGCACAGTCTAGCCCTCGCCTCAATGACTCTTCTCGAGGCGACCGTTCTCCCAGAACACGCAAACGAATGCTGGGCCACCCTCGAAAAAGTCGAAGAGATCCTCGACCGCCGCTCTAAGCGCGCAGCAGAGGGGTCCGAGTTCGACAATATCTTCGGCACCCCGGAATGGGACGCCAAGATCCGCATCTTCCTTGAGTGGCGCCGTATCAAGTCCCAGGAGAGCCAGCTACAGGAAGCTGAGATCGGCGGTCTCGCCAAGTCCCAGCAGCCTGTAATGGGCCCCAATGAGCAGCGTTCTCTCCAGCACCTTGCTGATCTTGCTGTCGGCGCTGAGGGCTCTGTTGGCCAGAATGCGCCGTCCACGCCCCCGCCGGGGCTTTCGAATGAGCACGGCGAAGCAGAGCAGAATCTTGCTCCTCAGTTGACCCAGTCGCAGGGCGGGTCGGGTCGTGTTGTTGTTGACTTCACTATGCTCACTAAGGAGGGCTATTTGAACGTCTTCTCTGGGTTGATCTACCGTCGCACACGTTGAGTTTGCTTTGCGCTCAAGTCCCGTCTTCTCCGCTTAATCTTTCTGTTCTCTGGTTTTTGTCTGAATAAAGGGGCCCCCGTCAGAAATTGTTTCTCGCTATGTAATATTTGCGTTGGCTGGGCTTCTTTATGGCTCAAATTTGTCTCTTATATCTTATGCTGTAGTATTGCCTCGGTTGGGAAGAGGTTATTTAGCCCTCGAATGAAATAGTTTATATATGACATATGTATCGAATTTCAGGCCGAGATGGCTTTGCCTTTCCAATTTAGTTAGTGCCTCGAAATTTCCTTCTGACTTCCTAACTGGAGGCTTGATGCAAACTCAACAAACAAGACGAGTTGGACACTTCCCGAGGTCTCTCCTGCATCTCGCTGGTGTTTCACTACAGACTGCCTGCCACTTTTACCAGGGGCCATCTAGTGCTAGGCTGACAGAAAAGCCTCGATAGTAAGGTTTCCCTCCTTATGACCACGCCACTATCCTCTTTGCTTTGGCCTCCCCGTATAAACACTACATCGATGGGTTAAACAGCTGAGCTGATCTTGGACAGTTCTCTCTAGTATCGAAGTTCCTAGCATGGAGGATGAAGGGTTTGATAGGCCATTCAGATTTATCGTCACTGGCCAATATCTTGCTATCCACTATCATGGCAGCAACTTCGAGATATGCAGAGATTACCATGCCCGTGGTACTTTGTTTTACCTTGCTGACGACGGAGAAACGATAATTCATAATCGCACATATGTTGGCGTTCTTACCGACTATCCCGACTATGAAGGAGATGTATTCTACATCCGCAATGGGTCGCAGTACCTAACTCAGGACGGGCAGTGGACGGACCAGTTTAATGATGCTGTCAAAGTCCAACTTGACCCACAGGGGGACTACGGGGATGCTGAACCCCCCATCCCCCCGTCAATTTCCAATCCTGTCATTGATACGGGCAATCCTATTTCCGCTGACGGGGTTGATCTCTACCACCCTGATAAATGGTTTTCCTTATATCCCATCAACGGCGACAGTCTCTGGTTAGGTGATGCTGGGGAGTTCGAAACCAAGCTGTATTTTGGTGGCAATCCATACAGTGATGGGATGTGCTTTCAGCTCTCCAAACATGACGGGAAGACACGGATCCGCTCCAATGATGGTAAATATCTGGTCGTTATGATGGAATCTAGCGTTGCCGCGTACCTGGACGAAAACTGCAAGCAACATACTAAGTTCGATCGATGTTCCCGTTGCATGCTCCATTACACTATTGGATATAGTTCCGAGCCGCAAGAGGGCTTTTGTTTGGTTCCGAAGGGCCTGCCCAGCATGTTTGTTTTGAATGATGGCATTTTCTACTATAAAGTCAATGTTCTCAAAGGTAGTTATGCAGAGGTACACCGCGTTGAAGACATCGATGATGCGTCACCTTTCCAGTTTGTGGCTTGACCTTCCCCTGTGTTAGGTTTTCAATTGCAAAATAAATATCTGGAGTCGCATTCTTCCATATGGCATGATATGATATGATACGATAAGATATAACCTAGTAAAATAAGATAGAGCATTCCATAGAACAAGTGAATAGCAGTCCATCATCCCTCACTGCCTTTGTCCGAATGCAAACCGCCTCCATGTTCCATCCACGTCCTCGCATAGAGTCATGAAGCTGTCATCGTCGATCAACTCGCACATCCAGTTCTCGAGAAAGACAATTCGCTCAGCCGTTGGTGAAGATAGATACCCCGCAAGGTGGTCTTCTGCCATGGCTGGTGGTTTATCGTTTGGCTTGCTGGCCGGGTTGTGGTTGGAGTTCGACTTAGTTTGATTATCTTGTGTGTGCGATGTGTTCTGAACGCTGGGTATTTGGCATCTCATATGTTCGGCGGATTTGCAGATAGGAGCTGTGTTTTTCGAAGCAGGAGGCTCTTCATAAAGCAATAATGGCTGGCTCGGCTCGGGGCAAGGATTTGTTTGGGATAAGAGTTGCGAACCGGAGTCGGGCAAACCAGAATCAGTATTAGGCTCGACCACTAGACGACGTGGACGAGGTTCTGGATCCTTGGTTGGTTCAGTGGGTGGAGAACTTGGCGACGGAGCTGACTGGGGTTGCTTTTGCGTTGTTCGAGTCAAGCTTGCAGCGCGCGGTTTCTTTGCTGTTGGCTTTGAGAAGGGCAGGTCTCGCTTGGGAGGGAGCATCTGGTTTAGCTGGTCGACGTCATGGATTGCAGATATGGTGGAAAGCTGAGAGCTTGGTAGCTCGGGTTCTTTGTTTGACGTGTGTGTGAGAGCAGATGCATGCAGTGGTTGAGGCAAATCTACCAGTTCCATGCTTTGGGGTGGGGGGTTGGGAGCTGGCATAGGGCCCAATCTGGACATAGGGTGTGAAATAGTGCTCGCGGGAGATGATGCTCGAATGGGTGCTACCAAAGCGAAAATGTGAGACAGCTGATCGAGCGGAGGTCAGGGAAATCACTACATACTTGTCCTTCCAGACCCTAACGCTCCCGTGGGGTAAAAGCGGACCCCATTGCTGCCGGTTGAAGTTGCTGCTGTGTTTGTAGTTCTGGGGGCAATGGAAGAGAGATGCCCTGATGTCCATGATGACACCGAAGGAAATCGTTGAATTGCTGGAACTGGTATTTTGCCTTCTGTCAATGGACAGTTGATTTCGCCCAGAAGAGCCAAGGCCGTGAAGTAGTCACGCTCTGTGGTGAACTTGATCTGAAACCGACGAATCTGGAGAGCCAAAGAGAGCTTTTTTAGGAATCACTGCCCGAAGTTATGTCTAGTACAGAATATACACACATGTGTTCCACCATGAGGATACTTGACTGCAAGACAAGGCGACTTTACAACGACAGCAAAGTGTGACCTTGGGGGTGGAATGAGCTGCGACTGCATCCTTGCCATGCGAGTGAAGAATACAAGATCAAGCTGCTCCTAAATTGGATGACCCAGATGTTCAGCATTGCTGGCTGTCAAGCTTCATACGTGAGAGTGTGTACCAGGATGCCATCACCTTGAACCACTTTCTGGATCATTCTCGATGAAACAGACCCAGAATCGAGGAACTTCTCAAAGATGCAAGCCAGGTCTCCATTCCCAGGAACATGATTCCAGGTCAGTGGACCGACATGATCCATGGCAGTGGTCGTATGGGAGAACTTGGCAATGGCTAGACGAAGGACGTGGGGAGGGATGGGTAGCTGCAGATGCTGCATCTTATAGAGCGATAGCAATTAACAAACAGCGAGCGTTTAGAAGACATCCATGGATAAATATAGATGAAGAATGAGCGTGGTGCCTAGTGGAATGATGTTCGTGGTGAGGGCGAGGTTGAGAGAGCACTCTGTAAGCACTCCCACTGATAATTAGCATTGCCCACCCCATTATTATTTTTAACTAGAGGGTAACTAAATCATGATGTAGCAAATCTAATGTGTACCTTGTGTTTCATTTCAAAATATTAAACACTTAGAAGTCATGTATGACTGAGTCCCTCTAGGAATGCTCTACATGTATGTACCTGACCAAGCCCATCAATCAAAATTGTCATGTTTTTTGATTGAACCATTTCAAACTAAAAAAAAAGTAAACCAGGACTGGACGATTGATCATTGTCTCTATTGTGTCTATTGTGTCTATTGTCTCTGTACAATTACTGAAGAATGTGACGGCCTGAGGCATCAATATATCCATTCCTTAGTCATCAACAGGAACAACCAATAATCCGACAACGCGCCCTGGAGAAGCGCGGACTTTTGGCTGATCAGTGCCGTTAATCGCAAAAGCCCAGCTCTAGCCCTCCAGGGCCGCAAGGCATTGACGATTATTTTACTTTTGAAACATATCGCTGATTTTGATCGCCTACGCGCAAATTTACTACTGCCTTAGAACTGCCGTTGTTGCTGAGCACTTTGCTCTTTTCACCGTCGCATCCAGTGCTCCGACGTTCGAACGCGCGAAACCTGCGACTTAAGCCAAATCACAGCTACTGGCCGTCGCTATCACCTCTTTCGGTCAGAATCAACGTTGTATCGCCTTTGTACTCCGACCCTTCAGAAGCCGCACGAAGTCGCGAGTTTGACACCCCTGCAATTTCTCCTGCTCGACTCGTTTGCAAATAAAGACGTATCAAGGGCAGCATCCCTCGAGCCGTATCTTCAAAGTCTTCGATCACAAGACCAGAAGGTCTTGTCCCCGATTGCCCCTCGAATTCTCGAGGTCAAGTTTGTCGGTCTCATCCGTTGCAAGGACGGAACCACCCCGTGCGTTTAAAAACGTGAACGGCGCAACGCTGTCGCGTTCCTTCAGCAACACCATGTCTGCCTCTACCCCTCGCACCTCGCTGCGACGTAAGACTACCATCTCTCAGCCGACAGGTGTGGTACCTATACTAACACCACCCACAGAGGGCTTACGCCATGCTCCAAAAATCAACCAACCCTTCATCCCCGATACAACCCCTGCCCGTCGATCACACATCCATCATGGGCTCACCTCACCACAACCACAAACCAGCCCCCATCATGTAAACATCAATCCGGCCGCCAATCCTCAAAGTGCGCAGTTCACGGTTGATAGCTGGGAAGGAAAAGACAATCGACAGGTTCCCATGTCGACGAGGGAAGTCCCGACCCCCGGAAACCGACCGGTCATATTTTCCCATCTGCGTGACCCTTCGAAAATGCCCCGGCAATTGGATTATTACGACCCTTATTTCCCACTGAGATATCTCGAGGTTCCAAGGAGTAAGTCTCCCCTGCATCCCATGAATTGCCTAGACATACTGACGGTCTTGTCTCCTTTAGCGGATCACATCTACAAACGCGCCCACTATGGTCTGCAGTCAGGTATTCCAGACGAAGTCGACTTTGCGCTGTACCACCTGGTACAAATTTCAAATCAACGATGGGATAAATTCAAATTTGAAGGATTTCCCTTGCTTGCGGAAACTTTGATGCAGAAAGCACTTGACATCACACAACTCTGCACGGGGGTGAAGTGGGAATTCCAGTATGATCCTCGGAAACCGACTGATCGTGTCAACGTGCTCAATTCGTTACATGGCACTCGGGATATTCTGGACAAAATTAGCAAAATCCCAGTGAACCTCCCAGACGACAGCCTTGAGACCCACGACTTCAATCATCGGCTGAGAAACATCAAAGAGGCCACGTTAGTGTTGCGAAACATGGTGCTTTTGAAGGAGAACGCATTTTATGTGTCGCGTTATGCAAACGGTCTTTTGAGGGACTTTTTGGTTATCTTGATCAATGCTCCTAATCAACCTCGACTGAATGAAATCAAAAATGATGCCCTAGATATCGCTGAGGAGGTCACCAAGTTCTTGCGAACTGACCCTGAAGACCCGTTGTGGATTTCTTTGGTGAATTGCCTTGACTCCCCAGACCGCGCCCACGTCGTGCGGTCCCTGTGGGCCTTGACACACTTCGGCACTGAGCTGGACGATGCGGATGCAAACCGGGCCATGGAAACCCTGACCAGACCGACTCTCCAGCAAATGTACTATCACACGCTTCTTGACCTTGACAAGGATATTCTGAGTGGTGCACTGGACTTTTGGTATCAATACACGCTCAGTCATGACAATATCGAGACATTGATGGACGTGCTTAATTTCCCAATCGTCTTTGTTCCTCGCATGATCGCACTGTTGACTTATGAAGCACGGCCTACGAAAAAGGAAACTGTTCTCCAGGAAGAAAAGGTCGCACCTCCACCCACTGACATCCCTCGTGTATCCCCCGAGCTTTTGGAAAAGCTCATGGAACTGTCCGAGCCGGAGCGTAGCTCCCAATGGCTGCGTTGCTGCTTCATCGAGGATTCGGAATGCGAGATCACACAGATCGCTTTATGGCAAGCCTACCAAAGCCGATTCGCAGATCCTCGTGTCACTGGAGGGGGCGTTCTTCCCGCTGCAGAGTTCATCAAGAACGTCAGCAACACGTTCACAAACGCTCAAGCACAGGTCATCAATGGCCCCGGCACTGCCACCAAATTCATTATCAAAGGCATCCGACCTTTAGAAACTGCGCACACATTTGAGGGCTTCCCTTATTCCTACTGCAGATGGGCGGACAACTCAAAGCCTTCAAAGATGTGTCAGCGTGCATTCACATCTCCGACAGATCTCCGGAATCATGTCTTCGGCGACCACATGGGCTTGGAACCCACAGACACTCCCGGCCAGTATAAGCTCGATCCCGCAGATTCCCCCATCCACACCTGTCAATGGGACCACTGTTCACGGTTCCGAGCTTCTGGGCCCAGCGCCAACACATCCATGGTCGCTGGTCATGTTTCGTCGCACTTGCCTGAAGATCGCCCCGCAGACGCACAGCCCACAACCGCCAAGCGGGTGGTTCTCCAAGAGCGAATCGTCCGCAAATGGTACTACATGGATACCCCGATCAATGAAAAGGGCGAGCCATTCGGCGTGGCCTACAAAGCTGCATTGGTGCTGCGCAACATCGCCCGAGGCCTTCCGAATCGGACCACGTCTAAATACGGTGGTCTTCCCTGGAAGAAGGCCTGCTTCACGAGCCAGCGCCCCAAGATCGTCGAAGTCTGGGACCGAAATCGCGCGCTGCGCAAGGAGCTTACCGAGTTAATCATGGTGATCGAGAAAGAGGTAGACTATTGAATTTCCTATTGCATGTTTTCCGGTGTCGCAACTACCTCTTTTTTCTTTTCTCATGAATCAATATCTCTGTACGATTAATACCCTGATTATTCGTGTCCTCGCTGTCTTTCTGGTTCCCAGGTACTCCATCTTGTCAAAATGTACAATATCTAAGAGCCAGGGCCACATTGGCGGTGTTTTCTTGTTTCTGCTTTTTTTTTAGTGGCTTGTCGTTTTGATCTAAGCCCAAGTTCGCACGCAAAAAGGCCCCCGAAGAGTGGAGTTGCATTACTACCTAGGTATGGGTATGGGGTGGATGAAGTCTGATCTTTTCCGGCGTCTCTTGAGATCGAAATTCGAGATTCATTAGTTAGTATATTGAGGCTCGCGGTTTAATCCAGTTTTTTTTAATAGTTTTACTTCCTTTTCTTGCTTAAATATGTATATCTATTCAGGAAAAAGAAGAATAGACCAGATTTGAGCGTTTTTTTAACATATACACAAACAACTTCCCCCTCATCTCCTCGCCTCAGCGGCCACTTCCTCCAAAACCCGCATCGCATCCTCCGCCCTCCCAACGGGTACATAGATATGATCATGGAAATACCCACTGACGACATTGGTACTAATACCGTGGTCCTTCAGCCGGTTAGTAATGGCAGCGATCAAGCCGACCGCTTCCAGGCTGGAGTGGATAGTAAGAGAGATCTTCTTGCAGGGGAAGGTTGGCTCGTTGAAGCCATGCGACGTGGCGAGCGCTTCTGTTGTCACGATCGTTGTGCCCTCTTCCTCTTGCACGATTAGTTCCGGTTGGAGCGTCGAGAGGGGTAGTGAGTGGAGGGGTGATTTGGTCGTGAGGAAGACGTAGGCTGTTGGGTCTAGACTTGGTTGCATTGTTGCTAGAAGAATTGAGATGTTGTTTTCGCCTGGAGGCGCCATTTTGGAAGTTGAATTGGAATAAGTTGTTTCAAGGAATGATATATGCAAAAAGGAAGATGGGGAGGCATGGTTTGGCTCGTAAGAAATTTGACCAATGAGAGCGCAATCTAGGATCTATGCATCCATACCTAGGTACCTCCAGGTATGTGTGTTGTTTGATTACTACTTTGTCAGGTTTCTGAGTATATACGGCATTCGGTTTATGCAATTTCTGTCTTTTACCAGCTCACTTGAGAACCGCAGACCCTCCGTGTATATCTGAACGAGAAACCACTACTCACTGTTTCAATTTAACTATATCATGCTAGTTCGTAGCATAGTTTCATGGGCGCTGTGGCCGAGTATCGGCGGGTCTTTAATCCAGTTCTGTTGTCGAGACGCCCAATGCCCAAGGTCCATCATCAAGGATCGTAGAACGACGGACATCCCTCGCAGTCATCGTCGCGGTATAAGGATTAGCACGATGCATCGACTGGCTATAAAAATATTAGTAACGAATCAATGCGAGACGCATGGGACTTACCGATTATCCCACCAGACCATATCCCCGCCAGACAACCACTCCATGCTGAAGACATACTGCCTTAGTTAGCCCTGGAGGTTGGCAGAACATGGCCGACTTGAACTCACTTTTGATTGTGTACAGTGTTCGATCAACTCCCAAATCAGCTGTTGGCTCTCTTCAATACCTTTGCCGACGATACGTTTGGCATGCGCCGCTAGGTATAATGTCTTTCGTCCATCTGGTGCTATTTGCACGAGACGGTGGTAGGCCGGTGGCTTGGCTGCCAGTTCGTGAGGAAGAGGATTTCCAAACACAGCTGGTGACGCGAGTTTTCGGGAGTGCCAGAGACTGGATGAACTTAGCTTCAGAGACGGGGACATCTCGAAACAGATGGCTTACTCGTGCTCAACAACGAGGTTTTCAATCTCGTCTTTTTTCGCTTGAGATAGGTCGCTATAGGCACGACGTGTGTCTGCAAAATGGGTCCACGATCCGCCTTCAGTTGGATTTCCGTGAGAAAGCAGTATGGAATACTTGGACCGTTGTTGGTGATATGAAGAGTCCTAGATTAGTTAGTACCCATGTGTCTTGCTCGCTGGGGACCATAATGCTTACGGTGTGCCATAATGCATTCCCTAGACTGTGATAGTACCTGCGACTGTCCATCTTTACCAGAGAACCATCCAGCTCGATGCTACTCTCATCAGAATGTGACATGCCTTCAATATTGAATTCTCGCGGAACACTCACTTGGCCACGTCGAATAGTAACGGCTCACCTAATCGGTCGTTTTCTCGTCCGTAAAAGAACGGATTGACTTCTAGCTTGTCACCCAGTTGCTGCGAGAATGCGATGTGCCGACTATTGTCTAGCCCCGTGTTGCGGAAGATCAGTACTGCATACTTGTCTTGCAAAGCGATCAACTAGCATCTTGTCAGTTGTTTCTTGTAACCTCTGTAATGTTAACTCACTTGCGTGACAACGTAAGCTGAAATAGGTTTGCTCCAATCAACGCCATATACTTCTGCGCCAAAAGATGAACATTCCGAGTGGAGTATTGGGTGGATGTACAATGAGCCTGCTTGGATGGTTGGTTGAGCACCTGTCCGAGAAGGACATGTGTTATCGTACACCAAAATATGCATATGATTAGACATTGGATTGTGAGGTGAGTTGCATGGTCTCTGACTTCGCGAGGCAATCCTCGCTTTTGACATGGCTCCTTATCAACCCGCACGCGGCTTGAAGCCCGCGCGGCCCGACGCCGAAGATGCCGATGCGAGAGCTACGGTTATTCAAATAGAATAGCATTTTCTACCTCTGAAACAAAAGGTTAATCATTTTATTTCTTTTCATATCACCACAATGACCTCCATCCTAATAACAGCCGGCCCGTACCAATTCCGCGCGAGCTTCGAATCGTCAGCTCCCGAAACAGTGGCCCTCTTCCGCACACTCCTCCCATACCGCCAGAAGCTCATTCATGTTCGTTGGAGTGGGGAGGGTATGTGGATTCCATTAGGAGAAACTGATTTTGGACTACCGTTTGAGAATCATACGGCTCACCCTGCTGCGGGTCAGATTCTGTTGTATCCTGGCGGTATCTCCGAAACCGAGATTCTGTTCTGCTATGGAGGCGTTGCCTTTGCGAGTAAGATGGGACCACTTGCAGCGAATCATTTCTTGACTATCATTGAAGGAACTGAGAAGCTAAAGGCACTGGGCGAGCTGGTGCTTTGGGAGGGAGCCCAAGATATTTTGTTTGAGTTGGATGATGCTGATAGGTAAGCTTATTCTCGCGAGTGTATAGGCTACGACTTTCTTTCAATACTAATTACATATCGAAATGTTGATATAGGCATTGCTCTGCAAAGCTTTAATATTCTACTATCAATCATGACAGCATCCCGTCCACATTCAACTCCGGGAAATCAAGCGACTCTCCAAAAAGGTTCCCTGCCCAGTCAACACCAGAATCATTCATCAAATCTAGTAGAGACTGGATTGCCATATCGTCAATCTCCTTTTCCTCAATATGCTGGTTGTCCTTTTCAGAGACCAGTACCAAAGCAACTGCATAGTGAACAATGGCTTGGAAGTCGTGCGCAAAATGGAATGTCGTGGCCGGACACACACTGTCGAAGATGTCTATTGCAAGACGAAGGACTCGAGCGAGAACTGAACAAGAGGAAGATGGAAGGCGTGTAAAGATTTTCCCTTCCCCTTGACTAGAATCTTGGCTGCAAATTTGTAGGCTTTCTGTTTTTTGTGTTGTCAGTGATTGAGGGGCTCAGATCATCAATTCAAAGTAAGTATATGAATATCTCACCGTCGACGATGCCCCGCATATAGCAAAGACATAAGAATATGATAGCGAACGTATGCGAAATCCAGGTTGAATCCACCGCGTAGTATAATCGACTCACAGACACACGATCCACATTGTATGCCCCGTCGGGAAAGCTGGAGAGTTCCTGCGAATCCACCGAGAAGACAATATCTGCCCTGAAGCTCGATTGTGCTAATATTATCTGCGCTGCTGCGGTCAAGCTAACTGAAAGCGCTTGTCGGAAATGGGGTTTACTTGAACCTGTCGATCGTCGATGTGCCCGTGGGGAAGAAAGTAGCGGTGCGAGTGATGCACAATTGAGGGAGAGTCGATACCACTACATCGCTGGTTAGATTACGTTGATCCAGGATACGTGTACATAGGTAACTGCATACCCGGGCCGAAGTGAATGGCAGATGGTTGTAATGGGATTCCGTTTTCTCTGGTGATTGTTAATAACTGTGAGAATAAGATGCCCTATGAACGAACCTAAACGAGAAAACCAAGATCTGAGAGCCGTTAGTAAGTAGGTCAAATACGAAACTTTTAGGAATATTCACTTACCTCTCCCAATCATCCAAATCACTGTTCAACCGTTCTAAGCAGCTCGGTTGCAATTGACGGCGAGATATATCCCCACAACTAGACATAACAAGGTGAACTATTCCGACAAGTTCCACAAGTCCGCTTACTCGAAGATCCGCAGGGGACTGCATCAAATCATGAGAGACAAACCTCCACGCTACCTGGACCGATGGAGCAGGATCAATTGATGCAGGTAGACCGGATGTTAGCATGAGATTGAAGTTGCATGTGAGCAAGTTGTACCACACTCGTAGTTTTTTCAGATCCTCTGTGGATGGTACCTGTTTGGTGGTTTTTAAAAGTGATGTGGCTGATTGTTCGAGGCCCAGTAGGACAGAGTATCGTTCTGCTAATCCTAAGACAACCCAAGCACTGATTTCGTTGTATCGACTTTTGGTCTTAGGTTCGTGATAGGTACGTTGGCGCTCAGAATTCTCATCTTCGTCATCTTCTTTGCTGCATGGCATCCACTGGGCATAGAGAAGAAGCACACAGATGGAGTCTAATGTGACATCTGATGGAGTGGGCCGGAGTAGGAGTCTGGAGACCGCTTCGTCGAGTAATTTTGTAAGATCATGGAATAATCGGGGATGACCGACAATAGAACCATCACTGGACATGAATATTATTAGCCTGGCTTTTGGGTTTAGCAATTCTCGCTCTCCACCTTTGATCGCCTGTATCCCAAAAGCGGGTACTAACTGAGCATATTGCCAGAATGAGTGTTGGGCTGGTTTGAAGATATTCCTGCCATGAATCCCGAATGCCTTCATCTAATACAGGCGCTGAGGCATGGCAATGATCAAAAAATCTGCTGCATATTAGTAGGTCACATTTTTCCGGAACGGAGTTGTAGAATACATTTCAACTGCTCGCTGGACATCTTCAGTTGTAAGGAGTCCCCGATATATAGGATCGTATATGCTCTTGTATCTCTGGGCTCTCAGAGTTGACTCGTGAACTCTTTCTTCCGCAAGCACTCTTAACGATCGGAGTGTTGCGATAGGAGGACCCAGATGAATTCCGTCGATACTTGACTCAGAGGAATCATATATGTCGCTTTGACTCCTCGAAAGAGCTTCCTTACGCTCAGGCTGGACATCTCTGGGCCTTTTCTTTGTATTAATGTCGAATTGTTCCTTCTGATTTTCAAGCTCAAATATTCGTGTTTCATGTTGGTTGAGTCTGCTTCTGGTTTTAGTGTCTCCTTGACTGAGTCGCAATTTTCAGTCTCACCGATTTTGAAGTTCAATTACCAGTTGTACTAGACTTGATGGACTTTGAGTCAGATCCAATGTTGGAGCTCTGTCTGTCTCAAATGAACAAGTGATGCTTAGCCTTTTACATCGCTTGCATGGTAATTGTAGATTGGATTCTTCGGATGATGGCAAACATCGCTGTTTTCGCGCGTGACACTAAAACGGGCGTGTTAAGTACCGCCTTTCTATGTTAACTTTGCAGCACTCACTTGTAGACAAGCTCGGGTAATCCGACGCGCCTTGGCAGGGCGCTCATTATCTGTACTATGATTGTCTGGCCAGTTGGCATTGAAAGACATGGTTCGCTCTATGCTACCGGAACTGAGGCAAGACACATCTTAAAAGAGTCGGAATAATGAAAAGGGCCAATCTGGGGATACTAATTGCTCTGATAACATCTCTGATAACATCTCGGATGCTGATTTGCTGCCCACACTCATACTCGGTCCACGGGTCCACGGGTGTTTAGTGGAACTTCCATGACAGTCTAACCTCATACGGAGTACAGGCGATGATATACAATTGAGCCGATAACGCTTTTAATCTAGGGCCCTCACGCATTATTCTAGGTTCCAATCTTGTTAGCCTTGCTGTAGATTAGTTGAAGAAATACGAACGGTGCCATGTCCCACTGATAAAGTATTGGGCAGTCTCTAGACGGAAGTCTTGGAGCGAGTATATTGTTGCTTACTTTATTTCCACCCTACTTTAGCATTCTTTTCTTTCTTTACCTCATTTTCGCCCAGTGTTGAATACCTCGGCCTGTAGTTATTTTAAAAAGTGGGTTAGTCATGTAGAATATATATTTCTAGGGATAGCCGAGGAATTGTGGTCTATGGTGGTAGCTGTATATGCCCAAAGGGATCCAATAGTGGACCACGATGCACAGCGACAAGCTGTTGTTCTATCAGTGCCTTGTCGTAAGTTGTGTCTTTCCATAAAAGGCCACTACTCGTAGCACCTTCTATAGACCCAGACAGCTTTATTCATAGAGCCAATCGGCTACACAGCGAGCATCGCGATCAGCTCTCGGGGATACCGGCCCCAATTGGCTCGGACCACGTTTTACATACTCTCCATCTCGCACCTTGCCAGTTATCTTGCCATTTGCCCACATAACCTTACCACGAAGAATTGTATATCGAGGCCAGTTTACGAACCTCATCCCTTCATAAGGGGTGTCTTCAGAGGTAAAATGTTAGCTTTCCGTGCTTGAAAAGTACATCCTAGATCGTGGCACTTACAGTCGACGTTGTGATGTAGCATAGAATTAGTGAGATTGAATGGCGAGAACGTCTTCTCTGGGTGCCACTAGAATTTTAACATGTCAATATCATCATAGAGCAGCGGTTTCGATATCGGGTTTCATGTCTTACTATCACAAAGTCGGCGTCTGATCCGGGCATCAATGCCCCCTTGTTAGGATATAGGCCGTACTATGGATATGTCAGCATTGGTTCAAGGAGGCAGAAAAGGAGTAGACATCTAATTACCAGTTTGGCTGGGTTTGTCGATGTCAACTCAACAAATCGCTGCGGCGTAATACGACCACTAGCCAATGCCCCCGTATAGAGTAACGGCAGGCGCGTTTCAACGCCCGGGATCCCATTGGGAATAAAACGGAATGCTCCCCCTTTCCTTTCCAATAAATCTTTTAGCTCTTCTCCGCTGCATGGCTTCTCCCCCGCCATACTTGCCTCGTGCTCTAACACACCGGATGGCTTTCCATGAGGGTGATCGTAGCGGAAAGGGCAATGGTCAGATGAGTAAATCGTGAATGTCCCATTTGACAAACCGCTTTTTAGATGTCAGCCAAAAATATCCCGTATTAAATGTAGCCAATCTTACACAAAGAGCTCTTCATGATCAGCTGTGGTGGGTGGTGGAGGTGGCGAGCAAATCATCTTGCTATTTTCGAAACATGTGGGTGAATGAAACCGTTTCTATAATTGAAATTAGGGATTGTTTATTTGCTTTAGATTAGGGCAAATTACCAAATCTTCCCAGGTGAGATGGAAGTATTGAGGACATGTCTCTGCGTAGACTGGCAGTCCCATCGTCTGGGCACGACGCACATTGGCGGCACCAAGCTACCTGATTTAGTTCGAGACCTTTTTCTTATAAGGACTGAACGTACCACTGAGCCAACGTGAACAAACAAAATCGGATTTTGGATGAGCTGTGCTAAGGCAATCGCTCTATTGGTGGCTTCTCCCTCGACAAGCGGAGGACGCGACAAGGCGTGATAGTAAGGAGCTGGTATAGGTTAGCAAGTAAAAACAAAATTGCGCCAAGTACTTACCAACCATCCCCTTACTCTCCAATTTCTCTGTGTCTGAGTCAGTTTTATTCTATATCCCCCAGCAAGAAATTTACCTGTTAACCATTCTATCATATCCCCATTCTCGGCATGAATCATCTAATACAATATTAACCCCCTACCCACTATGGATATCATGTTAATAGAGAGAAACTCACTGTAGTGATAGAATTCTTCCTTGCCGCAAACATGACATCCAACATTTGTGAGTCAGTCAAACGCTGCGTCGCATACGTCAAGAACAACTTGCAGCTACTGATCCCCAAGTCTTTGATCAAAACTGGTAGCTCGTTCTCAAGAATATCTGCATCATTGCGAACAATAATGATGTGGAATCCATAGTCCACATAACTGCCCGTCTCCTCAGCACGGGCATTATAGCTTTCAACCACTTTCAAGAGGCTCCGGTCTTCTTCCGCCCTGGTTTGAGTGGCAAAGGTGATGATCGTAGTGGTTCCACCGGCAACAGCACTTCTTGACCCGGTCTCAAAGTTATCGGAGCATTCGCCGCCGAGGCCGTGTGGTCCTGCGAGAATTAGACACAATGCTGATCAAAAATATATGATTTAGCTACCGGTTTTCAGGTCTTGACATAGATGGACGTGTGCATCGACACCTCCAGGCATTACATAGGCACCTCTGTATCGACGTGTTAATTATGTATTTGGTTTTTCAGATTCGCAGAGCACGTACTCAGCATCTATGATCTCAGTTCCTACCAACTCATCATCTGTGAATGAATTCGCAAGAGATTGGATCTTTCCATCTTTGACCCCGATACAAAATTTGCTTTATTGCGTTAGCGACCGTACATCTATCGAATCATCAGAGGCCCGGTACCCGATGTCGCTGGCAGTCACAACTGTCGCATTAATCACAACCAAATCAAAATTAGGCGCCATGTTCTCAATAGTCTTGTCAGTATCAAATTGAGAGAGGGTGTCGAACTGGCATAATAGGACACAGCGTGCGGGACACACGGCTCTTGAGCCGACTGCCATCGGCCGGTGCCGCTTATCTGTCGTCCGATGACAGGACGCCACAGTGTCCGTGTTTTTTGAGATATCCATGGATAGGATTCCATCGCTATCAGGCTATTGATTACGGTCGGGGAATATCCCATTACTAAATTTACTGTATCGCCCCACACCTCCACACCAAAGCCACGTTAGGCCAAGTTTCATTATTTTAGGTTAGGCCTTACAGTTCGTGGGAGCAACTCCATACGGGACTGCAATTGTAATTAAGAGAGAGAGAGAAAGAGAGAGAGAGAGAGATAGTAATTCAAATTGAAAGAAGCACATTGTCTATCGTATACATAACTAGCAATAAAATAAGCATATCTTGTTATTCACACATGGCTGGTCAGCGCGAGAGAATATCATTTAGATCCTGTCGGAAATCTTCTGCCACAGACTCTGAGCGCTCTCCTAGACGGCCAACTGTTAATTACAGGAAACCTTTGAGGTAAGATGGGACTAACCTTCTCGGTAACCTCAAGCGAGGAGCCAGTGACAAAGTCCATGTCGACATAATCGACCATCTTTGACTTGGTCCAAAACTTGTATCCGAAGTAGAGCACGGCAAAGAACGGGATTGGAAAGTATGTCGTAACAAAAGAGGAAGCATCGAAGGTAGGCACTTTAACGGAGATCAGTAAAGGGAACAAGGTGCTCCATATCTTGCGAACTCACTAAAGGAACCAAACCCGCCGAAGATGATGACCATAACGCAAATTGAAATTCCATCTGAACAGTCGCAGAAATTAGTATCTCTCCACACGAAATGGAATTGTGTAAACAAACAGTACGATAGATATGGTTGAAGAGGTGCCATATATGGGAGTGTCTTCCGATCGATGCCCTGCGCCTTGAGACCTTTGTTCCAACGGATGTTGGTCCACAAGATCCCTGTCCAGGAGATCATCCCACACATCGCAGTCATGTTAGCGACTTTTTTCGGCGTTAGCTTCATAATCTAGCACAAATTTCCCAAGATAACCACTCACAATAGCCAAACACTTTGCCCGCTTCTCCATGGGCAGCAGCCATGAATGAGAGGAAAGAGAAAGCACCGCAGAATAGAAAGCAAACCCAAGGGAAGCCGTCTTTTCTAGTCTTGAGAAAGATCTTAGGGGCATGTCCGCGGGCTGCTAGTCCGTATAGGGTTCTTGATGAGACAAAAAGATCGGCTGTACCGGCAGACCATGCGCTCGTGAGAAGGGCTGCATTAATAATGGAAGGGAGGACTGAGATCCCGGAGTTCTGTTTGTATATGTTAGCCTTTTGGTCTTAAGACAATATTTACATGGTAAATTACCTGGATGGCGATAACAAAGGGACTCTTGGCTGCAGTAGAAGAAAGATTGAGAGATGGATCGGAGGGAGACACGAGAAGCCCGATCTGAGTTTGTAAGTAGACTGCTAGTCACTATTGAGTTTTGAACACTTACCATGAAAGCACTGCAGATATAGACTGGATTGAAGGGAAGGGAAGTTAGTATATGGACGTCCAAGAAAGAAATCACCTCAACTGACAGAGTACAAGCCTAATCCAAACACTCTTGATGGCTCGCGGGACATTTCTTTGTGGCTGTAATAGGTTGTAAGTGAAGTGAACTCGCGCTTGGTTTGACAAACTCTTACGTTTGACGTCTCAGCAGCTGCAATCGCTGTAATTTCAGATCCAATGAATGCGAATGCAGCATTGATCAAAACTATAAACCGATGAGCTATTCGGTACGAGCTGATAGTTTGAATTTGGTCTCACCGCTGAAGAATCCGAGAAAACGCCCTTTCGCACCGGCTTTATTGAATGTTAGATACCAGTAAGCAATGTGGTACTGAGCGGATCGGCTTACCAATGCCTTCATACTGTGTGAATCCACCAGTCTCGTCCCAAAATTTGAATCCGATTGCCTCATGGTTCGGCCCGCCACCGGCACTAATGATAACACCGGTGATAATAAGGCCAATGATAGTCAAAATCTATATCAGTCAGTATCTGCGCGGTTTGGAGATTACGCGCCTAGCATCTTACTTTGATTGAACAGAACCAGAATTCCATTTCACCAAAGGCTCGCGTTCCCGCATAATTGATAGCAAACTAGATGGTCATTAGTATCATTTGTAGCTCCAATTATTTGCACAAATTCATACCACGACTATAAGCATCAGTCCAACCCACATGGCATTATTACAGATTCCAGTAGAGCATGTAGAATCTGCCTGTCCTGCCGGAGTCCAAAATGTAACCAGAACCGCCGCTGCGGAAATCTCAGCTGGTAAGACAACTATAGAAATTAGATATTTCCTCCTTTCCTGGGATAAACAAGAATAGTCGCACCAATATAACTAAAGCTTTTGTAAGTCCAGCATCTCGTAGATCAGAATATAATCTCACTTACTTATACCAGAACAGAATACCCATAGCAAATCCAAGCTCGGGCGAGTTGAACCGGCCAGCCAAAGCGAATTGGCCGCCAGGAATGGGAAATTGCGACACCATCTCACCGAGAGCAACCTGTAGATGGACGTTAGCCCTTTTTGAAGATATGAAAGAGTCGGCAGTTTGCTTACCATTACCGAGTATAGCAACGAAGCCATAATACAGTATCCAATAAGAAGGCCAGCTGGTCCACCATTCTTAAGATCGCTCGCTGTGCCCAGAAAAAGGCCAGTACCCTGAGAGTTTATCAGCACGAAATAAAGAGATAGTAGGATGGATGACTGACGATAACACCTCCGATGGCAATCATTTGTCTAGATAAAATCGTGAGTCCCCTATATCAAGGCCCGATCGTGCTGGCACTTACAGATGCCGTGGCTAGGTTTATTGTTAGTTTAGTCCAGTAGCCATTAAGGAGGTGTGGCTCGGCGTACCCTAAGCTGTCGTTGAAGGCCATGATTGCTACCTATGTCTTGGGCGGCTTCAATGCTGACAGGAATCTCGTTGGCATCATAAGCCAGCTCTTTAGCTTTCTGAGATATAGGTTAATATCAAAATTTACTGCCCAAAGAGATATATCTTACCTCGTCCTGCATATTGTTTAACGTAGCTGGTTGTCGAGAAATGAATCTTGACCTTCGTCAAAAGGGGGCCAAATGATCATATATAATTATCAACCCATCCACAAAAAAACGCCTCATGAAGCCTAAACCAACTTACTATCGTTCTTATCTCTACGATAAGGCTTCTCGTCCAGCGGTTAATGACAATGCGGGTCGAGCGGAGACTTCCCGCGCCTGTCTTATCAGCGGGCTAGAGACCGATGCTCCCGACGCTCACGCCCCTCATAGGTACGAAGAGGTCGTTGAACTTTGAACATTAAACCAAGAATCTGAAAATCCGAAACTTGACTTGGTGACGACAATCCAATTGCTTGTACTGATCTTACAATGGCACATGCTACACGGGCACTCCGGCCAGGAGTATACGTGCCACTACCAACTTTCTTTGATGACAACCAAGAAATTGACTTTGACGGCTATCGGAGACATCTGCTAGGTAAGATAGGGCTCATACTTGGAGATTTATTAGTCACATGAACTTATTTGGCATCGATCACAGCTATGGTCACCCGCGGCATGGGTAAGTTGTTTCAACGCATAGTATGGAACCACACACTAATGGGACCACTGGTTCAGTACCAGTATGTGCTGGATCCTTAGGGGAAGCTGTTCATCTGGTGTGTTCAATTCTTTCTATCATGCCCTTAGATGATAGTACTAAATCTTCTTAGGATTTCGATGAGCGTGTATCCCTTATCCGCTTCATCAGGGCAACTTTGGATGCGGAAGGGCTCCAATCTACACCAATAGTCGCTGGCGTAGGAGGGCTCAGTACCAGAGAAACTATTAGTCTGTCCAAAGCTGCAGCAGATACCGGGGCGTAAGTTAGCACTGAATCCCGGAGACTGATTAGCTTCCTTCTAACAATAACAGAGACGCGGGTATGGTTATTTTACCTGCCTATTACGCTGCAAGTCTGAACACGGACATGGACCAAGTCATTCAATATTACATTGATATTTGCGAAGCATCACCGGTAAGTATAGGTTGTCCATAACGCACTATATGTATTATTGCTGATAAATTGACAGATTCCTCTATTGCTATACAACTTCCCTTCCAACGCTGGCGGCCAGGATATGTCTTCAGAAGTTATCAGTGCAATTATGAAGAAAACAGCTAATTTATGTGGAGTGAAGTTGACGTGAGTTTCAACGTTTTCAGCAACTCTCGCCATTTGGACAGCAGCGCTAATAAGAGCAGATGCGGTGGAAGTATGGGGAAGCTGATCCGTATTCAGGCCCTGATCTCCGAAGATACCACAATAAATGAGACTCGGAAATTCCCATTCCTCTTGCTGGATGGCCTTATTGCGGATCTGACCCCTTGGATGCAATGTGGTGGTCACGGCACTGTTAGCGGTATTCCTAACTTTGTGCCAGTGGCTTCTATGAGGCTCTGGTCACTACTGAATTTGCCATTACCAACGGAGACCGAGCGCAAGGAAGCGAGAAGGATTCAAGGGATTCTTGCGCGGGCTGATGCTGCTGCGGTTCCGGGTGGTATTCGGGCCATGAGTTAGTATCTTCTTAAAGAATTTTGATGGGTGCTAGGCTGATTATACATAGAGTATGCGTTACACAAGCTGCATGGGTATGGAATTGCTCCGCGAAAGCCATTGCTTCCGTTGAGGGAAGCCGAAGGGGATGAATTTATGAACGCTTTGGATGAGGCATTGCGACTTGAGTGTGAATTAACAGATGTAACGTCAACCACATAGCACGGTAGTCTATTGCCGCGACTATGTCAAAACAAGTTCCCCTTATATGATGTACAAGAATAGTCGGCCGCTTATGCGTCCTTGTCAAGTCTTTTTCAGTAGTCTTTTATGGTATCTAGTCTTCTCAGATTGTCTTTTTAGATGTCTTTTTTAAATGTCTTTTTAAATGTCTTTTTAGGTGGTCTTGTTTGGTGGTCTCCTCAGATTCTTCACATTTAGTCTTTTCAGATCTCTGTTTCCATAGATATTTTCTCTCCCTTCTCAGTTTGTTAGGTAAACAGCAGCAAAAGACGGAAATAAGCTTAATTTGTGAAATGGACTTTTCATGCATAACCTTGACTTTCACCACTCATACCGTCGAAACTACTCTTTATATAATTACCTCTGCAAATATGAACTTTCCTGTCAATCTAAGTAATAACAGTAACTGTTAAGAGATGTCTAGAGAGAGGTCGAAATGCATTATGTAACATAAGTTCCATCAAGAGTTGAGAAAGCTAACAAGCTAATACTAGAATATGGGATCTAACAGATGTCAATCTAGGTAGTAACAGTAATAATATCCAAAGAAGAACTTCACACTTAGTAGTCACCGGTAGGAATTCCACCCACAGTCGGAACATGCTGTCCGTGGAATCCAAGCCCAACGGCCCCATCGACATTTGCTCGGCCAAGCTCTGACAAGTTACGAGCATCGAGGCAGAGCAAATAACTCTTGCTGCGCATCCCGTCGAGAACCACGCTAAGAAGTACACCATCATCCTCACTAGTGGCCTCGGGATTAGCGACGAAAATTGGCTCACCGGGCGATTGGCCATGGCATGCCCAGAGCTGAACTTGCTGGGTATCACAATCGAGCTTCATGATACCATCTGTCAAAGTTGCCTCTCCACGGAAGGTCGTAGCGTAGACATATCGGTGTTTCTGGGTGACTCTTTTCGGATTCATAGTTGGCAGCTCAGGCGATAACGATTTGCAGACGGACCACTCGACTATTGCTTTCTTAGGATCGGTCCATGGAGTGGAAGGCACCGCAGGCAGGCGGAACCGGGTAAAAGATGTACGGAAAGAATCGTCTCTCTGTTTTTGGAAGGCCTTGGCTGTATCCAACGAAGAGATCAAGTTCTCGTAATAGAGGGATTGCAAAAATTCAGAGCTCTCGGCTCTCACAACATCTGCAACAATATCCATCTCCGCCGGATTCTCCTTTGAGGGCTCGAGCCATGCGTTGACCGTGTGGAAGCAAAAGAATGCAGGGCTTTCGTACGTTGCGATCAATCCCTTGCCGTGCTTACGGTCAATGACATGCCATACTGCCGGCTGACTTGGGTTTGTTGGCAAGATTGAATCCATGAACGAGGAGTTCATCAGCTGTGGGTTTACATGCGAGTTCCACACACACAGCACAACATGGTCCTCAGTGATGAGAAGAGAGTGAAGATAAGCTGGTGTTGCGGGGAAGGTTGCGAGGATTGTGGTCTCCCCCGTTGAAGCTGAGACCCCGAAAACACGGTATGTACAGGTTTGGCCGAGGGTGAGATTGAAATTGAACATGTCTCCCGTGATAGGATCAGATCGAGCATGAGATGCAGAGAGTTGCCCCGAAAGCTCAGGATGCAGCATGGTCTGCGAGGCCAGACCAATGGGCTCCAGTGTTTCTGGATCAAGCTTCTTGAAGGCATTGTAGTCGGTCTTCGCATAGAGAGTTCGGATTCCCTGAGAATCGCTCCAGCGAGAAGTCGACTCATCGGGTTTGGGATCGAGACCGGGGAAATTGATTGAAAGCGTGACACTTATGTTACTACTCGACGGAGTGGGTTGCGGGACATATTCAGTCTGGACTTTGCCCAAGACGCTCTTGCAAGGATCGCGTTTCTGTCCGAAACCGACCATGTCCAGAGATCCCGTCTTTCTTGCTTGTTCGATCAGGTCGTCGGTTGAGAAGCGAGAGTTGTAGAAAACCCGAAGTGAAGTATTGGAGTCATCTGGAGCAAAGATCTGGAAACGATGGGTTTGACCGAATCCATCGAACCAGTGGGAGAGCCGTAGTGTTTCTCCATTCTCGGCTTCGATTTGGCTTTTTCCTGGACCTGTACGGTACAAAATTCCAGCAGTGTAGGCAGGAATCCGTCCTATCACAGAGAGCTCGACGGGCTTTCGCTGTTCGTATTCAGGATCGAACTATGCAGGGATTAGTACGGATAGTTCGAGGTGTCCATCACTTCACTTACACCTTTGTCGTTGGGCCAGCTGTTATAATGATCTTCTGTCATATCATTCTCCATGGCTGTTGAGTCTGGGCCAATAGAAGGCATGGATTGAATGTGATAGTTAACTAGATCTGTGTTGTGTGGAGATGGTTGCCTGATGTTTTAGGCCACGAACTCTCTTTGTTCTCTTTTTCTCTCTCTTTTCTTTCGTTTCAACAATCTGATTTACTTAAGAGACTGACGAGTTGACAATCTCGACAATTCACCTTTTATATATTTTCTAAACAACTGTTTTGAAAGGAAACCTCCTATTTACTGGGCCTAATTTTTGTGTTCGTCATTAGCGGGGGAATCGCGACGGGCTGAATTTCTCAACCGAATTCTCCTTTTCTTTCACCAATCGCCAACGTCAAATTACCGAGTCTCGCTCATCATCGTCACTTTGAGCCGCGCCAAGTCTATAACTGACTTCGGATCTCGGATTGCACATTCAAATTTGGTTTCATCCGGGGGGTCTTGGCGGGATACACCCACTTGTGTTAATAGCCCGTCTTCCGACACGCAAATCATCTATCTCGTGAACTTCCCACCGTCCAAGGCTCCCACTTTTTCGGAATCTTCTATTAAACCGACGCCAACCCCCCATGAAGCAACAAGTACGGACCCGAGACTCCAACAGCACCAAGGATGTGGAAATGTAATGAATGTTCCTCCAATTTCCAGCGACTAGATCATATGAAACGCCATGCCCTTACGCGTATGTTTACAGTGATAATCGGATGGGAAAAGTAAATATGTAATGACTTGACACAGATCACACGGTAAAGGGCCACCTCTGTTCATTTTGCGGCTCTGCATTCAGCCGAGGGTGTGTCATCTTCCATCGCTCCCGAAGAGAGATATGTCACCCCGTCATGTATGCTGACAACAACACCCAGAGATGTGCTACGAAGACATTGGAAATCGTGCAAGGCCCGTGTAGACAGCGGCCATGCAATACCCGAGCCGGAGCGCGGTGGGAAACACAAACGTGCCTGTGATAGTTGCGCAAGTCTCAGGAGAGCCTGTAATGGGGAAACACCGTGTGCGGAATGCGCCCAAAGAGAAAGGCAGTGCACTTACCAACGCCTTCTTGACGATGAGCTTCCCTTGTCATCCACTTCGCAGGCTTTACTAGAGATCCCGGACGCCGAAAGTTCAGGTGCGAGTGATGATGCCCCTAATGTTTCTGAGTCAAGTTGGGACCTTGGCCCTGCGACACTTTATCCACCTCATATGAAAATTAATGCTCGACGCCAGAATTTTGCTCTTGGCTGATTAGAAAGGCTAATGATCAACTGGTTCAAGTCTTATGCGGGATCAGGTATCTAATCACTCCTTCATTGCGAGCCAAATGGCGTACGTAATTGGTGGCAATGTGTTCTTGACGGTATGACATATTCTGAACACGATATGCAGATGTCATTGGTGAACAAGTCAGCTCAGATCCCTCCGGCAGCGTACTTCCCGCTCAGAGAACCGCGCCATCGGAATTTGAATGATTGGACCACTACATGCTCTCTCGCCTTTCGTAGGCTATCCGGGGTGAAAGTTAGGAGAGAGACAGCTTATAGAATAATATGAGCTGATTCTGTATTGTAATTGAAGATGGGGGCGAGGTACCGCCATCTGACTTGGGGGACTCGCCTGCAGTGAATATCTTTATTTTATTTTATTTCATTGTGTTAAGCTCATTTAAAGTGTCTATGTGGTGATCATGACTCGAGTGGAGATTTATTAGTTATGTATGTATATCACTGCAGGTTCCCCTTCACTGGCTCCCCGAGATGTGCTTTTCACCGTGGCAAGAAAATGGAATCAGCGCTATCGTACACATTTTCAATGAAGTTCTCATAGCTCAACCAAGCCGTATCATCCGAGCTGCTTTGCAAGGTCGGGTCACTAAAATCCACCGCATCCCACACATTGGGCCAGGGCACCGGCGCAAAGGAAGTCGGCACTTCTACCATGTGCGAATCTCGCGGTTCATCGACGGCCTCTTTTAAATCGAGCGAAAAGTTCGTGAGATCATGTTGAGGCTCAGGTTGTTTTGAGAAAAGCTCTGAAGACATGCCATCGAAATAGTATTGAGACACTGTTTGGCGAGCATCAACACCGAGGAGCTCATTTCTCCGCGTTTTCGCCTGTGACATGAGCCTCTCCAAAGGCTTCCAGAGCATTCCATGCTGAGAATCCGCGATTACAAGCCGCAAGCGCTGGTAAACGTCGTCAACGACAGTCCAGTACTTTGACATCACCGCGGAATTTTTGCAGACGCAGAGTTCGGCAAGGGCCACAGCCAATGCATGCCATGGAACCCACATTGAGACGTACCATCGCCAAGACCTGGCGCCTGGGTAGTTGTATGCCTCCTGCGACCACTGCAGGTTATCAGCTGCGATTTTGAGGAGTGCGTTCTCTTGGATCTTCGGGGGTATAAAATTATAGCTTCTTTGCAGCGGCCGAAGACAAGCTAGTTGCAGCCAGCTGCCCATAACATGCGCTGTCTTCTGCGCGTACCACTGGAAATCCGACAAATCGGGCCTGCAGCCGCTCAGGAGGTCTGACATCTTTTTTTGGAAATCGTGGACGACTTGCTGCCGCAAACTCATGATACTCACGGCTGGCTCAGTGAGGTCCGAAAATGCAAGAGTTCGGGTCACGGACGCTGACGCTGCGATAATCAAGGTGTGCGTCATATCGGTAAATGTGCCTTCAGTGTGTTCGGGGATTGGCCCTGGCATGTCGAACCATAGGTCCTCGTCGTTGACATTCGATGGCGGGTTGTAATCGAGCCATGCGGATTGCATCATCGGCTCGGATGCCCTGTCTAGGGAGGCTGCTACATCGAGAAGGCCGATCCCTAGCCATGCTCGTTTGCGCATCTCGTGCTCAAAAGGGCGCACGGTGAATGGCGGTTGGGGGATGTGGAGAGACAATGCTTGGCCTACTCGAAGTGCCATGCTCAACATGGTCCAGACCCTTCGACTTTGGTCTTGAGATCGCGCAGCGAGCTAGAAGGGCTTAGATTAAATTCCGGGTTTCAAGATGAAGGGGCACAAAAGACGAGAAACTTATAGTCGTACTCACCAGAGATATAATATAAGCTTGCAGAACAGTGAGATCGTTCGTCGTGACAAAGTCCGCCTTTGTGAGCGCCGATTCTGTTTCTTTCTGGAATTCTGTGACCAGTATCCTTTTGCTTGTGTTGAATATTGACTGACATTCCACTTCGTCAAGAGTACACACAGCGGAAAGATAAATAGCCGAAGCAAGGGTAGCTGGCGCCTGGTGATCCTGCTCATAGTCAAGATAAGGCTTGCCATCCTTAATAAATGCCTGCAGCGACGGTCGATGTAAAATTTTGAACAGAGGATCGACGTTGTGGAAGAAAATGTCACACAACCTATGCCGGATTTGGGGTTGAAGATTTAATCGCTTGTTGGCCTGGGGCGAGTTCGATAAGCTGCCAGGGCTTTCTGAGCTCACAAGTGAGGTGCCAAACCCAGATGCTGAATCTTTGATATCGTGATCTTCATTTTCTAGACGACCTTCCAGGACGCTGCGCAATTCTTGGGTCTAGTGATTGTGTGCCATGAGTTAAATCACATCTGCAAACCATCGGTTTAACACACTCACCTGCTGCATAATATCCTCCCAGAACGGGCCCCCAACATACGCCGTTGAAGGGCGAGGGAGGTGTGGTTGGGCTGTACCGGGCAAGTAGTCATTCTGATCCTGTCGAGTATCAGGACCATCCTTGCTGACCTCTGCCGCCGACTCCGGCTGGGTGTATGGATAAGCGGGCACAGGAACAGTCGAAGCAACATTTAATTTGTCACCTCGCTCATTCGCGACTCTTTTCAGAAGTTTCTCGAGTCTCGCCACCCGCTCAGATAGTTCCTTGTCCGAGCCTACATTCCGCTCTGGTTTTCGCGTGCGACCGCGCGGGAGACGGGCACGTTCCACAGGAACACACACGAGGCCAAGTCGCTGGCAGCTTGTACAAGGGCTTAACTTGTCGCATTTCACTTTGCGCTGGCGACATGCTTCGCAGGTGAGGCGCACCCGTGGCGCGAAGGACCGTGAGAGGGTTGCCCCGGCTTGGCCCTCGGGATCGGCCATTTTTTACTAGGGACCCAATTGGTCTAGCTGGAGGTGACGCAAATGGACTTGGGGTGGATTGAATATTTTGTGCAATGTACATCCTTGTCGAAGATCCAAAGCTTTTGCATGCGACGTTCTGCACACCCCCGCGAAGCTTTCGATCCACATTAGATGTGACTGGCCAATCAGAGGTCAAATTAAGACGTTCTGCCTTTGCGGATGATCTGCGTAAGTCAAATGCATAGAAAAAGTGATACATATTGATTTTTAAGCTAAGAATTAACTAGACTATAAAGATACTAGTTTCACCTAATAACGGTCTGCTTACCTATGTAAATATGTACTAGTTCACTTCACACTTTCCCTAACTATCAACTTTTAAGTAACATCCTACACTCTTCGAAGTTTATATCCATTTTCCCTTTCGCAACATTTCTTTACTTTCCAATCTACAATTTTCCACTTCGGGCGCCTCATCGTGCCCCAGAGTCTCAATAAACAGAATGCGACCAAGCTGCCAAGGCAGCCACTGGTCTAGAGCCCTCGGAGATTCCGAGACTGATGACCCCGCTAATGATGAACTTCACCTGGCAGAAAACGAAATAGTCCGCTGCCTACTCACCATAGTATAGTCCATTTATGCATACAGTTTTGGATTTATGTATGCTAACTTAACTAGTAATGGTCTAAAGCGAAGAAACTCGGGTTTCTACAGGCGTGCTCCAATGCCTAGCATACATGGGTGAGGGTCTTGAGTTACACCATACAAACATAAATGCATGTACTGACATAAATAGGGATGGTCCACCATGGAAAACCGCAAAGATGCACGATATATCCGTGCTGGCTGGAACTGGATCGACTCACCTGAGAGAATCAAATTGTCAGACGAAAACGCCGACCTAGCAAGCAACAAAATGAACGCCAAGGAAAGGGGAGCCAAATACCCAGCTGACTTTGACGGTAATGACCATTTTCGCGCAACTCGGGTACCAGAAGATCCAACTCCACTAGGATCGGCACACGGACTGCCGTTGATATTCATCGGGAGAGGAATTATGCCATTATTATTGCTAGGTCGCCAGCACGTGGGCAAGTTCGGAAGCCTCTACTCGAACCTGATTCGGCCGTCAAGGGTAGTAAGTCCATGTTCACATTAGCTCAAGCATTGGATCCCCTGTAGTGGCAAAGACTGCAACGAAGTCGAAGATCCTGCCCCTACCCGGCACACCCAGTTTGTGATGGACCAGTCTAAGCCTGGTCAATTCTATTGCAGGCGGTGCTGGAGGAATATTCATTATGAGTCCAAATAATACAAAGATCAGGAGGTCGTTTGTCGAAATATACTATAATATTACTACTAAATCATCCAGTTCATAACTCGAAAATGCAGATGGGAATAAAGTTGTTTTTTTTCTTTAGAATTTGTTCTAGATTGTGGGTGTACGGTGTTCGACCGAGATCAATTGGGGTAACAGCGCAGTCGATGACGCATAACCTTGAGATTTTCACTCGAAAAAGAATATGAATGGTTCGCCCGGAGTTTGTAAGTGCCCCTTAGTGACAATAATGGGTCGAGTGGGCATGGAATCAGGGGACCGCGCGTTGCGGCCCAAGGCCAAGCCGAGAATATATACGGAGTACTGTATGGTATATAGGACGCCCTAAAGAGAAGCCTCAATAACATTGGGGATGTTTTAATCAAGATAACACCCTGATATCTTCTTCATATGTCCCTCTTAGACGTTTCCCCGCATTCTTACTGTTTTAGCTACTAGTTATGTGCAGCAAACATACTGAGCTTATTTATTACTCTACGATGTAAGACATAGGTCCATAACACGTACAGACGTCTTTTCCATGTCAAAGGTTATACATAGAAAAGTCTCTTGCGCAAAGTATGCTTTTTTCCCCCGCCTTTTTCCGCGGTCTAGCCAACAAACCGAGAAGGGGGAGGCAATATCTATGAAAACAGACATCTGAAAAGACTAACTGAAAAGAATCCGAAAAGACCACCAAAAGGACGGCATCTAAAAAGACATCTAAAGACCATCTGAGAAGACTACCATAAAAGACTACCTAAAACAGACTCGACACGGCCGCATAAGTGGCCGACTATTTTTGTACGTATAATCAGGGATGAATTTGCGTCACTACATCAGAATATGGATGATTGGAAACTAGCATCATCTAAGAGTCAATGCTTTTCTTCCATCATCGATTTGATTCAAATTCTCCGGCACCGTGCACGCGGAGTTTTCTCGGAGGGATTGGGGAGATCGGCGTTAAACCTTCAGATTTCCCCGGCTGATAAAGCCTTTGTCAGGAGATCATTCCAAGGTTGAGTTGTGATTAGGGCGGTAAATATTGAAATGTTTGGATAATCAAGAAGATCCCCGAACTCCCCGAAATTGGAGTTTGTCCGCTCTAGGATTGCGCAGGTACAAAAATGGGCGGCAGAAGTGAGTGCAGATCGCAGGAACAATAGGGTTCCCCCAACTGACTATTGCTCTGGTTTCATTTGAACCGAAGAAAGTTGAATCTTTATAGGAACTTAATTGGGGGGTATTTGACACTATTGATTTTACATAGTAAGTGACAGCCACGACAGTGACATTCAACCATGGATCAATCAAGCGTGAACAAATAGTAAGCGAGGGGAAAATTCTTGGAGTGGATAGGTGGATACATAATGTGAAGGTTCCTGTCAGAGTGTGCTTGGCTACAATGCGTTCATGCAACCACGATGTGGCCCGGTTCACGGGGATAAAATGACATTGGGTCGATTTGGCCATGTGAGTGGACCAACTGGTCCCGACAGTTTTAAAGAAAAGTAATTATTGCCACGTTTTGTGGAGTCCACAGATCCACCTTCAGTGCTATTGCAAACCCTAACAGGGGACAGCTTCCTAATATGTATACTTAGGCCGTCCACGGGTGGTGTCTGACCGCGCAACTACCATGGATTAAGCAACCGGATAAACGAATTAGGAAGTTTTTTTTAACTGAAAACAAAGTTTATGCCATGCAGAGACGACCATGTGCTCTTTGGGGCAATATACCTACTTGGTACTACACACTCCGTACAAACATGTAGGGGTATATTTTGTTTGATATACAATGTACAATGTATGAGCATAACGGACCTGGCGAGTATCTCTTTGTAATAACATACAATCCCAAGACCACTGATCATCACAAAGTCCCGAGTTTGTACTTGTCTTTAGACGAGAAGACGAGAACGAGAATGGGGCCCGCTAACGTTTAGTGGATTTGATGACCAGGCTGGTGGGACGAATACTCTTATCAAAATTGAATAGTCTATTATTGCCCCATCTCTAGCTCGGTGGCTGAATGGTGATCTTCAAATCGGGTGGAGAGGATCTCGCGCCCCTCTTACCTTTCTCTGTATTTTCTTTTTTATACGCAATACTTTACAGTCTCCTATCCCTCCTTTGTACATATTGCGAAGAGGGCCATTCCCTCGTAATCCCGGAGACTTCATCTCGAGCATCGACAAAGTGGCCTTCATATCTACTATAAGTCAACAAAGGAACTTTGCGATCTCTCTTTCAGCGCATTGAATACCCCCCTGTTCACAATCACAATCACAATCACAACCATAACCTCTCTACGATACTCGATCTTCACTCATTTATATACGCCTTATGACACGATGACTACTCTATCAACATCCCGCGGTCACCAGGCCCTCGCCATCAGCACTGTGTTTACAACTATAGCGACATTCATCACTGCCGTCCGTATATTTACACGAGCATTTCTCGTGAAGCAGATGGGAGCAGACGACTATGTCATCCTAGTCTCTCTGGCCTTCTCATGGATTTTCTTCGGTCTGATGGTAGGCGAAGTCTACCACGGCATGGGCGAACACTATACCGCCATCCCGCCCGCAATCTTCAAGGCTCAGATGATCGTACGCTCCCTCTCTGCAGAACATACCTCAGTGCCGTTCCATTGACATAATTCTCTTGCAGTACTTCTGGGCTTCAGTTCCTATATATCAAACAAGCCTCATCAGCACAAAGATGTCAATCCTTCTCCAATACAAACGAGTCTTCTCCACACCACGCATGCGCCGAGCATGTTGGCTCATGATCGGCATTCTAGGCGCCTACGGAACCTGGACCATCATCAGTGCCTGGGCTAACTGTGTTCCTCTCGCCAAGTTCTGGGATCCAACTGTCCCGGGCTTCTGTTTGGATAAGAAAGCCTTGTGGTTTTCCAACTCGGCTATCCACATCATTACCGATATTGTCATCCTCATATACCCTATGCCAGTCCTGAAGTCGCTACAATTGCCCAAGAAGCAAAAGTTCGCTCTCATGGCTGTTTTCGCGCTAGGTGGATTGTAAGTCTAGCTCTATAAAACGACAAATTATCTACAATACTAACAATCATCCTCCCAGCGTCTTGATCACAAGTATTCTCCGCCTCAAATCTCTCCTCATTATCGCCAACTCAAACGACCCAACCTGTAAGTATTAACAATACCTACCAGCCCCTTCCCAACGAGCCAAATCTAACAAATACCCCAGACGACAACGTCGGCGCAGCAACCTGGTCCGCCGTGGAGTGCAACGTAGCAATTATCTGCGCCTGTCTCCCCGGTACACGCGCCTTCCTCTCCAAGCTCCTGCCACACATTTTCTCCACCGGAAGCAATGGCTACCGCAGCAAGACCACGCGGCCTTCGCGAAACGGCCGCAGCACCCTCACGGGCAACAACAACACGCAAGTCCTGGCCTCTGTCGTTGGCGGGCGTGACCATAGCTCGGCCTACGACCACGATCTAGAAGATCTGTCGGCGTCTGACTCCTTCAATAGCTACACCAAGGAGCCTGTGAAGGAGGTCTTTGCGGGCATCAAGGTCACGACCAATGTTACGCAGGAGAGGACCTCGCATTCGAAGATTGCTGTTAATGATGATACGGGTAGTACGAAGGAATTGGTGAAACATAGCTTTTGATCTATAATGATTTGGGTTGTTCTAACGGGTTCGGGTTCATTCCTTATACATATTTCTTTTCTTTTCTTTTTTTGTCTGGTGGTCTTCTCTCTTGTCTAATACCTATGGTGCTTATGTGGCGGTCTTTTACTTATGTTCTTTTTGTGCTTTTACGCGATGATATACCCAATTACAAACAGGCTAGGCTGTGTCTCTCGCACTGTTACAACGCCATTACTATCGAATATCCAAGGAGTCCCTACATATGTACCTCTCAACCATTTTATGTATGAGAACCAGCTAGTGCCTCATTATAAACGCGGATTAAAAATAGTCGAACTAATTGTATGAAGTACCTTAAAGAAAAATTGTATCAATGTATGCTAGACAAGACATGGCTGGAATTGCAACAATCATTTCGTTAAGCTAGGGTCGTTCCTAACCTCAAGACTACCTACAAAGTCTCCAACCACGAGCTCTAGGGTATTATGAATGCATTGTAAAGACAAGTGTACAGATGTCGAAGCGAACAAAACGAGCTGATCATTCAGTATGCATGAGACCCGCCCATTGTACATTCGGAAGCCGCCCACATTTCAGAGACTAGGGTCGTGATAAAGAACATGTAAAAGGACAAAATAGAAAAGAACTCTAGGCGAGGATCTTGAAAACAACGAACACCGGTATGTGCAATGTGTAATGTGAAATTATGCTTGCATTTAATACACAGATGTTAGGATGCAAATCTTAGAACCTCAAGATAGTCGAATTCTGGATCTGTTGCAAAGAACATATATTCTACTCCCAAACGTTGGAGAAGAGATCGTCAGATCCGCCAAATCCACCAGAGGACTTGTTGTTATTGGTGCTTGTGGAGTTAGGGTTGGAGTCTGGGGCAGCGCTGGCCCAGCCGCCGAAGTCCTCGTCCGCTGCCACAGTGGGTGCGGGCTTAGAAGTAGCACTGGGCACGCCCCAGCCATGGCCCACGTCGTTCGGGGTCAAGGTGTCCGGGACCTTCATCATGGATGCAGGCGAGCGTACGGCAGGACCAGGCGATGGGGCACGATCAGGTGTGCTCCATGCGTTCCCGCCCCATGGATCAAGGCTTCCAGACATCATGTTGGCTGCTGCTGCGTTCGCAGCGCCGGTGGCAGGCGCTTTAGGAGGGGCAGGAGGCTGCATCGGGGGAGCAGAAATATTAAACGCGGATTTCATTTCCTGCTGAGGAGAGGTTGCAGTAGACTTTGGGGGCGAGACCTTTGAGGCATTTGCAGGAGGCGAAGAAAATCCGAACAGATCATTTGACAGGGACGATGATGGAGGGTTGGGCTTAGCAGTTGGGGAAGTAAATCCAGCGAATCCGAAATCTTGCCCACTAGAGACGGAAGTTGTTCGGGACTGGGACTTCGGGGCTGACAGGGTCGGGGAGGTTAAGCTATCAAAGAAGTCGCCGCCCGCAGACCCCGAGGGCGATGTGACCTTCGGGGCAGCAGGGGTCGACTTGGCGCCGCCGAAAGATGAGAGATTAGAGAATGCCGATGGCTTCTCAGCTGGTTTGGCAAGTGGAGGAGAAGTAGTAGTCGGGAAGCTCAGTCCACTGAAGGCGTCCGTCAGACCGCCCATGTGAGACGAAGCGGAGGGGGCAGGAGGCGAGGCCATGTCGCCGAAGGAGTTACCCCGCTGGTGCTGCACGGGTGGTGCCGGCTGCGGCTTCGAGTACAATGACAAGATTGACTGTTTGAGGTCTGGCCGAGACATTCCGGCTGGTGCTGCTGGTGTGGATACTGTGCTAGACGGGCGACTACCACCAGTAGAAGGCTGGGTGCTGCCGAAGAAGTCGAGACCCAGCAATGAATCATTGGGCTTGTGAGTCTTGACTGGTGGGGGCTGTACTTGTCTAGGTGGCGCACGCGGAGTAGGTTCGGTTGTGCTAGGGCGATTCGGAGGGGAGATCTCGTCGCCGAACAAATCAATCGAGGCTTGTTGACGGTGTACCGGGGGCTGACTGGCGGCGACTCTTTGCGAAGCAGAACGTTCAATCTTTGCTTTCTCCTGTACAACAGCAAGAGGCTAGTCAGTCAGTGATTGACGCTAACAGGCTGGTCTATCATGCGATCACTCACCACATCGTCATCGCCGTCATCCAGGGCCGAGGGGTCCGGCATCTCACCGTCCATTACCCATCGCTTGCTCTCATACTTCGTCCGGATAAAGTTTTCAATTTTTCTGTTCACGCTCATTGTCAGAAACCATCACCACCGAACGAGTGTCATTCGAATGCACTTACGCATCGGAGGGAACGTGGCCGGGTGCCAGTTTCGCTTCCCAGTATCTGCATCCTATTAGCGCATGCCCAACGTGGCCGGTCAATTGGTTGCGACGAACTTGTTGGCTCTTCCATTGCCCCATCTCACAACACTCTGAAGTTGTTCATCGGTCCATGAATCGAGATCCACGGACTTGACTCGGCTGATATGCGTGCCCATACCCCGGTGAATGCCTGAGCACCGAATGCAAACAAAGACACCCAGGTTCCACGAAGCCCATCGCGGATCTATTCAGAAAACAATTCAGTATATGAGCGCCAAGAAATATCCTCGGAGATGAAGCCAGCGTGGGCGCAATTCAAGGAGGGGATCGGGGACCACTCACGCTTGTTCCGTTTACAGTCGGCACATATCTTGTTGTGCTCGAGTTTCAGCAGAGTCTTGATAGTCTGCGAGTTTTGGGCAGCTTGGCCTGGAGTAGGACGTCGAGACATAATAGCAGCAACTCGAGAATTGATGGTGAAAGGGATAGAGAAACAATGAGAGCAACCCAATTATTCTTAGGTGGCGGTCGGCACAGTTGCGGCCTAAGGCTGCGGTGTATATACGGATGGGGGAAAATGCCAGTCACGCAGTTTGATGTAAAGTAACATGAGGTCATTGGCCAATAAAAGTAGATCTTTAAAAAGATGAACTACGTTGTATAACTATTTAGTTTGGTTTTAAGCTGAAGTATTTCTGAAGTTAAGATCTACAACATATGGTTGGTCCACTCAAACGACGCCTCTCTCCGTATCATGCATGTCGGCCCTTCTGCAGCCTTAGTCTCCGCAAAACAAATGATGATTGAATATCATGAAAATTCCTCAAGCTTTCGACTGAGGTTTCTTGGCAGCGCTAGCATCTTCTGTAAACCGCAGACTGACACTATTCACACAATGACGCTCGTCCGTGGGAGTCTGATACCCCTCACCCTCGAATACATGGCCGAGGTGACCCCCACAATTGGTGCATACGATCTCTGTCCGCTTCATGCCAAACGTGCTGTCAACGTGTCTAGTCACAGCACCAGGGATGGAATCAAAGTATGCGGGCCAGCCACAGCCAGATTTGAACTTGTGGTCGGCAGTGTACAGCGGCGCATCGCAACCAGCGCAATTGTAGACGCCTTTCGACGGGTAGTGGGAATCATATTCACCGGAGCCAGCGCGCTCAGTGCCCTTTTCACGGAGAATGCGGAATTGTTCTGGAGCCATCCTTGTAAGCACACATCGATCCTACATCGCCTAGGACTTGAAAACCCCCCATGTGTACAAACCTGGGTTCAAAACAGCTCTCCACTCGTCTTCACTTCTCTGGTCGGGGGTTGACATGGCTTCGGTTGCTTTCTCGGGGTTTTTGTTGGAGCTGAAGAAGGCACCGAAAAATGGGATGGTCGGCGCAGCTAGAAGAGCCTTGGTGCTTGTCTTCGAATGGGGAGGCTTGCGCGTTGAGGACAAAAATCGGGAGGAGCAAAATCTCGGCACAAGTCGGATAGGGATGGTCTGGTCTCTGAGGGGCAAAAGAATATTGCGAGATAATTGGGTTCGCATAGAGGCAGTGTTGATAGGAAAGTGAGAAAATGTAAGAGTGACAGTTGAAGCAGAGATGAGAGTGGGGTGAAGCTAATCCCATATGGGCTGAAGTCGAGGCCTTTACGTCATCATGCGGGGAGACCCCCGGGGCCGGTTCGGGGACTCTTTAAGGCCTAGACTGATAGAGATCTATAGCATGAATACATACATATATATATATGTTTAGGGGACTACGGTGTTCCAAAACCGACTGTTGTTTTTTGAAAAATTGTTTGAATATTGAAAACAGCCCCAGGTCCCACCTGGGAAACTCCAGCAGTGCAGGGGTATCTCAACAGCAAAATCTGACATATGAACAATATTGAAGAGAAAAGAAAGAAAGAAAAAAAGCAAATCAAAGAAATTTCAACGGCGGGTAACGCCGGTCACCAGCATAGAGCCCCTGTTGAGCTCCACGCGCCACCCCTCCTTCAACAGCATATTCCACACGGCGGGTCCAATATGTGACTTGCGGTCGAGGGAGTGGTGACCAAGACCGCACACAATATTGAACCCGCCGTGGGAACTCTGTCCTCCGCCACGGACGTACTTCTGATCTCCCAGCCCGTCCCACCACGCCTGAACACGCTCACGAGCGATTCTGACTGCGTTGGCGACCGTCACACCATGCAGATCCAGGTCATATTGCGACGACTGGCGGGCCACCAGCCGGTCAGAAGCTGTCGCCAGATGGCGCATTGCAAGCTGACGTTGCTCGTTTCCGACGTCCCGGTAATAGGCGGAGGCGCCACCGTAGAGGGGGTTTGAGCGTGCACGGCGGGCGGACTGGGATGCTTGCGCGAGGGCAGCTGATCGGGCTGCGAAGTGAGAGTTGGCAGCGGCAGCAGCTTCGCCGAAATCCATGAAATCCGAAGCGGACTCTGTCTGCTGAGTTGGCGCCACGTTCTCCTCTTCGTCGTCGAGGGCGACCGGGGACGAAACAAAACTGATGATATTTGACACGGAAGTGAGATCAGGGCGGCGGGCCAAGGTGTCAGCCAGCTCATCTGCGGCTGGGATATCATTGTTTGCAATTCGAATCAAGCCAGTTAGAGTGATGGGATTTATGCCAGGGTACTTGTGGCTGAGCTCCCCACTTGCGTGATGAGTAAGGGATCGTCTTCAATCTCATGGATGTCTTTGGGTCCATGAGCCTGTGCCAAGACTCTGATTGTTGCACAGAGTGACATTGAGTTTTCATGATAAGTCGATGCAATTTTCTCTCTCTGCAAAGCGCAGGCCCGCGAGGAAAGAAAGTCGATATCCTTCTTCCCTGTCTCCCATTTATTGGTAGAGGTGTTATTCATGGCCTGTGAGGCCAGGTCGACTCGACGTTGTTGTTGCTGCCTTTTCTTCTTTCGGGATTTCTTGCCGCCGCTGTTCTGGTTCTCCTTGGCCTGGAAGCCATCGATTGACTTGGGGGTGGAGGATTGACTGTCCTGAGCAGCCTCTTTGGGGGTTTCTTGAGGAATTTCTCTCGCAATTTGCGTCTCTTCAATGAAGGCAAGATTGAGCAAGACATCCATTGAGCGACTGAGGTTGTCATGACAATCTTCGAGGATGCGCTCAGCTTCCAGACGAGTAATACTTGGGAACATACTAATCAGGTTCTGTGCCTTGTCAGCAGTTGTCATACCCAGAAAGGAGTATGCAAGCTTCGAGCCTTTGAGCCTTTCGGCCTCGCTGGCACTGTTGTGGTCGCTATTATCCTGTTCATGATTTTCAAGCGATGGCCAGCTTGTAAAATCTGAGGGTGCGTCGTCAGACGATTCGCCGACCAAAGAGCCTGAGACATCGGAGTTTCGGAGGTTGGTAGTGCCTGTGGGGTCAAACGGCAGGTTTTCTTGCTCAATAGCAGATGCGTTCAACACGTCCAGGGTTTCGCGCAACTCTTCGACCTGAGTGGGGATCGACAGGTCAAAGTCTGATACGATCGCAACAAACAATGCGGGGTCAATTGGTGGACAGTAGGTGCTTTCGAGCTCCTAAAATTAGGAAACAGACGTCAGCGCACAGCATGACAAGCAACTGGTACAGCAACAAGCTATGCCTAAACTGTGTGTGAATCAGCGGGACACGACGTACCTTGAAGAGCTCATCGCCACAGTCCCCCATGGCTGTGATCATGGATTTAGTTGCGGTGGTATTGGAGGTACTTGTAGCATTCCCCGTGAAGGACTGCGAGGTTGGAAAATTGTAAGGGACGTTATGGGGAGTGACGAAGGTAAAAAGTGGCTTTTTTCCGCGATGATCTTGATAGCTGATAAGATGGAGATAAGAGATCGATACGGGTAACGATGATGGGGAAACCAATCACAGAGCCACAAGACAGTCACGTGCTTGAATCACGTGGGTGGGGTAGCCAGGGTAGGCACTGGCACGTGTACACTAATCACGTGTTGGGCGTTGATTTTAAAATAGTGTGGCTAAGCCTCAACCTAAAACTGATCGGATATGAGGTTTCGAATGAGGTTGCTTTTTTATGATCTAGAGACTACTAACATGAATGTACATCATTATATATACTTGTTCCATCCAACCTGCCTGAACCCACACTTACACCTATATCCCTACATCTACCTCTGTAAGCTACGTAGTATCCACGAAAGCTAAGACTTCTAATTATGCATAAGTTGTAGTTTGTATATAGAGTGCAACCTCTATTGGCTTCTCGGAATAGCTTGATTCGTGGAGCCTGCGTGTATTCCTGTAACTACAGATTCAATTGGCTCTGTTTCCTCCTCTGTGGCCTTATTGGGGCCCTATGTATGTATGTATGTAGGAGCTGAAGCAAACACCTCCCACCGGTGCAACGGAGAATTATTTCAAACACCGTGTTACTTGTCTACGACATTTCAATCATCAAACAGCTGGAGAGATAATGGTTATTCATATCTCTACAATGTCCATGGCCCTGGTGTCAGCAACGCCCAAATAAACTGCCAGGTTAACAAAACAACCTATATAGTTTCTATTGCTAGCAGCACATCTACTGTAATGTGAATCTGATCTCTTTGTTAAAGCTATTATTTAGTAAATGACTTGATTGCAGTTTGACAGTCAACATTGGCATAATCACCCGATGGATCAAATTTATATTCCCTATTGAAAGGTGGTGAGGAATAAATAGAACTAGTACAAAGCCTTCTACTTATCTTTTAGCATGCACAATGTTATACTACAAAGGAACAAGGATAAGGCCGTGTAAATTTGTAAATTTTGATGGTTTTGTCAAGTTCTATGAGTTATCATCGTCAGGGACTCATAGCGAACATCGGGATCTAGTTCCGACTCCAATATACTTCGGTGTCTCCATCCGACCTTTGAGTCCACCTATGGGACTATATCTTTAGTCAATGACCAATCTAGATAACTTCTTCAACCAACTGTCTTTGTATTTCAAGGGTCGAAATATTTCATAATGTTTTCATACCATTGTCTTCGAACAAAGAGCAATGCATTTTCAGCTTGCTTTTCCGGGCCTTTGCAAAGATTTCCGAGTACAGGGGTAAGATCCATGGCAACCGGACGAAGAAAAGAATTCCTTTGCATCCTTCCCGACAATCCAAATGTGCTAGCCATCAGAAAACAAGTTAAAGGGCTAGTTTATCATAGAATCCCTAGGCAACTAGGTTGGACCGAGCATAGCTAACATTGACTAGAGTCCACTACGACGGAGTCAAGCCATTAGTGACCGCCGGAAAGCTCGTCGCGGGAGGTGCCATATTTGAGCAACACCCCGAAGAGGGCAAGGATGCCCTGTTCAAGGGTAGCGTGATCGTGTACTCGGGCAATAGTGCTGAAGAAGTCCGCGCCATTCTCGAGAAAGATGTTTATGCCACTAGTGGTGTGTGGGACTTGAGCAAAGCACAGATTTTCCCTGTTGGTAGAATCTCTCATCTTCATGGGTGAATGCTAACAAACGCAGTATGTCCCAGCCGTTCGAGAGCCGCTTCCATGACGGATATAGGTCCTTAAAATATATATAGCAAGCAGTAACTGTGAATGCTTGAACCGAGTTTAAGAGACCAAATTATGTGGTACCATAGTTATATTAAGGCTAAACTAGTAAGAAAATATTGACGTAAGTGTTAGATCTCATAGTTCCGGCTATCAATATACAGTCCCGAGGTCAAGTACCATGGTAAGAGCTGTCCTCGTTGGTTCCTAGTTTTGCGAGCCAAATGGATCTAGTTGTCGAAGGCCCACGTCGTCAAGGACAGAGACTGCATCAGCCACCGAGTATTGTTGTCAATATAAATGCAAGTGTCAAAGTAATCTTGATAGTATACCTACAAAGGCACATGTATGGACTAAGATTTTGTTTGGACCAGCTTGGAAGTGAAAGAGATGAGGAATTGACACAACACATCAACGAGTCCGTGATTCATTCGTGTTGGAATGTTAAGCGCTGAAAAGAAATAATGAAATACAGACAAGGTATACGATCATGGTGTACCAAGGACAGAGAGAAGAGGAAAGGGAAAACCCCAGACGCTATGCGAAGAGATAAATCAGGGCTTGTGCCCAAACACAACACCCGGCCCACGGGTTGGGCCGAATATACTGCATACTTTAGTGCCAGATGATCATGATTCCAAGGCAGAAAGAAAAAAAGAAGCAGGAATCAAACAAGGAGGAACCCCCCTGTCAAAGCCACATTTCACCTTCCCTGGTGCTAGATGCCAATGAGTGCGTAATAATACGAGCCCCCCTTGAGAATTGGTACACGGGGAATTATGAAGAAACATTTGAAAGGATATGGGTAATGCATGAAAATGGGAGAACGCGGCTTGAGTGTACATGTTCTAGGAACATCCTGAACCGACAAAAAGCATGGGTATTTCCGTGCGCTGCTAAAAACGAGAAAGCAGAAGTGTGGGAAGAGAAATAGAAAGGAAACGAGTGAGGATGCCAGCCCCGGATTCACCACATATCATCGTCATCGTCGTCATCGAGTTGGACGTCGTCGCCAAAGGACGAGTGTCCGTACTGCTGGTGGCCTGGGCCGTAAGCTTGGCCATTTTCATAGCCTTGCTTGTCGCTCCTCGAATGGGCACCGTAGCGATCATGCGGATCGTCATCATAGTCGTACATGGAAGAGTCGTCATATGCACTGTCTCCGTAATGTTGTTGTTGCTCCTGAGACTGCGCGAGACTGTTAGTAATCTTGCTCTCCCCAAGAACAAGGGGCATCTTCGCTTACCTCTTGGTATCGCTGATATTGCAGATACTCATCTGGCTGATCTCTTGATTTGGATGATCTCTGGGATGATCTAGATGAAGCAACCGGCATCTGCGGGTGCATCTGTTGTACCTTGGCCAGGTATGAGTACATGAAGTTGCTTAGCAATACTTGAGAGTATAGAGCTCGTCGGGGATTCGCAAGCTTGATATGCGCCATCCGGTAAATAGCACGCTCCTCCAAAATTGAGAAGCGAGACCACGGATAATCGAGATCGGCGCGAAGTACTCGCATTGGGGGATCAGGAGAAAGGTTTCGTGACGAATGTTTGCGGTGGTGGCCTTCATTACTGTGCTTCTTTCGTCCACCGCCAAAGATTGAAGAGAAAATGCCATCCTTTTCTTTCTTTGAGTCTCCCGATGCCCTCCTCACGCCGTCTTTGCGTCGTTCTTCCTCGAGCTTCGGATCAAGGCGGTCCAAGACAAGACTTTCGCGTCCCCGCGGAGTGCTCTCGATAGATGATTGCAAAACGTCTAGACGTGTGTTGTCGTGGGGTTTTTCAACAATCTTTGATTTGGTCTTTTTCGAGTCGCCGTCCTTGTCTTTCTTCTTATCTTTTTCTTCACTGCCTAACAACCAGTGCCAACTAGACTTGCGGCTACCCTCAGAGTCCTTCTTGTCTTTTGATTTCTTGCTCTCGGATTTTCGTTCTTCAGGTTTGCGTTCTTCTGAGATGGTAGGGATGAATGAAAGACTGTCAGTGCGGGTACTGTTGCCAGGTATCATCTGAGGGTTATTGGCAAAGTCATTGAGTGAAGAGGCGGGCTCGTGGGGAGGTTGCCGAGGATTCTTGGGACGTTTTGGTGCCGGGTCGTGCGAAGACGTGGGTTTCGACGATGGTATAGATGCCGCGGCGCGATCCGATGACCGCCTACTTTGTGAAGGCGGACTTGGTATGCGGGTGGATTCGGTGGCGGGAGGTGTTTCAATTATTGCAGGGATCTTCTGCTCGCCTGGGGCTATGTTCAAGGTAGATCGGCCATTCGAGCTGATACGAGAATGCCATTTTCGTGAATTGGTCGGATCTCCTGAATCGGATCGATCCAGAGCAGCATCCGGTTGCCCACCAGAGGTGGACAAGCCTTCCTGCTCGGCCTCAGGCTGATCGATAATCGGATCGAATGTCGAACTCGCGGTTGAACTTGGGGCATAAGCTGAGCCATGCGATGATGCAGAGGTGGCCCGAGCCGCTCGCGTTGTTTTCGGGGTAGGATCAGTCGAGACACTGGCGGTGAGCCCCAGAATTGCGGGATCTTGAGGTGCTAGAACAACCGGAGGTCCTGTATCACTCCCTGCAGATTCAGATGCCCCCCGTCCAACTCGTTTAGAGTAGGGCAACTTTTCGCCCTTTTTCAAACTCCCCGCTTTGATATATTGTGTCCGGGTTGACCGGCGTAGGCTGTTTCCCGGAGGTGCGGGTGGCAGGATCGGCCTGTCCTCGTTTCCAGCAATGCCGATATTCTGTATGCCGCGCACGAGTGATTCTTTGTCCACCGGTTGCGAATCATCCACCAAACTTTCCAATTGCTGCAAGTTGGGACTCAAGACGCCATCTCGCTTACTTGATTGAGAGCGCTTATGTTCCAACCGATCCGCACCATCTGTATAACCTGACGAATTGTCGATTTGTCTCGACAACATAGAGCGTTTGCGATTAAGACCACCTCCCGACCCTTGGCGTTCAGAACCTAAAGTCGAATAATCGCCGGATCTGCGCTTGATATGGTCGGCCTTGCTATCGAGAAACGACTTGAATTCTTTCGGAGCCAGTTCAGGGTGCAGTCGCGCAGGAACCCAGAATAACCGGGAGGCGTCATCTTCGTCGGCCGAGGGCGAGGGGGGTGGTGCGAAGCCTGGGAGGTCAGGGTCACCGGCGGCGGCTACATCCATCGACATGCGCCGAATCGCGGCGAGATTGTTCAGCTCCTGAGTGATGGCCGCGGGGTTGGATTCGTAGTCGATGTCGTTGAGAGGAAAAGAGGATGTTGCAGTGTCCGAGGGCAATCGAGTACGATCGGCATTCCCCGGATCACTCTCCCTGTCAAAAGACAGATTTGCAACAAGTGGCGGTCGTTGGTTTCCATTTGTCTGTATCGTTTGCACATCAGATGAGGATTGATGCAGTGGCGAGGACGGAGAAAGAGGGGACTCGGATCCTGCGGCGCCGCGCGGGATGGTTGTTATTGACTCGCCGAGGGGATTTGTTATATAACTCAGGCGTCTCGGATCATCACGATCGTAGTCGTCGTCGTACATATGTCCGATGGCTTCCGTCACATGGTGGCTTGGATCACTAATCGATAGATGGGCGGCATGACCTCTCCGCGTCGCATGCCCGCCAGCCTCGTGGGCACTCGTGGAAGCCTGAACGGGTAAAAAATATCATTAGAATCAAGAATGCGCCAGTTTAAAGTCGTGATCCAATCCTCAAAGTCCATGGGAAGGGGTCCAATTCCACAAAATTGTGGTTGTGATTGTGCCTGTGCCTGTGCCTGTGCCTGAGGGGTTCGAGGCCGAGGGGGGTCTCGACAAAAAGTCACGCCCACATGAACCAAAGAATAGGGACCGGGAAAGCGACGCACCTGCATGGGAAGCCAGTTGTACAGGAACCAAAAGACGTCAAAGACGGAGCCCAAAGGGGCGGAAGCTTAAGAGGAGGGGGCAGTGTCAACCACGTTGGATAGCGAGGAGGAACGGGTCATCGAAGCGGGGAAAGAGGAGTGGAAACAAAGGACCGGTAGCAGCGTGCTAGACATTCGGATACCGAGTTCGAATGAGCGTCATGGGCCGAGAAGTTTTGGGAGATGAAAGGAAAGAAGAGAAGAATGGAGGATGGAAGTGTTTAGCGGGCGGAGAGCACATGAGAGAGTACATAACCTCCGCAGCACCTGACTATCTGAAACTCTTCCAAATGAAATTATATTATATTAAGAGTTTATATCTAGACATTTTTCTTTTTTCCTCTTCTTGAATTTAGGTCTTTTAGGTCTTTTAGGCTCTTAATTCATTGAGCACTGTTGGCTCCACTTACATTAAAACGGGGGGAAGAGGACGATCGGTTGATCTACATCGTACACGTTCTTTTTTTCTTTTCTTTTCTTTCTTTGCCTTTCTCTCTATTCTGTACTTTTTGATTTGTACTTTCTGATTCAGTGATACATTCTTTTGGTTCGGATTCTAATATCGGACTCCAAAGAGAGTAGGTACTACCTACCTGTCAGAGCTGACTTGCAATATATTTCTTCGATCCGTGACACCGCATCCATGTAGCTCGAGGGCTGAAAAGATCGCCTCCCTTGTACCCATTACATTCATCTTTGATAGAAGCCGAAAGGCCTAGATTGACATGGAAAAACTTGAGAGCACATAAGAAATGTGAATTTACCATTGTAAAGCCACTTGGCATCTTTTGTGTCCACAATATCCTGATATGAATGAACTAGATGGTGTCGGACCTGAGATTCCATAGAACGTTGTGTGACTTTTATTCAATCTTCCCCGGGGACCGAAGGCAATAGCTGGATATGCCATGCAAGTGTTCGCACAAGTCAGGCCAGAACGCAAACGATGTCAACCAGAGACCTGAGTGCAGGGGAATTATTGTTATCAAACGCAAAATATCAGGGCCACTCAAATGGAGCTGAGAGGTGTATTCAACCTAAGAAACTAAGAAGAGACTTATGAGACATGGAATAAACTCTGGACAAAATCTGGAGAAATTCTGGAGAAATTCTGGGGGAAATCACAATCAGATAGGAAATGCTCTGCATAAAACCGAAAAGATCCACGATGACAGTATCCCCAATTCCCCACCCCGAAGGGGGAAAAAAAAGCATGAGAACGAGAAACTCCACGCTGAAGAATGTAAATCGCACCAACTTTAATGTAAATAAAGGAATGGAAAAGAAAAGGTTTTGACGAATCCGTATACGCCAGGATATATGTAGGGCAAGAGTTGGAGGGGGAACGTATGTTCATCAAGTCCCGGAGAAATGTGCATCAAGAGTTCGTCACAGTGTGTGCTACATGGACCAGCATTGGACGCGTATCAACTTAAGAGGCCTCGACATAGTTGCTGCGAATGAATTAGCCATCAATTCTAGAAAGTGGAAGGAACAGGTCCTTACCTGGGGAAGATGCCCACGCGATCACCAATGCGACCAGTCCACCAGTCTTCCGCCTTCTCCGTCCGCTTTATTATGGTAATAATTTCACCCTTCTTGAATCCAAGGTCACCCTCCTGATCCGCATCGAATGTGAAAAGGGCAACGGCTTGGTCTGATCGCAATTGGGCTGCACCAGTCTTTTGTTGGAAGACTGGCTTAGGGGCAGTTGGACGGGTAGGTCTGCGATCTGAATAGACGTATTCCTCCTCGAATGGCGCAGTGTTGCTCCGGTTGCGCCCATAGCCATCGAATGAATCGCCGGCAGGGCCCCGGGTTGTCGCAGAACGACCAAGCCCCGAGGCAGGGCGATCATAAACATCATCAGCCCAGGTGTTCGCACGGCGCGGCTTATCGCGGTAGTCGTACTCGTCTCCATTGGTGTTGGATCGAGCACGCTGGCTACCTTGACCGTAGGCATCGCCCCTGCGTCCCTCCCAGACCACATCGTCATGGCTGTCGTCATAGACAGGAATGTCATTGTACATGGAGTCACCGTAGGCCTGCGCATTTCCTTGGAATGCACGTGAGTTCAGCACGCGCATCAGAGCATCGGCGGCCGGTGGGGGGCGAACGCTGCCTGTGAGAAGTTGGTTGGCGGAAACGCGACTGCGGTACAATTTCTCATTCGCATCCTTGCGTTCCACCAGCATACTGCCTTCCAGACTGACACCGGCGAAAAGACCCTTGGTTTTTGAGTAGGAGAAGACGGCCGCAACGCCCTTTGTACTGGCTGCGCCAGCCGCCTCGGCATTTCGGCCAATCGGTCCAGCAGCAAGTGATACATTACCACCCAACGTCAGTGTTCCCACTTGCGAGAATGTGCGCACAGCAGCGGCATCGTTGAGGATAAAAACAAAGTCGGTCAACTCAAACCCGATCTGTCCTCCAATTCCGGCGCCTGCAGTCGCAATAGCTGATGGAGCCGACCAGGACCCATCGCCAAGACGAGCGACAACGATACCGGAGCCGAATCGACCGGAGCCTAGGAAACCGGCCTTCAGAACCGTGAGGACCGCGAGACCCTAAGGAAATAGGCCGGTCAGCCATGGATGTTCGCAACCGGGGCATGATGAGTGTCTTACCTTTGCATTGGCCAAAATCTCTGGGGGAATGACCTTGTCGGGACCGAATGATTGCTTAGGATCAACGAATGATGTCAAAATCTTTGCAGCCTTCTTGCACTCGCCTGTTAAGAGAGAATCCACTGTCAGCCGGAGGTGCCGCATACGACTGCGGGGAAGTGGGCTTTGGGTATCGATGAAACCTACTGGTCATAGACGCAGGCAGCGGATTGTTGATCCCGAAACCCATCTTGGCTGGTGACTATCGAGGCAGAAACGAAAACTCGACTGGGGAGGGATAAATGGGGGGGGAAATGAGCTGTTGATGTCTCGAGGGTAACGGTTAGTCAGTAGGTGGGCCTGCCCAGGGTGCCCAGGTGATGACGGCTAAGGCGGGACGCTGGTTCGTGGGAGGCTCAAGACGCGTACTTCGGAGAACCAAAGACTGGATCGATACGAGGTATAGTACAATGTTGGAGATACTTTCAACAAATTAGATGGTCAATTGGAGATCAAACACCCTCAATGGTTACTAGCCCTTGATATCCCACGTATTTGGCCATATGGGGTCTCTTGTCTCGGTGTTTAAAAGTGGCCGAGCGAGACGAGGGTTGCTTGGCAAATTGGGAGTTTCTTAATAATGTATTTAAAAAAAAAAGGAGAACAGGAACAAAGAGACTATGTACTAGTATAGCCAAAGCAACAGTCTCCCGACGTGTAGAGAAATTGTATAGCAATTGTATAGCAATAGTATCGCATACTTACATATGTACTGATGCCCCAGGCGCCAAGGCCATCTGTTATCGTATCGCGATTGTCTCATCCGGAATCAACCTCGGAACCTTGGAACATATCCACCTCCATACACTTCTTGAGTGCAAGGTCATGGTTGGATTATGATCAATACGTGACTCGCTAGAGGCGAAAAAAATGGCATCAGGTATGTTGGATATCTCACACCCAGAAACACTGCTGACAGGCCAATTCATCCAGTTCGCATTTGCGTTTGTGGCGACGAGGGCACTGGGAAGTCCAGTCTCATTACCTCGCTCGTCAAAGGTGTGTTTGTTACGAACAAAATACAACCAGTCCTCCCCCAAATCACCATCCCTCCGACCCTTGGAACCCCCGAAAATGTCACCACTACGACCGTCGTCGACACCTCGGCCCTTCCCCAGGAACGGAACAATCTCGCGCGAGAGATACGGAAATGTAACGTGATTCTCCTCGTGTATTCCGACCACTACAGCTATGAACGGGTAGCTCTGTTCTGGTTACCATACTTCCGCTCGTTGGGCGTCAATGTCCCGGTAGTCCTGTGTGCCAACAAGTCCGACCTGGCGACTGGTCATAGTGAGACGCGAGTGGTTGAGGAGGAGATGCTTCCTTTGATGGCAGAGTTTAAAGAAATTGACTCGTGTATACGTACGAGTGCGCGGGAGCATCGTAATGTCAATGAAGCCTTCTTCGTTTGCCAAAAGGCTGTCACGCACCCGATCGCGCCGCTGTTCGATTCGAAGGAGTCGGCTTTGAAGCCCGCTGCGGTAGCAGCTTTACAAAGGATATTCTATCTCTGCGATAAAGATCGCGATGGATATCTATCAGATAAGGAGCTCGAGGATTTCCAAGTCCGGTGCTTTTCCAAACCATTGAACGAAGCGGATCTCAATCACATCAAAGACACCATTCAAAAAGCCTGTCCGGAGTCGGTTACAGAGTCAGGAATTGACTGCCAAGGGTTCATTCATCTGAACAAATTATACTCGGAGAAAGGGCGACATGAAACAGTCTGGATCATATTGCGAGCATTCCAGTATACGGATAATCTCTCCCTGCAGGAGAAATTCTTACACCCGAAGTTCGAAGTACCGCCGTTCGCCTCTGCCGAACTCTCACCGGAAGGCTATCGATTCTTTGTGAATCTATTTCTTCTATCCGATAAGGATAATGACGGGGGCTTGAACGAGGCTGAACTTGCATCCTTGTTTGCCCCAACCCCGGGCTTGCCCGCATCATGGGCCGACGGTTCGTTCCCATCCTCCACAGTCCGCAATGAGGCAGGACATGTAACACTGCAGGGTTGGCTTGCTCAGTGGAGCATGACTACCTTCCTGTCTCCCAAAACTACACTCGAATACTTGGCATACCTGGGCTTTGAGCCCTCCGACCAAAGCGATCAATCTATTACTGCGGCGTTGAAAGTCACACGGCCGCGAAGAAAACGTCGCCGCCCGGGCCGTGTGGGACGAAATGTTGTCCAATGCCATGTTCTGGGAGCCCCTGGATCCGGAAAATCGGCCCTGCTCGATGCACTTCTTTCCCGCGGATTCAGCACAACCTACCACCCTACCATCCAACCGCGTACCGCAGTGAACACGGTGGAGCTTCCGGGCGGGAAACAGTGTTACCTGATTTTGGATGAACTAGGTGAGCTGGAGCCTGCTTTGCTGGAGAACCGGTCCAAACTGCTGGATCAGTGCGACGTGATTGCGTACACCTATGATTCCTCGGATCCAGACTCATTTTCGTACATTCCTGCATTGTTAGCCAAATATCCTCATCTGGAGGAGCTCCCGAGTGTGTTCGTTGCCCTCAAGGCCGATCTGGATCGGACGACGCAGCGAGCCGAGCACCAACCTCATGAATACACAGCGATGCTGAACATGCCCAGTCCGCCGCTCCATGTGAGTGTTACTTGGAGTTCTATCCAGGAGGTGTTTGTCCATATCGCGGAAGCTGCCATGGAGCCCAGTACCGCCTTCCCGCGTAGTGAAGAAGATGTGGAGGGCAAATGGATGTCGTGGGGAATTGCCCTCGGAGCGGTGGTTTGTGCGGGCGCCGCCGCGGTGATGATATGGCGACGAGTTGGCAGCAGCAATTAGGGTCTTCGTTCATGTTCTATACCATACCCCATAGTTTAATGTGCAAATAAATATAAAATGATCTCAATATCTCGACCATGATACTTAATCAGGCACATGGCCGGCTCAGCCGGAGTTAAGCCGGTCCCCGCCAGGCACGCGGTTTCTTCTCCGCTCGAACGTTACCCCGGACATCATTTGCCTTGCTGATCCTCCCCCCTCTCGCGCCTCGACTTGTATCTTCGAAACCTCCAACCTCCGAACCTCGAACCCTGATATCATTATACACATTTTATCGAGTGCATATATACATTTGTGATTGTCGGGCTTATTGCGCACCTTAACTCGCTGTCGCCCCCTGCGGCCATATTCTGCACCCTGTCCATCGCTCATTCTCAACACATAAGAGCTTGCAGATATCGATATATAAGACTGAAGGAAAGTTTGAATAAAGTACATCGCAGACTTGGCAAGATTTGCGCATTTGCCTCATCAGTTCCAAGGTTGCGCTTGCTGGTCACACCAGATCTCAGCCCGAGTTCGAATTGAGCCTGTACGAGTGACGTCTAATCATGTTGTAAGCACGCACTTTCTTTACTTTCCCACTTGTCACGATCTGCTTCTTTGCTGCTTTCACTTTACAAGCCGAGCCTTGTGTTCTCACTATTACCGACGTAATTTGAGAGAATTGCATAACTCTCGGGTACCAGATAATCACTTCACTCGCTGACACCAGCAGCAGCGTCCTTCCCCCTCCCCCTCCGCGCTATACCATCCCTGTCGCATATGCGGCGGGGGCGGCAAATGGTATGGCGGTCCCTGTTGTGGAAACGAACAATACTATTACCCACCCGGAGCGTGGCTGTCCATTGCAAGTTGGCGAGGGTATGTGCCCAGCGATCGCTGATATCCCCCATATATCCCGATTCCTTCGAAATCTCAGAGATAGCTTACAATTGTATTGCGATAGGAACGTACATCCTCCAGGATGATCTACTCCTCGCAACACCGCCTCCCCACCCATCTGAAGCTCCTATCATCAACCCGAACCCTCTTGCGACGGTACCCACACCCCCTACCACTGGCGTAAAGCTATCTCTTGTTACCCTCGACCCCCGAAAGAAGCCGCCGACGTTCTTGAAGTCAGCTGTTACAGCTCCCCAATTTGGAGATGGAAACCCCGCGCTTGCGGCGCCACCGGTGGCAGCAAAGGACGCAGCGAAGCGAAGGAAGCCCAAGAACAACATCATCAAGAGCAGTTCTTCCTTCGTTTCCCGAGTAATCACGCACGAGACATCTGCCAAGCGATTGGGCGACCGTGACTCGAATGGTGTTTTTGCCTTTGCGAATATCAACCGAGCATTCCAATGGCTCGACCTCAGTTCGCCTACAAAAGAAGAGCATCTTACGAAAGTTCTCTTCACCAAGGCTCACATGCTATGTCACGATGTCAACGAAATCACCAAGACATCATCGCATTTGGACATTGTGATGGGATCTTCTGCTGGCGACATCATTTGGTATGAGCCTATGTCACAGAAGTACGCTCGGATCAACAAGAATGGTGTGATCAACAACTCCCCTGTCACCCACATAAAATGGCTTCCAGGGTCTGAGAACCTGTTCATCGCGTCCCACGCCAACGGCGTGCTGGTCGTGTACGACAAGGAGAAGGAGGATGCCCTCTTCACCCCCGAGGCGAATGGCCATTCCGAACAAGAGGTCGGACGATTACCATTGGACATCCTGAAGTCTGTGAACTCCAAAAACCAGAAGACCAATCCGGTCTCATTTTGGAAAATGGCAAACCAGAAAATCTCAAGCTTCTCCTTTTCGCCGGATCAAAGGCATCTGGCCGTGGTTCTCGAAGATGGGTCGCTGCGGCTCATGGATTACTTGAAAGAGGAGTATGTTTGCCCTATGTGAGGAGAACAGAACGATTCCCAACTAACGCCTTCTAGGGTACTGGATATATTCCGCAGCTACTATGGGGGCCTGATCTGTGTCTGCTGGTCGCCGGATGGCAAATACATCGTAACCGGAGGCCAGGATGATTTACTCACGATTTGGTCTTTCCCCGAGCGTAAGGTTGTTGCCAGATGCCAAGGACACAACTCCTGGGTTTCGTCGGTAGCATTCGACCCTTGGCGTTGTGACCAGAAGACATACCGGTTCGGCAGCGTCGGCGACGACTGCCGCCTCCTCTTGTGGGATTTCAGCGTCGGAATGCTTCATCGCCCCCGGGCACACCAAGCCTCAACTAGAAATCGATCCAGCATCGTAGTGCCAAATTCACAAACTGCCAACCGCCACCGTGCAGACAGCGGCGACAACCGTGTGCGTTCGGACTCTAATGGGACCGAAAAGTTCAACGACGATATCGATCAGACCATGAGTCATCCCGTGGAACCCCGGTCTCGAACAGCTCTTTTGCCCCCGATCATGGTAAGCATTGGTTGATGCCCCAAATTGCCAGCTTCAGAAGACTAACTGAGCCACAGTCCAAAATCGTCGGCGAAGATCCTACCTGCTGGCTTGGCTTCCAGAAAGATTGCATTATGACTTCCTCTCTTGAAGGTGTGTATAATGAGGTTGCTCGGGTCCAAATAATACTAACATTCTGACACAGGCCATATCCGCACTTGGGATCGACCCAGCGACAGCGTTGTCAAATCATGATGCTGCATTTATGGTTTTTCGTCCACTTTTCCGGTACAGGATGACTCGAGACTCTGTTCTAGATGCACGGTGCAATCGAAATCGATTAAACAATCTTGGAAGCCCTGGAGGTTACCAATCGGGGGTTCACTTTTTTAGCGTGGCTATTTTTTCTTCTCAACACCTATGATATCTTTTCATGTCTATATTACCTTTACCAATCTATACATATTCATTATGCGTAAGGACGAATTTAAACGTCCTTCTAGACACCAATCGACGGCAAACCTAACTAAAAAGACCGCGATCGAGGGTTTCGGCTTTCCGAACTTCGAACCCATCTCTTCTCTATTTCCTTCCTTTATTTGGCAACATAACTAAATTTAAATAGAGCAATGGCTAACTCAAAGATGTAATTCACAGTATAGCTCCAAAATTATAAAACAGACATAGCATGATCGCATTTCTCATTAATGTAAGGGGCATATCATAGGTCCATAGACCAAATCATCAACATCAACATCATCAAGCAAATAAATCATCACTAGTAAAGTAACCCCACTCTCACAATGCCTTCAACGGATAGCAAACTTTGTCCAATGGAACTACCACAAATACCCAGAACTATCTCCGGCTCATATATCTAAGTTCCTGGATATCCAGCTAGCCAGTTGCCCAAAGCTGGACAACGAATGACCGATATCGGGATTCAAAGGACCAGAGCAAACATACCCAGAAGCAGACTGCCAGCCGGGGGCATGAGGACGGCAGCAGCGTTCGAGGTGGTAGTTGCCGACTCCGTAGCAGTCGAGGTTGTGGTCGAAGTCGTCTTGCGAGTGGTGGTCGAAGTAGTGCTCGAATGGGTTGCGGTGGACAGGCTAGTCGAGGTCATGGTTGAAACTGAGGTCGATACTATGCATAGAGTCAGTCTCTGTTTCCTCAATATAGTGGGTGAAAAGCAAAATGCTGTCTCGGAAGCCACGCTTTCCGCCTTTTACTAACCAGGGGTAGTGGAAATGTGGGTAGAAGGAGATGTGGTAGAGGAAATAGTGCTTGATTTGAAAGTCGAGGTAGGAAGATGTGTGGATGTAGTAGGTGAGATAGAAGACACGGTAATGGAAGAAGAAGTAGTCGGGGTAGCAGAGGTGGATATAATGGAGGATGAAGTTGTTGTAATGAAAGAAGAAGTTGAAGGTGTAGATGTAGAATAGAGTGAGGAAGAAGTGGCAAGTGTGGATATAGAAGAGACTGAGGAAGAAGCGGGGGTGGTAAGCGTCAAGGTAGAAGTCAAGGTGTTGGTGTAAGAAGTTGAGGATGATTCAGGGGTGAAAGTAGAGATTGAGAGGAGAGAAGAGAAAATGGAAGAGGTAGACGCACTTGCAGAAGAGCTAGTTATAAAAGAAGATGTTGTAGGGGTGAATAGAAGATGAAGCAGTAGAATGATAGGACGAGGTAGGGGTAGACGCACTGATGGAGGAGTGAGTAGCAGTCGAAGACAGATAAGAGGAAGCAGTCGAGGAAGAAGGAGTCGAAGAAGTAAGATCACTGGTCGACGCGGTGGAAGAAATCAAGGACGAGGCAGACGAAGTTTCAAGCGCAGTGCTGGTTTCCTTACCAGAGCTACTAGCACTACTAGCAATTTCACCAGGCTCAGTGACTCGGAATTGCTGAGACTGAGCCAGAATGCCACTGGTCGGAGAGAGGAAGTTGATCTGATATCCCTTCCTATATTGATTATCACGTCAGTAGCTCAAAGGCCATGCAATTAAATTCGACCTACCCGTCGTCTACGTCCGTGAAAGTCTTTGCTTTGACAGTGTAGGAGCCCTTGGAAGAGTCTATATCTTCTGCCACAATTGTTGTTGTCGGGGGGTAGACATTTTGATTGACCAGTTCGATGCTAAAGGTCTCTGGGTCCGTTCTATTGATATTGCATTTTTAGTTAGCAAATTGTCAGTGTTAATGAAACGCTGCTAAGCGTGTCGGACAACTAGCAGCTTACGACACGGCTTGCCACTTGATAGTAAGGGGTAAATCGGGGTCAATCTTTTCACCAATCCTTGGGGAGGTGACAGTGAGACCTAATTTAACAGTTATTAGATTTCCTTGTATTCCCCTAGACAAATTGCCATACCTGCAGCTGTAGCAGCCAGAGCCATCAAAGAGATAATGTTAATCCGCATATTGATTGGCTTCCGTAGTAACCAATATCAAGTAAAGTAATTCGAGGAAATAGTTGTCAATCTTGGAAGGTAGGGCCACAATATAATATTCCTGAGGTTGGAGGAAATCAAAGCCAGGGCCGACATAAAAAGGGAACATGGTACTTTATAGTCCCTATGACAATCAAAGGAGGCTATATCTCTCATAGGGTCTTCTCAAATTTCAATGGCAATCTTTATTTTTGGGCTGATTTGCCGTGGTGCCTTGATCCATCACGCCTCGTGCTCCCAGGTGTGTGTCGGAGTACAAAACAATTAGGTGAGGACCACACTTTCTTGTCCCCGTAATGTAAATATACTACTGTGTTGCAGTTGAAGGGATCTAGAGGAAGGACTGTTGATTCTGTAGCTTGTAACTTCATTTTCGGCCCAGATGAGAATTTTTCGTCGGCTCAATCCATGATGTACAACGTCTCCGATTTTGACCGGCCGCGCGTCATAGTTCCTGTCCGTATTGCAATGGAAATATTTTATAATACATTGCCTGCTCATGTACTTAGCGCAATCATAGTCATTGATTGGCTAGGGCACGGGACCCCTTGGATGGCTGCTGCGGCCCGTTTAGATTGGATGCCGAATGCCAGGGATTCATAAGATAATCAGCTGTTTTGGGGCGTCTTGATTGCCGATAATGCATTGAATAACCATAGAGCTATGAAAAGACCCTGAAGTTTGCATGTATATCAAATATCTTACATCCATTAAGCTTAGATGGAACTATATATATTCACAGACCTATACATATGAACCGAAAGCTTATTCGAAGCTACTACTTTATGGTCATTGACTTCTATTACACTCGATAACTTACTAAATGTGGGACAGTCACTCCGAAAGGTCTAAGCACACCGGAAGTATTGGGTTCCGGGTACTCTTGGTCGTTATAGGCGTAAGTAGGACAAAAAGTCAAGGTAAGATATGTTTCACATTTTCAACCCAGCTCCCGGTCTACACACGAAAAATGGTAAACAATTAACTCCTCATACCTTTTAGATTTACTAGTCCAAAGAAATCTCGCTTTTAGAGAGGCTCTGATATTTCAAAATGGTTGCCTAGGGAGGGAGTATTGGAGTACATGGAGTTGCACGAAGCATAAACACAAGGTCGGAACAGCGCTTATTGGACGACTCTTAGGAGAGATTAAAATAGTCCAAATGGTATCCAGGTTGGTTGCCGGGAAAGATTCTTGTCTTGACTGTCGTAATAAAAAGTCCTCGTTCGGTCTCGAGCATCTGTTTGTGCTCTCCGACACTTCCACCGCTGTCGGGCCAAGCTGCGTTTGGCTTCGCAGTGCATCTTGTCTAACCCATTGATCTTAATGGCCCCTCTGTTCGGTTCTTCTGGAGTTGAGATTCGTCGTCAGCATTCTACCAGCCCTCAAATATGACGTAGAATGTGTAAGGAATCTAAAAGGAAAATTGGGTATAGTCATAGTAGATTAATAGTCTTACGAACGGATTGTGAATCATCAGAATTTCTATTGTACACAGTGACCAGATGCGGAAACAAGCCTGCATACAAGAGAGATTAAAAGATACATAATTTCAAGTACTGTATTGGTCACCTGTTACTTTTACGTAGCACGCAGAAATCCACCTCTTAGATAGTTCAACCCATAACCGGGAATTTTCATGCACGGTAAATGCACCTTGCATTTCCACTTCAACATCGGGGGCAACTTAACGCTCAAGCACGCTGCGACCACCGTCAACGGTGACCCTATTCCGCACACGAATGTGGGCATATGCTGTTCCGAGTTGAATGACGCGATGCAAAGTAGACTCGTCTTGAGATTCCGAGTCGGTTGTCGTAACCTGGGTGCTGTCCGCAGAGGACGGATCATCTGGAGTATCTGACCTACTGGAAGAGGTAACACTTGAAGACTTCTCACTCTGCTGGTCGCTGTGCTTTGTGATATCTAACAGGGCTGTTGGACAAAATACCAAAGCCTCCCCAGTTGGCAGACGAACAATCTTGTGAAAGACGGTCGACGAGGCCGCTGTGTCTGGACTAAGTTTCTCAACCCCAGCTCCCGCGATGTGTGATTTGATCGCCTTGAACCAAGCTGGCGACGAGAAGCGATGGATAATTGTCACGTTGCAAAGTTCAAGCAGTGCCGGTGCAAGAGTTGGCTCCTGTGTTGCTATGATCACTCGCGCGGCCAAGTGTCGCTGCTGGCGGACGACAGATAGCAGTGTCTCCGTCAGATCCGCGGCTTCTGGTGAGGCCGAAGTCATAAACTATAATCAAAGCAAGTTTCAGTATGGGAGAATATGGATGACCCAAGAAACGGGAGAAGGTCCACGAACTTTATGCGCCTCATCGAGAGCAATGATGCGACCCGTATCGTGGCGGTTCTTCAAAAACAAGGAAACCGAGATGTTGAAAAGAGCGCACGCATCTTCTTGGCCAACGAACGGGCAGCTCAAATCGATTATTGTCAAAGTGCCCGGAGGAAACTTCCAGACATCATCAGCATCATGTTGCTTTGGCTTATCGGGATTTGCACCAGGCACAGATCCAGGCTCAAAAAACGATTCGAGAACCTCCAAGCGCATATTAAGAGGCATAAGCTGGCCTTTTACGAACTGCTCACGCTGCAGAAGAAGTTTGAATGCGGTGTAGTTGAAACCCGACTTGCCCTGGTTGGCTATGGCCATATCCCGAAGGATCTTCATCACGACCTATATGAGTAGCTTATTAGTACATTGTCAGCATAGATGACATGTGTGTTGACATACCTCGATGTAAAGAGGCTGCTCGGTTCTGTTGCCGATGCTCATCAGGGTCTTCATCATGCCAATGTTGAGGTCCTTCTGGGGCAGATAGAGTGGCTGAACCTTCAGCTTTTTGGAACCGCCTGACAGTGTTTCGTATGCCTTCTTCATGGCAAGGTAATTGGTTGGGGACACCAGAACTCGGACAGGGATATCCGAGGAGTAAAGATACGCCGCCTCGCACAGCTGCGTGCTGGAAAAGGCTGTGAACTTGTCATAGTGAATGACTAGTCCAGCCAGAGGTGACGATAGCTGCCCGGCAGGGGAGGATGCGATCAATGCATTTTCCAGCAGGCAGGACAAGGTATGACTCTTTCCACTTCCTTGGCTGCCGCAGATGAAGGCAGACCAGGGCGCCGACACGTTGGCGTACACAAGATCCTCTTGTTCTGGTTCGGTGTTGGCGGATCGATTGCGCATACCAAGCAGTCCATACTGGGGGTATGTGGGGTCTCCGTTGAGGTTTTCCTCGTTATTCAGGCGCTCGCTATCCAGAGCCTCACAAGCAGAGAGTGAGAATAGAGGTGCGGTTATTAGCTCCTCCTCCAAGCGGGTGTTTGCGTATGTCGATGTTTTGGAAACATCACCTTTGACAAGCTTCATATGTTCGTCGGTCTCCAAGGTATCCCTGCAAAGTTGGATAGATGCCATAATGTCAGGTGGTCACGCAACAAAGCCTCTTGCCGGGGCTCGTGGGGGATCGTGGGAGCTTGCGGTAGAGGATTTTGATGGGAAGCGAGAGATGATAGCGAGATTGAAAAAGAGGACAGGAAACAGTTGACTTTAAATCAAAGTTTTGCAGGCAGATATGGACAAACCATGAAGAGTAAACGGCACTATGGTCAGGTATTCAGGCACTCAGAAATCCAACGTCAAACATCCGTAATGCCTCCCTGCGGTGGATTTCTTCCTTTTATCGCTCTGCCCTATAGGCAAAGGGGCTTTCTTTTTTAAAAGAAATGTATTTATTTCCAAGATCATAACTCTAAGCAGGTAGCTCTACTTCTAAGTCACCCAATTTCTCTAATAGTACAGGGACTATTCGTTACGACCCCTCTAGGGGACAGGAAAGTGAGTGTAAGGGTATGAATTAGAAATCTCCAGGGCTGATATGATGACTACATACCTAAGGCTGCCACATAGGCTTGGCAAAACACGAAATGACATGACACAGAGAGCACGAGGGGTTGATATCATGTTCAGCGGACACCTCCTCAATCAATCATTTTGAGCTCATGGAAGGGAAGAATCTGATCGACCCCATTGATCGGGTGAACAATCAATATGTTCTTTCACTGGCACTGGCCCAGTATATTGCATATCTGGGTCCTCCACCGCTGGAGATGATTCGCAAAAGCCCACTGTTTTCAACCTATTTTGATGAGCAGGGTAGGTTTGCCTTTATCTGTAGGCTGAACGAAGGTTAAGCTTACCCATGTCTCTCTATAGGCAACTGGGCGTCCGAGCCTCCCATACCCAAAACCTCTTTCGAGGACTTCGCCACCACAATCCCACCCGGAGAGGAAAAAGACCAGTTTCTCCGGTTCATACGCAAGATACTAACTTGGGATCCCGAAGTGAGGGCCAACTCGTACGAGCTCATCCAAGACGAGTGGATGATGAGGCCTCCTCCAGAGGAAGATATGATGCTTTTAGGGAACCAAATGAGTTAATGAGACGAGTATGGGGGATGGATGACTACCGATTACTACATATGTATCATATACAGACCACTTGACAGCTCACCTCACTCACAGACGACCCATATCGAAACAGGGCTTTCAGCCGCGCCCCATACTCCCTTAAGACCAGACCTACCGTACATTCTCTTGGAGCCCAGATTGGCTGGTATCCATGTTCGCCTGTGGGGCAAAGCATGTGAAAGCATCTGAGGCAGATAGTGAGCTAGCTCCCCTCTTCTTTCTCTCTTTTCCTTTCCTGTCGTCCATCATTATAGAAATCAAGCCAGTCTCTCTTCTTTGATCCCTTGAGTCTGTAGATAATTTAACAACTTACTTACAACAAAATAGCTAAAGAGCTAGACTAAGAGCTCTTTTGACTCTCGTATCACTATCCTAGTCGTATTACTCCGTACATCCCTACACTGTTACAGCACTAGGGACACTAGGAATCCATACCCTGCTCAATGTCTCAACCCCCCACTACAGTATCTATGATTTGATCACGCATGTGGTTCTGTGGTTGGGAAATTGTTAATATTTTGTTCATATCCGCAGACACAGCCATGAAATAACTGACCAATTCAATTCCTATCGTCCTCCAGGCGATTTCTAACGCCGTACATGCGTTATATTTAAAAAGGAAAGCCCATAAATAGCCGCCTCTGATGCCATCCCGCAGGTAGTCACATCTACAATGCCCCGGGACTTATATAACAATCATGGTCGTAACTAGATTGGCTCGAGGTGGACGATTCGCGGCTATCAGCTGTAGGGGCCATCACACGCTAAATTTGGGGGTTCCCGCTTTTTGACTCTAATACCGCCCCCTAGTCGTATCCTTGTCTATTTTACAAAGAATACAGCACATTCCCCTGCCCAGGTGTCTACGTTGACTATGCGTCATCTCTGCCTAATCCACACCACATAAGTGAGCGGAGGGCTTCTTCTTTTCCCCAGCTCTCCCTCATTTAAAAACATTTCATTTAGCAAGGTTTCGCATAACCACCAACAAAGCAGAATGATATCCACAATACAGAACCCTGGAGCCTCTCTTATCTCCCAGCTAGCGTCTCCGCCAAATATATCTCTACAATTACTCGGAACGCACACGACGGGAGAACAGACCGAAGTTGTCGATTTTGATCTCTGGATTGATTGTTCAAGGAGCGCGAAAATCAAGTCTGGAGAATTCTTGACGGGCAACGAACGTGATCGTCGCTATTGGGACCAGTCCGGTGAATTGAGTGACAGTTTCTCGACAACATCATCTGGATGGCTTCAAGAGTGGCTTGGTGACAGCAACAACGGAAGAAGGTATAGCCCCCAAATTAATTGTCTCTTTCTTGACTATCCTAACTAATATATGTCAAGCTGGACGATCAATAAACTAGTCTCTTTGCGTGATGACGATTCCGCTGCTATAAAAACCCACGCGGAGGGCCTCGCACGCCAAATCGCGTATGGCGGATCCATCATTGTTGAAATTCATACACCATCTCCCGAGGCGGATGTCGCTGAAAACACCGCGGAGGTACGAGCGGAGTGGAGCTTTGGCACTCCCTTCATTTCCACGGATCAATAATGGGACCTGTTGGTGATGAATGCAATGGTCGACCGCAGAAGAGGGTTTATCTCTGTTGATGAGCTACGACCATCACACGGCAGATCACCGCTTCGCAGGACTATGAAATGTAATAACACTTCTAAGGTCGTATCACAGGTTCAAAATGAGGAGGGGTTCGGGCATACAGTACTACGATACTCGAAATGGGGATCTGACATTTAATTAAGAAACATACCAGCCCTATCCTCACTCATTGCCTTTCTGCGGCTAGAATAGACAGTCCTCCACGAAGATTTCACACCAATCTCTTCGATAATATCATCTATTTTAATAATATAACTGATGATGATATGGTTGCGATATACTGCTGGGTTAGAATATCTGGTGGTTGTTGAAAATAGTACACTGAGGGACTATACAGCATGTAAAATAGATGGAGTATCTCTTGCAAAGATAAATGGAACTATGAATATAGTGCCAGAAATGGAATTGTAAAACTGTCTAATCTCTTCATACATAGAAAGAAGCCCATATTTATAGGCTTCTTCTTCTCCCCCTGGAATCTATCAATTCGTAATGGAAACAGAAAGAAGGACGGTGATAGCACTGAATGCAGCCCGGATTGAAATGACTCCCTGTGATACAACAAACTGGCGGTTGTATACAGGAATTAGTGGTGTAGACGGCAAGCTGCATCGACGCGCTAATCTCGATTCCGTAGGACCTCGAGGTTCTTGGCATGGGGGTTGCATAGTGATTCGTAATGCATAAAGCATGCCGAATTAGGGTTAGCGTTGAAAGCTCCATGTTAATTACTGAGAATTAACCTGGATTTTCAACAGTGGTTTCATTATTCAAACATATATCTGTTACTAGGCGTGCTGTTTGCAGTTCAAAGATAAGAACGATGATCTTCGCGATACTCATCCATTTGAATACATAGGCAGTTGTTATAGCGATATAGACCGCGGGGTTTGCGAGGATCTGAGTAAGAGATTTGCGTGTATCATGTGATGGGTTTAGGACGTAAATCTGTATCAATCAGAGCATTGAACTACGTAGGTTTAGGAATGACATTTAGTAAAAATGGATGGATGCTTTTAGTTACCCGACCTATCGCCGAAGCGATATGTAGGCTATTAATCCAATATCAATACGTGTATGTCTATGAAAAGTCTACTGCTACATGAACGGACTAAGATCTAAGGCCTGCCATGATAGGGCTAGTTCCTGTTTTCGCTATGCACCAACTAAAAGCTGTTTAAACCGCCCACTCAGGGTGTCCTTATACTAATGAGATCGTGAATGTTTAAACGCTTCATTTCGCTGTTCAAATGCTTTTTCTTTTTCGTTTTTGTTTTTTAGCTTTTTGTGCACTGCCCTGTCTTTGAGATCTTCACCATCTGAATAGAAGATAAACAGAAAAAAGAATACTGGAAACTGGAAACTGGAAAATATGCAAGGCAAATATGCGATTGATCAAATGCTTGTGGTGAGAATATGTGTCATCGTGATCTCTCGGTGTGGGGCAGAACAAATGTACCTGTCTAGTCAAGGCTCGAATTCTAGTTCTTCCAGGATTTTCTGGATGGGTTTCTTCATGAACTCCCTCAGAACCGGATCTCCACCATAAACAGACTCATGAAGCATATTGGAGGTAATGGTAACCCCCATTTTCATCAACATAGTGATGAATCTGCTCTCTCTCTGAAAGACTGCGTACTGCAGGATGGGCCTAATCTGAGAAATATCAAAACCATGGTCAAGGATCAACTGAACCAGATCCATATCGCCGCCGATGAGCGCAGCGTGGAGTGTATTTGGTGTATGGGCTGACCAGCCAGGGGTGTTGGTCCCTCGAATGGTCATTCCACTCTTGTGTGCTTGAATCAACTTGGGTCGTGGGCTCTCGGGGGTACCTCTGGGCGTAAATCCGGAGCAAAGCGCAACACGAACTCTTCATTGTGGTCATTCACATCGGCGCCCTTTTCGAGTGCATATCTGACGACATTTTCTTTGCAGTGCCAGAGTCCCTCGTACAGGATGATCTGTGCAGCATCTTTAACGGTGAGAACTCGATCGGCACGTTCAAGGAAGGAGAAGAGAGCTTCGAGCACGGGTAAATGACCACGAGCCGCAGCAAGCTTCAGAGGTCGTCGCAGCTTGAAAGCACCGTAGAATTCGGAACCATGACGGCTGGCAAGTAGCAGCTTAACAACGTTCACATGGCCATTTCCTGCGGCCTGTCTCATCGGGGTTTCGTAGTGTTCATCCAACAAGTTGGGATTGACGCCTGCTTTAAGGAAAAGCCTGACACAAGAAATCGAGCCAATTTCGGCTGCTGCAGTCAACGGGTGTGATTTCGGGTGCCGTGGGATGACGCCCAAACGCTCGGGGTCATTGGTATCGCTCAGATGAGACCTGAATCTATCTCGTAGTGCAATCTTGGCGCCAGCCTTCAGGCACTTGCGAATTGTGCCATCGAGGCCTCGCTTGGCTGCCCATAGGATTATATAAGCGTGTTCATGTGCTGTACGGTCCTGGTAGAGTTTGTCTTCGAAAATGAGGGCAAAACGTGGGCTTGTGCAAATCAAGGAATTGCGGTCTCTTAGTGTCTCCAGATTGCTGTCAATCATGAGAATGAGCTCTGTGGGTAGGAGATCAAGCGACATGGTTGTCCTTGCGAGAGGCAATGTCAAAGTACAGAGTGCTGAGGATGTGACAGTCGAAGGAAAGAGGATCGAGAGGAAGTAGTTGTCACAAAAATGAAAATATCACTAGCTGCAATAATAGAGAATGAGCAAGTGAGATATGAGCAGTTGAGGTTGATGAAGAAAGAAGAAAGTTGAGCAGATGAGCAGATGAACAGGTGAGATCCGAGCGAGATAGTAAAGTGAAGAAGAAGATCGGATGAAGGCAGACAATGTATAGCATCGATGTGAAGCAATTGAGGATTGTTCCGATAACCAGGTGGCCTTGTTTGTCAGGCGACTCTCACTTTGTATTCACTTAGCTTGTCCTCGAGCCCTGGAGATTGAATTGGCCTAGATAACCTATAATCTACCTAGAGATCAATTTGCTTTCATTATCGTTATCAATAAATCAATAAATCAATAGAACGATAAAACGATAGAACAATAGAACAATAGAATCTAAGAGATATGTGCTACGAGTCCGCCCAGGTAGTATTCTACATAACTTGGTCCTATATAAATGAGTTACACCTTTTGTTACCAATAGCAATTCAATAAGCCTCTACATGCCTACCTGATGCCCAGGGCCTGAGACCATCAATCTCATCTTTTCAGTTGTCTGCGCTGTGTTTTTGTCTACATTTTCATTCGTCTTTATTGACTATATGAATGTAGACAAAATATCCATATGACGCTTACAGTCTGCCTTGAATGAAAAGAATAGACTTTTAATACAAGGGCTCACTTGTAAGCTAGACATAAAAATTCATGAATGTAGATTATTTTAGTAGTCCTTATCTACTTTCCTCATATTGTGGATTGTTGGAGGGTTCTATCCTCTAGCATATAATTCCTTGCTTGAGAGCTTAATCCGCCAGCGCAATAACCTCAATCTCCAAATCAGCAGGCTTGGGTAGTCCGCTAACTTCAACACTTGTCCTGGCCGGATTATGAGGAAAGTATTGCTTGTAAACCTCATTGAACTCCTCATAGTCCCGATCCAAGTGAACAAAGATAATCTGGCTCCGTTAATATGCCATTCCTGAAAAGCGATATTGGTATAATTATATCCCCTGTTCGATTCACTTACATTGGCCTTGATAACTTGGTCTAGAGAGGACCCGGAAGCTTCCAGGATACTCTTGACATTCTGGATTATCTTGTGTGTCTTCTCGGCGACGGAGGCCTCGACTGGAAGATATTTACCATTACTGTCGGCGGCTACTTGACCTGATACAAAGACGAACCCGTTGCCTTTAGCGGCAGGGGACTGGACAATTTGTTAGGTGAGAAGAAAAGGTTTGAATGTTCTTTGGTATACGTACGTAAGGAACGCGGGATCGGGCTATTGTTGTGCATTAGTTTCGTAATATGTGTGTTGTTGGATGGTAAAAGACTCACGAGGAGCACACCCTTTGCCGCCAAAGTGCGTTGTTATCTTCGAAGACGATGAGTATGGCTTTGCTTGTAGCAAAGGTCCAATCACGTTGCCGCAGCGCCATGGTTGATAGCTGCATGAACGGATTTGAGGAATAACATGGCCAAATTTGAGCATCTTGCTATAGAATGGGATACTGATATGGAGAGATCGAGTAGCTACACCGAGGTAGGCAACCGATATCCTTCATATAGCTTTCATCTATATCCGAGTCGGACCCATGATCCGATATTTTGAGCAATGGCGCATCCGATGGCCGACGCCGGGGCGTGGCCCCGATATCCCCGCATTGTTCGCGATGTTCGGGGGCGGATTGCGGCCTACGCCATTGAACTTGAACTGGTGTTCTATTGTGTTCATTCTCTCCTCGTAGTCGTCTAACCGTAGAATAAAGGTAATAAGTTATATTTGGGTATATTACACAGCTCTATATTCTCAGGGAGTAAAAATCGCATTCAACTGAGCAGTCGATCCAAGCCGTAAGTTCTCACTCGCCCGTTCTAGCTCTCGGGGTATATTCACATCATTGTGGGTCACAAAGTCGCCATGATAGTCAATTAAGGTGGCTTCCACCATTGACCGCAGGTGGGTGTCTGCAGTAACGGCCCATGCTGCTGACAGACACATTATTACGTATCCTGCTCCAACAGGTCTGTACATATTGGACTTCTGGGCATGTACGAGAGTATCTTTAACAAGAGATCTCGATTCTACCATGCAGGTGCAGTCACTGGGATCCAGTGCCTGAAGGATGCAATTGAAAAACATCGTGATTGCGAGACCGATTCCATGGGTGCGGAGATAATGTGCTCGCAAGATCCGGCTCATGAAGGTTTCTGTCATAGTGCTGAGCTGCGTCATTTCAAATTCGACTGTTCGTGCTTTCAATCCACTCAGGATCAATTTGCATTTTTCGTATATTTGTCGGACTTCCATCGTTAAGAGTGTTAAATCTTCGCCGTCACCTATAGCTCGTTTGCCCCGTTTGATTAGGACCGGGGCTCGTGCTAAACATCGCAAAATCTGGCCTTCAGGTTCGTTTTGATCAAAGTCATTCGTGACTAAGGCATCCCACTCCTCGGAGCTCAGGTCGATAGCATCATTGAATAAACCCTCGAATAACTTAGGGGTGTGATCAGCTTGGGTTAGGAGAATGGTGGGAGTTATGGGTGACTTACCACGCTTCCACGTAAAGAGAGGAACAATTTCCGCTCAAAGTCGTCGCGTGGCCCAAAGTTCTTTCGCGCGTGTAGAATGCTGGCGGCCCCTTGCGCATGTCCTGATAGCATTTGCCCGTTATTTCCGATGAATGCTTGGCAGACCAAAAGTATCATCACGGCACATAGTGTACTGGAAGCACTCGCCTGGAGCGGGTCATCTAGATAGACTCTTAGCGTTTTGAGCGCATATGAATACTTGGCTATTGCCTCAGTTGAAACTGGTTGGTGGGTGCAGAAGCCTGCGTGGGCAGTGGTCACAGCGTCAACTGCACGGTCGAGTGCTTCGTTGCTACCGAGTCTTCGGGGTACATCTTCCAGAAAAATGCCGAAAGACCACCACATATTGTACCGGAGGTCAGTGGATCGTTTTATGGCGCCGACAAACGAATTGGTCAATGCTGTCATACTATTGCCAGGACATGCCCGGGGTATTTCAAAACAATGGTTTTCTTCTTCTGTTGATCTTGATCTTGGGGCGAGAGTCATTTGGCCGCTTTGATTTGATTTGGGAGAAAATTGTTGTTGTTTGAACTTGAATCGTTGCTGACCGGACCCCACACAGCTCACTTTCAGACGAAGACATCGTCCACATGCAGGTTTTTTCTCGTCGCACTTGACATCTTATCAGGAATGACACTCTATGCCAAAACTTTAGCGCACGTACCTTTTTCTTCTGCTTGCGACACGCGTCACAGGCCCGACCTGTTGGGACACCCGGCATGGCGGGGTCAAGACCTGAGTGGGGGAAGCGGAGCGTGGATCTCAAAACGGACACTGCAGGCCTTCAGTAACGTGTCTATTTAGTGCGGAGTATGCCGCAGAAGGCTATGAATCATAATATATCGCACTAAAAAAGGAAAAGGGCAAAAAAGGCACCAAACAACTAGGTTGAGGTTATTACGGCGCAGTGTAGTCTAACCGCTTCGGGTCAAATGTGCCGCCCCCCAAGGCTGAGTTGGCCGTCGCTGATTGGCCAGTCCATTGACTATATGGCCAGTGGACCCGTGGACATCAATGGGGCTGAAGTGAACTGCCACAGCTGGGTCTAACCAGATATAGACCTATATAGCGCTTCATCTGTAGATCAGCACGCTGGTGAGAAGGTATTTAAACATGCAATCACCCAGCATTCTCATATCCTATTCAGAATTCATTGGACTTCATCATGACCACAAATAACTCGGATGCAGAGGCAAATCTCTACTTATACGATCCAAGTCATATATTACCAGCTGTCTTTGCCGCTTTGGTCGGCGTGTCTCTATTCCTGCATATTTACCAAAACTAGTAAGTATTTGACATGGAATTTGAGAAAACAACAAGTTTGTTCTAACACCTTCTTCAGCCGCTACCGATTCTGGCGCGTCACCTTTTTCATCTGCTGGGGTGGAGCCCTGTTCACCGCAGGCTGGATTCTCCGCTGCATATCAAGTTACCATCCAGCAAACCTAAACATCTATATCGCATCAACAGTTTTCATCTATGTCGGCCCACCAGTTTACTCAGCCGCCGCGTATAACCTCGTCGGACGCCTCATGAACTACTTACCAATGCACGCGGTCCTCAACCCCAACCGTGTGCTCATCTTCTTCGTCTATGTCGGCGCTGCCGTGGAAGCAATTACAGTCGCAGGAGCAGCCAAGAACGCAGCAGCCGGCTCTGACCTGGACAAGTACAAGGCCGGCGGGACTCTCATCGCTGCGGGGCTCGTTCTCCAAGCAGCGGTCGAATGCTGCGTCATCGGGATCGTTGCAGCGGTCCACACGCGCTGCTCTCGGGCTCGGATGCTCTCGCCAAATGTCCGTATGATCTGCATCACACTCTACGGGACATCGACTCTTGTCTTGTTGCGGTGTATCTTCCGCGCCGCCGAGGCTTTCGAGATGTTTGGTAATCTTGGATGTCGGGAGAACTGCGGGCCAATTCTCAGCAACGAATGGTATCTATACGCATTTGAACTGGGTCCGATGCTGCTCTTTACTTGGTGGCTCAACTTAATGCATCCTGGTCGGCATCTTCCTCGCCAAAAGCTACGCTATCTGTGTCCGGATGGTCGCACGGAGCGAATGGGTCCCGGATGGATTGACCGCCGCTCTCAGTGGGAGACCTTCGCCGATCCGTTGGATTTGAAGGGGGTGTTCAAAGGTGCGCCTTCTCACGAGAAGTATTGGCTGCGACAGGATGAATGGCCTGTGTGCAAGGATGGTAGCTTTGCTATGGGCACTGCTACCAACACGAGAGATGCATCCAAGGACGAAAAGGACCATGTTCCACTTAGTCCTCATGTTTGAGTAATGGGACGTGTGATATGACTCGATGCCTACGTTGTATTTCAAGATTTCTTTTTTTTTTTTCTGCGATGCTTTTCTTTCTGGCCGGAGGTGAAGGACTCCCAAGGTTTTCATAGACTTAGACTTGAACTCATGAATTTGATGTGGAATATTCAGTGAGAAATATATTCGATCGTCATATCTATCATCGTAGCATCATTGCATCCTGTATTTACAACTTGGCTTGTTCGAGCGGGCTAAGCTTCCTCAATGGGGGCCCTCCTCTACTTCCATCGCCTGCCATGGGCCCTTTCGAGTCGCCTTGGGGCAGGTTCATTCTCCACTTCTGGCGCAAAGCTTCGGGTGCTTTGTTCTCAAAGCAGTCCGCGATATATTGGCCCAGGATAGGGAGGAATTTGAATCCACTAAAGTCAGGTTAGTTGGTATAAATCCATAGTACGCATAGTGCTGGTTTCAATCAATACTTACTGTCCAGCTCCACCGGTAGCCATGAACAATCCCTGGAATGTTGGGTGATGGTCGATAATGAAGTCGCCGTTAGGGGTATCCGTGTACCAGCACAGTCGACGGTTCATCCAAGGGCGATCGCCCAGCTTGGGGAAAAACTGACGCAAGCCCTTTCGCAATGATTCATCCGCGTCGTCAGGCAAATATCCAGTAGCCGCATTGCTGCTTTCGAACTTAGGGGATGAGAGCGACTTCTGAACACCATCCACATTGACGGCGATATCGGTTGCATACCCGTAGCCGTGGCGCGCCAACTTGAGAACATTTGTGTCCGGTGTGGGCGGGAATGAGAACACGCCGGAGCTCATGTTGATCATGACCGGGATCTTTCTCATCTCGAGAGCCTCCTCCTCGGTCAACTGAATGAAGCCAACAGGCTGGCCAGAGGAAGACGCCGCATGACCCATGTTCAAAAGACGGTTAGTCCACGCGCCCGTGCTCAAGATCACCTGGGAAGCAAGCAATACCTGTCCTCCGACAAGGTTGACGCCAACAACGCGCGAGCCCGCCCGGCGCAGGGAAACAACAGTACCGCGAGGCCCGGCAATGATCGAAACACCCGCCACGGTACACTTGGAAGCCAGCTTTTGAATGCTGCCTGCGGCATCGGCCCAGCCACCTTTCGGATTGTGATATCCGTTCATGCCGGAAAAATCGGCTTGAACGCTGGGGTAGAGTTTGCGGATATCCATAGCATCGTCGAGATCATCTAATTTGCCTCCTGCCGCCCGAATCACAGCCTTGGATTTCTCCATGTATGCGTTCTTAGGCGTTTCCGAGAACAAGGCGAATCCAGATTCGAAGTATTGATCTTTGTACTCTGTGGTCCAGCCATTGTATGCCTCCCGGGCCATTCGAGAGTAGATTGGGTCCGCATAGTCGGCGCGAATAATGCGCGAGATGTCAACGCTGCTTCCATCTGCTGATGGTGGTACAAAGCGATCGACAACGGTGATATCCGTATATCCGCGCTTGTTGAGTTCAAGGGCGGTTGACAGACCGAAGACGCCGGCGCCCACGATCAGGATTGAGTCTGTCTTAGCTGTGGTCATTTTGAACGACAGATTGATAGCTCGGGGAATATTGTCAAACTGCAATCGGTTGGAGGATTTCCAGGCTTATAAAATGCGGAGGTGTAGGTGAGGAAGGCCGGCTCAATACCGTCTTGGCGTCCGGAAAAGTCGGATCCGGTCCGTGTTCCCCGGATGAGAACGTGAATGAAGTATAGATCATCAATGTCTGAATTCCAACCTCACGTTGGGTTAACGCTTAGCCAATCCTCAAATGCCCTCCCATAATCTTGAAGTTGCAGGAACAACGTATCACCACCGCTAAACTCCATATTAGGATCTCCCGGAAGCCCTGAAAACTCCATCCTCGGTGAGGTCTGACTCGGCGTTTGTATGGGATCCTCAGTCTGCTCAGGTGGATATGTAACACACTCGGAAGCCACTGTCTTGTGGCCTGAGATTCCGGCGGATCCAATCAAAGCAAAATCACGTTCGGTGATAGCGCCAGCCGAAGGGTCCCCTGAGAATCCGACACTGTCTTTCGCAAGTTCCGGGCCGAAGATATCGCTAGCAGGATCTGATATATTGCTTGCATGGGCATATACTAAGATTTTCCACAATAGCTGCAAGTTTACAGACCACTTCTGACGAGAATTTGTTCCTCCTGGGACGATATCGTCTGTCATAAGACCTCCAGGGGAAACGCTGTCCCGGAGTTGTTGGAGTTGTCGGACCTAGAAGTGACATCAGAACCAATACGCCAAAGCAACAGCTGGGTGAAAACTAACCTGGCGATCGATGTGTGGCCACCGATGACCCATGTTGCGTAGGAACCTGAGACATTTCTCAAATCCCGTTTGCGCCTTTCTGTTAAAGGCTTGATCCTCGACAAAACTATGTTGAAGATAGATCGTAGCAACAATTGCCACGCATTGCCCTATGGTCGGGTCAGATACCTCGAATTTCTTCGTCTCAATAAGCTCGAGGAAATGAACAACCCAGCCCGAGTGGAAGGTCAGCTGCTCGAAAGAATTGCGGAGGAATGACTGAGGCATTGTCCTCCGGAAATTCCGAAGTCGCATAGATAACAGAAAAGGATGGTTTACTAAACAAGGCACCGCATGCCAAACCAACTGGAAGAATAGCCATGGGCTCCAGTAGTCACGGTGAGCCTGAAGTTCGGCCGGCGGATGGTCTTGGAAGCGACTTGCATGAAGCCGGAACCTCAGTGGCATGAGACTCTCATGCTCACACTGTCGGAAATTGATCATGGTGTAATCAGAATTCGGAGACCATGGGGGATGAGCGTCAACGCCGACATGGCTAGCGGCATAATTACATGCCATCGCCCACAGCTCGCTTGTGTAAACACTGCTACCATTGATGCCAATATCCGGCTTGGAGTCACCACTAGTACCACGGGCAATCTCTTTGTTGAAAATCATAGCTCCCAATGGAGAGACGGTTTCACCAGGCTCTGCAAGTAAGTCCAAGCTGTTTCCAGGTGGATGTAGGGACCCCTGAAGGTTCTTAAGCATGACGAGGCTTATGTAGCAGAGCTTGCGCTCATCACGCTCGGTTTCCAAATTGCTTAGAGACTCTAGGCCATTTATTCTGAGATTTCTCATCAAATATGTGGCAAGTCTGGTATAAGACCCTGCGCGAACGATATGACCCGCTAGACAAATGAAACACAATGTTAGAAATGAACACAAGGACACGGGTCGGGGCCGCTTTACCTGTGAATTCCAGCATACTTAGAAGACAAAGGGTCTGGATCGTAGATAGCTCCACAGTACCGGATGCCAAACGCATCATGACCATCTGACAGGCCCTTTCTGTTTTTCTCTTGATCTCCAGTTGTAATTCCTGGTCAATGACCCCTGGTCTTTTGAAACGGACCCCAAGAGCTTCAATTGCGAGTAGAAGCTCGGGGTCCCGCTTCCCGAGGGAGGCCAGAGAGGATCTGTGGGGGAATAACAGAAGGGGCTGCGCATTACAAAAGGTCAGATAAAGCTCAGCATCTGGGATCCCAGATGATCCGGTTCTACTTCGTTCGTCAATAAAAATCTCTTGCAAGTAAATCAGTAAATTCCAAGCTGAACCCACATAGAAGAGCTCTCTGGAGGTGGAAGCTCTGCTGTCCGAGAGTTATTCTCAGGGACAACTGGCGAAGAGAGGTGATTTGAGGCAGGTCGCCTGCAACTTCAATCAGCCAAATAGAACAGAACACAGAAAATATTGGAACCCACGTAATGTATTCCATCAACTGCTCAAGCTTTCCCTCAATGCCGGAAATGCGTTGTTCCTATGCCATATTAGAATCTGCTTAGGTTCTAGACATCAATGATAATTACCATCATCTTCTGGGAGTGCCCCGGGCCTTCCTCTCCAGTATCATTGCCTGCATACACGCACTGTTGACCCAGTCGCTCGCAATACGAGCAAGTCGGTTTCTCTCCTGGGCAACGCGACTTTTTCCGGCTGGAGGAATGTCAGCTCCAATTGCCTCTCAGCTTGGGATACTCGAGGTTCAAGCTCACCGACATGGCTCACAAGCCTGACGGGCTCGTTTTGATGGCCTTTCATCTTCAGTCGATGCCATTTTACATATCATGTCATCATAAAAGGTGATGATCCGAGCTGTTCCACGCGGGTAAAACGTCGATCCAAGGCGGGGAGCGGGTGTGGGTCCTAAAAATACATACAAAGTACAATATAGCTCCCTTAGCTTCTCTTCTATATTTCTCTATCTAGCCCCAATGGGCTCTGACTGTAGAAGGAACAACATGAACAACAGTTGAGGCTCAATTAGAATTCGCCGGAAGACCTAATGGCTTGGTTAAAACATCTTCCGGCTCAGTCTCATACAACCACACTAATTTCCTAGGCAAGTGGGACTTTAGGTGCCAAACTTAAATGTCTAATCTATGTTCATTGAAAATGTGATCGGATATACCAGCATAACTTATCCAATTGCAAGATAGCAATTCCTCTTTATCATGAGACTCGAATTTCCGCGATAAAGTGGGCCCTTGATGTAGATTATGCGCAACTGTATACACCGTGTACTATACATAGCATTAGGGTGTATCTGTAACCTAAACAATGTGAGACTGTTCAACTCTACCTTTTTCAAAGCTAATGAAACAAAATGAAACGAAGTGGTAAATTTCCGCATAGTGAGGATCGACGATCATGTGATCTGCCACGGAGCTGACGGCGGCTCCGATTCCCCATGCTTTTGGCCACTCACCTCCACCTCATTCATTTCTGTGACAATCTTCCGATCTTAGCGGGCTTCGCGTTACTCCGAATAAAAACCCTGCAAAGTTCTAAGGGAAACTTTGAAAGTATCGAAAATGAGTGACGCCTACGAACGCGAGCAGTACGTCCCCCTTTCTCTACCTTGTCCCATCGGATGCCTCTACGAAAGGAGTTATGTTTTGATTTTAGTGCTGATACTTTGAAACAGGCAGAATAATGCGCTCCTCAATTCCCTCTCCTCGAAGGTCTCAGCCCTCCGGTCCGTGACGATCGATATCCATGACAATGCGCGGGATCAGGACACTCTCGACCATACGGTACGTCTTGGTTAATCTTTTGCTGGTCCGATAATGATTCAGGACATTTACTTGTCACTTGAAGATACTTATGACTGGCGCCTCCATCGGGTTAACTTGCGACTGACAATCTTGCCTTCTTAGAGCGATGTATTCTCCTCCTTCTCAACGAACCTCAAAGGTAGCGCCACTCGACTCACGCGGATGGCGAAACAAGGCGATTCTGTAGCCGTGCTGAAGATTGCGGGCATGTGTATTGCCGCCGGTGTCGTTCTCTATATCATTCTTGGGTGGATCTTCTGAAGGACGACTTTCGTCTTTTCAACCTGCTTCTTCCTCGGCACCCTTTACCCACGTCCCCCTCGAAATTCGATACCCTTGCTGGACCGAGACTCGTATCGAACATTTATGATCCGATCCTGCCATGTTATTCCAGGGTGCTGGGTTGTCTTCTTCTTATGGACCGCATCCGTGCTTCGTTCGATCTTAATATGGCATGGCACGTTGGTTTGCAGTGTATACTGTGCCCCAGGATTTCCCCGTTGTTCTCTTTCCAGGCTGTGCCGGTTATAGACATTGTGGCCCAAGAGCGTCGGTGATGCGTCTCCTACCACTTCCTTTGGCCCACTCCGGTCATCCTTCGATAGGTTCTCTTGATTGACGTCTTCATGATTTGCAAAACGGCCCAATTGGTTCTGATCTCTTCCTTGGAGTAGCCAGCTCCAACCTCATTGCGACGTGACAATTTTGCTTATTCCCATTTTCCATGTCATTAATACTGTGATTACTCGTGAACATAATACATACTTGGCCCCTTGTCTACTGGGTTGTTCAATCGTGCTCCAGTCTCTACTCGTTTCGTAATTGAAGTAGTACACAATGGATCGGGTGGATATATATACCAAATGGTCAACGTCATTCAGTAACACCCATCGGTTCCTCCCACGGCTATACTGACATCACCCCCAAGTGGTCCATCACCCCGGCGTGATATATTTAGAATTAGGCCTGGAATCTCTACCCCAAAAAAACTCTAATCGTCGATCGTGGGCTTAAGCTCACCTGCACCAAGGTCGCGACTAAAAACACTAACCAAAAACGGAAGGCAGGTGGTATGGATAGGTAGATCCAATGAAAGCCTAATTCAGATCTTGTTCTCACTCCGTTCTTTTCTCGTCATGACTCCTCAAATTAGAAGCAGGACTCGATTGGGAAAGTTTATTTATTATGCTGTACGCTTATTTCTCTTGTGTCGTGTGCCACATTTCCACATGTCGCTGTTACAACGCCGTTTTCGGCGAACACGCCTTGGAATGCCAACCTAAGTCCGGGGTAACCAATCTCATCAAAAATACCAAGTTTTCAGTTAACTCGCAATCGATCAAGGCCACATACCGTATTGGATCTCATTGTCTCCATGGCCACGACCCGATACGGAATGTATCATGCCATCACGGCAACACCAATCATCACCCTTGTAAAATGGGTTCTCGTCGCACGATTCGTCAAATTTAACCGTGGTTAGTGCAGAGATCAAGGAAGAGCCATTCTTCACGTGAACCTGCCACTGATACCACAGTACATCTCGATTCGGAACGTTGTTGGCACCAACAGAAGCTACCTCTCTCTAGCTGCGAGCTCATTCCTGAACTCGTTCCTCGAGATCGGGGGAGCTAGTCCCATGGTGGGCAACAAGGGCTCTTTCTTTGATGATCTACATAGTAAGCAGCACTTCCACATGTCCAGCCTATGCATATATCCTCGCTGCCGAGGTGACATTGCGATTCTGGATTCGAAGCCGGTTGCGCTGGATCCGACAGCCGAGGCTACATACCCATGACGGTATTCAAAGCCTGCTAAACAGAACGGAAAACCATCTCCCCTTGTGAGCTAAGCAGCCGGGCGTAGTCAGGTGTCTCCTTAGCTTCGATCAGCCCTCGTGAGCAGCTGCGACATAGCCGATTATATGAGATTGTCGGTCGTTCTCGGGTGTCCTCTGACAAAATTTTCCAAATTTGACTTGCTATTGCAAATATTTCTTTTTTAGAAATGATCGATGTTCAGAATATAAGAGCATTGAAAGCGCCTTGGCTCTGTTTGTTATTGACATGAAGCCAGATCTATATATTGTATACGATGTACAACGCACGCCAGATCTAGACCACGGGAAAACCCGAACCAAAAAGACCCGAAACAAGACCCTGACTGCCCAAACATGTGGACTGATTCCGGCGTACAATTGGCCCAACCGAGGCCCTAGCGAGCGCGAAATTTATTTCCCGTCTTGGCGGTCGATCCACGCGATCTCTTTTAGTTCCCGCTCTACGGAGTACTACCTAGGTAGACATTGCAACCTTGCCCCTGGCGATCACCGAAAGATATTATATCGGCCTGAGAACTACGGAAAAAAATATTTCTACCACCACTGGGCTTGAGTGGATGCAATGAGTGTTCTCATTAGCCCACTGCTTATCAGGTTCTATAACCGTGTTTTTTTAATGTGTTGTTTCTTTCGGTGTTTTTTTGTTGGGTGGGTCAGATATCGCAAGATATCTGGATCTAACCATTATTATTGGTGCGCGAAGGCGCAAAGACCCTCGAGGTGCTTCTTATCTGGCAATCTCGAAAAATATTAACCGAAGTGATAAGCTGGTTTCCCAGGGCTGAATGAGGCGTTTACTGATTTTTTGTGGTTGGCTACACTTACTCTTTGATGTCTGAAAATGGAAAATGGTTTGATGCGATCAATGTACTCCGTAGATCAAAGTAGGTTCCCAGCGTTTACATGCAGACTGTATGTTGTACAGTGCGTTTAGCGGTGTAACATGGCTGCTGCTAGCAGTACATAGTTTGATAGTAGAAAGGTAAAAATAAAAATAAGAGTGAGTCACTCACGATGACGACATGCCTTTGATAATTACACAATGTACATATGTAGGCATTGGACGGAGTACTTATCTCCTACGCGTAAACAACGAGGTCCACATTATTGACTTTTCTTCGGCATGATGCAATCCGAGTGGGCATGAAGTTCTGGACACTGAAGAGAATTCCATAGTGGAGAGTCTGCAAAAGTTCACCGTCGATGATCTGCTCTGGGTGGGGCCGCAAGAAAATCCTTGAAAATTTGTAGATTGTCGCTCTGACCCTCTTCTTTTAGTGTCTTCTTTAGTGCTTTCTAGACTTCGATGGTCGTAAGTGATTGTGCCTTCCCTCCGTCTCAGGATTCTAGGCCTATCAACCAAAAACAAAATGGCTGTAAGCTACCTTGGAAGGTTGGATGAAAAGATAAGATTAGTGTGGGTCGCACACCGTGGGAATGGATATTTGTTGCCCACACGGTGGCACTGTCAAAAAAAAGATAAAAATAAATAATAAATAATAAATAAAAAAACAAGTTTCAGGCTAAATCATCACACCGAGAAGCCCAGTATAAAAAGACTAAGACACGGCAACTAACAGCGCTCAGACTCGGGTAGCTTAAATCGGCACACAATCGGGATTCCGATCCGGTGAAGCGGAAATGCCCGAGTTCCCATGTTTAGAAGGCATCCCGACTAGGCCCGCGGTCGGCATACACAATCATCGGGAACAAGCCGAGTGCTGGCATGCGACGTATACATATTACCCGAAACAAGTCCGCAGAAGTGGACCACATAAGGCACCATAATCAACAGTTTGTGAGTTGTTTGCCCGGGACCTTATCTATGTTTGGTTTCACCCTTCCAGGGTTGGCTGAAATCCCTCACAATATCTCTGACCCGCTTTGAACCTATCACAACGCCACGGGCATTGACAGCTAGGTGGGTATCATAGGTGGTTCCCGCTCTTACCGCAATGCTCATCAGGGACTCTAGTGATGTAAGTGTTGAGTTACTGTAGGCGGTTAGATCACGGATATTTCCGAATGTTCCCGGTAGGATTAAGATAGGCCAAGCTTGCCAGGTCAAAGTCAAAGGAGATTTCATGCATCGATGTGCATTTGGGATATTCAGGCACGACACATGCAGGAAGACATGGGCCCATTTGGAACTGCATTTGTCAGTGTAGCTGAGCAATGACGGAGTATCGGAGTTCCAACTCTTAGCGTGAACGGGCGCTAGTTGGGTGAAGGGTCAAAAATGAAGGTCCAAGCCCAAGGCATCTGTTTCATTTGAGTGGCGCGATCCAGAGCCTGGTAGATATCGAGCACTACATGTGCCGCGACTGGTTGAATGCACACCTATGTTGTACGTATGGAGGCTTAGCCTTGGTACGGAGTACAGATCTCCTGTTTATCATCAAAGTGGAGTTTAAGTTGACGATCAAGTTCGGAAGTATAAAATATCACTTCATGTCGTGTAACTCCAGCATATGTACGTTGACGTCGTGCATCAGAGATCTTAAAAACCATGCGGGAAGGGTGATCCCGAGGCATGTAACCTACTCCGTACAACATCACATGGCGTGATGGATAAAATGGCTAAATCGACCCTAGAGGCCGAGGTGAGTTGATGAATGATTTCATTCAGGCATGTTATATTATTCAAATTATTCTGGATATAGAATGGCTTGCATTTGATAATAAAGAGACTAAATAACTAGTGACAAACAGTATGTAACTAGTTATTTGAACTCCGTTCTATGTACTCCGTAGGGAGTATAGTATGTAGATGTCTGACATTCATATGATAGCGCTGACGTAAAAGGCCAGGCACTCATTTTGATGTGATTAACCGGCTAAGATGGTCCTAAGGTTCTTAACAAATCTCTCAAATCCTTTAAAATCCGACTGTTTCTCCTATTCTCCTATTCTTATATTTTCTATTCAATATACGCCAAGCCAGCCTTACTTCTCACCCGTGAACCGATTTCTATTTGAGATTAGTCATTTCGCATCTCGCCACAGATTAAAAAATAATAAAAAGAAAAACGAAAAAAAGAAAAAAAGAAAAAGAAATAAAAATCGCCGAAAACGGCACTCCACTGGGGACCCATGAGTCGGACCAGCCTTGCGTATCTGGCCATGTTCCGGTAGATCAGCGATAGAGAAAAAACGGAAAAAATACCGGTACACTTACCAGACTTGATCTCAGTGCTCTTTACTCTTGACTCTTTTCTTTCCTCTTCATATTTTTATTCCCCAACTTCGTTGACATCTCCCATTGCTGCGGCCAAATTCCAAATGGCTCTCAGCTTCTTTAGTGGCGGCGGGAGCGCCAGCAGCGCCAAGTACTTCGACATTAGGTGAGTGGGGGAGACCTGCAGCTCATGTGTGAACTGCATATCTGACTTCATCCAGGTTGAATGATGAGTATATCGTGTTCCGCGGCGGTGAACATGAGGCCGCCAGTGCGCATCTGCGGGGCACTCTGGTCCTCTGTTTGTCCGAGCCGCTCACCATTAAACACCTCCGACTCCAGCTTACAGGCATGTCACGAGTTTGGTATGTGTCGCATTTCCCCAATTCCGAATCAACACCACTAACAAGTCCTTTGTACAGCTGGCACCTTCCCTCCAGTGCAGCCGCCGGTGGCCGTAAGTCATGGCGTGAACGTGTGTTCTACGAGAAAACTTGGAGATTCCGGGACCCGGGCAAAGGAAAAACCGAGATCCTCCCTGCGGGCAACTACGAGTACCCCTTTGATGTGGTGCTTGAGGGCTCCATGCCCGAGAGTGTGGAAGGTCTTGCCGAGACATGGGTGATGTACCGCTTCAAGGCCGAGATTGGCCGCAAGTACGTCAAGGACATTGTTGCGCGCAAACCGCTCAGGATCATACGAACTCTGGATCCCAGTGCTCTGGAACTATCACATGCAATGGTAAGTGGTGGTTATCGGCCTAACTGACCTCATGCATTTTTACTGACAAATCTCCCAGTCTGTGGACAACATCTGGCCCAACAAGATTGAATACTCCATCAGTACTCCGACCAAAGCCATCGTCTTCGGAACCGCCATCCACGTCGATTTCAAATTGATTCCCCTTCTCAAGGGTCTTCGGATCGGTCAAATTACGTCACAGTTGATCGAAAGCCACGACCTTACCCTCAATCCGGAAGACCCCGATTCGATTCGCAACACATACAAGATCACAAGGACGATCTTGACCGACGAGCATGAGTTGGACGAGGACAACGTTGAGATCATCGACGAAACGGCGGAGGGATACCAATGCACTCGTATCTTAGACATGCCGCAGACATTGACCCGCTGTCTGCAGGATACGGACACCAAGGGGATCAAAGTCCGCCACAAGTTGAAGTTCCGTATTCAGCTGCACAACCCCGACGGCCACATCAGTGAGGTGAGTAATAGAAGGACCACGGACCTTTTCTTTGTCAGGCTAACATCTCAATGCAGCTCCGCGCTACGCTTCCAGTTTCGATCTTCATCTCACCACACCTTGCCATCGATGACAACAACAACCTTCTTGGGCAAACCCCTCAATCTACTCGGATTGCCGTCGATGAGTTCGCACACCAGGCGCCTCCCCTTTATGGTGAGCACACCTTCGATCAGCTGTATAGCGAGCTGGATCCCAGCGGCTATCGCACGCCAGGCCCCGGCAGTGGTCCGGGCACGCCATTCACTCCTCTCAGTCGCAACATATCTTCTGAGAACCTCGCCTCTATGAACGCCCTGACCAACACCGATATCTCAGCTTCGGCACTGCATCATCGTCTCATAAACCTTAACGCAAGTCCGCTCCACCATCCCATCAACACTGGTACAGTCACTCCTGGCGAGGGGCTGCATGGATCTCAATCCCCAACAGACGCGCACCCCATTCATCGCCAATTGGGTGTTCCTAATGACTACTTCGGACCGGCTTCCGGATCAAACTCACACAGCCATGGCAGTCCAGAACTCTCCCGTCGGCCATCCGACGAAGTGGAGCCCGAAGTCATTACCTCTGGCATGGCAACTCCCTTCCATCCCCAGTACGACGAGGTGGAGACTCTCAGCCGTGTTCCTAGCTATTCGACTGCAGTGCGCTGCGCCGTGCGTCCACGTGACTCCGGTCTCCCCGATTACAACGCCGTGATCGCTAGCAGCCTTCCCACGCTATCAGTCCCGCAGTCCCCCCAGCAGGCTCATATCCGCAGCGGCCGTGCAAGCGGAGCTGCAACTCCCCTAGAGGTGCAGAATCGTTCCGGCTACTTCAATTCTCGCGGCACCAATGCTGACGATGAGGAACGCAGACTTAGACTTGTGCAAGCTCGCGCCAGAGTATGAGATGTGGTCATGATCCTTCGATCCACGCATGATCCCCCGCCTTCAATTTTCACCAAAAAGTTCTCCTTCGGTACCGGTGCTGGACACTGAGACCCCTTCGCGAACCGCCCTACCTCTTAACCCTTCTTCGGCACTTTTTCCCTCTCATGTCTTTTTCCACGAACCATCATGGCCCGACTCCAGCATTAACTACCCTTTTCGGGCCTCACTCTCAGGCAATCTGGAACTTCTCACGCAGCATCGTTCTGAATTTTTCTACCGTCCACCAGCGGCAACTTCCCACCTCTTCTTATTTCTCTTTGCCTTTCCTTCAATCATCTTTCTTTCCTCTGGCGTTCGATTATAGACGGGCAGGAATATTTTCATAGATGGTTACGGGTGTTTGATTTTCCTTTTGCTTTTTTTTTACCTCACGAATGGAATCCGATATGAACGAGCTGCATGACATTGAAATATGCCCATCAGCAGGAGCTACGCATATGAGCCTTTGACGCATGTACTTAATTATTTTTTGTCGATTTGACCAAACTCTGCAATGCTCAACAGATTTGACATCTTCATTGATGATATCATGGCCCGATTAGGAAACTAACTGTCGATCTTATTAGGTAATCAAAGAATCTGCCTGGCCCGGGCCCCTGCCCAGATGGCGTTCCAAGGTTGGACTCCGCTTCTTCCGGCGTCAAATGGCATTGTTCGTTTTCAACCTTGGAATAGATGCAACATTGTGGAGGGTATACCATGGCACATGGCTTTGGCCATTTTCGGTTACCATTGCTCTGTGTACTATTTATGTTCTTCCTGGGCTCTAGTAGGTAGGTCTGATTAGAGTAGAAGCCTATAGTTGCGGAGCCTTTGATAGCAAACACAACTTGCGGCCTCGAGCATAGTGCAGAGCCGAGGTACTGACTGTTATATTTACATTCAACTTGGGATAATAAGGTTGGAAGTAACCTGAATTCCTAGGTACCTAAGGTATGGATTGGGTGGATACAAAAGCCACAACAGCCCGATGAGCGAGAGCGAGGGGCAAAGTGACCTCATTGGCATTTTGTCGATCGGTTAAGAACACACTCTCCCAGGGCCTCTTATTATTTTTACCTAAAGATAACCTTCGAATATCCCACATCCTGGCAAACTGTTGGTCTATTCACTCTTGTATGTCTGCTCATCCTCAATTATGGATCTCTGCTAACTAGTCCAGCCATAGACTAGCGCTCCCCCACCATCGACCTTGGCCGTACACAGCCACCGATGCAAACATCCCCCCAATTATTCATTTGAGCCACACCATCCCTCTTTAGCCCCGGATTTGGCACGGATAGGATAGCTTCGACATCGATTGTGAATTGTCGATACCCTTGAATTGGATCCCGGACTCACCGATCTACCTTACCCCGCCGTTTCTCCGCTACCATGTCGACGAGCCCCGTGGATGTGAAGCTGCCTCAGCGGTCTGGTACCGTGAACAGCACCCTCACTCGTCGTACTTCCATGAGTGACGATGAGGCTATCCCCGACACTGATAGCAGTGAGGTATGTATCCGTGATGTCCTCGAAGAAAAGGAGTAGCTTGGACTGACAGTTTGCTTGTTTTTAGACTACCAATCTCCTGCTTGAGCGTCTCCGAGCCTGGAAGCATATGTGCGGATATCTCGAGGATTACTTCTCTGCTACAGCCAAAGTGCAGAAGTCCCAGTCCAAGGATTACGAGAAGATCTTGAAGGTCAGTGTTCACTCCTATGAGCTGGTGTAACTGGGACTGACAAAGAATGGGAACAGTCCGTGAACGAACCGCTCAAGGAGGGCCACCACTTCAGTTCCAGCGCAGGCGGCGTGGCTGGTATGTTTGAGAATATCCGCAACAACACCCAGGGCATGGTTACCATGTACCTGGAAGGCGAAAAGAACCTGAAGATGGCCGTGCTCCCCACCCTCGAGCGTCTCCACAAAGAGATCAAGAACAAGTCCAAGGAGCTGAGCGCCGGTGCCACGAAGGGAGCCAAGGCCGTCGAAAAGGCGCGCGGCCTGACCCAGAAGCACATCGAGCTCCTAGGCCAGAACTCCGCTACTTTTGACGCCGCCGCCTCCGGCAAGATCGAGCAGCAGAACGACCCCTACCTCCTCAAGCGCGGTATCAACCACCGCCTTAACAACCAAGTGAACGAGGAGAACAACCACCGCCAAGATATCCTCGCCGTTCAGAACTCCTTCCAGCAGTTCGAAGCACACGTCCTGCAGACCGTGCAAGGCACCCTGGAGCAATTCCACTTGCACATGGGCGGACAACTCGAGCGCCAGCGAGCCATGTACGCCGACATCCTCGGCACCGCGCAGCGTATCCCACCAGACTTCGAATGGATCAACTTCTGCGTGCGCAACGACGCAGCCCTGGTCAACCCAGACTCGCCCCCACGCTCCTTCTCCAGCATCACCTTCCCGAATATGGAGCACCGCTCCACACAGCCGCTGATCGAGGGCTCTCTCGAGCGTCGCTCGCGCGCCCTGATCAAGGGCTACAGCACGGGATACTACGTCGTCACGCCGGCCCACTATCTGCACGAGTTCAAGGACAACGACGACTTCCGCCGCGACCCCTCCCCCGAGCTCTCGCTGTACCTACCGGACTGCGTCGTCGGCGCCATTGACGGCGTAAAGTTCAACGTGAAGGGCAAGGACGTTTCCAGCGGCAAAATCGGTAATGCTTTCCACACAAACACCGAGCTCAGCTTCAAGGCCCACACCCCCAATGACGCGGAGAAGTGGTGGTCCGTTATCAAGGATGCTACCCGCGGTCCGGCGCTGGTTGCTGCTGCTGCTGCGGTGCCGACGCTCGCTTCTCCCACGGCGATGTCACCCGCCGCTATCTCGCCTGCTGGCTCTGCTAGCCCCTCCCGCAGCGTGTCCGGCCAGAACCAGCCGCCGCCGCCCACCTACGCCGAGAAGGAGATGGAGAAGACCCAGGCTTCTCAGGCTACTGCTGCTACCCCCGTTGCTGCTTCCCCTGCTGCTGCTACCCCGACTGTGGGAATCAGCCGCACAGCCAGCACGGCTAGCCACTTCCACACCTCGCCCGGTGGCTCCGCTGTGGAGAAGTCAGAGAAGTCGTGAGATGATGGGTTTTTTTTCGTCGTTCTCGTTTAGGCATATATTTTTTGAGCTCTTTTGGTTCTCTGGACTTGCATTACCCACGCACATACTTGAATAGCGCATGTGCATCTCATCCGTTGATTAGGGTGTAGCGTTCATTCATCCATCCGGAGAGCGAAGCATGCCTTGGTCAACTGGATATATACCTCTTAATGAATTTCTTTTCACATTAAAAATGCAAGAGTCAGATATCAACGCTAATTGGATCGAAGATCCTTGGACTATCAAATACACAAAGCGGGTGGAGTTATGTCGTCAAATCATATCATAGCCTATGCTGGAGATACACACACGGGCATTGGCTAGCTAGGTAATCCCAGCATAAATTGCTGCATACATTTTGAAAATCTTTTCCCAATATCAGAAATCCTCAGGACTCTCCAGATCATCCAGCTTCTCACCGAGGAAGCGTCCTAGCGCGGCGCATTTAGATTCCAACGCAAGCAAGACAGCAGGCGAGGCGGAGAGGTTCAAGCTAGCCAAACGCGCAAGGTCGGCGCTGCGGTCGATCTCAAACTGCGGGTCTTGGTGACCATTGTGAGGCGGGTTCGGAGACGCAACCACGGCAGCCAGTGTGCGCGAGATATCACCCTGTGAGCCCTCAGGCGTAGAAGTTCCATTACCAGCATCAAAGATGCCGTTATCAGCTGCGAGAGAGTCGGCGTTGGTGCCGCCGTTTGGCTCCGGTGCGTCTAGTGTGGATGGGCCGACGGCGGCCACGAGGACTTTATCTGCGATCCGGGTTACCACGGCGACGGAGTCGTCAAGTTCGAAGACGATCGAGCCTACGTCACCTAGTGACATCGACTTGGCAGTCACGTAGGATGAGGGATGGCTGGCTGGGTTGACGCCCGTCAGGTTGCCACTTGAGGCTGTCTTGGCGTAGCATGTGTAAGCGGCACCGTAGGTAGCGCTGAGGTTGCGCAATTGGCGCGAGGAGAGGGAGGAGCCGTAGGCGAAGACGGCGCCATTTGTTGCGAAGACACTATAAAGAGATGCGGTCATTAGGTGGATCTTGCGATGGAAGTGCAGCTGGCATACATGATCGTTGTGATCTCCGGCGGGGACAGGTTGTCTTCCAAGAGGTCGCTTAGCGCCTCCGCGTCCAACATCTTGATATCGGGAAGACCGGGAATCATGGTGTTGGTGTTGATATCGGTGTCCTGGCCTATCGAAGGCGTGTATTCCTCCACCTGGATCTCGGGTTCCTCCTGCAGTGATACACAATCTGCCTCTGCAATGCAATCTATTGGTGGTGTCCACGAGCAGTCTTCCGGGAAAAAGAAGCAGTTGTCGCGATAGTCCTCGTCGTCGTGATCGTATTCGATTGGCTCGTCAGAGTAGTCCAATAAGTTTTGGGCACACTTTGTCTCGTTACGGGCCCAGTAAGGCAGGAAAGTCGGTTCGAGGGGAGGCTGGGAGATAGGTATGGATAGAGTTGTCGAGGAGCAATCGGATATTGAATCAGAGAAGTCGGGAACTGGAGGAGGTTCGCATTCAGCCATCTTCACACCCATGGATACAGATTCGGCACGCAGCGATTACGTGGCGTTTGTTTATTCCCCACAAAAAGGGTAAAATCAATGAACAGAGGGCACGAGGGAAGCAGGTAATGTTCTCATAGCACGGGCTTGGCCAGGTAGGTGACGGGGAATGAGGGGAACACGCAGCGTTTCGGAACCGTTGAGCTCAATGCGCATCCGGGCCTCTGGTCCAAATGGAAAGTCACGATAGTTCCAATCGCGTCCGGTAGTACACAGGAAGAAGCCAGGGAAGCAGAGCTTTATGAGGCCCGGTACGACCAGCAGGTGTCATGAGGTGTGTGAGGCGGCTCCGCAATGGGAGCACGAGCATCCCGATCGGGTAAATATGGACGAAGCGTGCACATGAGCAGAGACTTGATTGGGAGAAGAAGAGGGGGAGGATATGTGAAAACCGAGAGCTAAGCGCGGCAGTATAGGAAAGTCGAAAATTAAAGAAAAGAGACGGGATGCGACACGAAGCCGGTGCGAGAATGGAGGCCAATGGTAGGAAAGGGATCAACCGCGAGCGGGGGAGAGAGTTTGGAGGATCATGCAAGAGGATTTCCACGAACCTGGTCTATGCGAAATGGGTAAACCGGGAAAATCGAGGGATTCGAGGGATTCGAGGGATTCGGGGGGTTTGGGGGGTTTTGGACTTCGGAGGTTGAGTTGGGAGGAGAAGAGGAATTGGAGATCAACATCCCGTTGATGTGGAGTTCCCGCATGACGTTTTAACACCCCGAGGTAGTTAGTTATACAGCTGCATACATATGTACCTAATAGTGTATCCTATGTGTAATATTATTGTCTAATTCGAAATCAGGCAATTTCAACGTTCCTATATTCCAGAATATTCCATCCTTACCTATATTACCTATATCATCAAATGTTTATTTCAACCTATATATATGGGTTCATTGTAGTTCTGTTTCAGATTAACCATACATACTACTATGTAGGCGCAGCCTAGAAGTATTAAGAGCGATAGACTAACTTATAGAATCTAATTGATCTCAGTTCATTACAATATACTCCTAATTCTATACGTTATAAGAGCTATAACTAGTTATTGTACAACGTCATGTGCCCCACACTCTCCTCACGGCTGACAAAAAGCTCTTGAGGTTTTACCCCTCCACCCTCTTCCCCCAATGTTCGCTCGTCTTTTCCCTGGGGTCCTCAAACAAAGATTCTTTGTACCAATCAGTAGGCTCAATTCATATTCAGATGATGGTCCGATTATTGACAAGTTAGCAGGATCCCTAGCAACCATGGCTTCCGATACCTCCACCTATAAGCTCAACCGTTCGTGGACCATACTTCAATCTCTTTCGACACAACCACTAACACAATGAGGACATTATAGACACGATGATCCGGGTCAAAGATCCGCAGCGATCGGTGGATTTTTACAAGTTCCTTGGTCTGAACTTGGTCAACACGATTGACATGCCCGAATGGAAGTTCTGCAACTACTTCCTGGCGTATGATGGCCCCGCCTCTCTCCAGGGTAACCGTCACTGGACCGATCGCAATGCCGTTCTGGAATTGACTCACAACTACGGCACTGAGAACGACCCCAGCTACAGCGTGGTGAACGGAAACACAGAGCCGCACCGGGGCTTCGGTCACATTGCCATCTCGGTTGACAATATTGAAGCCGCCTGCAAGCGCATTGAAGATGCTGGCTACCCCTTCCAGAAAAAATTGACCGAAGGCCGTATGCGACACATCGCCTTCGCCAAGGATCCCGACGGATACTGGGTTGAGATCATTCGTCGCGCCGATGAGGATCTCAGCACCACCACCGACCCGGGTAGCTACCGACTGAATCACACCATGCTGCGCGTGAAGGATGCCGAAGCCAGCCTGAAGTTCTACCAGGAATCCATGGGCATGACTTTGGTCCGCACCATTGAGAACCCAGAGAACAAGTTCAACTTGTATTTCCTGGGGTATCCTGCGTCCAACCCAGAAATTAAGGAGGGCAGCAAGAATGGAGTGGCAGAGTGGGAAGGTCTGCTAGAGTTGACCTGGAACTATGGCACTGAGAAGCAGGAGGGCCCTGTCTACCACAACGGCAACACTGAGCCCCAGGGTTTCGGTCATATCTGTAAGTGATTACACGACTTCTAATCATTTTTTCGGTTGCTAATTTGAATTAGGTATCTCTGTTGACGACCTCCCGGCTGCGTGCGACCGTTTCGAGTCTCTGAAGGTGAACTTTAAGAAGCGCCTGACTGACGGGCGGATGCACAACATCGCATTTATTCTGGATCCCGATGGATATTGGATTGAGGTGGTGCAGAACCAGGGAATCAAGCGCACTGGAGACTGGTAGTACATAGAAATACTGTACAAGCCCCAATACATGTATATACAATGTCCGAATTTGAAAATGCAGTCACTTGACCCGTGGACCAAGGCTTTGCTTATTTCCCCCCACCATTTCATAGGCCAGCTGTGGTGGGTGGACCCTCCCCCGCCCCCAGAACATTTTGATCTCGGAGGAAGACAACCCTTTCGCGATTTATAAATCTCCCTTTTTCACCTAGGCAATGGTTTGACAATGAGAATTTCGAGAATCTCGGCCCTTGACGCCGGATGAATTAATGTGATCTCGCCCATTTCGTCTTATTTGCGGGGATTCATCGCCACACACCACTCGAGCCACAACCCCAGGCTTCAGCATCTGGAAGAATCGTCGAGGACGTGCTCTCAAGTTTATAAACGATGTCGCCTGATCCAGAGAAAACGAAAAAGGCACCCCGTAAACATGTCACCACCGCCTGTGTGCCATGTCGGGAGAGCAAAATCAGGGTATGTGCTCTGAGCTTGGAGGCAAAAAGCTTAAATGGCTTCAAATTATCTAATGTGTTACTTGCTACCAGTGTGATGGAGCTACTCCGCACTGCCAGAATTGTCAGCGCAAGGGGAAAGAATGCAAATACCAACATGGAGATGACAAGCGCAAGTAAGTACGGCCTTATTCACTGTTCAGAAGTGTCCAAGTGACGAAGCAGCTTTTATATGCATACACCACTTAATGTTCAAAGGCTAATATGAACTAGAGTGTCTCTTCGAGCATCAACGGAGCTGTTCTCTGCCCGAATTGACCAACTTTGTCATTTCATCCAGGAGCAGGGGCTGGAGCCACCGCCAATGAATCCAGAGGATGAGGCTGGCATGAACAGGGTTTTAGATACCCTCCAGATCCCGCGTGGATTCCCTCAAGTCTCAGCAGTGGCCGATGAAAAGCGACCATCGGTTGAGCCAACAGCCTCGGGGGGCTCGAGCAAATCTCCCTCCCAAGATCCGCCTACTGTAAATCCCAAGGGACAATCCCCGAGTACCAATTTGGTTGCTTCTGGGGCATCCCCAGCGCAAGATACTGCGTCTAGTGGAAAAGGCCCGTCACCTGAGGGCTGGAATCCCTTTGGAATGGTACCAGGCGCTTCCGACAATCAAAACTTTGTGCATTGGGGCTTCACTTTGCCAACAGCTGAAAGTCTGGACACGATTTACGCCAATCTCAACGGAGGGCCGAGGGCCCCTGCAATGCCTAGAATGCCCGTCAACACCGAATTGAGCCCGGACAGCTACCAGCTTGGCATGGACATGGCCCAACTGCCGGGGGTTTTGCTAGGCCAGCTACCCTATGACGGAGAAAATGACTCGGACAGCGGCGAAGAGGACGAGGCTGAAAATGACGTTATTGAGCAATTGTCGCACCGAATTGGCACTTTGAAAATTGCGGGTGATGGGCATCTGCGATTCTACGGTGCTACGTCCAACCTCAATTTGGTGGACGTGTCTGCGACACAGCAGCGGCAGCGACCAGACGCGCGGACTGTGCGCCACGATGGTCAGGATATTCTGAATCACCTCCGGGTTGGTCAACCTGTTGATCAAGCCCTGGAGGATCATCTTGTGGAGCTATACTTCACCTGGCAAAACCCCAGTACATACATTGTCGACAAAGAGATGTTCATGACGGCGCGAACTAAATGGCGCAACGAATTGGATGATACTCCATTCTATTCGGAGGTTTTAACTAACGCAATGTGAGTTCACCCTCATTTTCCGGTTCTTAAAAGATTTACTGACTTGTTGCAGGTGTGCGATCGGGAGTGCCTTTGAGGCGCGCTATCACCCCACTTTCATCACTTTCCCCAAGTCTCTCTCTGAATTCTTCGCAGACCGTGCTAAGGCCCTTCTCGAAATTGAACTCGATTCTCCTTGTGTTGCTACTGTTCAGGCCCTCGTCATTATGAGCTCCCACGAAGGCGCATCAAATCGCGATGCTCGAGGTTGGCTGTATAGCGGTAAGTATATATCTTGGAGATGGGAAACTATAAACGCTCATTGCCTAATTAATCTATAGGAATGTCTATGCGGCTTGCTTTCGATCTTGGTTTACACTTAGATATGACGGCGTACGTCAACAAGGGCGAAATCACCCAGTTCGAGGCTGATGTACGCCGTGCCACTTTTTGGGGAAGCTATGTCGCAGATCAGTGAGTTTTCGCACCTTTTTTATACTATGCATATCTCTAACTTTACATGTAACTAGTTTCTGGGGCTTCTACTTGGGTCGCCCATTCCGCATGAACGCTGGAGACATAGGTGTTCCAAAACCTGGCTCTGCTCTTTGTCCTGAAAGGGAAGAAAACTGGCATCCATACGGCCATCAAGCTGCTCATGTGCTATCTCAGAACGGCCTGAGGAATCCCATGGAGCTAATATGCAGGCAATTTGTTGTTCTATGGGAGATGATCTCCCCAGTTGGTCATATTTTGTATGTGTCTTTTGCATGTTATTGAGTACAATGCTAACATGCTTTTAGGTATGGATGTTCCGACATCTCTCGGCACGACTTGCAAAGAATCTGCTATCAAGTGACGGAAGATTTGTTCGCCTGGAAAGCAAATCTTCCTTCTAGCCTTCAGATTGATCTGAATGATGATACATCGCCAATATTGCCTCATTTGATGATGCTCCAGTAAGTTTATTCCAGTACAATAGCCACCCGGGATCATACTAACAATCTCTTGCAGCATGCAATACCACCAGATCATCATTTTCTTCCACCGCCCATGGCTCTCGAAAAGCTATATTCAGCCCCGTAGCCCTCGTCAAGGGCCCGGGTATCACCACGCACGGCGCATGTGCGTGGAGTCAGCCACCGCCATCGCACGACTACTCCAACTCTTCGAGAAGCACTACACCTTCCGCCGCATGAACAACCAAGTGGTAGCGATAATCTTCAGTGCAGCGCTCATGCTTCTTTTCGTAACAGTATCGAGCTCCCCAATGAGTCCGGGAAAACAGGGTGACAGCCCGACACACCCCCGGAGCACGGAAATGGTAGCATATCTCAATCTGTGCTTCCGCGCTCTTGATGAACTGGGCCAATCATTCGACAATGCCAAGCGCACCCGCGACTACCTTGTTACCCTCCAACGACGTTGGCAAGCAAACATGCGCCGACCCGGCTCCGCGACGAAACGCCAAAACAGCAGTGCTAACTTGGCGTCGCAGGGCTCACAGAAGCCGTCAATGCAGCATATCCGTGCTGCCAACTCTCAGGGAATAGATGGTTCGCGGAAGAAATCTCGTTTATCTGTTTCAGGGGTACCTCCCAATATGCAGTCAACAGCACCTGTGACGACCAACCAACACTCCCGCCTCTCTCAGCAAACCATGCCTCCTCATCAACAATATCACCAGGAAAGCTCTTATCAACAACAAGCGCCCTTCCCCGTTCCAGTTCCCGATTCCCAGCTAGGTGATCTAGACTGGATCCCCAACTCAGACATGCGTCTTTTGTCCGAGACTCAAAATGGCAACGCACTAAATGGCTTGGGCCAGATTCCTTCTCCTCCCTTCCCCGAGGACCCCAGCATGCTCTCCTCAGACATCGGGGACATTGATGGATGGTGGGCTTCGGAAAACTATACGAGGACCTCAATGCCGCCATGAAATCATAGTTGGGTGACTATTCACATTGTTCTTTGCTTTGTTTCTTTGAATTACCGACAGCATTGTAGAGAGTACACAATCCATCGAGTCTGTCAAATTTGAGCTACCTGGATGAGATAGAGTGAACATCCTATGATCAAATGATATACACCACACCAGGTAGTGGAAGGCGTTCACATAAATGTACCATTATTTCCACATTTCACAACAGGGAGCTTTCTGAATTCTTTCTTATATTCATTGCAATACATTTTAATCTATATCCTCCATTGTTCCTTCGAAGAAGTCCTTAAACCAGTCACCCACTTCCTCTCCTGCATTATTACCAGTACCCTGGACCTGAGATAAAGTAACCCTCCGCTCCCCAACTCCCTTCTCCCTCCCCCAAAAGCAAGCCCGCCGCATAGCAGAGACCATCTCATCAGCCTGTCTAGCAAGAACCGTAGACCCATGACCCCCCTCTCTAGGCTTCTGCTTCATCTCGATCGCAGACGAAGAGAGAGAATCCGAACCTAAATTAACACCATCCTCTCTCGAGAACACCCGGACCCAAGGCAAAGCCATCTCCAACCGCCCAATCCCATCTCCAGGCCCAGACCACGTATCCCCACTAAGCCCATAATCCAGACCATACGGCGGCCAGCGCGAAAGTGCCTTCCGACGCCGGGTAACAGTAGTACCAATACCATCGACGTCGTCGGAATCCATATCCGGATACACATCCCAGCTCGACCCGTCCGATGCTGCGTGTTGCTCCGCGGCTGTCGTGCTCCGCGTCTCCTTCAGCACGGGGACGGGATACTCCGGTCCCGTAAGATACTGCGGGAATGTGCGCGGCACGTCCCGGCCTGCGGAGCGAAGGAACAGGATTGGCGAGGCGAAGGAGTCGAAGCAGCGCTCTGGGGTTGAGAAGAATCTTGAGCGGGCTTGGAGGAGGGGGACTAGGTCTGGCGGTGCTGGGGTCTTTTTTCGTGGTTGGCGCTTGTGTTTGGATGTTTTTGTTGAGCGTGGAATGGTATTCTCACTACCACCTGGTCCTGTTTTGGGGGTTGTGATACTGCTCTCGCGCGTGCAGTACTCGTCCAAGCCGGGCCAGTCGCAAACGGGGTCTATGGCGGCGACAGCTTGGATGGATTGCGCTTCTGTCAGAGCTAGCATGAGAGCTAGAGAGCCTCCGACGTGTGTGCCGAAGATGGCTAGCTGGGATGGTTGGAGGTGGGTTTTGATCCAGTCGAATCCGGCCAGTGTGTCGTGGACTGGGGTTGGGTATTTGTAAGAGGTGAGTTGGGGGTTGCTTGATCCCAGGGTTTGGTCCGGGGCTTCAATTGGCTCTTGTGAAATAGAGCTTTTATCTGAAGATGGGGGAATATGTGTTTGGATCTCCCCGAGCCGGTAGTTGACTGTAACTACCAATGCAGATGCAGTAGATGCTAGGACATGCTGGGGTGAACCTGCTGCAGAGGCCAAGGTGCTGATATCGCCAGTCCTTTGGTGATCAACTTCAAAGTTTTCATGTTTTTGAGGTGCGTTCGTGTCATTTCCCTGAAACAAAGGTCCAGGCGGAAGGTAGAGGATTACATCTGGGCCCTCTGGAGATAGCCCCCTGGTGAGACCGGCTCAACGCGCTCGGTCGCGTAATTCTGGGGATGCAGTTAGCATGTATGACTAGGGTTCATTGGAAAAGTGATCTATTACATGAGAGAGATAGCCCCATTGTTTCCAATAGGAAGGGAAATTGTCTCATCTGTGCAATCGGATGAGACGGTCGAATATCGCGAGCTTTGGAAACACGCGACAGAAATGCGGGTAGCTCCTCTGCTGCGACGCAGTAAAAGGGCTATGCCGCGGGACGAGCAGATAATATTTCGCATAGCACTATTAGAGCATACACTTGATGTTTGATAAAACTTGTCAAGGATCGGGTTGTTGGCCTTGCTATCCGAAAATAGTTGATGCCTGAGTAATCTGGCCATCAATATGTGGGCTGTCAAAATGATATATTGGAAAAGGATCTCAATAATAGAACATAGAACACCCGAATGGCAATGATTCTTGCTCAAGACTGATATGTCTCATCTTGATAAAGTTCATTATAGTCTGGAGTGTTATAGCATTTTATTCTCTGCATCATTCTTCAACCCAACAGCCAAGTACTACGCTCTAATCATGCATGAATGTCAAATTTTTATCGCTCTACAATTTGAATAAAACAAAAATGCCGTATGAGTCGTGCACTAAATAGGCAGCTGACTGCTCCAAGAGTCCCTCCACGAATAAGGATCTCGCTGAGAGGTAGTCGCCGACGCCGCAGGGTCGTCCCGGTCCAGAGGAGCTTCAGTGTCATCCTCAGGCACAGGACGCACAACCTGTAAAGTCAACGTCGGATCCTTGGAGTACACCCGCAGGCCAACAACACAGACAGCATTCCACGGATCAACAGGAGGAACATTATGGTCCATCGATGGAGGGCGATTCTTCACATCCGCCTCGTCAGGAGGCATATCGAGATCACTGTCAAATTCGAACCCTTCTAGTAACTCAAGGTCAGCCGGGTCCAGGGCCTCTGTAGCAAAACGAACGTCTAGACTAGGACGTGGAGAGTCGGCTCCACGTCGCCAGCCACTGCTTGCGTGTCTTGCGTGCAGGCCCTGGCCGCCGTTGACATGGATGATCGGGACGGAACCGTTGACACGGCGGTCCCTGCTTTCGCTTGAGAAGCTTGCAGCGTCGATGGGAGACTCTTCTACTGGTTGCTCGGCCAGAATTTGGCCGGGAACAGAATCACGTTCGGGGTTAGGATCGTAGGAGCTGCCGCTGGGGGTGCAGCTCCCGTGCCTTGCTTCCATGCGCCCTTGTCTGGCATTTAGCTTCTGGTTGCGGATCCAGTCCTTCTGCATCTTTTTCTTAATCTCGTCGCGAAGCTTTCTTCGCTCGGCTGCCTTGAAACGCTGCTGCTCCTGCTTTTCTTGGTCTGTCTCGCCCACTAGTCCCTTTGCGTGTGCAAGGTCGTATGAAAGGCCGACTTGCACCAGTTTCTCTCTTCTCGTGGAGGCAACCTGGCGGACGATTTCCTCGGTAGAGTCTACGTCTTCGTGGCGGAAGGCTGTGATTTTCATCAGGACATGATAGCGACCCGGGTCAAGGTTAATCTCGGCGTTAACAGATCGGCCCATGAAATGGCTGCTATGACTGCGCACGAGATAATCTTGTTCTCCCTGCTTCTGCAAGCGGAACTTGAGGACGAAACTGTACTCGCCGGCTAGTCCTTTGAAATAACGGGTATCAAGCTGAACCTGTCAGCCACTGTACAAGAGCAGGAGGAAATGGCGCAAAACGAACCTGGGATAGGACAATGACTACCGGACCACTCCTAGTCACATCCATCATGAATTTAGTGCTGTGGTAATCAGCGGACCAGGGAACATTCAAGGTAGTCCATTGCTGGGTAATGGTCCATTCAAGTCCAAAAAGGCGAGTCCGGTCGAAGTGTTGGTATTTCCTGAGGAGGTCTTTATAAGAGATCCAGAAGAACTGGGCCAGGTTAGCATATTTAGTGAAAGCGCAATGGGTGAATACGTACACCATCGTTGCCAAATTTATGACCAAGAGTTTTCATCCACTCCGGTGTCCATTCTTTGGATCCATCACCCCAGGCACCGTGCCATTCTTTGCGACCCCATGGGTTCCTAGACGACGTGAGCTTTTCATTCATTTATCTTCGATTAGCACATCCATGCACATACCTCAGTCGCAGTAGCCGATGTCCATCAATCTCCCGGGCTTCCATGATGGAATAGGAGTGGCCCTCCGAGATACCTTTTCGATCCCTTGGTGGACCCCGGTACTTCGGATCTAGCCAGTTTGAAAACAGGCCCGTCCCGCAACCAAACAGGAATTCCTTATTGACCTTCATAAGTTCCTCGGTCCAGAAGCGGTCCTTGTTCAGGATGTTGCTGGATAAGACCTCAGATGTGACGCCTCCGGTGAGATCCTCGATAGCTTCACCAACAAATCCACCCTCGATCGCGGAATAGTCTCCGTGGGCCTTTGCGAAGGCTTTCTCAAGAAGGGGTAGCCAGATCTCATTGTCATCGACGCACTGTGCGAAGTACAGGGCCCGCGAGCCTGTCTGCCAGACTCGCCGGTATTCTTCCTCCGTATCAGTCCGAGTTATGTCGTCCCAGAGGGGTCGCTCTTCCACAGACTCATCATAGTCAGCAGCGCGGAGATATAGCTTGTCATCCACAATGCACTGCTGCCACTCGCCGTCTGAGTATTGAAATCAGCATGATTCCATGTTGATCAGACTCCAAGCACACGCTTACCTCGATGGAAAACAAACCCATAAATCCCGACCTCTTCATTGCGAGCAACACAAATCTTCCGTATCAGCTCCTCCTTGTTGCCCATAGTACAAAGCGCGGCCATGAGCCAGCAGTCCCCATCATATCCCTGGCGCACATCTGACGCGGTAGGCCCATTAACAAAGAACTGCGGATTCTCGAAAATTTCCTACATGAGAATCATTAGCAACCCACAATCCAATCGCCCCATGGCATATCGCTTTCGAACTAACAGTCACTCTCTTCACTCCCCGCGGTCTCATCTCCGTATTCGGTTTATCCAATCCATCGAGATAGTGTCTCCGACCAGACTTCAGGTCTAGCTCGATATCGAAGTGCGGGTCTGAGTATTTCTGATTCACACGCTCGCACTCCTTGACAATACGGTCGACAGATTTTTGACATTCCTGGCGCGCTTGTTCGTACGATTTGACAGCCTCGTGGCCCTGAATACGGCCGCTGGGCACATGCTTAGCCCGCGTCCGTGCATACGGATTGTCCGGTAGCACCGTGTATACTTTGCCCGGGTGCTTGGTGTTGAATTGTTCCCAGAACTGCTTGACGGATTCCTGGGGTGCTTGACAGCGTGGGCGGGGCGGTCGGCTGTTTGAGCGCGAGGAGCCTGGTCCTGCTACGGCATAGCCCATCTCGTCGTCGAACTCCATGGTTTGGGGGTCTCTAGGTTGGTATTCTTTGCTAGGTTGAGGTTGGTAGAGGTTGGTTGAGGTCTCTTTTTTTTTTCAGGGAGAAGCACAGCGGCGGGGATCTTTGGGCGGCTATTTCTCTTATATTCTTATATCGCACCAATCACTCCAAAATGGCGATCACTGATGAAAATAGAAAGACGGGGTTTGCTCTTCTAATAAGAGTTGGGAAGACATTCCCCAATCTCCCCCTCACACGGTCACTCCGGGCCGCGAACATAGCCTCAGCCTTCATTCCCTCGTATTGATTCGCTGGGCTTGGGCCTCTCCATAAAAGCGTTCGTCGTAAGGCTGCAGGTGCATTGGCCTAGGCGGGCGAATGAGCGAATCTGACAACACAGGGTGCTTTCGGCCCCCACCTCGCGTCTCAGCCCCCTTCCTATAACGGCCACGAAACGAATAAGCATGAATTCCGAGTCGTATTTAGACGATCTCGAGTAAGTTGAGAAAGTGAGAAAGCAAGGAATGAAGAAACTAAACTCGGATGAGATGCTCAGCGTGTCTCAGCCCACAGTTCTGTGGGGCGAAGTTCAGCTGACACGGGATGACTCTTGACCTGCTAGTAGTTCATGATCCCTATTAACCTGAGGCTGAAAAAGCTGAATATAATGGTACCGTCACATCATTTTTCATATCTGATTACAGGGTAGAAAGGGTATGTACGCCTGTTATTCAAGACTAAAGCACTTTGTATCCAGTAAGCCCGCCCTCCATATCACTCCCCATTGAACGCCGAAAGAGGAGAAAGAAAACATGCACTGAAACCATTCCCCACAGGGAACAAGATTACACAGAAAATGTGTGCAATCGTCAAACTAGTGTAAGCCGTTACTTGGACCACGTCCGGAGTAGAATGCGGTGCCGTTACGGAAGTACGGGTGGAGGCATGCCTGCTTGGCCGATAGTCGGTGTGCAGGGTCAAACTCGAGCAGAGACTCCAAGAGCTGACATCCAGCTTCCTCCAGTCCGGGAACGATCTCACCATCAGGGCGCTTCCACTTGGGGAATGTGGCTTTATAGTCAGGGAACGAGGTCACACCGGGCCAGATGTCTTCACCAGGCGTACCAAGGATGCTGCAATTTGTTAATACGGTTGAACACAGCACAGAACAGAACATAACTACACTTACCGGAAGATCTTGAAGATCTCGTCAATTTCAGAGTCACCGGGGAACAGAGGCTTGCGTGTACACATCTCTGCGAAAATAGCGCCCACCGACCACATATCAACACCCGTGGAGTACTGACGTCCACCCAGCAGAATCTCTGGAGAACGGTACCACAATGTGACAACCTGTAGATTATGTCAGTAAACGAAGAATTCTATCAATGGAATTGGAAATCCAATGCATACCTCGTGAGTGTAAGTGCGAAGGGGAACACCGAACGCTCTGGCAAGACCGAAATCGGCCAACTTCAGGTTGCCTTCACGGTTAATCAACAAGTTCTGGGGCTTCAAGTCACGGTGCAAAATTCGGTGGCTATGGCAGTATCGGATGCCCTCAACAAGCTGGGCCATGAATTTCTTGACAATTGCATCGCCCAGGCCCAGGGTTGTACCCGCCTTGAATCCATCGGGCAAAGGCTTCCCTCGTCCACCGTCGCTGACAGGCAAAGCCTCCATGTATTTCTTAAGGTCGAGATCGAGGAATTCGAAGACAAGGTACAGCTTGTGGCCATCGGCGTGAACAATGTTCAGCAGCTGGACAATGTTGGGGTCCTGCATCTCCTTAAGGAGGGAGATCTCGCGGATTGCAGTGCTGGGGACGCCCTCATCTTCGGCTTCGAGGCGAATCTTCTTAAGGGCAACGATACGGTTGGGGTGATTGAGTTCACGGGCCTTGTAGACCACACCGTAAGTGCCTACAGAGCATCGACGCGTGAGTTGGGCTGTAGGTAAGAATAGTCGCGTCGAAAGTACATACCTTCGCCAATTTTCTCAATTTTCTGATAGTTATCCATGGTGCCCGACATCCGATCTTTTTCTGCTGCTAATGAGATTAGCAATTTCAAAGCAAAAAAGGCTAGAATAAGGATTTGACACAGAATTGAGGATGTTGCCAAGAAGAATTTGTAGGGGAAGCAAGGAGAGGAGATAGTCACTACTTACATCCGAGGATGTTGATATGTGAGAACAGCTGGAGCAGCACGCTCTCCAAATTCCACCTGGAGATCTAAAAAAGTAATTTGTTGACGAAGTGATTGACGAAAGACAGTATTTCAATTGGTGGGGAGAGAAAGACACAAAACAAACAACCCCCGCGCCATCATAGGGCGGTGAAGCGCGTACCTTTTCTTTCCTAGCTTGACTTTCTCTCTGACTTCATCTCTTCACAATGGCCCAAATTAAGGGTCTGAGTGCTTATGATCGCCCTCCTGATCCAGTGAGACTTTGCTACAAGAAATATTCTAAAATTGCCTTGTCTGAAGTTGACAATGATCCGGGGATCCTCGACCTACAACGGATCGATCCCGACCAACTACTGCCCGACGGAGTGACGATCACGCAGTATATGTCCAGCCAGGATTTGCGATTGGCATTTGATGATTTTATTCGTGGAAGCCATGCTACAACAGAAGAGGATGCTCCTCTGACTGAGGATATTCCAGTATACGCTCATAAATCGATTTCCGGTTAGCATTGTATCGCCTCAATTTGGAACTGACCCAGCAGGACAAAGAGCCATGCCTGACCTCCTGACAGGTCTCCTGATGATTCCCGCCTTGTTCCCTCCTACTATGCAGATCGAACTGCTCTCTCGCCTATTGCACCGAGACTTACCCAACCCCGAGCATCAGACAAACCTACACCTGCACTACGATGTCACATACCCCGAAGAATCAGAAGACACTCGCATGCCCAAGTCGTTCTTCGCAGACGATCCCACTCGCGCTTTCCAGCCCAAGGATCCTCAGGTGCACAAGCCCTTGACGGTTCAACAGCTCTTAGAGAAAAAGCTGCGATGGGTGACATTAGGTGGACAGTACGACTGGACCGCCAAAGTATACCCATCTGGAACCCCGCCAGAGTTCCCGCCGGATATTGCAAAGGTGCTACGTGCGGCCTTCCCAGCAACATCCGCCCAGGCTGCCATTTTGAATTTCTATTCCGCCGGAGATACACTGAGCGTGCACCGGGACGTGAGTGAGGAGTGTGACGTAGGTTTGATCAGTGTTAGTTTTGGATGTGATGGATTGTTCTTGGCTAGCCATGACGATGGAAATGGTTGCGAGATCATTCGGCTTCGCTCAGGCGATACTGTCTATATGAACGGTAAATCGCGGTTCGCCTGGCACGGAGTCCCGAAGATTCTGCCCTCGACCTGCCCGAAATGGCTGGCCGACTGGCCATCATCTGGAGAGTCTGGCCCGGGAATGCCGCCTGGTCCGTACGAGATGTGGAAGGGTTGGATGTCTAGCAAACGGATCAACCTGAACGTTCGACAAATGACGACCACTCAGGCTTCCGAAGAGGAGCAGATCAGTGATCACGTTTGAAAATGGGAAATCCACATGTAACGTCCTCAGATTCTTTCCTTGGTCCGAACGTGGACAACATTCTATCGTGGCCTATTCAAGCACAGAGACAGCTGTGCTGTTCCAATGAGCTTGGTCAAATTCCGCAGTAAGGCATTTCGTCTTTTTGTTGGAGAGTACGGCGTGCGGATTACATTTCCGCGATGTCCACCCCGGTGGAGATAACAAGCAGCCACCCCCCCTAGATGAATCAATTGCACTCAAATAGAGCGAATCATATTCCCATCTCTATAGTACTCCAAATTCAACCCGACGGAATGCGCGGAAGGAGTGGCCGATAAGCTAGCCTCCAATTGTTTCGCGTTCAATGACTCCAATAACCCCGCACTCGTGACATTCTGATAGATAAAATCCAACTGTACGCTTTGCAGCAGTCTCTTACAATATCTCAACGACCATCTCTAATTCACAATGACTAGCACATCCTGGCGACTGAAAGGCGAAGCTAAACGCGAGTCAGTTCTAAATGCCATTCCCGAGAAATGGCGACTGAAAGACCCCGTCCCTCCCGCTATAGAGCTGCGTGATGTTACAGGGAATTATATCCGACAATACTTAACCGAGCGTGAGATTACTATCACAGAGACAGATGCTGTAGACATTGTGGCGCAGACATCTACAGGCCGCTGGTCAGCCCTGGAAGTGACAGAAGCCTTCTGTCACCGGGCTGCACTAGCTCACCAACTCGTACGTTTATACGGTCACAGCGTGTGCACAAGAATGCATCGACCTCAGATACCTAGATATAAGCTAACCATGAACCAAACCCTAGGTCAACTGTCTCCACGAGGTTTTTTTCGAGGCAGCAATCAAAGATGCCAAAGAGCAAGACGAATACTTCGCAAAGCACAAAACCCCGGTAGGACCCCTGCATGGCCTACCAGTGAGCCTAAAAGACCAGTTTCACGTGAGAGGCGTCGAAACCACAATGGGCTACGTAGGCTGGATAAACACCTTCGAAGGCCAACAGAACGACCCGCGCAGCGGCACAGAAGAAAGCGAACTTGTCCGCGAACTACGCAATCTCGGCGCAGTCCTGTACTGCAAGACCAGCGTGCCAATGACCCTAATGTCCGGTGAAACCATAAACAACATCATCGGCTACACTTGGAACCCCAAGAACCGCCTGCTGTCCTGCGGCGGCAGCTCCGGCGGCGAAGGCGCCCTGATTGCGCTCCGCGGCTCGCCTGTTGGCTTCGGTACTGATATCGGAGGTAGTGTGCGAATCCCCGCCGGGTTTAATTTCCTCTATGGGATTCGTCCTTCGGCAGGCAGGATGCCCTACCAAGGCGCTGCGACCTCGTTAGATGGCCAAGGTACTATCTTGTCCGTTATTGGACCGATTGCGCCAACTGCGCGGTCTCTGACGCTCTTGTTTAAGGCTGTTCTTGGACAGGAGCCTTGGCTGTATGATCCGCTTGCGTTGGAGCTGCCGTGGCGGGATGATGTTGTTCGGGAGACCAGGGCGTTGATCGAGAAAGCTCGGGATGGGGTGTCGACGCTTGCGTTCGGCATTATGAAATACGATGGTATGGCACTTGTTCATCCGCCTATCGCGCGGGGGCTTAGGATTGTTGAGAAAACGCTACAGCGCTTGGGTCATCGGGTTGTTGAGTGGAAGCCTCCTTCTCACGGTACTTCCTTTGAACTATTTGTATGTGCCTGTGGGGTTTGGATTTGGGTTGGATTCAGCACGTTGCTAACTTGTGACAGGCTAAAGTGTGCAACATGGATGGGGGCGCGGACTTGAAGTATCATTTAGGTCTATCGGGAGAACCTCGAGCTCCGCAAGTACTCGGTGCTGAAACTAGTGTTCAAATGACAGCGTCTGAGATTGCCGCGCTTAATGTTGCAAAGCGTGAGTATCAGAAACAGTACATGGACTACTGGAGTAGCACGGTCGAGGTGACAGGCACAGGGCGCCCTGTTGATGCGTTTTTTTGTCCATTGGCACCTCATGCGGCAGTTCTTCCCAACGAATTTAAGTCCGTGGGATACACTACATTTGTGAATGTGCTTGACTATACTAGTCTTGCGATTCCAGTCACATTTGCGGATAAGAAGATCGATGTGCGATCGGCTGTTGAGTCTCTGAATGGTTCTGATCACATTCAGTGGGATTGTGGGTTTCCCCCATGCCTTCGCTCTCGTGGTTTCGTGCTGATCGCTGTATAGATGATGCCGAGGCCTATGATGGGGCCCCGGTGGGAGTGCAATTGGTAGGCAGGAGGTTGCAGGAAGAGAAAATGTTGACTCTAGCTGAGTATCTGGGCGAAGAGATTGCTCAAGATGCGGAAGAGAGAGTTTGAGTCCGAAATACTAGACTGTATTCAGCGCGTAGTGCTTTTTGGTTATCGACATCATGTCTCTGTAACAGAGCACCTGGGGTTCAATTACGATTAAAATGAATCATTTGGCTTTCGTATGGGTATTGATGAACGTGGTATTCTCTATTAAGAAGAGCCAGGAGCAGAGGGAGCAGACGAAGCCACCTACTGTCCCAATCCAACGAAGCTCAAGCGCCTTGTCCGGTGCTTTTCTACAAATATTATATTCCAAAACCAATCAGTTCCTGGACGACGACGGAGGAGTCTGTCCCGAGGGTGCAGCAAGATTGGATAAATGGGGCGTGGAAGATCCCCATGGTTTACCAGCTGCCGGAGGCGGAACATGACCAGACTCGGATGAAGGACCAGATGTGTCTTCTGATCCATTCATTAGGCGCTGTCGCTTAGCCGGAGGCAGCCCACCCACCTGGGGCATGCCACTGGGTAGGGTGCCGCTGGGCGGGCTGCGAGGATCTGCAAAGGAGTGGGGTGAAGCGTAGTGGGTAGATGAAGCAGGGGTGGAGGCAGCCCCAACGTCTGGGCTCAACGCCGTAGCAGATTGCAAGGGGCGCAAGCGATTTGGATGAGAGGTGGTGTCTTCGCCTGGGCGTGGAGGCCGGACATCAGGGCTTTGTTGAGACGGAGTCTTGTCTGGATCCCCCAGCTGACTGGGGTTTCCATAACCAACCCCAACCCGGCCCATGCCCTTGTCGTGCATAACAACACGTCTCCATTTGGCGACCACGCTGTCGTAGTCCCATCGTGTAGAGTCGGCACTGATGGGGCTGTCTTGTGCGTCTAACTCCCGCGCTACCTCCCGTGGTAGGGGGAGCGTATCTGGGGGAAACAGTGCGAACTCACGAGGCCACTGGCATGATCCGAGGCGCTCGACCTGTGCACGCAGCTGGTTTGCTTCCTGTTGCACTCGAGCGAGTTGCTCGTCTGAGGACTTGCGCTTCTCTGTTTCCCGCACAAATGCACGTGTGATTTCCAATTGCCACGCGTCGCGACGGGTCTCGTGGGACATAGAATTCCAATGATTGAAGGCCAATTCCAAGTGTCGAAAACTGATATCCTCGTGCTGTTGTGCGCTCCGGTAGATCATGTTCGGATCCACCCCACTATTCCCATGTCTCGTATGAGCCGGAGTAGTGGAGTCTACTGCGAGTTGGTCGGTCCGCCATTGTGCGACCTTGGATCGAAGGGCTTGGCGAATTATCTCGAGGTGCTCGGCGCCGGGAGGTTGGAGGGGAAACGAGGTAGAGGAGGAAAACGGATGTGTCGCAAACAGGCTTGGTGGAGGAGGGAGCAGCTGCAGACATATAGAGGGAAAAGTCTGAGCTTGAAGGTCGAAGTCGAATGGAGACAGCCGAGGCCGAATACGAGAGCTAATGTTTCGTGAGATTGAGGGTTAGAGACAATGGTGGGGATGAGCCGACATACCTCGCAGCTTTGATATTATCAAGCACCTCGCGCAGTGCGAGCTCCAACGCCCGCATCGTATCCGGGTTGCCGGAGCTAGCACCTCTACTCGCATAGTCCGGCAGCTGTATCGACCCTGTCTGAGACTGCGATGGCGCAATGCGAGGCCCATCCGGCACGCGACTGGGGTTGGGAATATCATTGATCACCCCAGTCGCATGCCAGGTGGGTGTGTTGAACATCATGCGCACCGGAGCCTCGCGCGACTTCGATCCCGAGTCTGCGGCTGTAAACGGCTCTGAGGTGCCCTTTTTCTGGCCTTGTTCAGGACTGCCCTCGTTCTTCCCTGTGGATGTTCGTGCCTGGCGCCGAGTGATTCCACTGCGAATTCGTCTGATCTCTTCGACATCGTGGATTCCGTCGGGTTTCTTCTTAAAAGGAATTGGTCGAGGTGACGACCCAATGATGAGGATGTAAACGCCTGTTGGCAGTACTGGCATTTGCGATCCTTTGCAGCAAGACCGGCCTTCGACTCGTCGCCAGCAGCCGAGCCTTCGGGGGTTTCTCTGGAGGTTTCTGTTTCTTCCTTCATGGTCGGGGACGTAAAAAAAATGAGGTGAATGTAATAGGTAGAAAGTCTTGAGCTTAAAGAGTCATGGCATATGATATAATGCGCCCAGAAGCACCAAGTTGGTTTAGGTAAAATTCAACGCGCAAGATGAGAGGGAGGTGGGAAGACGAATGGAAAAATGCCAAGCTTTTTGGGCGCGGAGCTGCGCGATGAGCAATTTGGTGGGCCAAGGCACATGGAGATTTTATCTATGTCGGACTTATTGATCTCTGAGAAATTATATATCGTGTGTAACTGTTTCAATGCTACCTATGCAAGTATTAGGTAGTCTCTGCAATGTAACTAGGCCCCTCGGCCAATGGACTAAGCAGAATCGATGTGATTGCCTAGATGACTAGTTATATATATATGTTACATTGAGCAATTCAAAATCAAGGAAATAGTTCGTTCTTTCGGAGAAAACTGCACTGATCATATACTTGCTATGAGTATAGAGTTCAAATATTCTCTACCTTACCAAGACTCGGACATTATGTTGAGTCAATGACAGACGCGGAGAGAGGAAGTACAACATTTGAGGATGGAGGGTCTAGCACACGATGCACTCATGCGTAGTATGGAAGACATGGTGTAACCACGTTCAAGAACGGTCTCTGCCCTTTCTCGTCTTACGCGCACTGAACCAGCGTTTCATGTTGCGAACACCGTGCAAATACAACCAGGAGAACGCAAAAACAAGAGTAAAGTTGAAGATGATAAACGCCCAGAGAATCCCCTAATAGATGTTAGATTAATCTGACTTCCAAGATTAGCCGAAGGGGTACAAATCATGATACTCACATAATCTCTCCACTTGTGTGAGTAAAACACATTGAGGCTTTTAGCCTGGAATTTGTAACAAAGTTCTAGTTAGCCATACTCCAAGTCTGCGAATCAAGACATCAGAGCAAAGACGATCGTGATGATGCGCAACTCACATATTGATCACCGGTCGAGTATTGACAGAATGCGCAAATCCCATTTCCAGCGTCTCGGACATATCCACCAGATTTTTCGGCATAAGACCCAGCATATTCTTGGCAGTTCATGCCAGCCGGAGGGCTAAAGCGGGATTCTTCACGCTCAATACAGCGTATGGGGACATTATGCATGATGACTCCAAGGAATCCCTCAAGTAGATAGTGGAAAGGAGTAAGCCAGTACATCCACGACTGCCAAAAATGCGGCAACGCGACGTAGGGGACGACAACACCACAGAATGAAGCAATGAAGGTAAAGAAAGTTGGCACGAGCAAGCTTGCAAATAGCTCATTAGGAGCAAGTGCGGCTATGAATTGACCCAGTCCAATATAGTATAGTTCAAAGAGCATCAGCAACATCCACACGTAGCCGGAACTGAACGAGTCGCGTGGAAACCAAGTCCCCCAGTACCTGTTATATTTCTGTCAGAGGCGAGAGATAATATTCCTTCCCAAGAGACACTTACCAGCAGTTAAAGTAAATTGACCCGGCAACAATCGCGTATGGCAGTTCTGGGATAATAGTGCTCGTCACAAAGGCAGCCCAAGAGTAGATCTTGGAGTTAGCTTCGCGAGATTTATAAAGGCCTCGAAAATGGATATATCGCGGTTGGAGTTGCTGTATCAGCGGCGGAGCTATCGTCAATGTCATGAAGACAGAGAAGAGTCGTGATTGCATGTCGATTAAACTATTGCCTAAATGCCAGAATGTGAAGGTGTTGAAAAGGCCAGTGAAAATGTGGAGCATGAATTTACCCTGGGTAATAATTAGTCGAGTCATTCAGGTTGGGTATTTGAAACCTAGTGTCTTACAAGGATGTAGTTCGGGATCCTCCAATAAGCCACGAATGCGCGCTTGGTGACTGCGACTGTTTGAACGTAGAGAGGCATTGCATACTCGCGATCGTCGTTAACCTTCTCATCATTTTGAGCATTGCGACGGGAGGCGATGATACCCTCTAGTTCATCGGAAAACTGCTTGGATTCTGGCGAGTTGGACCACACATTGCCCCAGTCTTGGCCTTTATAATCAGGATTTCCGGCTCCAATGACTTCCAACATATACTAGAGAGATTATCAGTGTGAACCAATACCTCCGGCTTTATGATACACACCTCTGCCGGATTTTCATGTGGTGAGCACTTCCTCCCGCCATTTTGTTCCAAGTAATCAATCAGCGTCTTGGAGTCATTCCCAAGGGGCCCATTGTAAACAACAATTCCACCGCTTTTCAGTAGCAAGAGCTCGTCGAAATTCTCAAACAACACAGCAGAAGGTTGATGGATTGTACAGAGAACGGCTTGTCCGGCATCTGCAAGTCGGCGAAGGAAGCGTACAATGTTAAACGCGGCCAGAGAATCGAGGCCGGACGTGGGCTCGTCCAGGAAAAGCAACAGCTCGGGTTTACTTGCTAGTTCTACTGCAATGGTGAGTCGTTTGCGCTGCTCCTGGTTGAGGCCTGACCCAGCAGATCCAACAGTTGCGCCGGCGATGGACCGCATTTCTAACAAGTCAATGATTGTCTCACAATAATCATATTTTTCTTGTAATGGGACTTCTTTTGGTTGCCGCAAGAGAGCAGAGAACCGAAGAGATTCCCGCACTGTAGCGGTGGGTTCGTGAATGTCCATTTGCTCCGCAAACCCGGTCGCTCTCTGGAAGCTTCTTGGGAGAGGCCTGAAAACATTAGCGTGCATTATTAATTAAATACGTTAAAGAACCCCTACCTTCCATCAACTAGGAAATTTCCTGTGACTACACCAAAGTTGATTCGCTGTGCTAGGGCATTGAGCAAGGTGGTTTTGCTGGTCCGACATTAGCATCAAGAACGGAGTCAAGCTTGTCTTGTGTCTTACCCTGAGCCAGAAGCACCCATCAATGCAGTCAGCCGACCAGGCTTGACATACCCATGAACATTTTCCAATAGTTGTCTGTGTCCACCCTTGTATGGAATGGTGTAGTTGACGTCTTGCCACGTAAAAATTGCGGTGTTTTTAGCTATGTCCTGGACTTTGTCACTGGATATACTGATGTCGCCATCATTTGTGTTGGATGCTACCCCGTCCTTCTCCGCGGATTCCTCATCTTCTCGGGGGCCGGATCGTTTGATGACATCTTGAACTGCTTTTGGGGCTTCACTTCTTTTGAACACCGTGACCGAGCTGCCACCCTTGTTAGGTCTCTGCAACTCCATTCCCAACACTGTCAAACAGACGAAAAAGATGAGCCACCCAACGATTATGCCGAAATTTCGCCACAGATGGGCTCTGCTGTAATTGTACGCTGTTTTAATATACTGGGGACCATGAACAATCAACTGGTCTGGATCACTGCCTTGGATTGCACAGGCTTGGTGACCAGGCACCGCATTTGGCCCATTAGGCACAATGTAGGGTGGTTCACACTTTATCTGAAGATTGTAGAACTCATTGGCCATCAATGCCTCAAATGCGTATTGGACAGGGTTGATCCAAATGAGCCACTTTAACCAGGGGTGCATTTTCCACGGAGGAATGAGATAGCCTGAATTATGTTGGCCATTAAATTCGAGTACTAGGTTTCATTGTAGTGGCTTACCTGTGTACACAATCAATGCCTGTATGGCGACACCAGTGAGACGCGTGGCTATATAGTGTTATTAAAGACCACCTGATGGCGAGCGGTTTGTTTCACTTACCAATATCCAATGAGGCACATAGAGCCCCAAGGGCACGAAAGAATGAGTACATGGTCATTGTGAGAGTGAAAATAATAAGTAGATTTATGAAGAACTGGGAAGGTGTGCGTGCAAGGTTTGCCATGCTAAATAACTGATCAGTTTGATCTATGTAAAGCACCCAATGGGACTCACAAGTATACTATGATATCGAATAGAACGACTTGTATGAACACAAGAGGCACATCAACCACAACCTGGGCAAGCGCATATGCCGCAGGGCGATAGAAGGAGCTAGAGAAAATTAGTCCTGTCATTTTCCCTCTTGTTGTTTACAGTCCTCACAAGCTTTTATGTTTCATCAAGATTGGTCGACCCGCAAATGCTGCTGTCAGTTCTGCCAGAGCAAGCAATGCATTGAAAAGAAGTATAAAGAACATCACACCACCTCTCTGGAAAACACCATTGCTTGAAACGGTGAGCCATACGGAATCTCATCAGATTTGAAGAGGCAATTGCTTACCTTGTATATGGGAGATTGTAAAACAAGCTACCAACAATGAGGGCTTGAAATGTTATCACACTCCACTTTCCAATCAATGACTCTCTGTCACCGAACATTACCAGAAACTGACGATGTGTGAGAATCATAACCTGTTTGTAGAATGAAATCGTATAGTTTTTCCGTTTGGTTTTACTTCTTGCAGCCTCTCTCTCGTGTCTTTGGCATTCGATATCACCCTCAAAGCTTTCAATGTCCGCCAGGTTGCCTTGATAAGTATCACTTTTGCGATACGCAGCTTGGAATTCAGCTGCATTTCGAGGGATTCGGTCCTCCCAGCCATCTTTGACACGTCTTGCATGAGGGTCACTGATAGAAGTCAAAAAGTCGGGGGTTGTCCAACGCGGGGGGCATTCAAAGCCAAGCCGTTCGAAATAGGCCTTTGCATCTTGGCTGGGTCCGAAGAACGAGCATTTTCCATCTTCAATCAGAATCACCTTATCAAAAAGATCAAATAAATTCTCCGAGGCCTGGTAGAGAGCTACCACCGTCGAAACGTTGGCGGTGTTTGTTAGACTTCGTAAGCTTTGAACATACTCCAGCGCAGTGCTAGCGTCCAAGCCCTTGGTAGAGTTGTCCCAGCACTGGGTGCTAGCCTTTGTAACCATGGCTTCAGCAATTGAGGTTCGTTTCTTCTCGCCCCCGGAAACTCCGCGAATGAGTTCGTTGCCAACTCTGGTCCCCAGAGCATGTTCAATCCAGAACAGCTTAGCTATGGCAGACAAGAAGGTCTGCTGATATTCCTTTCGGCTTTCGCCTGGAATTCGTGAGGCTTTGTCGGGAGTTCGCGATTTCAAGGCAAAAAGCAAAGTATCTCGCACAGTTAAAGTTGCATGATGGAGATCATCCTCGGGGTTGTACAAGACTGATAGTCTTAGTTCGGGATCATGATCACACAGACAGGGACATACCTTCAGACCTATACTTCTTTGCCATATTTTCTGAACTGGTGCCGCCATACCGCACATCCCCTTCAATGCTTTCGTAGCCCGCTCGTTGGTTGCCGAGCGCTTTCAAGAAAGTGGAACAGCCAGAGCCAGGGCGGCCCAGAACAAGAAGCATCTCCCCCGGACGAATACAGCCCTAGATATGGGATCAGTTAAGTCGATCCTTGATAGTGAGGAATAGACTTACAGTAAAATCGTCTAAGATAGTTCGTATCGGTGCTTTTCCGGTCCCGGCACCTTTCCTGCCCCGACTGAATAGTTGCTTAATGAGCCGTGGCAACCCGAGAAATATGTCCCCGTTGGTAGGTTGAAGAGCAGCCCCAAGGCCCACGCCCTTCACGGTGAGATTTTTCCAAACAACTCCAACATGGCGTGTTTTCTCTTCTTCGGAATTTGCTTTGCGCTCGGAGCCGAACATCCGTGAGATCAGTCTTTCTATTTGGGCCCACTCCTCTCCTTTTGTATCATGACCGGAGGCATAGCTGCGTCGGCGAGATAGTGTACGTGCGACGCCATCGTCATCTAACCTTAGCTCTGTAGAATCTGCCCGGGAGTCTGATGGTGTAGTGCGTATTGGCGCGTAATGTTCCGTTGGAGGCGAATTGACAGGCGAGGATGGACTCTCAGAGGAAGAAACGGAATTGCGGTGAATGTGTGCTGGGTTTGCAGTTAACGCGGACTCGCTTTCCACAGAATCGTCGTTTGCCATCGTCGTTATTTTCAGGTTGAGCTGAAATCCTTTGGAGTGCAGGAGCTCAACCCAATATCTGTGGTACGCGATTATGAGACAAGGTGATACCGGATGACCATGGGTACATATGTAGCTGAGCGCGACACCTCGGTTAGCGACAAGAAATACAAACAGATTCACTCCGCATGGATGTCAGAATGTCAAAGAAATGAAAAGATAACTCTCCGGGAATGCAGGAATTACGTCAAGCATCATTACGAAAACGAGATCTCGCGAGTCAGAACAGGAACGAACCAAAATATTATCCAGACCTTTTCTTATTTGCTTATTTTGACAGCTGAAGAAGCCTGCAAATAGGCATAACCCTATCTAGTGAGGTCATCGCATCCAGCTCTGTTATAACGTGCTGGTCTTTCTTTCTGGGCCTATCACTTCTACTAAATGTGAACAATTACTTCCAGGGAAATTCTTGCATCTAGTAAAGTTCCAGGCAGCTGCCAAACACGAGCGATGCATAAATCTCCCCGCATTTCGGGTTATTTCCGATCATGAAGTCATCGGTTGTACAACATGAATATGGATGTTATGTGGTTGGTCATTTTGGAGGTCATTCCAAGGTTGGTTCTAAACCTTCTACCCCTACATGGAATGGATTCTTTGGCTTCTTGATTTGAATTATTATCGCTTTACAACAATTGCATTTTCTCATGTCTATTAAATAGAATTACCTTTATTATCTTCTATTGAACAAGAAGCTTCACTCCTATTCGGATTCATTTCTTTTTCTTTGGTTCTGTTTCAGTCAGTCTTTCTTGTTCGCGTAATTCTAAATAAATTGTAATAATATGGAGTGTTTTTGCGACCTAACCCCTACACAATGATATTCAAGTTGGAAGCCCTTTCGATTCACGAAGCTAAGCCCTTCAATTATTAGACTTTTAAGTAAGTCGTGTAAGTTTTATAATTTTAGTGATAAAGTAGTTTATGTTCGGAGACAGAATGAGCAGTGCTGTCAGTATTACCTACCTACCGATATAGGAATATATAAACATCCACGGAAGTGAATCCCGACGACATTTACTACCTCATTTTACTACGGCACAAGAAAACTCTAGTTTTATTAGTCTACCAAACAGTGATGACGAGAGTAGTTTTACTATCATGATCTCGTCATTATGGGAAATGGTAGTTAAGCATGTCAGACAAATGTTGACTACAGGTATCAGCACAACTAGAGCTGGACAAATTGCTAGGAAAGAAAATACCCTACAAAATGCCCTAGTATAATGAGAAATGCAATAGATAAATGGTTAATCAGCGCTCGCTCACTAGAGAGCTTATGGGGGCTCACTGAGTTGAACATTAAGGAAGCATGAACGGGCCATCATTCCCTGATCAGAAATGTGGCAGCACGCCATGATTACAACATACTACTCTCGGCTTCAGTAGTGATAAAGCTCTAGATTCCAGTCCGAGAGTAGGAAAGATGTACCTCTCAGCCTAGAAATAATTTTGGCTTTGCAGTACCTTATTGCAACTCTGACGACAATGAGGCCCCATCGCGCTCACAGATTCCTTCGGAAGGTATTGGAATTCTTCCATTTATGTCCTTCCTCACCCAAACGCGCAGTCAAAGCTCGCAGCAAGTAGGTCTCCAACTTTCTGTAGTACAGACTGCCAAAAAAATTAACGAGTGGTTTAGTGCTAATCTGTGGTGTGTTGCTACCACCACACCTCTTCACGGTTGCGCTGCCCGAGGATGTGGCCAGGCTGAAGTGAATGATCAAGCTGATGATCCTCCTCAGTATACCATTGGCGGTGCCGCTGTTGAAAAGACAATTTCGACCCGCAGCCAGCTGGAGTCTCGCATTGTGAAACTCTGGAAGAAAGTCTGGCTGGGTCTTTATCAGATCGATGACAATGAGGATCGATACCATGTCGAGCGCCTCGAGGCGCTTTCTCTCGGGGCAGGCTTGACTCGCACATACCGACTTGGCGAGCTTCAAGTTCTCAGGCGTCATTTTCTTCGAAGCGAGACTAACAATGGCATTGCTTCGCTGAAGCTTTTCCAGGGTCTGTCTCTTTCGACCCTTCTATCTGTGATCCATATTTTGGAGGCTTATGAAAGTGAAATTGACAACATGAGGCTGCTCTATTCCATCTTGCGAAGTGGTCAGCTTGCACTGCATGAGACTGCCGACCTAGCTCAAACTGCTGTTGTCAGGACTGAGTATATGGCAATTGCGGAGCCGATGGAGAAGCGGATCAGACAGTACGATATTAGAATGAATGTGGTGAATATGAACATCTGCGATGAGGCAATGGGTTTCTATCAGCGACAAAAGGGGGAATATATTTACCACAAGGCATTCCCAGATGCGTGGTAAGAACATGAGCTTTTGGATCCATCCGTGCCCCCTTTCACTGTGACTCGTATTGGGGGACCTTTTGAGTACAATCAGTATGATTTGGATTAATATTGCTTCAATGTCTTGTTTAAGTAAGAATTATAACTCATGGTCTTATTGAAGACTTGTAGAGCCCCGCAAGGCTCAAATCTGCAACGATAAGGCCCTCCAGGCCTGATTGTGTGAGATTTGACAGCGAGTAATTTCATATCTGAGTCTATCCATTTTAGAATTGAGACACCATTGTGGGGTTTCCAAAGCTCTTTTTGGCTGGATTTTGGCTTGAGACACCGGACCTTTTTAGTCCACACCACATCGTCGTCTCTGCTAACAATATGCTTCAGGCGTGCGTTCAACTGCACTTCATTAAGGTTCCCCTATCCCTTGTTTCCAAGGATGTATCCCTACCCCCTTTATCATTTTATTGGACGATTCAGATGAATTTAGCTCAATTAAAGCTGGCGATTCCATGAACCTTAATGTCTCATCAAGCCTTCCCGACCCCATCCAAATGTCAGACTGCCACAACTTTCACCGTTGGTTGGGATGCCTATAAGTAACGGTATGCACACCTATATACATCCATGGATATTAATTTATCTGATTTGAGATACAAGAATAATTTCACGGATCACACCTGAGGTCGATCCGGCCTAACGGTGCCTTTTACTTTTACACTGTCTGTCTCACCCTCGCCCTTTTTACTCTTGCCAGGGTCGTTCACAAATGGGTTCATGGTATCCCCATTATCGAGGCCTTCCTGCTTGCGTGAGATGCTTCCAGTCCCAGCGGGTGGACCCATGCCTCGAGGCTAGTGAAAGTTAGATATGCATTCTCTCAACACCCTGGATCACCAAATGACGATAATGCAAACCAAGCCCTGAAAACAAGATACGAGAAGGAAGAACGAACCACATCATAATTAGAAGAGCCTGAGTTGCCATTCTGTCCTTCGTCCTGGCTGGCCTCTGATCTCTGACTATACTCTTGATTTGCTCCGCGCGGCTCTGTATGAACCTTGACCTCGGTGCTAGGCTTCTTTATATCGCCTCTCTGCCACAGGTAGATTGATATTGGTAAACCTAGACCAATTGATACCAGTAACCTATCGAAAGGAGTTAAGTGTAAGCCACATTTGACTAGTGCAATATATGTCAAAAGGGAGACTAACCACCGGGGGCTCGTTGTCTGGCCACTCGGCCTTTCTGTGGCGAAACATTTTCGACTAGAAGTCAGTCGAGGTGATTGAAGTCCCACAGATGGGCGAATATGCTGTCTCAATGCGGCATGTGGAAATGAATGGCGGATAAATCTCATACTCAATGTTTGATGAGACTCGAAGATAGTAAATAGCTAAATAGGACCCGAAGCGATATATACTAGGAGTAAGAATGAAGGAAATTTGAACTTAGTGAACTAGAGCAGTATATGAGCTCCAAATCTCTGGGCGCTTTCATTGTTACATCATTCTCCTTCTCGGACTTGTTTCCAAACAATTGTACCAAGTTTACCATTACGCTTCCAATGAGAGACATGAAATTGATTATGGCCCCAATTTTAATGATGACGCATCCGGAGAAAGTGCAGGTCCACAGCGTTATAGGTAGCCATCCGATGGTTTCTCGCAACTACTAGTTTCCCGTCATAGGTGAGGGAGGTGAGTTGAACCACTCATAATGAAGTTTACGACTACAATAGTTCACACTCGCTAAATCCGGCAAGGTAAAAAGCAGAGATTTGAATTTTTACCAGAGTCGAGTCTATGTGAGATGAAAGAAAAATAGTTTTTATACACTGATCATTCTCACGAAGCGATCGCCAAGGGCGTTTGCTGCCATAGGATTCCCCGCAGAGACCAGCTCCCGATGTAACGTGGTACCACCGGTCTTCTCACGTACACCTTCAACCATCACTGCACCTTCGTTTCTCAAGGTCGACTCAACTTTCTCGACCTCCCCACCCCATAATGTCTCCATAAGGTTCTCTTCCGCATCGCTCCACGACGTGATTTGGTACCCATTATAAACAAAAGACCCATCTCCTGCCTTCTTGGTACTCAACAAGACATAAGGCCCATGGCAGATCACAGCTGTGGGCTTGTTCTCCTGATGGAAATAACGCAGAATTCGGCCCAGTTCTGCATCCCCTCCCAGATCTTGAAGCGGTGCATGTCCGCCCGGGATGAAGACAGCCGCGAAGGTGGTCAACTCATCGTTGCTGATGGCGCTAAATGGTCGCGGGCTCCTGAACCCGTTCTCACGCTTCATGCGTTCGATAAGATTGTATTCGTGTTGACGTTCGTAGAAATTGCCGGCATTTGCGATGAGTGATTCGCTGCTTGGGTCTGGGGCGGGTTCATGACCTTTGGGTGAGGCGAATGTCACCTCGTGGCCTGCATTGAGTATTTTGTCTAACGGCTTTGCGAGTTCTTGGAGGAAAAACCCCGAAGGCTGTTCGACAACTTTGCCAGCATCGTGTCCGCTGGTCCTTTTGAGAGGGAAGGAGTACGCGTCGCTGAGGATAATGAGAACTTTTTTAGGAGGCATTGTGACGGGATGGGATGTAGGATGGGTCGGGAACTGGGATTGACAAAAATTATCAAAAGCGAAACTTGCAATCTCCGTGGTCTTTTATATTTGGAATACTCCAAAAAACAGAAGTTGCCCTATAATGACATCGGGATGACGTTCCAAATCTCTCCACACACCATAGCCACCACTCAGTACAAGAGGTTGTATGTTGTACTTTGTATGGTTTTCCGTCAGATTGACATATCAAATGGTGATCTTCTCAGACTAGGGTTCTGAAATATGAAATGCAAATGACAGGCGGTCGGTTAGGTAACTGCATGAGCCCTGATTCATCACTTATTGAAGGCATGATTTCCGACACCTAAAGAGAAGCTCATTCCCCTTGCGTATATCGCGTGTATAGTCCAAAAAAGCCGAATTGTCTGAATATGTTGTTCCCAGCTAGGAAGAGACAAAGATATCGACCGGGGACTCGGGATGCCCAGTGAGCATTTGCTGCAGGTGGATGGGCCACCAACTTTGGGAGGGGATCATGGCGGCGTCCTATCAAGGTCCAATCAGTTTGGAAGTATATTACAGGTCGTGGAAGGTTCGCAGATGAGTCGGTGGGGATTATTGCCGCTATTAACCTGTGCTTCCTCCGTGATGGGCACCTCGGCCTCAACCCAGTGCTAGATCGTCTCCATGTGTATTTTGGAAGTACAGGTCCAAGACACCACGGAAAATATGACGAAACGCGCATTGAAATCGAAATTGACTAAAGGTTCAGAGTATGTATAACCTACTTTGAATAATTGAAGTCAAGCACGATGGTATTTGAATTTAATGAGAGAAAACCGTGCCGAAATGCAGAAAGATATGAAACAAAATAATCGTCGACATACTCATTTCCATTTACTGAAATAGCCAATCACAGGCAATGTTTGGCGATCGTGTTGGTAGAGGATAAATGGTGGTGGTTGCTTTATTCGCCTTTCTCCAGGGCTGCTTTCTCGAGTGCTTCTTTCTCCAGCGCTTCCCGTCTTCCAGTGCTCTTTGGATCGTAAAACGGTACCTCTCCAACACCGACAGCGCGGTGGCCAGCCCGTGGACCAAGATCTTCGTAGTCCCAGGTCGCTGCGTGATATGTGGATCGGTTATCCCAGATCGCTATCAATGATGTCAGCTATAAGCAGTCTGCAAACATAAATACTAGACGACATACCGAGATCATTCGGGTTTTGCCAACGCAAGCGCACTTGCAGATCATGATTCTCCATGATCAAGTTTACGAACCAGTCGGTGAGATGTTTGCTCTCCTCGTCGGTCAGTCCGTTGATTTTCTCCACATGAGTGCCCACGGCAAAGACACTCTTCCATCCCGTAACAGGGTTGGTGCGGATTACTGGGTGCTCAGAACGCAGATCTTCCCCGAAATTCTCAGGGGCACCACGAGGGCCCTTGAAAACCTCAAAGCCGCTATCCTTCGCAAATTGGTTGAATTGAGGCTGCGCAAACGCTACAGTCAACCCTTCCAGGAATTTCTGGTAAGGTGGTGAGAGGCGGTCATATAACTCGTATCCCGAAGCCCACAGAGTATCTGGACTTGTGCATGAGCTTTCTAAGATCATAAGATAAAAATTATTAATGCTTACCTCCGCCAGTGCTTGGGAGAACGGTCAAACGTAAGATTGTATAGTCGCTCGGAATGGGTTCAAAAGTAATATCGCTGTGCCACTCCTTTCTGGCAGTCTGGTGGCGGATAACACGGGATTTGTACAGCTTCTTCCCCTCCACTGAGTTGATCACGCTGATCTCATCATCCTTGACACTTATATCTCGGCGTGAGTTGGCAACTGGGTGAATATGCAGCCCGGAACTCTTGGGCTTTCCCGAGAGCTCCCCAAGTCGCTGAGCCAGTTCCTTTTGCAAGTTGTCTGTCAGATTATCCTGCTTGCGGAAGAAGACCACTCCTCGCTGGGCAACTGGAATAGGGTTGTCAGCCAGGAATTATTATCAGAGATGAGGACTGACTGGTAATGGCAAGATCTCGAAGCAATGCATCAGAGTTCGGAGCACACAGGAAGTCCTTCAGGTTTGCGTTGGGATATTCGCGTCCAATGACTGGCGTGACATCAAATGACTCGAAAGCATCCAGAGCACCACTGAGTGTCAAAGGTACTCTTCCAGGGCCTTTTGCAGCAGGGACTGCGGTCTCGGTGCAGACAGAGGGAGGCATAATGGTAGAGAGGAATATACTGGTAATTCAGAGGATTTACAATCTTGAAGTTAAGTTGTAGCTGTTAAAACGGAGCAAAGACGTTCAATTTATACCCTGTTTCCCCAGATCTACCGGCATTTGTATCCCGATAGCTGGCAGGCATCGGCCATATTATCCTAGCCACGTTTGACCGCAACCCCGCTTTGGAAGAATACACATGTTTTGCACATTATCTCTAGGGGCAACCTTATGATGTCAGTTATTGAGGTTGGACAATGATGTTCTGTGCTCTATGAGAAGTGGCTGGGATTCGCAACAAACTACTGTAATATTGGCTCATGAAACCGGCTGTCGTGTGCCGACGTCCCATTGAACGGGATAGCACAATACACGTATTTGTATAGAAGGTCAGAATCTATCTTATCTGCGCTAATGCATTCGCTTTCCATGCCGATGCAATTCATTAACTGAAGCGGACCTGTTACGTTTGTACTAATGCTCCAAGCACGCTATACAGAGCAGGGGGAAATTGTTAGAAGTCTGGGATTGAATACGCCTGAAAGGCAAGATGATGTCTATTTTGGTTGGCATCCATAATTTCCAACTAGCTTAGTAGCACTCCCCTGGGGATAGATAAACGGGTGAATGAAAATGATTTTCAACCCGAGTGCCACCAGAGCCCGATTACCTCGTCATTGTGGGGGGCGGGGGATCATCTACACCGGGTTAGAAAAGGTGGAAAAGGCTAGATAACAAAGCACCTGCCACGGGTTCAGTAGAGGAGGCTCTTCGCCTACTGTGTTTAGTGCCCTGAGGTCGATTACACGAGCCGGGATGTATTGTGATAGGCGGGCGTACTCGACAATGACTCTGGAAATCGAATATCCGCCATTCACACATCAATGGCGGCCCAGAATGATGAGACAATCTTCCCGGCAGGTTGGAACCTAAGAACGTTCCATCGATTCTAATGTTTAGTCCGGTGTAACAGCCTTTGAGTGTTGCCGGCGACTAGTAGAATACCAGGGGATCATCAACATACGATCAGACACCAATGGGCTCGGTGTAGGGGTCAAGTGAATGACACCCGAATATATGTGCATGTCCATATCTAGACAACCGACATCTACCGAAAGAAACCATGTAGTGAAAGACCGAGAGCCCCGGAGTGATTGGCCGGTATGTCAGCACTCTACCGACGCCATGCCGAAAGCCGAAGCCCGCCGAGACAGCAGTCCCGGCTTTCCCAGCACCAAACCAAAAAATGGCGGACAATTACCTGGCGACCAGTCTCTCTGTATATCGAAAATTTCCGCTAAATTATGAACTAACCCGTCAAGGCACATTTGGGATTATACTTGAGGTGCATAAACATAGATAGAAGGCACTGTAAACAACATGTACGAAGGACAAGTAGAACGGCATTGTATAGAGAACTAGGCGCTCTACTCATTTCATCACCCTCGGATATTACCCCATACCGATATCATCTAATCGCTCTGTAAAGTTCAGTAATTGGGGGGATTTTGGTCCGACGCCGGGGTTTATTGTAAGTACACTATAGATGACAAATTCAGAAGAATGGACTATAAAACCTTGGAAGACAGCACATAAGACTCTACTTTCCGTGATCAACAACCTAGGAACCGAGAAAATGTCCAAGGGATTAATCTTCATAACGGGGGCCTCTGGCTTTATTGGCAGCGCCACTGCCGTGGAAGCTCTAAAGGCTGGATATCAACTACGAGTTTGTCTGCGTAGGCCATCGGACCAACTGCAGACCTTGTTATCAAAGTACAGCAAGCAGGTCGAATTTGTCGTCATTCCAGATCTTACGGATGAAACGGCACTCAGTGACAAGCTGGACGGTGTGGACTTTGTGCTCCACCTTGCATCCCCCATTCCTCATGGCACCGATAAGGAAACGTACTTCACTCCAGCGGTGAAAGGGACCACTACCTTACTGAAAGCGGCAACCAAGGTACCGAGCATCAAGAAGGTCGTGGTTACCTCATCTATGGCTGCTTTGGTACCGTTGGCTGGTATTCCAGATGGTGGAGTCATCCAAGGTAACCATTAGTCTTTCTTTCATTTCATTTCCATATCGGCATCGTATTGACACCTCTTTCAGAGAACAATAACTGGGACTTCGCAGTTGATGAAAATGGAAGTTTCGAGGATCCTACGAACCCGGCTGCAACACCCATGATACTATATATGGCTTCTAAGTTGCTTGCAAACACGGCAACCTGGGACTTTTGGAAAACGGTCAAGCCGCAGTACGCCTTGGTCACGCTACACCCAGCATTTGTGTATGGCCACAACTTTATGCAGACATCCGCCGACGGAATCAGGGGAGGGTCCAACGGGGCTCTATGGGGGTTTATTATGGAAGGCAACCCGACGGGATTTTTGACGGCAGTGCATGTTCAGGATGTAGCCGAGGCGCATATCAGAGCGCTGGATCCGAAGATAGGGGATGGCTCCAAGTATTTGCTGGCTGGAAAAAGTATTACCGGGCCAGAAGTTGCGCAGTTTGTACAAAGGGTCTACCCAGATGCTGGAGCAGCTATCACCGAAGATGCCCAAGGTGTGTCGAACTTAGTCAATACGACCAAAGCCGAGACAGAGCTTGGGATTAAATGGAGGTCATTTGAAGCTATGGTGCAGGAGGTGATAGATCAACAGCTTGGCTTTCGCAAGAATGCATCTGGCTAGATGTTGTCGAGCAAGGTGGACCCCTATGTATGTAATTCTGGGTTTACGGTGGACTCCGGTATTTTAACCCTGAGACTCCCCTACGTCACCGGGGACAATTCAACATGTCCTCGGATGCACAGGTCATTAATAATCTTTTCTTCAATCAATCAATTATCCCATGTTGTGGGATCCTCCCGATCTCATTTGTCGCTATGTATACCCTCCAATACTCCCTGACCTTGCGTTGATAGGTGCTAATAATAGGGCCCAACAAAATCAAGGGTAATTCGAGGATCAAATTGAATTTAATTTAAATTTTAAGTATGGCACACATGTCTATATGTAAATGTTGTGATATAAGGCTTGTTCGACTAGATGCGAAGCTGCAATATCGAAATGAATTGCACGGTTCTCTATACATGAATCAAGTTAATTGAAAATCAACTTAGATACATGTATGTACATAGCCTCATGTTTCCCTGAGATAATGACACGATCTACCAAGCTATGACTGTCAACGTTCAAAGCGTGGCCGCGCACCGGACAGTGGTAGACCGAGTCAGGGCTGTGGCTAAAATGCGCTCAAGTGAGGGATGGCGAGATGGGGGGTAATATTTTCTCTCCAATCGTACCCGGCAGCGTCTTCTGCTCGGTCAACTCTTCGCCTCTCCATGGCTGTGGACTCTACTTGGGCAACCATACGACGTTACTCTCTGCCACAGTAACAGCTTTTCTCTACATAGTAGGAAATAGTTGGACGGGTTCCTCGGCAAAGGATTAGGAGTTAATTCATCAAGCACAACTTGGTCCTCGGTAGTCGGCAGGTTTACAGAAAGCCTATGAGCCGCTAGAGAACCGTAAACTCCGCTCTTCAGTACACCCAGAGTCTTAGACTATTTCAACGGACACACTGCTTTCAGACGGCTTCCCCAAACTTTTTGAGGAGTTACCCCGCCTCGCTTTCCCGGATTGCCGGCATTTTATAAACCTCATTGAATCCCAAATCGGAAGTCTTCGCCATCGCCTCCTACTTCAAAAAGCAAACTCCAAATCTGCAGAGCCAAAAGCGACTAGGTGCCTGTGCTGATAGATACAGATAAAAACCTGGTTCCTTTACGCGAGAAATATGCCTATCAAAGGCATAGAATCGGAGAAAGTTGAAGAATTCATTGAGGATATTGATGGTGCCCTTGCTGAGCAGGGAGTTGCGATCCCAACCGATTCCAAAAATGTCGAAGAGTTCACCGAGGACGAACAGAAGAGGATCATTCATAAGGTCGACCGTCGACTTGTGACTGGGTTAGGGCTTCTCATGGGCATGTGTCTTATGGACAGAACCAACCTTGGCTCAACTTCCATTGCTGGGTATGCACCTTTTATTTGTATACTATTCCTCAGAGCATAGAATGGATCGACTGATAATGAATCCACAGAATGTCCGAGGACCTTGGTCTAAAGAGCGGCTCAAAATATGTACGTTAGTCTTATTCCTTCTGTGGCCGTATTCTGATAGGGTTGCAGTCACTTGTGCTTTTGATATTTTTTATACCTTATGTGCTGGTGCAATTGCCGGTTAATGCCATTGCGCAAAATATCAGCCCTAGAAATTTCTCCTGTGGCGTCACACTGTGCTGGGGTGTCCTGATGGTGGTAAGATATCACACACGTTTCTCCTCCGTCGCTAACTGGAAAAGGGGGCGGCATTCGTCGACAAATGGTGGCACCTCTTGATTATTCGGGCCTTACTCGGGGCTTTTGAATCGAGTCTGTTTGCAGCACTCCTTCCTCTGTTATCTTCTTGGTATACCCGATACGATGTGCATAAGCGGTTCTCGATCAGCTTTTTCATAAGCTGTCTGATAGCCGCCCTCGGACCAGTTCTGGCTTGTGGCTTCATGCAAATGGATGGGTTGAGTGGCCTTGCTGGCTGGAGATACATATTTTTAATGGAAGGGGTCCTCAATTTTGCTGCTGCCATCATCGGTTGGCTATTGCTTGTTGAGTATCCCCTAGGCTCTCACAAATGCTGGAAGTTTTTGACAGAGAAAGAGGAGGCATTCATCATCCGCCACATAGATGCTGACCGAGCGGATGCTGCTGAACAAATCAAGTTTAACATTCGTGATTTCTTACGTCCCGCCAAAGATTGGAAAGTCTTTACTTACCCTCTTATGTTTCTGTGGGTTGTTTTCTTTCTGTACTATGACTGACATGTTCCCTGCTGACTGTGAAATCAACAGACTGTCGACTTGCGTTTCTTACTCCATTGCATTTTTCTTGCCTATTATTCTTGAATCTAAATTGAAGTATGGAGTGATCGCGGCACAAGGATTGTCCACTCCCCCATATGTCGTGGCAGGTATCTGGATGTACTTTACTGCCTGGCTCGGCGACAAATACCACCTCCGTGGACCCCTCGTTATATGTAATTGTCTTATGTCCATTGTTGGTCTGTCCCTTCTTGGCTGGGTTGAATCTCCAGGAGTGCAATACTTTGGGGTGATTCTTGTCACTGCAGGTAGCAACGCAAATGTTCCATCGAACTTGGCCTGGCAGGCCAATAATATCCGCGGGAAATGGAAACGCTCATTTTGCAACGCTTTGCTAATCATGGGTGGTGGAATTGGTGGGATCGTCGGTTCTTTGGTATTTCGTTCCCAGGACGCGCCTACGTATCGGCCTGGAATTGAAGCATCTATTGTGTAAGTGCTCCCTTGACCTCTTCGATGCTTTCATTTGAATATTAACTGTTATTTTCTCGCCGCTTAGGGCAAGTTTCATTACCACCGCCATTGCAATAGTTCTGATGATACGAATGCATGCTCTTAATAAGATGGCCGCCACTGGAGCTATCTTTCTGGAAGAGCTACCTGGATTTAAATACACGCTGTGAAGTGAAAACAAAAAAGGAAAGTGTGGTTTTCATCAGACCCATTATTCAGAATAGCAGCGTTTTTGCCAACTGACGGCCGTGAAAGTCATCTACTCAAAGTTGCGCTCAATTCCGAGAAAGCCATTGGCAACTGCCGAGTGACATGTATCAAGTCAGAGTTTCTCACAATTTGATGAGAACGTTAACTGTCTTCATGAATACTACCACATTTTCAAATATCTTGTTTGAAATCTCCCCTTGAACCCGAAGTTCACGGGGTTGTTTTTATCCATAAGTTTATGAGGTTGTTTCGAATACACATAGAGTAAAACATCGAACGAAGTAATATAAAACAGTCATGACACAGGACGCACCTGTGAAGTATCTACTTCTCCTTTACGCCGTGCAGGCTACTCCTGTGAAAAGCTGAAGAAGGAATATTGCTTCAGTCATTCACAATCACTACGTGCCGAGTCCGTCGTCCACGCAAGCCTTAGTCATAGGTATTTTACACAATAGACCTATCTACACCTCCACCGAAATGTTATGACCCACGGAATGCGCTTTTATAATCGAAGAAAATTACAGTTAAACACTGGACAAGACTCATCACATCATGAATCGACCCTTCCAACTACTAATCGGGCACCTTCACCAGCGACAGCTCTCTTCTGATGTTTTCTGTCCACCACTCTGAACTAGTAAATATTTCCAAGATTTCTTCTGCTCAAATAATACGTCATTTGAGGGCTTACCGCGCATGGCGGCGAGTCACCGGGACTAGTACTATCGAGCATTCCCATTGGTTCGGTAGGGGTAGGGGTGAGCCGGCAGACGTCCTCAAAGGGGTAGGTTTTCGGCGAGCGGGTGTGCCGTGCCGGCGTTCCACTGTTACCATACTCTGCCTTCACATCTCTTTGTCGTAGATTCTTTTTCGGCCCATGTTGCAGAATAGCCTGCGACTGAAATGACCATGAGTTTGGATTCCGTTCTGCTCAGGCATTTTAAGCCGTTACCTCCCACTTCCTCTATTACCTCCATCGCTGCCTACTATTGATTGATGTTGAAAACTCAATATGGCCCATTCTCCCATGTTCCACCAGGTCCCCTCGATAGTCCAAAAAGGTCAACATGTTACAGGCCAGAAAGAGATGCCAACAGTAGAAATCCCAGAAACTGTCGAGAGATCGAAACACGATGTCGGTTGGCGAAAGGTTGTCCGGAATTTTACGCCAGCGTGAGTAGCAACGGAGGATGTTTTTAGAATCAGATACTGACTGAAACACAAGCTGGTTCTCTGTGAATATGGGAACAGGAATCGTGTCAATTATCCTCAACACCCTTCCTTACAATGGGCAGTGGCTTTACTACATCTCCATCATCATTTTCATCTTGAACGTGGCGTATTTCACAGTCTTTCTGGCCATTACTCTCCTGCGCTACATCTTGTATCCGGAAATTTTCAAGGTTATGGTCACTCATCCAGTTCAGTCACTCTTTCTAGGTACGTTCCCAATGGGGCTTGCCACAATAATCAATATGTTCTGCTTTGTCTGTGTACCGCATTGGGGCGAGGGTGCAGCCTATTTTATTTGGGCAGTGTGGGTTTTTGATGCGGTGGTGTCGGTCCTGGTTGCCATTGGAATACCGTTTCTACTGTATTAGTCTCTCCCTTTTTGAATTCACTTCTCCGTTAACACCAATTGACAGAACAACGAGAGAGAATGGGCTCGTCCTTTCCTCCATGACTGCTGCTTGGCTTCTGCCAATTGTCTCGTGTGTTGTCGCGGCGGCGTCGGGTTCCATTGTTGCAGATGTTCTGCCGGACGCACAACTTGCCCTTGCTACCATCCTGGCAAGTTATATTCTCTGGGGAATCGGTGTACCTCTCGCGATGATGGTCATCTGTATATATTTGCAACGCCTGATGTTTTACAAGCTTCCACCAAAAGAAATGCTTGTAAGCGTGTTTCTTCCCCTAGGTCCACTTGGACAGGGTAGTTTCGGGTAATGCGGCCCGAAAATAAGTCTTATCCATGTTATCTTCTGACGAAATTCCATAGTATCCAAAAGCTCGGAAAGAGTGCGCAGACAGTTTTTCCCAAGACGAGTACCCTGAGTGCTTCAACCGGTGCAATATTCTATAGCGTCGGATTTTTGATCGGACTCTTACTGTGGGCCTTTGGGGTCATTTGGCTCTCCTTTGCAGTTGCAACTTTGATAAAGTCGAGGAAATTCCCTTTCAATATGGGGTGGTGGGCTTTGACCTTCCCATTGGGAGTTTTTACCACTTCCACCTGCACCATAGGCCAGGAGCTGCCTTCGCGGTTTTTTTCAATACTTGGGACAGTAAGAAACCTTTCTTTCACGATAGTAATGACCAATCCTAACGAACGGCAGATATTCTCTGTCACGGTTGTGGTTCTTTGGCTGGTGGTTAGTTACCACGCTTCCCGCGGAATCATCCGAGGTGATATTTTTGTTGCACCTTGTCTTAAGGATCTAGGAAGATCTAAAGTCCAATCTGGTGAATGTGAGTAGGGGAAGGGGGAAGTCCCCGGGCAATTTTCGTTTAATTATATGTCAAATAGACAGAATGCATACATATGTGATACCATGGGTTCTTATACGTTGTCAGTCACGTTCATCAAAAAGCAGTTTTCCTTGCTTACCTGGGGCTTCCATCGCGGCTTACGACAGTAAGGACTAGATTGGCCTTACCTGAACCTGCAACTTCTGGTCATAGCTTACTCTCGGAGATTAAAAGAAGCGAGGGGTCCATCGATCAATTGATGCCCTTTATAACCCATAGGACACAGAATTAGAACGTCGTTGAATCAGCCGACAACCATGGTTTCTGGTGAGAATTGTATTATGGATTGCTTTTCATTCAGCCTATCTATCCTATTCCAGAAAAGGTACACAGTACATGTCAACATGAGAACCTAGAGACACATTGAAAAGGAAACATAAAAAACAGCTATCGGCTGACAATGTGTTAATTCCGGAAATACAAGAAATCTCACCCATGATTTTTTTAGAATTTTGCAGGTCCACGCCCGCTGAAAAGGGGAAGCATGTGCAGCAAGGTGCTGGGAAGGGACCACTCTTTCAATAGTGTTAGTGCCATAATTTGCCCATTCATAATGTGACTGGCGGTGGGGAACATCGCGTGGAAACCGATCGCCAATCGGCACGGACTGAATTGCATACCGAGTTATTCAGGTGCATTATGTCGGGGAGCGGGGGTTGAAGTGTAGGTAGTCGAAGAAGGAAAATTGATTACTTGGCTAGGCCCTGGATTGGAGGATACAGACAGGGGAACGACAGCCGACAATAGCCGGAAAACACCGAGCTGGACCCGCCGCAAGACCCTGGTTAGCCACGAGAGCTTAGTTGACACCACCACCATTTAGATCGATCTATGCGGAGTGAAGAGGTTCGTCAGCTAATCTTCCAAGGATTGTCTTGGTATTGCAAAGAGTGCTGATGGATGGACTGCAGATTCAGCAGACATTTAGCTACAAGGACAATGAATCCACCTCGGAAACAATTCACCGTTTGGAATACGAAGGCCACGACGTGAGTATGGAGCTTGATCGTACCGGCCGCCATTTAGAGGTCCTAAGCGACCGTCGTCAAATGCCAGACACGAATTGGGCGACTCCAAGGAGAGCTCGAAGGCTGCCGATCATAGCTAGTCGACTACACCACGGAACGTGCGGCGGAACGGTGGTGGCGGAGCTGCTTCCGGGTCTCAGATGATCCCGATGCAGTTGAGTCTGGCTATGGTTTGTCAGTAAGGTATTGAATGAAGTTTCTGTGGAAGGAAATAATACTAATAGGTGAGCTTAATACTTGAAAGACATGAGGCCAGACTTGAGTCGCCGCCTTCCGAATCAAATTCAGCGATCGTTCGCTTTTTGCCTCAGTCGAGTCTACAACATAGGTTATGTTGGAACGTTGGGGACTTCTCCGACCCCGCAAACTAACCCCATGGAGAAAAGAGCGTGGTCATTAGGCTATGCACATTTCTCCGGGTTCAACACATGCAAGCCACAGGAACTAACTGGGCGCACGTAATATTGGTACAAACATTACTCGTCCCTCCCATGGTAGGTCAGCCACCCAACGGTTCGCTTCATTCTGTGAGACCCACAGAGGTTCCGCTGAAGAGATTGGCTAATCAATACCGATCAATAATTGCGTGGCCTGGTACTCCGTACTCCGTACGCGTAAACCATCATCAGCTTCCCCACAATTGATATCGCGATCTACATGTGCTTTTGTTCTAGCTGCATAAACCATCTCCTTTTGTGATTCTGTTGCTTATACTGGCTAGTTCACATCCTGGCATTTCATGACTGATATGCTGAGTTTCTGTTAAATTCAATTTAAGTATGATTTTGAACAGGCCTCGGTTTAGGTAGTACAGTATATTGGGGAAACCACTATAGGTATATCTTCAAGCGTGCTGAAATATTAGAGATAGTCTAGTATTCATAGCTACCGGATTAGACCAGGTGTAGCCAACAACATGAGCTAATTGATTGGAAGAAAGATCAAAAGAGTGGAAAACAGTGGGCATGTCAAATACCCATTTGTACCTTCCGAGAATAGAAAAGACGCGGGGTATCCGTGCTGCGAGACTCGGAGTAAGCTGGTCCAAGTTGCTGCTCACGCCCAAGTTTACATACAACAAGAGAAGAGGCTAATAAAATGTAGTGACACGAGAGCGATCAATAAGAGGAGACTATATGTAGTTTTCTATAACTAATTGTCCACTTTGGCTCGATATGAAACGTTTGCTGTCCTGTATCTTTCATCTGCGAACGGGCATTGGGTAGATGTTGAATCAATCACCGCTCAGTTCGCCATCAAATAATCAAATATTGGTAATACACTTCAGCCAAAGTACGGTGTTACATCATCAGCGTTCATATTTAAGGCACAAATTTTCTAAGTGACCTTCCCCATTTGCATAAGATCCTAGCTCTGATCATAATGGCCACTTCGGGTCAATCTCTTCACGATGTTCGTGATCGGGCAAGGATCGTATGCTGCCAGTGTCACGCACGCAAGGTTAAGTGTGATCTGCAGACTCGATTACAAGGCACTTGTTCGAATTGTCATAAACATGGATTGGCCTGCCAGTAGGGATCATGAGGTGGTGAGATGGCTACGGGATTGCTGACGATTTCTAAGACCTCGCCCCAACCGAAGAACGACCGTCAAGGAGAGATACACAAAGCAAGCGGCCGGATCTCCTAGACCTAACGGAGTAGCTCCTCAAGGGGTTGAAAGGCTAGGCACTCCAAAAACATCCACCGTTCGCGAGCAACAGGACCAAGCGGCTGCTGTTCCAGCACCTGAAGCGTTACATAAACAGTACCTTGGTGCAATGACCTGCATAATGCATAATGCTCCTAGCATTCCCCCAAACTATCTACGGATCACAGCCATCTCAAATAGCCGGAACCAGGAGATATTGACAACAATAGATCCTACGTCATCACCACCAGCAATTTTATTAAACGCATATATCGACGCCTACTTCCAACACATTTTCCATCAATTTCCCGTTGTTGATCATGCCGATTTATCTTCTAGCAGACCTTCGCTAGCTCTTCAGCAAGCGATTTGCATGGTGGGAACTATGCTGCGGCATCCCAAAGGACCAGATATTCTGGCTGAGAATGAGACATATTATTACAACGCCAAGACCCTCATCCACATCAACCACGAGCAGGACCCCATTACCGTTCTGAAGGTTGTGTGTCTTTTGTCAACACGCAACATTGCTGGCCCTGTGTTGTTGACCGTTGATTGCGCGTGGCATTGGTTGGGTATAGCAATAAGACTGTTGCAGCAAATGGGTCTGCACCGCGAGGAAATGTGTGTTGCTTTTGCCAGTCCAGGAATTGCACGCAGGATTGCATGGTGCCTTTTTGTGCGTATTCCTCGAGTCCAACTTGCTCTTACTAATAACATCAAGGTTCAAGATAAGCTTTTGTCTGGTGCATTTGGACGTCCTACATGTATCAAAGAAAATGAGTTTGATGTTCGACCCCTGACGGAAGAAGATTTCGAGTCTCCCGGCATTCAATCCTTGATTTTCATCCAGCTAGCCAAGATAGCTAGCATTCTGGGTAGTATATTAGACCTCCGATGGCGGTCTGCTAAAGATGTGCAAACACAGGTATGTGCACCTTGAGTCATTTAGCATAAGTATATTATTTTAAACAGATTTTCATACTTGCTTCTGCTGCCATGACAGCATATAGATATCCTCCGTTCACTGAAAGATTGGATCCGCAATCTTCCAACAACTATTCACATTTTTGACCGCAATGGTTTTCGAACATATCGACGGGATGTTTTTGAATTACACATTGTGTATTTTGCCACCATCATATTATACTTTGACATATTCAACGACCAAGACATAACATCTGTCCCGAACATTGTATCTCTGGTCGCCTCTTCATGTATTACCCGCTTATACCATGAGATTGACTGCAGGGACGACCTCAGTTATCTTCTTGGTATACAAAATTGGTTTTTGATAGTAGCTGCAATGCCGCAGCTTCTATACAATGCCGCTGAATCCTCACTGGAATCGGATAGCTACTGTTCAGAAGAGCTTGACATTCTTGTGTCGTCCTTGGAGCAGTTTCAACCAAGAATTCCCGGGTCAACGGTGGTATTGAACGCAATCAACAGACTCCGAACTTCACGCAATAGTGGTCGAGTCCGAAATACGACAACAACCAGTGAATCGCGAGAAAAGGTCATGCTCGGGGAAGGGTATGATATTTTCAGCTTCCGCGACTTGTTTCCATTTCCGAATTCACTGTCACCAAGACTTGCGCTGTGGGAATTTTATGCTGGGGACATATTTCAAGGCCTGGAAGCTCCCATGACTGCGCCCGAGGACCCTGGCTGGATCTCTGGAGAGTTCGCGGACCTTTCTCGATTTGCGTTTGGCGGTCTACCACAAGCTTTTTCTTAATATCCTACTACCAGCACTGTCAATTTCACACGAATTCATCATCGGTCGTCTCAAATTCGAGTATTATTGTGATGCCTCGAGTCTTCTGGGTCGAGTATTTTTCATTTCGTATGCTAAGAAAGCTTGGAGAAGGGAGGACGCGATTTTGGAGGAAGCCAAGCCGAGACTACAATATACACCATCAGCCACCCAACTCTAGTAGAGATTAGCATTTCCTCCTGTGGGAAATTCCTGTACCTCCCACGGGAACCTGTGACACCTAATTATGCCTTCATTTTGTGCATAAATACTGGCTTACTTACCGTTATTTACCTCTGTTTTGGTCTGAACGTATACATTCATCGTGTTTCTACCCCTCCACTATGTAATCATAAATTTTGTTTCTAGGCTCTTTAATATCTGTTTCGAGGGTTGCATAAATGAACTAGACATTTCAAGTTGTTGTTAGAGGAAGTGGTTGAGATTATGAGCAGCGAGATTGAAAACATATATTCGTTGTGGGTATGTATACTACCAGTTTCCACCATACTTTGTTACTTCACTTTTTATTCATTTACTCTTAGATATTTAAAACTCTTTCTTTATTGTTAGTGTCTTTTGTACCCGACCTGATCTTATTGTTCCATTTACGTTAAAACAAAGCGTGGTTTAGATAAGCGAAGACGAACTGAGATAAATCGATTAGTGTTCAAATTTAGACCAATAGACTAGGATCAATTGACCCACATTAGGACAATAAGCCTTCTATTGATCTATTACATTAGACAGAAGGCTTTTCACTAGTTCTATGTTATTACGTTCGTTTCTCTGATGTTCACTTTCCTCTTTCTCTCAGTTGTCCCATGTGTCACGGTCCTGCCTCCTCCTTCTTTGGCCCTATCTATTAGTAGTGATAGTATTGACCCTCTGCTAACCGATGTTGCACTATCAGAGGCCCCCGAAAGCCAGTCTACCGCGCTACCCAGTCTTATAGCGTGGAGGTGTCAAACCCCCTTGTAGGAAGGGGGTGATGCCTGAATGCTTTATTTTATAAGGGCAGAAAAATAAAATGCCTACATTCCTATTACACATGCCTTAATAATCAAAGTACGAACCTTGAAAGCTTTTTACACCATACAAATCTATGCATCTCCATTTTTTAAGATGGGTTACAAGGTCTCTCTCGCCATGTATGAAAATGAAGCTTTTTATCACATACAAATGCATGCATTTCCATTTTTCAAGATCGTTTACAAGCTCTCTCTCACCCATATCATCACATCAATTTGAAATACGCAAAACTCAAATCTGCTTCTTTCGCAAATGCAGACTGGGGCCTTTCACAAACTCGAGCCCATCATCAAGGTTCCCTTTCCTCGCGAAGCGAATATCCTTACCATAATGATCACGCGGCTGCCAAGGACCCCGATCCGCCGCGCGAGGCAGAACATGGGAACCGACGCTAACGTATGTTGACTTCAGTTGCAGCAGCGGACGCTCCTGGAGGTTCCGGGCATCCTGGGCCTTGACACGCGGGACAGCAGCGACGAACTTGCGCGACTCGAGCGTCTTGAGAATGCGGGTGATGCATTGCGCGACAGCGTCGGCACCCAGTGTCCACGAAGCGTTGGTGTATCCGATCACGAAGGCGGCGTTGGGAAGATCCTGCAGCATAACTCCATTCCACAGGTACTTAGAACCGACGTCGATCTTCCGCCTGTCCACGCTTAGCACGACGCCGCCGCCGATCTGTAGCTTGAGCCCTGTCGCTGTGACGATGATATCTGCGTCGAGCGTCTCGCCCCCGTTAAGGGTGATGCCCTTCTCGGTGACGGTTTTAATAGTGTCGGTACGGACATCCGCCTTGCCATTGCGTAGGCTAGCGAAGAAGTCGCCATCTGGGCAGACGCACATTCGCTGGTCCCAGGGGTTGTAGCGAGGCTTAAAATGCGGGTCGTAGGAGATGTGACCGGGGAGTTCCTTTTTTAAGCCCCGCTTTAAGATCCAGGTCGCGAGGGAAGGGAAGCGCTGGCAGAAGAGAAAGAACATACGCTGCCTTAGGATCCATATAGCGCGTTGGACTCCGTGGTAGATGCCTGATGGCAGTAGGTATGATAGTCTACCGCGGGCCTTTTGGTTAGGGACTGAATAAATGTAGGTCGGACTACGTTGTAGCATTGTCACATGCGCCGCCTCGTTTGCCAAATTAGGCAAGAGCGTGATCGCGGTAGCGCCACTACCGATGATTACGACCTTCTTGTTCTTGTAGTCGAGTTCCTTGGGCCAGACTTGCGGGTGGATGACTTGGCCCTGGAAGTTATCTAGATCGGGGATTTTGGCCTGCAGGGGCTGCTTGTAGTCGTAGTAGCCGGTGCCAAAGATCACGAAGCGCGCGGTTATAGTATTGGGCACACCGTCAATCGCATTGACGGCTAGTGACCAGGTATTATCGGTCGTGGACCAGTCGGCAGACGACAGATGGTGACGGAACAGGATGTGGTCATCGATACCATACTTCTGGGCGGTGTCGCGCATGTATTGCTTAATCATGGAGCCCTCTGCGATGGGGTTGTTTTGGTTCCAGGGATTGAAGGAAAAGCCGAAGGTAAACAGATCAGAATCCGAGCGAATGCCGGGGTAGCGGAACAAGTCCCAAGTACCACCCAGGTCCTCGCGAGCTTCGAGGATCGCATAGCTGAAGTTAGGCAGCTGGTCTTGGATGCGATAGGCGGCGTTAATCCCGGAGATGCCTGCACCAACGATAATCACGTCGAAGCACGTCTCTGACTGCACAGTTGCGTGACCCTTCATTTTGAAAGGTGTAGGAGAGAAGAAGTGTAACTGCACATCAGAATCGGGGCGCAACGTTTCTTAAAAGAACTCACATGCCTCGGTATTAACGCGATAGTCGTGGAGATCAACTCGCGATGCATAGTACCAGGTCCGTGTGTCCTCCTTCAAGAGGGGGAGCCTGGGGAGATAGATTCATCTTAGTTTCTGATGCCGAAGACATGCTGTACTATGCCGAGTCGAACATACTGAGGTGTATGACTTCAGCCCATTGTCTTGTCGGTCTCCAGGTGCTGCCAGGGGAGTCTCCACATCCCCAAACCAGCTCGGCATCATCCAAGTAGAAGAAGGACCAATGGTTTCACCTCCGATCTGTGTCAATAGGATAGCACTGTGAGGCAGGGTATTGAAGCTGGCCCAGCCCGGTACTGCTCGGCTGTCGTCGGCTGTTATTCCAGTCTCTTAGCGTATCTCCCGTCGGCGTATGGCGTCAATACCGGGGCCCGGCCAATTGATCAATTTCCTTCTCCAGTACTTTCGTAACGCGGGGAGTATGTCTTCGGAAATTCTTCCACTATTCTCACAGATTATCCGTTCGGCCGCATAGAGAGCTCTCTCGGGTAGGTATACCAACGCTTACAACTAAGAGGGCTAGACCTCGAAATGTGGTAGATCAGGAGTGGCGGGTGACACTACCAACTACCTAGGTACCGACTACATAGCCCCCTATTGGTCGGGGTAGGTCCCCCCTATACACGGTGGGTAATCGGGTACCCAATTCGATATATCAAACAGTGCAAATATTAGAGAGTTACTTATACATAATTTGCGCAGATTTAGAGTGTAATTCTGTTCTGAATATTTGTTTAGGGGATTGATATATTTGCTCCCCCTTTGGCTATTCCTGCCCCCCTTGCCTGATTCTGCCTAGTCTCTGCCATATACCTAAGGCATCAATTTATTCTGCCAGACTTTTTTCTGCACTTTTGAATTCTAGTTTACATAGTAAAAAATGCACCTTTCTAGTTAGAAAAAAATGCTTATTTCTGCATGATTAAAGCTTCTATTCGTATATAACTGCTTATTCTGCTTATTCTATATCAAATCTCCGTAGTACCTCTAGCCTTAGCTTTAGTCTCAGCACCTTAGCGCCACGGCCACGAGTTATTTATACGCCACGGCTAGTGAAGAATAGACGAGATATAAAGGAGAGAAGAAGCAGAAATTGATAGAGAGAAAGGTAGGTTAGAAGATATAAAATTGATTTTAAAATTAATTTGTATGAAGCTTTACTTTTCAAAAGAGGTACTTATTTTTCTTAGGGGTTCACATAGTAATAGGATGTACTATTAGTGTTACTATAATTGACTAGAGAAAGCAGTGATTTCAAGATGAAAACGGTAACTAAGGAAAGCGGTCAGTGGATACCTGAATATTCTGGCAAAGGGGGGCAGGAATAGCTAGTTAAAGGGGGGGCAAATATATCAATCCCCTTTGTTCATATAGGTTTATTATAAAGACCTTCCCAAGAAAGAACCCCTTTGGAAAAGGGGAGTCTCTAATTTCTTAGATGTTTCAGAGACTAGAGATTTTTGTCTGTTTGCAAACAAAATATTCCTGGTATGGAACTAGGCAATCCTTGTAGTTTTGGCGAGTAATGTATTCGCAATATTCCGTTTTCGCGTACTCACACGGGCTAACGGAGATCGTTGTCTCGTTGAAAGGATGAACTTTCATTTGCCCTCAAGGCTCATTCAGACTAGGGTTTTGGCAGGTATAGTACGTCGGTTGTTATGGATGGTAGGGTGTGCTATAAGGGGGAGTTGACTGTGCCAACTGCATTTGGCCATGTGTTTATGATTTCCTTATTCTGGTAATCCAAAGGACCTTTATGGGTGCTGCTGCATTTGTTGTGTCATTCGCGTGCGGAACCTGTACTCTATTGATGCACCTAATTCCGAGGAACCTGACGCTTCTCGATGAACTTCTTCTCGCCAAAAGCCTGCTTGACTCCATCCACGACAATGACGCGTTCGTACCAGGCGACGGTGACTGGGCACTTGGCGCGCATCTCGGCGTCGATGCCCATGGAGAAGCCCCAGGCCAGCGCTGAGGCGAGTGTGATATCCGCCATGCTGACCCTGTCCTCACTGCACACCCAGTTGCGGCCCTTCAGGTGGGAGTCGAGGAGGGCGAGCGAGCGCTCCAGACGCTCCAGGGCGTTGTTCTCAATGGCTTGGTCATAGGGCTTGGCCCCCCGACGCCACAAGGCCAGCTGCACCACGTTCTCCATGACCTCACCCTGGGAAAAGCAGATCCACTGCCGAATCGTGGCCCGCTCGACAAGCGTGCGACCCATCAGCTGCTCGGCGGCCGGGCCACTCATAGCGAGATACTCGGCAATGGCATCCGTCTCGAACAGGTTGGTGCCGTCGGCGCCCTCGAAAGTGGGAACCTTGCCGAACGGGAACTTGGACAGGAATTCGGGGGTGCGGTTGGTCTCGCGCATGACGAAGTCCGGGGTGGCCAGCTCCAGGCCGTTGAGGTTGGCTACTGCCTGGATCTGTTGGAGGGGTGAATTAGCAGCCATTCGGAACGAGCGAGTATGCAGGACGCACTCTCATGACCCGGGGGCTAGGGTGGTAGGACCAGATTTTGCCGAATGGTGCCATTGTGTCTGACGGATATCGAGAGCAGTGTGGTTCGTGGGGAAACGATAATACGATAACCGTTTATATATCTGTCTTTTCTCTTTTCTTTTGCATTTGTAATGGTTCGCCGGGAGTGGTGGAAGGGGATGGTATGTCGATTTCTAATTATCATGAAACTCAGGAATATCCCGCCGCTATCCTATGCCGCATATGCTAGATGCCGAATCAACCAAGTGGGGCCGCGGCCACGGTCAAAATACTTCCGAGTGTTAATCATCATGCTGGTGGTAACGCGACTCGCGGCGGCGGCGGGAGTGGGGAAACCAGCAACCGAAGCGAACGTCGTGCCTGTGGAGCGTTCTGCCGGCGTAGCTACCAAGAAGCAACTCCTACTCCTCAGCCGAGGGTATGAATTTCTGCCCCTCTCTCGGGTCCTTGGGGGGCCTTGACTATTGACCCTGGGATCAATAATGACCGAGTCCAAGACCCGGTATTCCGTACTCGTCTTCCAACTGTAACACAGCGTATCAGTCTTCCTCAAAAGATAATTTCCAATGCGGACGCCGGCCTTGAGTTTCGACATTTCTCTTTCACCTTTTGAACCGAGAAGAATAATTTTGGGAAGCCGACCGAGCTATCCAAAGGGTACCGAAAGCCCTGCTGGGGGGTGCACGCTTACTATTCTGTGAAGCAGATGGAATTGGCGTGACGATCAGGTTTGTTTCGTAGATAAATTTATGGTATTACAATGACTTCAAACTGATGCTGGTACCCTGGCGACAGAGATTTTACTATTCTGATTTCCAGACGAGCTCCTCGGTCCCTGGAAAACAAAGGATTAAGAATTTCCATATCGGTGTCCCTGAGGAGGAGTAGTTGGTATGCGAACGACGATGCCTGTACCAATCAGTATCTTAGCTGATTGCTGTTAGGAATGGAACCTCTTACCGGGTTGCACATTCCCAGTGTTGCCCTGTTGTTCTCGAGGGGAAGAGCGGTTTAGAGGCAAGCCACACGAATAACTCTTTGGTGGCTGGAAACGTTCTCCAAGATCGGGTCAAACTTGTTTGAACCAGGGTAAATCGCCGCCCCACATACTAGGCCGACCACGGCGGTGTTCGTGCCGCCCGATCCGCCATGGCGGCGGTCCATTTTTCTTTGGTTGACGCCTAATCTCCCCGGATGTGTGTTCCCAGCTGCCAGCATCGGCCTATGGCGGGCCCGTACCATTGTTAGCGCCCTTCTGGCAGCTGCGACACTTGCATACACCTCAAGAAGATATACCCGCATTACCTGGAGTGTTCAGCCTGCGTATATAAAAGTCCTTGGCCCCCGAGGTGTTGTTGCATGGCTGTCTCGAAGTACACCATGTCTATTATGATTCAACTCTGAACGCTTTTTTTCGGTTTTCACGCGACAAAAATACACCTACACCAACCTCTACAAACTAACACAGACCCGTGTCCGATCAGTGCTATACTTCATACTCCGTACCCCTCAAGTCACCATCACCAGCCTCCAAGTCAACTCGTCAAAGTCGACTCACCCTACAACCAACCATCTACCATGGCTATAACTATCGCTGCTCACCTCGCCCAGACTTCTGTCCGCCACTTCTCCGGCCATCGGCCGCGCCCCCATAGTCGCACGGCTCGCGCGGTTGCCTTGTCCTACCTCATCTCTGGCGTGCTAGTACCTTTCATCCCACCGGCGCTCGAAAGCTTGCGGCAGAAGAACTTAGACTTCCCAGACCGCAACAAGTGAGTACCCCGGTGGGATTCCGAATGCATGACTGCCGGCCTACAGCATGTCATGCGGGGATCGCCACGACTCTAACGCGATATAGGCCCCACCCCCCTCTCTGCTTCCACGCACGCTAGGACAGAACTCATCCTCTCTACGAAATGAATTCAATATTAAACCTGTAGTTACCATTTTGCTTTCCTTTTGTTGCTTTGTGCATGGATTCTGATTCTCGGTACCGGTGCCGACACGGGACCTCCGATACCATGCATTCGGTCGAAGGGTTTTGGGACCTGGCGTTGCTTTGCGTTGCGTTGCATTTGTTGTTTATTTTTTGTTACAGAACCTCATAGAATGCCGCGGGTTTATTCATGAGGGGATACGAGGTTGATGCGACATCAAAGAGAGCGGCTGGTGACTAGACGTCTGGATGCCGCGCACGGCTGGATAGATGATCCTGCATTGCCCCAATGTCTGAATCGTAGCAATCAGAAACCCAGACCAATGGACATTGTATACACATATATCGAGACCGACGCCACGAATCTAACGAGATATTATTCATTTTCACATAACAAGATCCCAGTACATCACACGCAGTGGTCCATATTTTACAACACCATGTATGTAAGGAAATCCCCAAATTTGGTCTCTCAACTGAACCTTCTCCCACTAGATGGCCGGAACGGCACCCCATATTTGCTTTCCTATGCCACCCGGTTATTGGATGAGCCCGATTAGACAAAGACGACAAGGAATAAAAATACTTTCTTGTCGAGGGAGCCGTAGCCCAGACACTGAGGTCGATGTTTAGGCAAAGAAAATAACCCCACTGAAGATCTTGATCTGTCTGTACATTTCTTCGACAATTGTCTATACGTTGATGGGGGATAACTACTAATTTTGAGTAAGAATGCCCCGGGGATTTGCGCATTCTACAGGGAACCAATCAAGAACGCAAAGAAAAAGGGCTCTGATAAACACGTTCAAGAAATTTTCGATAATAAAGATCTACGAGGCAGAGTGCCGCCTATGGAAGAAATTACTGTGTCCCTAGATAGACACTTGCTTCTCATAACGGTTGTTCTCGCTTATTCTGACCTAGCTGGCAATTATATACTCTCATTTCTCTTGATACCAAATCATTACATGTGATACTGTATTGATTTTTTTCATTTGTCTTAGTGATCAAAGTACCACCTGTTTAAAAAGCAAATAAAAAAAGAAAGAAAATGAGTTTTTTCCATGGCTGGCTAGCACAAAAGAAAATACGTTCCATTGATTTAATGCTTATCGGAGTTGGTCATTTTATCAATATTAGCGCGAGCGCTTTTGAACAACTCCTCCGTTTGCTCATTTGTGCGGTCAACGTGAGGCACGTCCGCGCCCTTCTGCACCGCAGCCCGTTTGCCGATCTCATCGACCCACTTCTTGAGAGCCGGAAACTCAGATAGATCGATCTCCAGCAGTGCAGGACCACGGCGAACCCACGTATAGCTGGCGATGTCGGCAATTGTGTAATTTGAACCAGCAAGATAAGGGCTTTCCTTCAGACGGGATTCCAGGACCGAGTAAAGGCGCTTGGTCTCGTCAATGTACCGCTTTATAGCGTAGTCGGAGCGGACACCGGCGACAAGACGGAAGTGGTTTGCTTGGCCTACATTAATGACAACCAGATAAGCCCGAGAAATCTATTTCCTGTTTTCAACATACCCTGCATGGGACCAATGCCACCTATCTGGAACATCAGCCAGGACACCTGCTCAATGTACTCGGGAGTGCCAGGCGTATAGCTGATCTTGCGATCGGTGTCGTATTTGTCGGCAAGATAAAGCATAATAGAGCCGCTCTCGAAAACGCGCTGTGAGCCGTCGACCAGTGCCGGGATGCGGCCATTGGGGTTGATCTTCAAGAACCACCTATGTTTGATTGCCGTTAGTAGAACGGCTTCTGAGCTACGGACGCCGAGGATAATCGTACTTCTCCTTCTGAATGTTGGTTCCAATATCGATCGGCTCAGTCTTGTAGGGCAGACCAAGCTCCTCCAGGGTAATGGAGGCCTTGATGCCGTTTGCAGTGGGCCAGGTATAGAGGGTGATGTTAGAGGACATGGTGAAGAAGGTGTGGATTTCGGAGACAAAATATTGAGTCGCAACGCGGTTAAGAATTAGCTGGCGTGGAAGGTATGGGGAAGCATCGCCGAGGAGTATAGGAGGGATCATATGCCATGCGACTTGACCTTGAGTTTTGTACACCTCGTGGCTTCGGTTTCGGGGGATAAATTTGGCGGCTATAGTACTCCAATGACCAATGATATCATTTCCCGAGGCCGAAGCCGAGCCTGACCCTCCACTGGGAAGTTTGAGGTTTGTTTAGCGATCGATATAGGGTCCGACGTTATCCCTTCCTGTCAATGCTAAGTAGGTAGGTAATCAATTTATTTCCCGGATGGCGACTATTAACCCCCATTTGTGCAGCCGCCTTCGGCTGCTGAGCCCGGTCGTTTGTTCAGGACGGGAGTTTCTGTGTCTGACCGTGGCACGCTTAACCTCTCGGCTAAAGCGGGGCCGAAAGGGCCGAAAGGTGAAGGTACCCCGAAGGCTTAAAAGGTGGGCCCGATAGGTGAGGATACGCGGCCGCGACACTAACCGCAATACCAACCCACCCAATTCTCTGAATCCTAGCTCCCACAACTACAATAATGTCAGCTACTAAACACTGAAATTGAAGCCTCCAAGCCAACTTGCGGCATTATTTCAGTTTAGGAAACTAAGCTGAGAATAGGGGGCGGCTCTTAGATAAACTGCGCCAAAACCCGCAAACCCGCAAATGAGTCGGGTTACGACAGTGCATAGTCGCCAGTGGGCCATACCGTATTTTTCCATATTAAGCAATCACCGCCTTTCACACCGCAAATTTGCTATTACCCTGAGCACAAATTCTAGTAATTAATCTTCCTTGGGTATTTCAATTTCTACTAAATTCGAATATTGTCACTAACAGGCCCTTACATTAATTACATTAATTGCCACCCTCGATTTCCCCTGTGAGATCCATCTCACGGAGATCGCACGCAGACAAGCTCTACCTGAATGTCATCTGGGCTCAGCGAGGGGGTGTTATACGTTGGTCCTCGACTAACGATCCCTACAGCCACTTGCGAGGCCTGTTGGTGCGATGTCATGCCATCGAGATACCAAACCTGCCAAGGGAATTTGCCCGATCCTGGATTCATTAGGGTCACATGATGGTCAAGTATTCGTTCCTCGGCAAAGTCTATACGTAAACAATGAGTCCCAAGGTGGTTGTGATTTGAAGCATCTTTCAGAAGTAGTCATACCTTGCACGGGAATTGAAGCCACATCAAGTATAGTCTGCGGGCACGAGGGAAGTTGTGGTGGCTTAAGCAGCATCTGGCTCAGGGCTCTCTTGAGTGGCTTGGAATAGTAAGTGCCCGAAACGGCATTCCGATACATATTATGACGCAGGGCGCTTTTCAAATCTGCGGAGCATGTCGGTCCCCAGATACCGTCACAACCATTGTTGTTTCCAGACGGCATGCCGGCCAAATTGCCCACGCGTAGGCCAATCTCCGACGTACGATTCGCGTCCACCGTGGCTCTGTTGACATGATTCTGATATCGAAGCCAGAAACCCGTTTTGGTGATTGGTGATTTGATCCTCCTCGACGCACGAGCGTCGAAGCCGTAGTAGAGGAAAACAGGGTCAGGAAATAGAGGTTGAAAGTCGAAACTCACGGCCGTTTGAGCGAGGGTGTCGATGCAGTCAGTGTTCCAAAATGAACAGAATTGGGCTGAAACGACTTGGATCAAGGCCAACATAATCAGTAGGACCCAAGACCGAAAAACAGACCCTCGTTCCAAGTCGAAAGCCATCGATCACAATTGCTCCGAGGAACAGTAAATGAGAGAAGAATTAACCGAGAGATGTGGAACAGATTCACACTTGTTGAACAATTGTTTGAATATGCTACTGGCTAGTAGATGAGATCATAAGATGATCGATTCTGTTGTATTGAGAACTATGTAGAACTAGGTAAAGAGGAAGGAGAGGAAGACTGTAAGAGTCTACTACTACAGGGTTATCATGTGACCATGAGAGATTTAAAACAACAATAAAAAGGGGCAATTGATGCCACAGAAAATTAAAATCAGGGATCCCCTAGTTTGGCCTCCAAGCTATGGGGCTTTCGGAGTGGGTTTTAGTTCTTACCATAGAACCCAATCCGCAGAGGGTAGGGTAGAGTCCTCTCTCCACCTGTATCGACCTGCTCCGAATCCAACTATACATGATCATTTACAAACATCGGGAATGGTGTACGTAAATCGGCAGTGGTCTCCAAAGCGGGGGTAATTTTATGCTCAATGGGATTGAAGCCAAGACCAGGCAGCACTCATTGTCTCCGTAATGTTTGGTCTTTTTGCGAAAAATCTAGTTATGCACTATTTATGCACTGCACAACAGCTTTCAGGTTAATTATCTCCTGGTCGCGGCGGGCACAGTAAGTCCTCTTAATTTTGGGTTATCTGGCGCACTACTGAAGTTTCCTTTTTCACCTTAACTATAGGTTATCATATTTATTGTGATGAAATGCATCTATCGACTTTCATCAATCCTCTCCACAAATACCCAGGACTAAAACTGGCAGCAGTGACCCGAATTCCCCATCTCTACCACAATTTAAAAGGTGATCATATCGAATGGGTCCAATGAATACATGGTAGCCACGGCAATGCTGTCCGTATTGCGCTCAGCTATGCCACCAGTGAAGCATGGAGAGGAATTTACGGCGATGTAATCGCAGGTAGGAAACCTATCGAGAAGGAGTCCCGGTTTTATGGTTCGTCGTTAATGGGGCACCTGATATCAGGAGGCATTGGGACCAGATCGTTCTCGTTTGGGCGAAACTTCCCGCACGCATTCCCAGACAGAGCCCTGAGGGAGCAACAACCTCTCATTAGCCACTTTGCGGATATGCTTACTTCAAGGTTTCGAGCGATGGTCCAAGCAGACCCAAATACCAAAATTGAAATAGTGCGCATATGCAACCTTGCCACATTCGACATCATTGGTGAGTTGACCTTTGGAGACAGCCTTAATGTTTTCACGGGAATCGACAATAGTGACTGGGGTTTGTTTATCTTCTGCAATTCGCCGATTGGCGGGCTTCTACCCCGGACTTCTGTCATTCTCAGGGCACTTATTCCAAATCGCTGGTCGAGGAAAAGATTGCGCGCTATGACAAGTGCAAGGAGTGTGTCGATGAACGGGTTATCCATGAACTGACCCGACTGGATCTTTGGGGTCTGATCATGGGCCAAACGGGAAAGTTGCGTCTGACCCGCGAGGAGATGTACGCAAACTTACAGATATTCATGGCTGCTGGCACCGAAACTACAGCCACGACCTTGAGCGGCTTGACATACCAACTCTTACTGAGCCGAGACAAGCTTGGTAAGATCACAAGTCATGTTCGCCACACTTTCAAACGTAATTCGGATATCAATGCCACCACACTGGCTGGGATGGAATACTTGAATGCATCTATTGACGAGGTCTGCGAACTCATCGCCCAGTTCCTGTAGGCATGCCCAGAGTAACTCCGAGTGATGGGCTCTTTGTCCGCGGAGAACACGTCCCGGGAAATGTGAGTTCTATTACCTACTGGCCCAAGCGACGGAAGACTAATGCAAGGAATAGACTGCTATTTTAGTGAGCCAGTGGGCAACGTATCGCAACCCAAGAATTTCACTCGTCCAAATGATTTTCTCCTTGAGCGCTGGACCGATAATGCTATATTCGCCAGTGATGACAGGTTCGCTTTCCAACCGGTCTCATATGGTCCTCGAAATGCCTTGGAACGAGGCGAGAGAAGCATGTTATTAACTAGCTTGCCGATGGACAAGATCACTAACTTATCCTAAATCCTGCTTTGCCTACCACAACGGTCGCCTCATCCTAGCCAAGGTCATATATAACTTTGACCTATCTTTGGTTCCGGAGTCTGTTGGTTGGGAGGAACAGCACACATTCATGTTGTGGGAAAAGAACAGGCTGTTGGTACATCTCAAGCGGAGGAAACAAAGCGAGCTGGCTCTATGTTATAGTGTAACAATTCAGCTAGCATAAGGACAGTAGTAAACAGGTTCCTGGATATGGAAAATTATTGCCTACTGGGTATCCTTTAGTAAGGAGCAAAATCGAGGTTGAAAGTGATGCTTGGCCGATTTAAGACACCAATACCCTCCATATCATTAGCCGAAGAATGCACGAAGTACTTGATCGGTCCAAGAGGATAACCACAGCCCACACTCAATGTGGTCAATTTAAATGGACGTATGACGAGATTGAGGCTGAGTTGAGCAGATTCGACAATCGGTTTTGTTTCTGTTTCGCTGATGTTGTCGCCCAGAAAAATTAACTGATCATCCCTCCAGGAATTATTGGCTTCCCCAGAAGTCAACCATTGGGGAGGACACCACCAACAGATCCGAATATAGATAGTATTTATATATATGGTACTGGGTTTCTAGGCACTGGAGGGAAACGAGCAAGAGAATAAAGATTTCGAGGAATTAGATCACAACTAAGCCAATCCTCTCACTTAGTTTCAGATTCTAGTCCATTAATAAGTACACTCTGGTTTTTATTCATAACCTCCAAACTTTCAATGCTCTCCTCCAGCTTTTCCACCAACTTTAACATCTTCCTAGTAAACTGTAGATAAGCCCTGGTAATTTGAATATTATTTTTCCGCGCCAGGTAAATAGCACGTAAGAGCTCTTCTCCATGATTATTGTCTCGCTCGCGGACTATCTTCAACTTCTCACACATTGAATGTGACAGCTTCTCGGGTGTGAAGATCTTTTGATCGGGTTGGAGAGGCTTCTATAAGGATATTAGAAAGGTGACGCGAAAGCGAGCTTTACCGTTAGGCAAGAACGATAAGATACCTTGCAGACTAAATCATGAATATCCATAGTTCCGATTCTGAAGGATGATACGCACGTAAAGAAATTTTATCTGGATGTTGTTTCTGCTACTTTTTTTCGTCGGTGAATATACGAAATATATTATAAATGTTACATAGGAGACATTCTAGGCCCTTTCGCACTTCGCTCCCCAGTGGCGCAGTTGAATCTACGAAGGTTGGACCAATCTCAAAGTAGTCAGAATTTCTATGCAGGCGGCGAAAGAACTGCCCAGATTTTATGATTGTGCGCTTCAACCATGGTACGATGGTAACCGTTCCTGTGGGCCTAATTCATAATTTCGGGATGCCATATACCCGGATCTATTCACCTCCGGCCGAAGTAATCTAAGCTTTATCGTGGATAGGTGGATAGGGCGGGAGCTTTATGCAATAATAAAATAGTGCCCATCCATTGAAATGCCTCCCTCCTTATTCCGCCGGTAATTTGAACCTTTTGTGCTATGAAACCGGATTACGCCCCATAATCCAAGCCACAACTAAATAGTAGGCTGTGCAGAAGACGACGAACGAACAAGTAAGAGTACCCGTGTCAGTAAAAATGAGACGAAGAATAAGTGCAGGCTTAGAACGAACATGGTTGATTATTATTTCTTCGTCGCAGCCTTTTCCTTTCACATGATGTAATTTCCGGTTCTTGATTTGGGGAGGCGCATGACCCAGAAGCAAACGTATAGTTCTAAACCTGTCAGTTGGTATGTACCAATGATGTGGAAAGATTTCAGAAGAATACATTTTGAACAAGACGAAAACGGTTCCAATAATAAGCCAATTCTTGAAACGATAGATTCTTCGGTGGTAGAAACGGGGAAATTGAGTCCGTTGATACTGTAAAGCCTCTGTCAATTATTTTGATCAGCCGAGGTCTAGTATCCTTCGGTGACCATGATAGTGGCGGAGTAGTAAATGCACCATTTTATGTTACGCGTATACCCTTTTGCACAGCGCTTTCCGTTGCCCCATCTCCATTATCATGGTAGGTTTACCAATCCCCGTTTTATCGTACCTTCGCTGAAAATTCTTTGCCAAAGGCTAGAGCCGTTACTCACTGTATGAGTGTCGTGACCAACGGGTTTCGATTTGGCGAACCGGATCCAAACGTAAATGGGTGGGTACCTATATAACTCGGAGAAATAAAACTTGATGTCGATGGGAGCGTCGCTCTTCTCTAATCCTGACCCGCTGTTTCATGGGAAGAGTTACATTTTGGCAACGCGGTATTGCGTCGAACGACTTCGACGACCGTGGTTGAAATCACTTCACCCGATCTCTGCGACTTGTCATTGAACAAACAGAACATTTATCAAGTTCTTGAATCTCTCGAATACATCTACCAAGAGACAGAAAAAAAGCCCGGATGACTCGAGCTCTTTCAAGCACTTTGTTATCCAATATACTGCCTGTGAAGCAAACCTGCTTTAAAGATCCAAACATTCGCCATCCCCTCGCCTTTATGATGAATGGAAGGGAGCAGCAGCATTTTCGTCGACCCTTGGATTCCTAGAATGCTTTTCCTCCATTTGCCAACAGAATTGCTACTATTAATAGTGACATTCCTTGAGGCAGAAACAGATATCAACTCTTTATCTCAAACGAACAACCAACTCTACAATGTCCTAAATCCATGCCTATATCGAAGGAATTGCAAAAACCACGAATATTCGTCACTTTTTTGGGCGGCTCAACGTGGGAATGTCGCTACAGCTCGAAAGTCTATCCAAGCAGGGGCTAATGTTGAGATGACAGATGGCTGTGGCATGACACCATTATCATATGCGGCAGAGCGTGGGCATGAGGCGATGGTAAACCTGCTCCTTGAGGCTGGACAGATAAATGTGGACGCCAAGGGCTACTGGGGATGGACGCCATTATCCTATGCCGCGCGACATGGGAATCAGGCAGTGGTCAAGCTGTTACTTGAAACTGAACGGGTGGATGTGGACTCAAAGGACTACTGGGGTTGGACACCATTATCCTATGCCGCACAAAATGGGAGGGGGCCGGTGGTAAAGATGTTACTGGAAACAAGACAATTAGATATGGACGCAAAGGATTACAAGGGGTTGACACCATTATCCTGCGCCGCATGGAATGGGCATGAGGGTGTGGTGAGGCTCTTACTTGAGACTGGGCAGGTGAATGTGAACGCAACGGACTCAGACGGTTCGGTACCATTATCCTTTGCTGCAGGGAATGGGCATGAGGCGGTGGTGAAGCTATTGCTGGAGACAGGGCAGGTGGATGTGGATGCAAAGAACAACTGGGGTTTGACACCGTTATCTTGCGCCGCATGGAATGGGCATGAGACAGTGGTGAATCTGTTACTTCAGACAGGGCAGGTGGATATAAATGCAACGAACAGTTGGGGTTCGACAGCATCTTCTTGTGCCGCTAGAAATGGGCATGAGGGTGTGGTGAGGCTATTGCGTGAAACTGGGCAGGTGGATGCGGACGCACCTGGTGACAAGCACTGACAACAGCGAAAGCACATCCTCGGCTGGTGCTCGCGACAAGTTGATAATATCAATATGTTAGCTAACGTTATTTGCAATTTGATTATCTCTGGACGAGGGCACTCGGTAATGTAATTCCGAAGTAATATTCAACGCAATATGGAGATTTTCATGTCACCCCTTTAATCACTAGTATTTTCTATTTTCTTCACATTCTTCACATCGATATTGCTAACGAAATGCCACGCACTGCCTATTCTTATACCATTCTTAATATAGGATTTTGAGATTCGATCCTCGTGGGCCTGCTCAAAATTACCGTTTAACATCGCTACATCATGCGCTTGCAGAGAATTAGATTCAAGCATGTCATCTGTGGTATTCTATACTCAGGTTGAGTTTATCGCCCCGGCGGAATAGGTTCGTCCACGTAGGCAATTGCCTTTTTCAACAACAGTAATTACTTACGGTCGAAGGAAAAACAATGTCCTGTTCCGTGACTCTCGCCACAACTAGGCTTTTGGCGGCAAATTCCACACCATCTGATAGTTGATCCACCTCAGCGGGCTCTCGTCGTATACTTCTTTCCTCTCGGTTGGGGCTTTCTTGCCGCGAGGGGACATAGTCGGGGGAGGACTAAGCATGGATCGCGTGAGAGGATTACGACCAGCTGTCAATCTCAACATTAAGATAAAACTACACCTGGGTCAAAGAGTCAATTTGGAATGTGTATATATCCAAGGTATTCGTCCAAATGTATAGCGCTAAGTATCCTGTGACGCCGATTAATTTACAAAAATTATCGCCAGTAACTAATCAAACTTAGACATGACTCGGTAGGATACTTTGGGTCTACGCACGGGTACTCGCTACGTACCTGGGGGCGGTTGCTTCAAAGCGAAACCCCGAACCCCGACTCAACCCGCGTTTTGGCGATATGCGACCGATCATCGGCAAGAACAATTCTGTACTGCTATATGCACAAATCAGGCAATTTGAAGGGATGTTCGAAATAAACACATGTGGAATATCTATATATCCGTCTCTACTGCAGCATTCGTGCCGACACGATATACTCGATCACGTGAATCATGGAAACGAAATCTCGTCGAGGCCCGTGGCGAGATCATGTGTCGCACTGGGATATATCATTGATGGATGGCAATAATTCCTGTTTCTCCGACTCTAAGCGCACGCAATCCAGCACTACCGACTTAAACCGTTCCCCCGAGAAAGCTTTGGCTCAGTTGGGGGTTGTGTGTTTGGACCCTCATTTGTCACGTCCTCAATCTCCATCCACAGTGGGTCTAAAAGAGGCGGTGCAAGTGCGCTTAGCCGCAGGTGTCCATTGTGGATCCCACCCGCTGTGGGGCAGACTCCACCTAGAATAGGCTGACATCTTGCCGAATATCAAAGCTTCCTTTGCGTGGATCCTCGGCACATGTGTGCCGGTGGCAGTTCCTATTTTGGTTGGGGGGAGGTGGAGGCCTTGCGACACCGACAAAAATGGGATGATCTCGTGGCTGCAGATTGCCATTCAATGCCACATGGTTCGATATACCCCGATTGAACCTTGGAAGTTATTTCAAATAGGAGTATTGAAAACTTAAAAATGCAGGAACGGTTCTGTTGTGGCTACTAGCTAAGAGGAAAGGGAGAGAAGAGGAATCGTTGTTTATTCAGTCTATCAAAATCAGGGTATTTATGCCCTGACTAACAAAGAAGCGCTCAGTCTGCAACCATACAAAGGCATCAATGGGATGACTAGACAAATGCCTGAACAAAGGCATGACCCAACAGGTTCAGATCAATCCTATACCCCGGTCACGTTAGTGCGGACCAGGCTTCAGAGAAAAAGGTTGTGCCGACTTCCGCCTCGCTAAGGTTTATAGCTGGCGGGAGTAAACTCGCCAAGCAAACTGCGCCACTGCCAAGCAACGATTAGTCACAAGTTTGTTTTCTGGAGATATTCTCCAACTAAAAGCTATGAAATTTAGAATTTTGTAGGATGTGCTGACAAAAAGTAATTAATATGCACATTTATGTGAGGTGTCTGATAACGATGTCGTAAGATATTCTCGGGTAAATACCCAGAAATCCACATGCAGACCCACTATATTTCTGACACCATCGGAAAAGAAGAGAAAGTTCCGTTGGCAAATGAATCCTAGAGGACCCAATACATTCTGGCAAAAGCTTGAAGAAAGAAATTTCCCCGGGTATTAAAAAACCGAACGGGAGAATCTACACAGCGTTTAAAGTAGGTATCAGATAGGGTAGCACATCAGGTTGAGATGCTCACAACTCTTGGTTTGACCACTAAGCATACGTTGGGCATTTCCTATCGAACCTATTTATCTAAACTACCTCCCCGTTGAGTGTTGGATTCATACTACCAGGGATGGTATCTTCACACTTTCGAACTCGCCTACCCTCCAAGAACATCGTGAATTTAGCCATAACAATGCAGCTAAAGGTAAATGACATGAAGATCTTCGTCGACCATGAAGGGCGATCGAAGCGATTGTATCCCCACATAAACGCAGCCAAGACAGCTTGGAAGGCCGTATTCATCGCCTTGCACCAGACCACGAAATCAAGTTTCCATAATTTTGTTGCTAAAGACATGGTTCCCGGAGCTGCCAGACCAAATGAGCTCCCTGAGAGTGAATTTCGAACTCGCTTATCCTCTGAACTTCCGCTTGCCACTTCAATCTCCGTCAGGCTGAGTTCCGCATCAACCTTGATATCCAACCTGAACCAATCCTTGTTGTACTCGACAAGCGTATGCAAACTGTCTTTATTGCGAGTCAGTCGATATCTCAGCAAAAAGTACAGATCACGGTATCGTAGTGGCGCAAGGCCGAATGCAGGGACGGATAGTAGTGCGACAAGGATCTGGCTGTCTATCTCCATCCATTGAAGACGAGGCGAATTGGGATCATCGCATGTCGGATGACACATTGCTGGTGATGCGTTGCAAAATAGAAGGAAGTCCATAGCTCCCCAGGCGACCACGTTGAGCGTGTATACTGTGGCAAGACAGCCGAACGGCGTCCAAAAAAAGCGACCCGTTACCTGAGGCAATGTAGACAGACCATGCAGCCAAGTTCGTTTTTGCCCCAAGCTCAGATATCCTTTCGAGGGGAAGATATTCATCTTGAAATGAGTGATAGAGGTCGATCATATAGGGGTTCTGGTAAACTCCCCCTCCTTGTTGTGGTTTCGATATTTGCCCGCTGGACGTGAAGGCTTCCTGTTGCCCTAGTGAGGATACTCGAGGTGGGGTCTGGGAAGGTCGCAGGTTAGTCTTTAACTCTTTAACAAATTTTGTAAATCTGTGCTATTGTGTGAGCAAATTTTGCATACCGGTGGAAAGTGTGGGGAATTGATAATTGTTTGCTAGGGCAAATTTCAACTCCTGTCCGCCGAGAAACGGGCATCAAAAACGCACTTTGAGTCGGGTCTGGAAAGAATTTCTGCTGTAGGCTTGGTTTGGGGGTCGTATTCATCAATTGTTGTCCCTCCTCTCTCGCGTATTCGGGTCCTGGCAGCTTAGTAGGAATACTTGGGACACTATTCATACTTTGAGCCAAGTGGACCTTGATTTTTGTGGATAAAATATTCGGAATGCATAAACCCCTGTGGGCTTTCTTATGATCAAATTACCTGGCAAGAATATTGATTGCCTGCGGACGGAATGGGTCTAGATTAAGGTTCTCACCAAAGCCACCATTTTATGCGTGGAGTGTACGCAGGATCCCAGCGCCTAGAATACTTCTGTGACTGCCTTTCTGAGACAAGTACGCGTCCTGTTTGATCATTGTCTAAGCCACAATAGTATTGGTCCGGATGGGACGCCCGAATATGGACGACAAAATGCGGATCGGACATTTGTGTTATATGAAAAGCTCCCACCTATAAGGGTAATGTATTTCCCCTTCTGTCTTTGACAGGTCTTTCTCCAGACAACAGGAAACCTCTCATTGACTCCTACTTCGACTCAAGCATTTTTCGGTCAGTGCTTGAGACATGTTTGCTCAGCTTCAACAGTACCTGGCGCATTCGAGGGAACCTTTCAAAACATTTTATGATACAGAGCAGGAGAAATGCTGCCGCACCGTGCCAATGCGGGTTCTGGTGCTGGGTTTAAGCCGAACCGGTACAGAATGTGAGTTTCCACTAATAGCGCAGTCTCGTCTCTATGTCTTTTTCCTTTGAACACCACTTTAAATCACATAGCTGAATATCTTCATGCAGCACTTCGAAAAGCCTTGGTCCAATTGGGATATAACGGCACATATCATGGTTATGCAGCGGCTGTGGAGTACCCACGGGACTGTGAAATGTGGCTCCGGGCTATGAGGGCGAAGTATGATGGCGTAGGAGCGCCATTTGTCCAAGAGGACTGGGATCAATTGCTGGGGCATTACCAGGTGAGCGTTTCATGGGCAAATAAGTGTGGATCCAATATCTAATACCGTTGGGTGTGGAGGCTGTCTGTGATGTTCCTACGGCATGCTTTGCAGAGGAGTTGATGACTGCATACCCGAACGCGAAGGTCATCTTAACAAATCGTGACGTGGATGCATGGTTCGAGTAAGTCTCCAGCAATCACACCTTTCTTTGCAGCTGGGATCTAAGACATATTTTAGGTCGGTCCAGAAAACACTCGTTGCTAATGCTTTTACTCGACGGGCTTCCTTGATCTCCTTCTTTGCTGCGATAACACGCAGCCCAAACCGATGGACCCGACCAGTCATGATGTACGCCTTGTCTGACTTCTTTGGTGGCAATTTCGAGCAAAATGGAAAGCAAACCTATCAAAAACACTACGACCGTGTGCGGGAGATGGCTGCCGAGAGAAATATGGAGTTGCTTGAATACAAGGTTACGGACGGATGGGGCCCGCTATGTAAGTTTCTGGGTCACAACATGCCAGAGAATCCGTTTCCTAGCGGCAATGATAAACAGGAGGTGAATGCGAGGATCAAAGCAATCATAAATAGGGAAGTCCGACGGTTACTCCTGATCTTTGCGGTGCTTCTCTCCTGCTTAGCGTTGATTGTTTTTATTGTTCTCCTATCAGTTCGCGTATAGAAAACCGGGATTGCACTCGGTTGCACTTGGTCTCATCTGATGTTTAGAACTGGAAAAAAGCGAATCTTTGGTAAAGATCAAGTCCGAGCTCAACGCCGGAGAATGTACACTAGAATAGTAATATTATATGTTGAGAAGCAAAGAGCCAAGTCATAAATTAGGCTATCGGGGCCAGCAGACAGCCCAGACTCGATTCGGGCTGTATCCTATGGACTGACCTAGATATGTAGGCCACCATAGGACACTAAAGGCAATCTCCCTTGAGTGACATAATCTAGAACCCCCCTGATTTACATATTTTCATATCCAATCTGTCATATATTATTCCCTCTGACCCCATAGTTCCAATATCAGAGATCTTGCACTAGGACTCCTCTCTGGTTGGTATCTTACATTCCCCCAAGCCGTATGTCATTATAGAGAGAATAATTGAACCTGACGAATGTGTATGCGGATTTTGAGCACCGTGGTATACAGCGGATAATAAATCAAAGCAATTTGTCCCAGGCTGGACAAAATGCCATAGACCGGAAAGCTTCACTCGCTCCGCTCATCATAACATGCGATGCTGGAGGAATTGATTTCCAGCTTTACATAAGCGGGAGTCCGTTCTTTGTTTTGTAGATTGTTAGCTATGTGAATAGTAAAATATCAAAATCAGAGGCCATCATTGAGGATGTTAAGCTCCAGAAGCCACTGAGGAGACTTGGAGGAGCATTCAACAGCGCCGCCCGTCCTAGGATGATGTGGGAAAGAAAGTAAGGGAGGTTGATGAGATAACGACAGTTGAGGCTGTTCTGGACTTTGCAGAGGCTTCTCAGCGGTTTCGACGTCCCGCATCAAAACTGATGTAGAACAGAGACAATGGCAACGAAGCTACAAAAACGCCTTCATTATGCGCCAAGTTCGCTCTTAGGAAGGGGTACGACTTAGCTAGTGCTACGAGAATGCATAAAATTGTGGTAGATTGCCTATTCCTTCATTGTTGGCCGTCAGGTTAAATGAATTACACACACATGTTGTATCAACCCTTTACAGGGCAACAAGAATACCAAGGAAGCCGGCCATACCAGCAGCAGCACCACCGATGGTGGTAGGACGAGGGAAAGCGCCATTGGTAGTGGAGGAAGCAGTGGTAGAGGCGGTCTCCTTAGCACCACTGGTCAAGCTGTCGGTTGAGGCCGCACTAGTCGAGCTGGTGGACTGGGTAGAGGTGGCTTGGTCGACGGTGCCGGAGAGGGTGATTTGGCCAGAGACCCCGGTGGAAGCTTTACTGGTGACCTCAGAAGCGTTCCCTGCATTATTGGAGCCGGCTGAGGCTGTCTGACCGGTTAAGGTTGACACGGCTGCGGCACTGCTGGTGCTCATGGTGTTGGCGATGGCCTGTCCGCCGGGAGAGGCCAGGGTCGTAGTGGCCAGGAAGAGGGCGGAGCTGATGAGAGTGAACTTCATTGTCGGTATATTGATACCAGGTTGAAAAGATGTTTGTTTTTGGTCTGGATATACGTGACGTATGGGATCGAGGAAATAACTTTGGAGATTGCAATCGATGATCTTCAATTTAGATGGAAATGTCTCCTTATATTTGGCTGATGGGCAATTACCTTCTCAGATATATATAAAGGAATCAGAGTTTAATTATAATTAGTTACTCGTTGTTAGGCAGCCGGGTGTGGCAGTGGTGACATGACCTTACCTTCCATAATCGCAGGCCCCGCTGGATAGGAACCGGTACTGTGCTATGGAAATAGCATCCAATGCAATTTCGTCGAAGCGAATTGCCATTTTGGGACCCACCGGCTAACTGGGGCGCAGCGATGAGGCCGTTTCAACGCGACAGTCACCTTCCCGGAAAGACACCTGCCGGGTTTGAACAGCCTGCATGTGCGTGCACGAGGTTGAATATGCCTGAGTGTCTCCAACGCAACACAGCCCTCGGATATAATTTCAGAGGAGAATTAATCAAAATTATCTTGCTGCGTTTGCCGTTCTCGCAAATTAATTGGGCCCGGAAACCTCGGCAGCGTCCACACTGACTGCAAGGCTGCGCGGGCAGTTCCTTACGTGCCTCACCCATTGTCAAAGTTGGTTACGAAATAGCGTGCAATTCCTACCGCAACTTTGTGTTCAATAAAGAATCCCGGGTCATGGTCGTTATAGATCTGTTCAATGTCCAGAACGTTGGCTAGCATTACATCGCATGCGTGTCGAAATTGAGCTTTCAATTACCGTTAATAAAATCCGTTTCTTACCAGGTGCTATAATATCTTTAGAGAAACGAATTGAGGAACCTGATATTTTATGGTAAGTAAGTATGCCAAAAGATACAGGAAAAACTCGTAAAAGAAAATAGTTTTTGTCAATTGCGGTGTTGTCTGGAGAAGCTGACCGTGAAAGGTGTGGAGACTGGGCAGGTGGTTTCTTGTTTGTGTGCACTGTGCCGTGATGGCAGATTTAGTCCAAATGTCTATGTACAAGGTCCTCTTCACTTCAACCCTTTGCCTCTCCTATAATTTCCTCTAGTCCGACGCACTTAATGGGAGTCCGCCAATCTTGCTATGTCTCTAAAACCCGCTCGACACTGTTGTAGCCATCTGCTGTGCAACCCTGCCACAAACGAAAGCAGTTTCATCTGTAAACATCCCATTTTTTGCTAAGACACGGAATCTTGCTTCCCAAAAAGTCCTATCTCTTGGGGTGGGCCAGGTCTCAGGTCCCTCAAGTAAGGTATATTATCAATGGAGTGAAATATTGTTTCACCAGAATGCCGGATCCACTGCACGGCAACGCAGATTCGGCATCCCACGAATTCCTTTGGTTGAAGGGGCTCCTCTTTGAGTGCGTCACGGAAGCACCAGTTCGTCAAATGAAACCAGTCTGCCAAGCTAGCCTGAAGGACTCGGGCTGAAAATGCCTGCCAATTTATCTATTTCTTTAACTCTAGAGCGTCGTCCTTTAGGCTGAGGGCTATTTAGCGGACATTTAGTTAATATGTAGGTACATATTGGGTTGCAAATTAGCATCTACTGATGTAAGCTTCATCCCACACTTCTATCAAACGTGGAAGATCTGTCCAAATTCGCGTTGTTGCCTGCATAAAAGGATAAACAAGTCAGTTGTGAATCTGAACATGACCGCTTGACCCCCAATACCGTTTCATAAAACGTAACTTCCACTCCCGGCAAATCTTCCAGTTCTTTGATGGTCTCAACCATTTTATCTTGTAATGGATGATCATGAGGAATTTGCTTCATAATATCGCTGACTGTCCCCCAAAATTCTAAACACCAGCTTTCTGGGTACTCTACCTCTTCACCTTTTGCCTCGCGACTCACCGGTGTGAGTTCATTTATTCCAGCAGCTGCTTTAGTGGCTAGCTGGCTGCAAGCAGTCGTTGAGGATCACGAAATAATTCTGTTCAAAAATCCATAGGTCCTCACGTTCTAGAAATACAAGGCGTAGACGAAGAGGTGCAGCCATGATCAAGACTGTCAAAAGAAAATGGACGTAAGAGCTTGGTAAAGAATATTCAAGTTTGGGATCACGGCCTAGCTACGATGTACAAATTGTAGACTTTGAACGGGGGGAGATTGTATAAAAGCGGGAGGCCTGGCCGACATACGAGAGTGTTAATCTATGCGCTCGGTTACTCCTACAAACCATGGTGTTTTATATTGTTTTTCCGTTTTTTAAACCTATGACCTGGCTGGACCAGCCTTAATTAGTTCCTAGCACCTTAACCAATCAAGGACGATGATCTGCACGGTTTAACCGCCGCCATCACCCCTATATCAGCTACTTTAATGTGCTGGCTCCATCCACCATCAATCCAACTACCCCTCGTCCTTATGATGAAACAATGCCGTATTAATCTTTTTGCTTTACAGAGCATCCATGGTACCGGTAATGAGGCCGCAAGACCTTAGGATGCGCCCAGAAAAGCGACAAAAGTTGCGGTTGGACAGGTATATGCCCATCATTTATTGTCTACATGTAAAAACTGGAGTGTTCAATTTGCTAACGGTGATTGTGACACATAGCCACACTTGTATACCGGGCTTGAGCAACGTCCCAGACCACTGTCCAAACCCAACTTAAACAGGCACCTTTTCGGGCGATGAGGAATCAAAATAAGGCTTCCAAAGGAGTGATACCCCATGATGGCAAAGATGGAAATTGCAATGCTGGCCGAGTTCAGGGTACAGCGGAGCATTGAAAGTGCTCAGTATCTGAGTGGGCGCGGGGTGCTGGATCTAGACTATTCTTTCGGCTCAAGGGAATATGGATTACAGTAGTACCGCTTGGCTGTCTGGCTGTCGGAAGCTTTTAGGTTCAACGGGAGATTGGGTTTTTTTGGTTATATTTGGTCACCTACTCTATACTGGATTATACAAGATCTTTGCAAGCAAACGAGTTGTTGACTTGCAGTACTGTGGGTTTTTGTCGTTCTGAAGGAGGTGAAAATCCATATGAAAGGGACTAGCATGTAGTGTTTAAGGGAATTGTGCACATCTTGATTGTTCTGTGTCGTATAACGCTCTTGAGACAATCTTAGGGTGCAGAAGTCCATAGACTTCCACGGCAGCTCTCGCCAACCTCCCCTCCTTCCCCAACTCACTTTCTATCTTTCTCTTCTATCAACCTACCCCCCTTTTAACGAGATATCCAGCACTGCAAAATGGGTCGCTGGGGATTCCGTACGTGAAGCCCCTAAGATGCGTTCTCTAGCCCAAGTCTTACTGACCTCTCCGCTCTAGGTCTTTTCGAGTGTGACACCGACATGGACATTCTCTTGAATCTACCAGAAGCCGTAGGTATTGATGAAAAAGAATGGCGATTCACTCTCGGCCAGTTAGTCCACCAAAGCGACATGCTTGCCCCAGCGGAGTCGACTGCCTGGTACCAGACCCCCGAATACGCTGTAGTCCTCGAAGAAGAAATGGTCCCCTACATTCGCAATAAGCTCGACACGGATGGGCTGGGAGAGCAGCTGATCGAAAGATCTCGTCACAACGGACAGTTCTGGGATCCTGACTACCAGACGATTCTCCTCGGTGCTATTATGATGCGCGCGGGGGCTAATATCAAGCCAGAACATCTCTTATACCTCCGCAGGGCGGCTCGGAGGATAGGAATCGAGTCGGTTCAAGCCCAGTTTCTTGCGGCTTTGGATCACTACCAGCCTGGTGTTCCGCGCAGTTTCCAGGATGATTGGTCAGTTGACTCCTCAAAGCATAGTGCTTGGCTTACTGCTGACTATAAGTATATAGCTGTATTTCCTGTGGTGAGAATGAGAGTGACCTTGGATATCCACTCCAGAAATGTGAAACATGCAAGGTGTTCTACTGCGATAGGGTAAGGACCTGTACATGTGGTTGGTGCCTCGATGTGTGAGACAATTGCTGAATTTCATTAGAAGTGCAAGCGTAGACATGAGCTTGAACACTGATTCTTGCCGCGATGTCCTGCCTGCTCTACCTGCGCTTTGCGTGGTACAGGTCTTTGAAAAAGAATGATACTCTTCAGAACCTTTTTCTGCGTCTTATGGCAAGTTCCCCACAGGTTATGGGATGATTTCCCAGCGAAGGAACTGCTGTGCAATAGTTACCTTACTCTGCAATTGTGTTTTATTTGCATTGTCACAGTCCATCTAGAAGTCTATATTATATGTAGGAGCAATTTTGCGATGTACACATATATATATCTCGCTCAAGTCGACCTACAAAGACGTAAAACCGTACATTTGTAGATGTAATTTAATGTCACGACAATACAATACATACTGCACCCATTGATGTTTTCTGATTGAAACCAACCCCCCTTCCCCCCTGTACAAGTGATTTGAAAATATTATGATTGCGGATTGACAGGTTTGCCTAGCGGTCGCCACAGCTCCACCGGCTCACGCTCTAGTTTTAAAAAGGAGATGACGGTGGGAACAAAATGGCCGGAAGCAGACGAAAATTACCAACACTAGGTTTTTATGCGGCCGAACAACTCCAATAGGCCATTCTAGTCGGATGGTAAAGGAATGCAACACCCTATTAATTGAGGGAAAATATACCTCATAGTCGGTTGTCGTTGTTGGAAATTACGTGCTGTGCCAAGGGCTGTTAGATAGGCATATGCACGCATCTATGTACATATCTACTGTACAGTTGTGCAGTTGTGCATTCGTTTGTAAAACCAGGAATATAGAGAGAGAGAAAGAAAATAAAGGGAACCAATTTGAAAATGTGTGATACAAGAAAAGGTACCCAATCAATCCTCATCATCCTGGACCTCGTCATCCTCTTCCTCTTCGATCTCGTTCTCGTCGGAAATAAACATACGCTGAAAAATAGGCCGAGTGCCATCCCCGTCCTCCCCCGCCCAATTTTCCTTTTCAAGGTCAGTAAGTGCAGCTAAAGTCGCACCCCGAGACTCTAACAAGTCGACCATATCCTGGTCACCCTTCATTTTAGCAGTGTAGAGTCCAGCATGCCCGTACTGTGAAATATTTAATCCTCCATCAAGAAGAAGTCTCACCATAGACTCATCCTCGTGTAGTACAGCTAGCTTCAACGCTGTTGCTTGCGGCCCCACACCATATTCGAGCAATACAGGGATAATATCCTGTTGATCATCTTTCACAGCACGATATAATGGTGAAGGGGTATACAGCTCTGGATCAGCACCACGCTGAAGCAGCAACTTTACTAGCTCCAGATTCCCGAACTGCACCGCAGTGAAGAGGGGCGGGTAATCAACCTCCTTACTATGCCACCAGTTGCGAGTATATTGAGCACGTCCCCCATAGTAGAAGTTGGCCTGTGCACCAAAGTCTAGCAAGACGGCCACGATTTTGGTATGGCCACCCTGAATTGCCACCACTAGAGCGTGCTGGATATTCACAACGCTCAGGATGCTGTATCCCCGTTGGAAAAGAGGGTGGGTAAAAATATCCGTTGGGTCCCATCTTTCTCGTGTTCTCCTTAGCACCGTGTCTTCTTCTTCTTCGTACATTTTTGGAGCCTTGTCTTCCGTTGCTTCTATCACTGCCAGGGATGCTTGAGGCTGGTTGCGGGCAGCATTTAGCCCGTCTAGCAAATCTTGAAGTTGTAAAAAGAGGTTCCGCTCGGCGAGAAAAGAGAGCGCGGCTCCATTCTTATACTGGCCGTGAAAGTAATACAGAAACTTGATGAGTGTTTCGTATAGATGACGATTGGTTCGGATGAAGGCGTAAATGCCCCTTTGGTGGCAAAAGCATGATGCGATGGTCCACAGGATCTCAGTGGGTAGTTGGACGAGCGCCATTACGGGAAGATGGATTCAATTTCGCAAGTGCATGTATGTACAGGGGAAGTTGAAAATATGTGGAAGCGTATATGGACTTGGCTCAAGAGGCTCTAAGCCGTATGTGGTTAGCGTGAAAAGCGATGTTGATTTAGTCCGCCGTCCGTTCGAAGGGGTGGTACGACATACGCTTGGCACAGCTAACAAATCTCCATCTCTTAACTAGTGCACGCTATTTCGTGTTAGTTCGTTTTTGTAATGCAGGGGGACTTGAGGTATTATAATTTATGGAGGCATTCTAAGAACACTAATTGAATGTCCGGGCGGTAGTGCTAATCCCATTGAAGCTTCCGAAGCCCTTGGATGACTGATAACACTTGACCGAGATGCCCTTTGCGCGAGATGGTGAAGTCGAGCGATGCAAGCAAGTATCGATGGATTTGGTGACCCTTATCCGTTCAACTAATGGCAGGTGAAAGAGGCGGAGGACGTCTGGGTGGGTCACCACCAGCGAATCCTGTATGTTTTTGTTTTATTTTTTTCTTCTTGGTAATTAGGTTCTATGAAGACCACAAAATGTTCTTAGCGCACCGTCTTTTTCAAATTGACACTTCATTTGCATGGCTATGTTAATCCAATTTCACATAGGGGAAGAATTGTTCTTGTTGCGAACTAGAATGAAAGACGCTAGAATATGTCCTTCGTTTCACATCAAAAAAGATCCTCAAAGGCGAGAAAGATTGGAGAATTCTGCTGGCGCATGGTAAGTAGGGACCTTCATATCCAGATCGGCCCCAGAGTAGCCAAGGTCCTCTGCAACCAAAACTGCGCACTTTTCACCGATAAGGAGAGCAGTCTATCGATTTTAATAGTAAGTACTTGACAAAATCCTAGAGAAACGAACAAAAAGAACACTCACGCTGAAGGTGTTGCAACCCACATTGTCAGGGCAGATAGACAAGTCGCAAACCTTGAGGCCCTTGACGCCATGAACATTGAGGCGCTCGTCAACAACGCCTCCATGGGGTGCGATAGAGTTGCCCTCTCGCGGTGCCATGCTGCATGTGCCAAGGCAGTGCCAGGTTGTCTCAACATGACGGGAAACTGCACCAAAAGGTGTTAGACACTATGTTCCGAGGTGGTACCAATTACCATGTTTGATACTTACTCCACTTCTCAATGTGCTGGATATCTTCATTGCTGTACTCCAAAGAAGGACGAGCTTCATGTCTATTGGAGTTAAGAGTTGAAGCCGAAGGCTGCTTTCCGGGTTCCAATGGAGTGGTCCAAGAACCTATGTTCATTTGATTAGCTGCACCGGATAACTCCGCTCGAAAGAAATGATAACATACCATGTTGAATACCAGCAGAAATATGTTTGGAGCCGGCATATGCCTTGGTAGTCGCCAAATCCATATCTTGCGCCCGTGCCGATGAGTTGAAGGCGAACTGAGGATGCATGGCAGTGACCTCTCCAGCGTACGAGCTCATGCGCCGGGCGGTCTCACGGGATTTAATATATCCCCAGACCAGAGGGGCCATATCACGTTTGTCATTCATGAAACCTGCATCAAAGTCCGGGACTTCGTAAGGGTCAGCCGACTGGATGTGGGTGTGCCCACGTGAGAATGGGTATTCCTAGTATCTTGTCAGCACTGGCTGATCTGGTTTAGCGAGTTTTCACCATACCAGGAAATGGAACATTGTAAAGAACTTGCCCGGAGGCATGTGCATGTGGTCTCCGAACCAGCTGTGGGTGGGTTAGCATCGTGGCATTCAAAACGAAATGGATGCAATGCTTACCCAGAAATGATTGAGTAATGCATGACAGGCTTATCAGGCTTATTTCTGAAATAGGACTCATACCCCTCTGTAAAGTCTGCCGTAGGCCACTTCTTCATCTCTGCGAGCTCTTGCTCGGTAGGCCGGATCTTGACCCCAGCATCGATACCGTTAGTGGCCAATGGACCGGTGCCCTTCTTATCCCACTCTTCGAACACCTTCTTCTGGACTTTGGGGTCTCCACGAATGAAGTCATCAAAGGACTCGACGTCGGGCTTGGCGCGGTAAACGGAGAAAGTAAGGTAGTGGTCTTGGAAGTTTCGGCCCACGCCTGGAAGGTTGACCAGGGGCTTGACACCAGCCCGGCGCAGCTTCTCAGGGTCACCAAATCCGGACCGCTGAAGAATAAGTGGGGAACTCATGGTACCCGAACTGATGATGATTTGCTTCCGGGCCTTGAAGATCCTGCGAACTGGCTCTCCGCCGTTGAGAGGCTTAGTCGGGACTGTCACTACTCCCACAGCACGACCATTTTCAACAATCACCTTCTCAACTTTGGTATTACATTGAAGGTGGAGATTGGTATGTTTGGCTCGGGTGCTGTGGACATAGGCGTGGGCCGCATCACTTCGTCGTCCTAGTATCGAGTGTCAGAGAGGCAATAATACGACGCAGAACTGGTCCTTGTTCTTACCTGTGTCACGATTGATCCACTTCAACCAGTGTTCTGCACCGTGGCTGTAACAATATGACTCTTCGTTAGCGAGATACAGTGGGTGATATACCGTGGACCTCATACGCAGTCTTCAAATCTTGCAAGTCATCAGTGAATGGAATTCCTTGCGTCTCCACGGCGCGAAGGAAGTCGTTCTTGATCGGGTACGTATAGTTTCCAAATGAGACCTTGATAGGTCCATCCGTGCCATGCAGTTCCGGGTTATTGCTCGCACGTTGGTACGTTTCGTGCTTCCTCATCAATGGAAGAAGTTCCTTGGTTGTCCAACCTTTTGCTTGAAAATCGTCGTAATCGGACGCAGACGCTCTGGTATACATCTTCAATGCATTTAGTTTGAGACCTCGGGATCAAAATGTCAAAGAGGCATCACTTACCATAAAGTTAATAGAACTGCCACCTCCAAGAATGTTGGCACATGGAACAATAGCCTGGCGACCGTCTAAATGCTCAGATGGCCTAGATTGATAAAACGATGCCGTGTTCGAATCAAGCTTCATGTTATTGGGGTATATACCAGGGCGGTACACCCTAGATGAGATTAGAATACAGTCCCTGAAAGTGGTAGCCTTGGCGTCCTCACCATTGATTGTTCAAGTTATCCTCGCCTGCCTCAATTAACAACACAGACAGATTGTGATCAAGATTCGCGAGGCGGCCCGCAGGGACACATCCCGAACTGCCGCCACCGCAGATGATGATATCAACCTCTTCTGGGATAGTCATGTCTTGTTGACAAGATAGTGAATTGAGGATAGTTATCAAGAAAGTGCTGGAGAGAATAATCAAAATTTTTGATGACACCTCCCAGAGGGGCCTTATATAGCTGTGCCTTTGTGCCCACGGAAGTATCTATGTAGGTAATTTCTCCAAATCAAGTCACATATACAGCTAATAGCCCTGTACATTGACCCCGCGCGCGGAGACAGAGTTCAAGCGCTGGAGTGTGGCTAACACCAGACTTCAGCATTGAGAAAAAGTGCGTTCGTCTTTGATGCACTCGAAGGAATGTGTACCCAAATATCCCCAATCAAGCACATTCTATCAGCATAACGAAAATGACAGAGACATGATCTTTGCGACATATTAAAACAGGAACTGTTGATCATATTGTCGTATTTTCCAAGTTGACTATCCCTGTAATGTACCAAACGGCCCAAAGCCAAGAGCTCTATGATGGCTCTTTTTGGGATGTTCCCCGCATTTCATGTATGGCTGTCGTCAGCTCAATTGATTGCCTAGAGCAAGCTCTTGCAGGTTTTATGCAGGTAAGGCGTTGTCAAGGTTCCTTGTTATCCCTCCAGCCTCCTGGACAGGGTATGGGTGAGGGAAGTCTGCGTGGGGGTCAAAAGGAGTTTGTTGAACACATTCGGCGGAAGATTATAAGATTGGTTCCCGAGGTCCTGTATTCCAAGCTATTTCCATGTACATGTACATGTCTCTGGCTTGCCGAACCATACATCAGACAAATAACCAGGGTACGAGTTTTCGTTCAATGTAATCTTTTAGCCCTTTGTCTTTCCGAAAATTCGTTGCAGAAAATAAATTGAAAAGATTTGCATCAAATTTCTAAAGAACCACATATAACGCAGTCTGATCAAGTGATGTGATATTCTGATTCAGTAAGATTTGTACCCGCCGGGAAGCATGATTCAGCCTAACGTGGCACTCTATCCGCGCATTAGTCTCCTGCGCAGATTGTCACTATCTCCGCACTACCCGTGCTCTAAATAGTAATTTTGCGGGGTAGACTTATTGGCGTGGGGCACAAAATATTGTTTATGGAAAAGGCGGCAGATGTATATCGCTGATAAAAATTTCTATTGGAGGAAATTTGACACATCACCAAGACTGCATGGTACTTTTACACATCACTGGTAGCCTGGGCTCTCGCCATGGTATAGCCGAAAACTCATATAAACCTTTCTCTTTATCACCTAGCCAGGTATCACTTAACGGCTAATTATACCCGATGTGTTTAAATGAACTGTGCTTACCAGGGACTTAAGTGCAGCACCAAATATGATTTCCACCAATCGAGCAGGCGTCCAAATCACAGAGCAAACATATTGCTGTAAGGAAGAGGAACAAAGGCGAACGTGATGTAAACAAATTTTGATTAGATTTTACACACTCGAATGATGCGCAAACTTCATATAGTTCCACAGAACTTGTTACATGTTTCCTCGAAGTTTAGACAATAATGAGCCCCATTGAACTTGTTTTAAAGCAGGTTGCCGTGTTGAGTAATCCACATAATAACAATGATATTTCGTATAAACATGGTATCATTATTATATCCAACTAAAGGCGGTAACGTGCCATTTACAACAACGGCCAGGAGAAAGGTAGAAACTCACTACCTAGCAATAAATCAATCCTTTATTCAAACCATGCAACATGCGCAGCCCATTTGTAATATCTAATTCAACATTCCATTGTAAAAATAGAGCAAAATCCAAAAAAAAAGAGAAAGGGCAGGAAACATTCAAGTATCTAGTGGAAAATATTGACATCAACGACAGACAGAGAGAAGAGAGGGGGCGGAGGGAGAGGGAAGATCAGTGCTGGAGGGGCAGAGGTCATATTACCCTGAGGCAGAAGTATTAACAGGGCTAGTTCTACCGTGTTGGAATTAGGAACTTCGAAGTTGCCCTCTACTAGCTCTTACATCTATAGGGAAATAATACGGGGTCACTCTGTTCATGGTACAATTTAGGTGCAGGTTAAGCTGTCCATAACCCATGCTAATAGATTAAAATGATGCTTGAGCAGGAATTAAGAGCTACATCTGCAGATGGATATATATATGCGTGGTAAATGTGAGAAGGGAGATTAGATTTTTTTTAAAAAAATGATGAGGCAATGAAATCTAAAGATGGTGTACAGTCTACTCACACCCAAAGCAAGAAAGAAATCACGAAGAGCCAAATCACACCGAAGAAAATATGACAGTGAAAAAACAGGCGTTGAAGGGACTTTCTCCATGCCCTCAGCCTCAACCGCCTTGCTGGGGGGCTACCATACTCGCCAGATTTCTCCAATCTTCATGTCAATGAGCTTAATGAGTGCCCAATAAGCTCGTGAATGGTCAAGAGACGCTGGGCCCTGTCGAATATGTGTAGATCGATGGGTATTGTGACCTTTACCATTCCCTATAAATGGTTTTGATGTAGAGGATTTGACATTTCTCCAGCTTCTCGCCCATATGTTGGATTGGCCAATATCTGGTGGTAGTTCGTTCGGTCGCTGTTCCCTCCTAAAATTTTTGCGTATCATGATTGGCTTTGCCAATGTCTCCAACGTAATGTATCTGGTGGTGAAAAAGGGGGAAATCTTAAGTAGTTTTAGTGCGTCCATCGCGCCCTAAAACCCTATAGATCTTGGAACGGAAAAATACGCAAGCCACCATTTCTACAAAAAGAGGCAGCTATCTTGACTCCCGCGCAGATCAAAGAACCTCTATTCAAATCTCACGGATTTATCGAAGAGTTGTTAAGAGCTGAGGCGTTTTCAAGATGTAACTGACATACTCTCTGGCAAAGAATTTACCTTCGTTGCTAGATGTTTGACGTAATTACAAACTCATTCGGGTCCATTGGGGGACAAAGAAAAGCTCTTGAAAATTGAGGGTTTTGATGGGAATACTCGGTTAATCTGGAATATCTTCGGAACCAGTGTCGATTTATGAGATAAAATAGTCCATTGATACGTTTTGGTCAAGTACAACAAAAGAACAAAGACAAGGAATAACATTCCTGAAAAATCGAGTGTAATTACACAAGGTTCAGGCTCGATTGCGACCCATTTCTTCAATTTCCCACACGAGAGCCATATCTCAAATAGAAGGATTAATTCCACGATCGCACCTGCCCTTGTTCCAGAACCGGTAGAGTCAGAGATGATTCCAAGGTTCGGTTTGGAGATCAACATGTAAGTCACGATCCTTTCTTAACATCACCATTACTGCTTTGGAATAAATGGAATTACCGACCGAAAAGGAATCACTAACTAGATGTCATATTAAATAGACCTCATTTCGAGCATTGCTATTCATATACTCAAATACTCAACTATACATAACTATCAGTGATACCTCGTCTCTTGAATCGTACTCAATCTGTCGCTCGATGTTTGTTGAACTGTCGACTGATTTCAAACATACTTTCCGGCCACCAATTTTCATATCTCTTCCACAGAGACATACGCCATCGCGTATCTCGCCTAAGGATGATAAGTTGCCTAAGTTCCCAAACTCCAATGCCACCAATCCACCACACCTTGTCTATTAACATAACCAGAACAATCCAATGGGCAAATATGTCCACAGCTAGCTGGTGTGATAGACTAGGCTCCGAATTCAGGGGATTCAGAGGGCACACGGCAATTCCACGACTGCCCGGTGCTCCGCTTTGCATATAACCCATCATGTCTTCAACCAAGTTCAAATATTTCGTAGGTACTTTGTGAATAAATGCCATAATGAACCTTCGCGGAAGCCTCGACGGTATCATCGAAGTTATTCTGGCTGTGTATCTCCACATCCAGGGCGAAACTTTCGAGACTTGTCCCACATCACTAATATCGACTTCAGAAGCGAGATTGTAATGGCCTGGCGTGTTTGACATCAAGTTTTTATCATGAAAAGTCTCGCATGCAATGTTTTCGAATAGCTCCAACGCAGCAAAACATGCTTTTATGTTGGAGTCACTATGGGTAGGTGGTGTATCCCAGTCTCCATAATCACCCATTCCGTTTCTGGTGATTTCTTTGGCGCTTTCCCGCAGCCTTTTCAGTGCGGATACCACCGTGGCAGCCATAATGGGATACAAAACATGATCTTTGGGGCCTGATTGCTGCTCACCCCAAGATGACAACTTGCATTCGTGACGCATCTGAAAATCACAACTTGCCACAGGGTTAATGGATGAGGCGACCGGCCCAAGTTGAACCAACTCCTCTGTTTTGAGGCTTTCGTTGAGTAGTCCCGTGTAGGCGACGCGCACGGCGCGGAAGAGACTAATCCACTGACAGCCTTTTGGCATAAACCGGCCCCGTTCTAAGTCATCGGAGGATGCTGTTTCCGCTAGCCAGATTCGGATGCAGTGGCTGCCCGATCCGTACATTCCCATAATTGCGGCGTTCGCAAGGATATGGTCGTATTGATCAGTCCCTGAGAGAGTGACTTGGATCTCCCGCAGTGATTCCACGTGATATTGATCTGCGATAGATAGAAGCTCCAGAACTTGTCCACGGTCTCCATGGGATATCGGCGACTGGTTGATAATATCGCAACATTTACATACTGCCGAAAATGCAAGCACGGATTTCATGAGGAGCTTGTTCTGGAAAGCTAGATTCGGAATTCCGACCTGCAAAGTGTATTGGTCTTCGTGGTCGACTGTCATATCTTTGCTAGTGTGTTCGAGATAGTGATCGAGCAGTGTGGATTCTGTCGGCGTAAGAATCTGTGATGTTTGTGACCGCAAACGCGAGTTGGGGTGTTCATCAACTCTCAACAACTTGAGCGGTGATTGCGAGGAAGGGAATCCTGAGGCTGATGATCTTGGGCTTCCGACAACCGCGGACGAGCAACGTGAACTTTCAGAGCTATTCACTTCATATTGCAGCCGCTCCTGTTGTTCAAATTTGGCCTCGTGGGATAGAATGTCGGATCTTCTTGGGTATTGGCAAATCAAATCCATCTTACTGCATCTTGAGCACTTTGGCTCGAGTTCGTCGCACTATATATATTAGATAAGTATTACCATAATTTTTCATCATGTGCAATGCGTACTTTGATTCTGCGTGCCTTGCACTTTTTGCAACCATATCGGGACTTTCTGTGAGACCTGCGCGTCTTCATATTGGTCCAACTACCGTCTTGCTCTGATCTATCCAGTGACAGCAAAAAGGTAAGTGGGAGAAATTGAAACACTGGACTTGCAACCAGCGTTTATGAAGATGAGCACATTGAGGCTCCTTCCTATAATCATCAATCCTATCACCTAACTGACTTCCTAGTGTCTTGGAAGTCTACGTATGTAACTCAGGAACTCCCTCATGATTCCAAATAGTGCCTTACTCAGCTTTGTGTTATGTTAGACACTGAGGTCTTCAGCGAGCACTAACTACATGGCATTTGGAAGTCACTTCGCCCACCGTCAGCATTAAATATCAGGGTTATGAATGGCTGGAAGGGCGGGAATTGAGGCTGTGAACCACAACCTTGTGCCCAGGTGGAAATTGAGTTGTATCTAATTAGTTAAGTGCTGCGCCCCTCACGTATCGATGCTTGGCATTAAAATCGACCGACGAAATCTTTACTGTTTTATCGCGGGGATGCTACTCTTCAAATGTTTCAAGTGTAGAACACCACAAACGTCTTCTCCTCCCCTGGCTCAATCTGCTTTTACACTGTACTTCATATAGTTGTTTAATATCAATAAAAATTTTGTTGAAGCATTATTTAGGTTCCCCATTAAATGCCAAGAGAATAAGCCTGACAGTGGTGTCATGCAAGTGCGTATTCGCTTAAAACTTGTCAACTACTTGACAAATACTATTCACAAAGTACGGAGTACAGAGTACATGCCAGTGGCCAGAAAATATGTCCTGACTATTCCCTCTTTGGTTATTCTCCATCTACATACCCCTCATTGGCTGTAAATGTGTCGCTGTCCTCAAACCGACAACTGTCCAAATAATCACATTCAATGGGGTAAATTTTGGAATTCCTTCTTTTTATGGAATTGTCCATAGCAGGCAGATATTGCGGGGCCATCAAAGTGGCTGAGCACAGTGAGAATATCCCTTTACGGCCATGAATTTGATAGGTCTACGAATTGTAATACGTGGATCATCTGTCCTTCGGGAGTATATGGACTAATAATTATTTACCTGGGTAATTCAAAAGAGATAACAGTGCTCGTGAGCTTGAGCTGCACCGCAGGCGTACTCGCAGCCTGGAGAAGAATGGTCGAAATCCCAGAGAACGCCCTAGACCACGACTGCACGCTTACTATTTAGAAAACCTAATGTGAATATTCCGACTCGATATTTTGCATCCATCGCGTATAGAATACGCTCTGTGAGACTGATCACAGTGCTGGATACGCTCGTTGACCATGGGATGGTCTACAGTGCTATAACAAGTCAGATATATAAGCGCCCATACGTGCCGAAGTAGAGAGACCAGCACATCGGTTTCACAAACTAATTCACTAATCTACCATACGACTATCAATCCGAAAAGTCATGAAGTTAAGCTTGCTCGAGACAGTTGTCTTCAGCCTTGCAGTTAGCTCGTACGGCTGGGAGCATAGAGGCCATGAGTTCCGTCCACCACTACCAGGCGACAGTCGGTCTCCATGCCCTGGTCTCAACGCCTTGGCCAACCACGGCTGGCTCCATCGCTCAGGGAAAAACATCGACCTACCCGCATTCCAATCCGCCATAGCTGGTGCCTATAACTACGAGCCCACATCTATGGACGGGTTTTTCGAGCTGGCGCTGAACTTCAACCTCTCGACCACGGGTAACCAATCGACCTTCAACCTGTTTGATTTGGCGAGACACGACGAGATCGAGTTCGACGGGTCGCTGTCTCGCAATGACATCTACTTTGGCGATAATGTGCACTTCGATCATACCATTTGGGCAACGGTCGCTACGAACCTCGATCTTTACCATACTCTGGGCTCTGAGATAAATCAATATGTCACCGTCGAGACGGCAGCCAAGGCATGTAGGGCACGCGCGGCCGATGCCAAGAGGGTCAATCCCAGCTTCAATGCTTCCGCCATGCAAGTTATGGGCAACCCTGGGACAACAGCTCTTTATTTGGTGACCTTGTGGGATGAGAACGCAGGTGCTGCACCAAAGTCTTGGATTCGCGCTCTATTTGGTGTGTTCCCTTACATTCTCTTGCTATTAGCACCGCTGCGATATATCGATACTTACTATCTGATAGAAGAAGATCGTATCCCGTACCTTGAGGGGTACAAAGTACCCAAAGTTCCAAGGACCATGGACGATGTTAATGAAATGGCAAAGAGAGTGTCGGCAGTAAAGGTTTAGGCCTAGCGGAGAAGGCCCGATGTCTATTCAAGCTTCGGGCTAAGGCACGTACGTGCTTTTGCTAAAGGAACTCTAAGTTTCCCTAAGGGTCCTGCTCTAGTACGTAAACTTTGAATGGTAAATATAGATAAAGCACATCTATCGAATTCTTCAATCCCGTATACCTCACCATCTGGATGTAATCTCAACTTCATTTGATTTCCAATTTAGATATGCGCGTAGTGGCAATTATCCTGGCTCCTGGCCTCCACAGTCCCCTCACAACCTACCGGAAACCCCAAATACCTAGTGGCGTGGTATACAAAAACGTCGATACCAAAACCTTTGCGGAAATCGAGGGTCGGGTGTCAATGACGGGTGAAGAAATCCCCCATTATGATATCACAGAGGACCTTGAGACCGTGGCAAACCTCCCGACGTGTTGAGGGTTATTGCAGTATCCACCTGGGCATTGTACCCACCCCTTAGAATCGTACCACCCCGGGGCCCCCGGGAGGTCCAGGCCTGCAACCATGGAAGTCTTCAGTACCGCCTTGCCGATCGAGTCAGTTTTGCCATACCCGGTCTTGGCAAGAACCGGGTATTCTGCATATTTCTTCTGCCCTATATTCTGCCCTATATTCTGCCCACTTTAAGTCTGGTTTATACAGTAAAAAAAACCTAAAGCTCCTTTCTTTGATCATAAAAATCGCTTATTCTACCGAATTCAATCTACTCTATAGGTTTATTATACTAGCTTTTGTGCCTTTTCCCGCCCCCTTCTACGTCATCGACCGCCGGGGCCTATGTCGGAGCGTGTCTCGTGGCCTGTCTCGGTTCTTATCACAGCCGGGGGTGGAAAGTGGGAAGTGGGGTGGGTGGGGGGGGAGGGTGGAGAGGTGGAGGGGTGGATTCGGGAACGATCTCAGGCTCGGAGTTAGAGAGTAGATATTCTATGTTGTGGTTCCAAGGTTGTAGAGAAGCCATGGTGGCCATAAAGGAATCAATAATAAAGTGGTTTATAGCGCAATTTACGAAGTAGTTAAGGAAGCAATTGATCAAAAGCTAGAGACATACTAGGGCGAGAAATGAAATGTGACAGGAGTGACTTATTTCTGTTGGTAGTTTACGTACAGAGTGCAGGTACCTACTATCTTGTCTTTGTATTGTATTGTCGGGAGTGTACATATGTAGAAAGTGGTAGGTAAGCAAAACAAGCAAAACCAGGTATCAAGGCAGGAGCAGTACTCAATTAGGAATGTGCACCCAAAGTTTTGGGCAGGGGGGTTTACGAATAGCCAAAGGGGGCTACGATCATCCACGGGACATACAAATATCAACACCCTATTTGATATCATTGTACAAGATATACCTTACAAATAGAAACTTCGTGCAAGCGACTCTTGATCTTCTGTATAACAATATATCAATGATTAAAATTTGGGAAGTCCGATCTAAAAATGCTACTATATCTGCTTTCCAGTGTAACTAAAACAGGAAAATGCACCCAAAAAGCAAATCAATCTGAAGCTTCTAAACACGTTTCCCTTCGAATCCTTCGGCGGGCCATCCCTGGAGCGTATCTCCATTCTCAACATGGTCACCTGATAGGACCAGAGTGTGCTCCAAAAGACAAGCATCCTGGCCCATTGAAGCACCGGACATCAAGCGCGACCCAGCGCGCAGGATACTCCGATCCCCAACATTCAAGGTGTGTAGCTCGAATCCACCACGCGAGTTCAAGTGGCAGACCAAACTGGCATCATCGACAGCAACACGGTCACCAAGGGTGAGGAGGTCGGGCTCGGTGAAGAAGATGCTGGGCGCACCGTTGGCGTGGATCGCACAGTCATTTCCAATGTCCGCGCCCAAGAGGCGGTAATACCAGGAAATGTAGGCAGAGCCGGAGATCATGGGCAGGAGACCAACTCCATCATAGCAGTCTTTGATCAGCGTCTCACAGGAAAGGAGGAATTGCCAGCGCTGGTTGTAGCTGCTCTTGTCCCAGTGGTAGGCACCTTCCTTTCGGCGGCCCACGACCGTCCATTTGATGCACAGAATGATGCCGAAGGCCAGGACGACTTGAGCGGTGGTGATGACAGATAGTATCGAGGCAAGAGTGCCCCACAGGACGAATGGGCGCCAGGCACCTTGCTTGAAACCAGCGGCATCACTGTAGTTCAGTACAGCGCGGAGAGCGAAAAGGGAGAACAAGACAGTCAGGAGCCAATAGACAGTAGTGACAATAACTGCAAATGTAGAATAGATGACAATTTGCCACATGCGGAGGACGTAGTAGCTGGCCTCGTGGCGGTAGAAGGCGCGACCGAAAGGCTTGCAGGTATCTACATCCTGCTCGGCGATCTCGGTAACGGTCTTGTCCTTACTGTCATAGTAGATATGCTTCTCGGTGGGTGTTTTTTCGTCGTCGCTGCTGCTGCTGTTGGGGCTGCTACTACCATCTCCAACGATAGTTGGAGCGGTCGATGTGGTAGTCGAGGTGGAACTTGGGAACTGTATAGCCTCACCACCCTTGCTACCAGTCCAGACAGTGTTGGCAGGATAGTCACCATTACGGCGAAGCAAAGCGCCGGAGCCGATCATGGCTTGACGGCCGATGGTAGCACCGGGCAAAGCGACGACACGATCACCAACCATAGTGCCATCACCAATCACGATGCGGTCACGACCGTAACCATCGGATGTGACCAAGGTCGAGCGAGATCCGAAGACAACATCGTTGCCAACCTCAATGAGATCAAAGTCGACAGTGACGGGACCAACACTGGGCCAGTAGACATGCTTGCCAACCTTGCCACCAAGGGCTCGGACAGCCATCGAGACAAATTCGTAGTGACGACCAGTAAGGCGTGTGAGTTGGTGGATGTCACCTGCGGGTAGAATTTGGGCAAGAACGGCACTCCGAATCTTTTGGCGAGTGGTCTGTTTTGAGGCAGGACCGGGCTTGGGCTTGCCACAGACGAGATCGAGGAAGGACTTGATAATCAAGACCGCAATGAAAAGCACAATCGGTCCACCAACAGCACGACAGATTCTTGCGGTAATGTGGAATGCAATTCGCTGATCACTGGTGTACCAGTCCAGCGTAGACCGGAACATGTCGGCCGCGGGGGTAGGGAACTCGAGAACCATAGGAATAAGACCACCCATCCAGGTAACACGAGCAGCCGTCCAGGTGATCAACTTGATTGGCTCAACAATCAAGAGAATCCAGAGCCAGTGAGGCTTAGGGATCTGTGAGGTAAGCAATTGGCGGTTAGACTCATCGGCGTCCTGGAGTTCCCAGCTCGACGAGTTGGGACCAATGCAGGTGTTCTCGGGGATGTCGGCACCAGCAGCGACGATAGACTTGATGCCCACAGCCGAGTCTTTGCCAATGCGAATGCGCTTCAAAAGCATAGAGGTGTTGCGCTCCACGGCGAAGGGGCGACACACGCATGTATCCAAAACGACATTGTCACCGATCTCAATCAGATCATACTCGCCAAGCTTAGCAGATGCGGACATTGTAACATTCTTTCCAATCTTTGCGCCGAGCAAACGGTAGAAGAGAATTCGGGACCAATTGTAGTTGTTGAAGACTCCTTTTCCACACACCTGCAATGCCTTCTGGGTCAACCACCAGCGCGTATGGTACGGACCCCACATGGGGGACATGCCCTCCTTGTAGCGACCGATGACGAGCCACTTAAAGGTGATAGCAAAGATGGGAGACACAATTTGTGAGCATAAGCGAGCAGACATCACGGCGAAAACAACCAGCATCAAACGAGCGATGAGGTTCTCACGAATGGGGAATCGATTTGAGCACTCGGCTACGACGTATGCGAACATCATCCACTGGAAGGCCCGCTTCATGGGGAAAAAGAACACAGTCGGGAACAGATGCAAGACCAAGATGATTGGGTTCGTGCTGCTGTATGTCTTCTCGCAACCGGGCAATTCAACTTCCCCTTCGTCGCCCTTGGCAGCCTTCACTTCAACGGCTTCGGTGATCTTGTGCTCTATCTCTCCAACAGTGCTGTGGTGGAAGAGAATGTCGCCGGCTAGGAAAATACCGAATTCACGACGAAGTTGCGAAACCATACGACCAGCGCTGAGACTGTCACCTCCAGCAGCAAAGAAGTCTGTAATTCTAGATACTTCTTCCGGTGCACAAGACAAGGCGACAGCGAAGATCTCACGCACGCGGCGCTGAATGGGCGACAGGTCACCATCGGAGTTGCGGGCGTGGATCGCCTCATTGATAGCGGCCTGGTCGGGGTTTCCATAGAAATCGAGAGGCATGGGACCTTTGAGGGGAATGATTCGGCTAGGTACGAGGTAGCCATCGAGATGCTCGTGAAGCTCGACGGGTGTCACATGGTCATCATTTGGATTGTCGACAAACAAAACGACCTGCGCGAGCCCGTCGCGCGGGTTTATTTGCACGTGCACGTCGGGGGTGTTTGCTCTCTTGGTAAGAACTGAGCGGATGATTTTATCATCGATGACACACGATTTCTTCGAGATCAATGCACTGAGCGGAGCACCAGTGGGTGGGCAGACAGCTTCGTAGTGCCGGCTTGCCAGGGGCGTAGTGGTCGTCAAAGTGTCCAAGGTCAACCGCTCTGCGAGCTTGATGCGCTGGATCTTGTTGTTTGCCTTCGGTACACCGTCCATGTATACTACCAGAGCGGGCCACTTGGGCTGATGGATAATAGGCCCCAGCGCTTCGTGTATCTGGCGAAGATCTGGCCTAGTGAGGCCCGGAGGTGTGACGATAACCACACCGACGACTTCCTGTAACACTTCGTCTGGGACGGAAAATGCCAATGTCTCAGTAACGCGACCATACAGCGGGGATTCGGGATCCTTGGCCGTGGTCAGCACGGCATTTTCCACTTCGACGGGAGAAATAATTTCTCCGCCACGGTTGATGACTTCCTTGCTGCGACCAGTGATGTACAGGTAGTTGTCATCATCGAGGTGTCCAAGATCACCAGTATCAAACCAGCCAGATTCGTTGAAGGCGCTGGTATCAATCTTGCCTCCAGGGGTCAGATAACCCTCGAAAGCGGGTGATCCACGAATGCAGATGTGTCCGAGCATCCCATTTTGCGCGACAGGCTTGCCACTCTCAGTGAGAATTGCAACCTCAGGACCAACAATTTTTCCTGATGTTCCATGGCGATCAAGCTTATAGTCCCTTGGCGGCGCGGCAATAGGCATACATTCAGTCATGCCGTAACTGGGGAGGACGATGCAGTGGAAAGTATCATGAAGCTGCACTGCAAGCGTTGGAGGAAGACCACCACCAGCGTTGCAGATAAACTTGATGGCGCTTTGCTCAACAGCATCGGGGCGGTGCTCGGCTTCGGCAAGAATCATTTGGTGCATCGTGGGTGTGGCGTAATACCAAGTTGGTGTCATATGAGGGGTTTGCACGGCATCCCAGAACATGCTGGGGTCAAACGAGGGGCAACATATTGTAGCACCGCCGGCGAGGATGGGGGAGAAGATACTGCGCATGATACCACCACTGATTTTGTTAGTTGTTTTTCTATGATATAATTTGGTAGGGGGACATACACATGGTTCAGCGGCATCATATTAAGACATATATCTGTCTCGGACAGTTCCACCGACTCCATGGTAGCTATGGTACCAGCTATGAGGTTGTAAGTTGTGATGGGAACCAGCTTCTTAGTACCACTGGTACCACTGGTAAACAGGATAATGGCAATATCGTCCCCAGAATTGGGGGGATGGTCGTATGCACTAGAAGCATTGTGTGCAGAGACCACCTGGAAAGTCATGTTTTCAAGTTGCTCAATACCAAACACTGGCCGGCTACCGTTATCCAGCTGGAGCTTGCCAATGTCAGCGTCCAGCGCGACAACAGCATCAGCTTGCGAGTTTTCTATATCCGTATGCAGCTGCTCTGGCACCGTGTTCGTTGTCATAGGCACAATGGTGTACCTGTTGACGAAAGCAAGAACAGCAATTGCCATGAGAGGGCCGTTAGGCAAGATGACAGCGATGCGAGGCTTTCCATGGTGGGAGAGTCCCACGGGAATCTGGAAACTCTCCAAGAACTGCCGGATGGCAATATGTGTCAGATGCCGTCCGGTATTAGCATCGATGAGACCGGCACGGGAGTCTGTCCCTATTAATTCTGCAACGCTGGGGGTGGCTGCTTTGACTTGTGCACGAAGGTGGATAATTGATTCATTGTTATGGGCCTTGAGGGATTCGGGAATGGACTTGTAGATGTCCTGAAATGTTGAGATTAAGTGACGGATGGGCCAAGAACCGTTGTGTGAGGATAATAAAGCGGAGAGTTGGTATGAAGAGTCTGGGCGAGAAGCCTCACTGCGGAGGTGTAGAAGCTGCTCTATAAGTCTGTTTGATAGTCAGAATTGGAAGAAACCTCAATAGGTTGCCCAAAAAAAGAGAAAAAAAGAAGAAAATGATAAATGTGATAAACATACGAAGATCTTGATAAGTCCGCCATAGTATAGGTCTAGTGCAAGCAAATCTCAACTCAACTTGATATACAACCCAAAAAGGAGAACTCCTTCACAACTTATATGCTGCCCCGTACCCTAGTAACATCCACTATCGACTTGATATACATACAACCCAAAAGGAGAAGTCCTTCACAACGCTTCCACTAGCAATATCCACCCGATCCACCAACATCGTGCAAATTACATCACAGACCTCAGTGTGATCCCGAAATCATTCATACAAAGTACGGCGGCAAACTCGCTCGGGACCGAGAAGAGAAAGATCCGCAAGGCATCCCAATACTCAGGGCTTGACCCACGGAGTTCCGATCATTGTCGAAGAGATCGACTCATCTCGGAATGTACATCATGCAGCAGGATGGGATTGTATTGGCCAAAGATAGAGACATTATGTGGTCTACCACCTTTGGGCAGTGATGTGATCAAAAGCCTAGGATCTTGATAGATATTGCAGTTTCACGGAGGCCGAATGTCACAGTCGGACCCCTGTTTCAAGTGAGCTTTTTCTTATTAGACTTTCTGTTTGATATTATTCGAACTGCCTCTTACCGGATGTAGTAACATCACCGGCATGATCTTGATAAGCCCACGCTCAATATTGCCATTCCGGCTTGCCTAGCGTGATCTACATATTCTGAGCGTATATCTATACAAATTTCACATGAAATCTCCGAATCTTCCTCCATGAACAAGTTTTCAATCAACGATAATGTCACCGAAACCACATCAGAAGTGGATCTATGCAGGGTCGCAGGATGGCAGGATCCCAGGATCACTTCTGATCAGCGCTTTAGGGCATTGGCAACACCGCTGATCACATGGCTCTAAAATGGGAAATGCTCACATCGAACGGAGTACTCCGTTCGCTTCCAGAACCTCGGGCCGTTTATAGATTTATGGTAACTACTGGGGACGATCACCCAAAATATTGGAAGCTATATACATATCACGTAAAAGGTCCACATGGCGATGGTAGGAACAAAATCCGCCCTACAAAAGTGGAATTTGGTCTTTATCCATATTCATCGAAATATGATACGAATGAAAATGATATACATTTTGTGATGCAAAACATTGAGCACACCTTTTTGTTAATTAACTGCCCCACCTACCAACTACAAAGTACATGGGTAATCCCAGGGTTACATACAGAGTACCTCGTACTCCGTACGGAGTACGAGATAGATAAGTGCTGAACCCACTTCCCGAACTAGGGCCGGTCCCTGCCAAGGGTCTTGGCAAAGGATTAGGTTACTTGGCAAGGAAATCAATTCCATGTTTTACCTAGGTAGGTATCACCCATAGTATTTTCCATTCAGGTCCACCTGGGCAGGGTTGTCCACAGTATTTCTCGTCCAATAGCAGGCCGTTTCAGGATCGATGGTACGGAAAATTCCACAGCTTCTGGTGGGCCATAAGCGTCGATCTCATCAATAGCATTGAGTTCCAAGCTTCCCGACGTTGAGACCGCCCATCAGCACCCGCCGATCACAATGAGGACAACTCTGCCCAATATGACAAAAGTGGCCTCGACTATTCCGTAACATCCGAAGGTTCCCACCACGATCAAGAACCGAGTGAAAATTCATGCCTGCTATGACAAATGGAATAATTGATCCTGACTTATATTAATTCCACTACCTACGCATGTTATGCATAGCACGTTGAAAGGTACCACTATCGTATTGGCTGCATAATATTCTAAAGCTACGATTAGAGCACCACTAGGTCCAGGTATTGAAGTAAATTCAAAGCAGATTCAAAGAAGCTTTTCCCTCCCCTATGGAAAGTGACATTCAGGAATGGCCAGTGTGCCTAAGCCGCTCCTGGGGTCTTATAATTTACCCGCAAGCGAGGCTAAACCGTTTAACACTTTTGGCTAGGCCGTAAACTCCGATAGATAATCCAGCTTCCCTATCTGCACCCCTTTCACCCTCAAAATTTCATACGCCGTCACAACATGAAAGTAGAAATTAGGGATCGAAAATCGCACCGAATAATCCTCCAGTGTATAATCGAACACCTTCGGTCCAAGCGGAGCCTTGAAAGTTTGCCCTTCCTTGAGAGCGATCTTAGCTGGATCGACCTTTTCAAGCTCCGCGAGTGTCCTATCGAGGAGCTCGTAAAGTTCTTCGTAGGTCTTATCGGGCTGTTGCTGTGGTGGAGGATCGACGGACGCTGCACGGGCGAGAGCCTTGGAGACGGTGTTTGTTGCGCTCACAATTTGGAAGGAGAGAGGCTTCATATCCTCGACAAGGCGGGCATTGAGAAGTTCGTCGAGCGGGATGTTGTTTTCTTTCGCGTACTCTTCGGCCTTTTTTAGGAGGGTGGAGAGGGTTTTGAGACCCCTGGTGAAGGTGGCGATGGTGTAATTGTAGAATGGGGAGGCCATTTTGATTTTTGCACTCCAAATTGTGTATTTTAATTCTGGTAAACAGTAGAACTCGATTAAATACTGATTGATTCTTGATTGTGAAACTAATAATGTGTAGAAGTAGATGAGGCCTTATATATCCTGTGCTGCCCTCCAACAAAGAATCCTCATGCTTCCACTGAAATCTCCGGTTTGTCATGATTACTAATCGTCGTATCTTACTTACGTCATGGGCTGCAGGGATGAAGGGAGGATTTGGCAAAGATCTGTATGCTTACTATACTGGATCCGTACCGCAAAGTACCTAGGGCAGCGTAGCTCGGAGTTCCGGTTCACATAGTATATTCTACTTGGTAATGTTTTCAGCCCCAACAATTGAGTATGATATTCGGTGGTCAAGAGGGAGTTACTTGGTGCTTTATCTCAGGGCGCGCATGTATAATCACTTGGTCAGAGGCAATGGCTCTATACTAGGTCTGACAAATTGAACTCTCAACTCACAACCATGGAAGTATAAGAGGCAAATGGTTCTCTAATGTCAACTTATCTTAGAATTTAAATCCTATCAAAATCCGTACCATCTCTCTCTATATGTCCTATATCTGCAAAGGCCCGATTTGTACGAACATCCCAGAACAGCCAAGTCACATACTATCAAAAGCTTGACCTCGAGTAATCGCCAAAACAATGGAGTCAGCTACATCCGATCACGAGCTCATCCGAAATGCAATTGCAAACATTGCAGTTGCATTTGATACGAACGCCTACGCGGAGCTTCGAAGTTCGTTTACAGAAGATTGCGTGGCAGACTATACGGGGTCGCTTGGCCTCATTAATGGCATCGATACTGTTATCGAGCAGCTTTAAAAGACCATCGGGCACCTTACTACCTTCCACTTAAGCACACAAGTTATACAGCTCATTGGCAAGGATACGGCCGAGGCTACGACGTATTGCTCCGCGAGTCACTACGTGGGCGACAAGTCGTTCTTCGCCGAGGCAAAGTATTTTGATAAGCTGGTCAAAGTCACTGAGGGAAAAACTACAAAGTGGTTGATCAACCATCGCTTGACCACGATGATGGGCGTTCCACGAGGCGATGTCTCTATTTTCAACATGGACTTGGAAGGATGGGTTGACACCTTGGCGGCATAAGAATGTTCCGACTTTCACGAGCGAAGCATGCTTCTTCCCAAGTGAGATTATCATTTGAAGCCCGTGGCTGACCTTGGTTAACATCACGGTGCTATAGTGGCGATATTAGTCTATCCCAACTTCCATCCATTGAGTTGGAGGAGAAGATATAGGGGAAGAAGTGCGCAGTTTGTTAGATCTCTCTTTTGCTCTTTGCGGTCTTTGCTGCTTCTTTATTTTCTGTATCCCCATGGGGCTATACAGATGGTTTCGTGGCAGTTAAACTACTCTCTATCGTTAGAATATCTATTGTGCTTCTTGGATATTCTTTCTCACTGAGCTAGAATTGATTATTAATACTCTCCGGTAGTTGATATACTTGTGTTTTCACGCTTGATATTAGATAGAATACTGCACGCTGTGGTGGATCCAGGCCGGCTCGCCGAGTGCGTAGAGCTTTCTGATTCTACCACGCTCTGGTATGTAGGCAGGAATAAGACCAAAATTAACGATGAAAAAAACTCATTTGTGGTTCCAGGCGATGCCAGGGTTGGTCTGATATTGAACAGTGCTGTCCGGGGGGTACTTTCTACTGTGTCAGAATGTGCCACGACATTTGTGGAGAAGGCAAAGCGGAAAAAAAAGTATGGATCGAGTTACGCTGTTGACTGAGACAGAGAAAGAGAGGAAGGAGGACCAAGCCAGGCAAGGAGCAAAAGTCCTATCATTCTCTAGGAATGTAAGTAGTAAAACTGTAGATATCAGATCTATCAGATCTAATCTATCTAATCTGATATTGTAAAGTTTTTTTTGTACGGGCAATGAAAAACTACTAGCGTGCTAGGCGGGTGCTTGGCGGTCCTAAATTTGAGACTGCTGTGGCCCCGGGGGTCTTATTGCTTCCGATAGCGGCCTAGTGCAAATAGTGGGACCTCTGAAACGTTGGCCCTAGGGGCTCCATTGGACCCACATATATTCCAGCCCTGGAGGGCTATTGGACCCACATATACTGTTGGGCCCACATATACCGGCTTCGGCCCAATATCTCGGTCCCACTGTACGGCATGCCCAACCTTCGAAGTCCCGACCACTCCCGAGGTCATTCTTACCTTGGAAGTCTTCATTTAATTTTTGCGGTTAGCATTTCCTATCGAACCTTCTAAGATCACGACTCGAAACATGGGCACTTTGTCCGTCCCTGGTTGTACATAGAGCCCTCTGTACGGTTTATGCTTTTCACCGCCATCGTATGTTGTACTTCGTATTGGTACTTCGTATATGTACTTCGTATACGGTACTTCGTATATGGTGCTTCGTATCTCGTATACTATGCTACATATTAATCTTATTATTATATTCCCATTCCCATTGGTATTTGTGTACATAGCTAACTATTACTTTTTATACCACCGAGAAGAAAAAGGCTGATACTTCGGTATACGCTGTCAACTCGGAAACCTATGCGTGTTGGTTTGTTCATGTTCGTTGCGATGGAAAGATATGAAATGGAAGTCTTTCAGGACCTTGAGATTCTACTGCTAACATATGTTTGAGTCTACCAACGGCGCTTAGAAGCAAGTGAAATAATCGAGATGATGTACAAAATTCTGCAGCATGCCGGCGCGTTTGAACCTTCAAAAATCTGTGGGAAGTTGAGCGGATCCAGAACTGAAAGCTATGGTTCAATATATAGAATCTATACTTGACGGTTCGTAGAAGAGAGGGGATGGTAGGCGGTAACGCGACTATGGAATCGACGACCCAGTTTCCGTGCAAACAACCTCGGGTTTTCAACAGGTTAAGGAAACTATCGACGAGCAACGTCCTGAAGACCCAGACTCTGGTGCCATTGACCACATACGACATAATGTGAAGCGCCGAACCTGGCGGCCTATTTCTGCCAAACATGCGCCATCTCCGCTCGAATAAGTGCCATGAAGACGACCTGTTACCATTAACTATCAGTCATGCCTCTCACATCCCACAAATATTCGACATACCGAGCTGAGGTCTACCCCTTAAGGCACCCGAACGCGAAAGACCGAGATATCGCGATCCCGCATCAAACCCTTCTTGATGTTGTTTGAATGGACCGAAATCTCCGTAATCGTCGCATTGCTAATGTTAACATACTTTGTTATCCCTATTATATCGCGCGGTCGTATTTCGACCAGCGCGCCGGAGCTCAAGATTTTCCCATCAATAGCCGTGTGTTACGAGGTGAAGAATTTCTTATAGGAAAGCTCGGTGATCTTATTGCCCCTGGCATCTTCTACAAGCCACCCGATCTTGCGCCGTAGGTCAAAGACTGGCCGGCCCGAGGCATCCTTTAAATGTCGCCTCAGCGTCATCGAGCTGTAAACCCCCGGGCCTTCGACGGAGAAGAGCTTCTCGCCATCATCACGCGCGATCGTGGTATCCTAAAGATGGCGGGCATGAACCCTTACCCATACGACAGATTCCTGATCGGTGGTATGGCCCTCGGTCAGACTGACTCGTGAAGGTGGAGCTTGAAGCCCAGCATCCATTGCGGTCGGGGTGGGTCTGGTCAGCCTGCATATACCCGAAAGAAAGCTCGTTAGTTGAAGCGTAGCTGCGGAATAGCTGCGTAGATACCGGTTGAAGGAAGGCACAAATAGTGCTCGCGAGGTTTTTCACATCAGCGCGGAATGCTTGGGGCCGGAAATACTATGGAAACAACTAAAAAAACTTTGTGGGGTTCAAATTGCCAGTAAATGTCGCACCTGAGCTGCGAAGGTGCATAGCGGCGAGGGGCTAAATGCCTGATTTTCCGGGTTTGATGTTTGAATGATCTGAGCAGTTAGTTCCTAAGTGATACTGTTCGCATGATGGCTTCGATCTTCACAATTTTCACTCCCAGTGAAGCCATTCTTATCGGTCGAATCTGAGAGGCAGATGTAACGTGGGCTAATTAAAAACCGCCAAAATGTAACGTGGGGGCTAATAACAAATCGCCAAAGAAAAAATAAATGACATTACTATAAAAGTCCTATACTATGTTACATTATTCTAGATCTAGTGGGAGCGAATTGAATAGTATACAAACTATCAGACACTTGACTACTCGAAAGCCTCAAAAGGCCGCTAGATACTCGGTTAGCTCATTCTGTCCCTCTTTCCTCCCCTTTCATTTCATTTTCTTTTCTTCTAAAATTCCTACATCATTGACTTTGGAGCGCACAAAATGCTTCTCAGCATTATTAGCATGCGAGTACTTCTTCCTAAACCCATAATATCTGGGCTAAGCGCTCATAAATGAAACAGCATTATACTGAGTTTGGTCTTCTCCTCTTTTCTCCCTCTAATACGCCATGTATGGCCGGGAAAAGAAGCTAGGCACATTTCATTGGCCTATCTACTCTTCAATTTGATATGTTTCACGGAGCATTTGTTATTTGGCTTCTTTTACAATCTCAATATCCCCCCCGAGCCCGAGCTAGGATATGGACACATCACCCCCGCAATACCCTTGATTGGTTCAATTTGATCCAGTTGGTAGGTGTATGTGCGTTGTTCCTTTTTCTGTGAGCTAAAAGCACCTACATTCTGACAACTAGAGACGTCTCTAACGCTCATATTACAATACGTAGTTTCGGGCTCAGCCTCTATAATAGCTCTGCTATCAATCAAAGTTCAATTAACTTGTTGCAGTCTAACTAGTTGCATATGACTATGCAGGCGTAATAGCTCTGCTAGTCGTCTTCGCAAGGCCCTAACGATCATCATTTATATCGTCTATCTTATGATCTCTCTGGTGCCGGTTATAATTAACTCCGTGACGGATGTCTTCTGTTCTACAGATAAACCGAACTGTCCAGAGGTCGAACGCGACATTATCTTCTTTTTCGTGGCTGTTCATAGCAACTTGCTATTCCCACTTTTCACCGTCATACCCCTAGTGATAGGATTTTATAGACAAGCGCGAAAGCCCACGCAAAACCTGAGTCTGATTGGGCTAAAGCTACAAGCAGCAATTTTCACTCTCTCGGCTGTCTCGTGGGTTTTTAGACTCTGTTTCCCATGGTATCTATACCGTGAAGACCCCCGTGGATCGTGGGCTCTCTATTTGATTCTTCTTATATGGTACCAAGGAGTTGGGTTTGTAGCCATGATGATGCAGCTTTTGCTCTAGGGCAAGGAATTTTGCTATATCTGGGCCTGCGGCAGCAAAGGCGTGTTAAGGCTGCTGATGCAGAGAGACAGCCGTTATTGGCTCAAAGACCTTAGGGACTTAATTCTGTATATTAAATAGCTATAGAGACTTTTGGTGGAAATGAGAATATCAAACAACCTACCTAGATAATTTCCTAGATGTGATTCGCTCGTGGTACTCTGGGGAGCTAAGAAACTGCAACTCGGGATAACCCAAAAACAGTCTAGTCTGGGTATTTCTAGTATTTGGATGGTATTTGGATGGTATTGGTTTGTTTTGGCTTTCCGAGGTTGTATATAAATATGCTGTGGACCCCTCACAACACTTCATAATCTGACTTCATTCTTTCCACCATGGAACCTGAACTTGCAAAAAATGTCAGAATCTCTGAACATGACAGGCTGAGAGTCTTTCACTTCGGCATTAACACCATTGCGGCCATTTATAAGGCCATTTAAGAACTTACAAGCCACAGTTTAAACACGCCTGTTCTCTCTATCGAGATAGCACCCAGCATCACTATCTCCATTGATCGCCCCTTAGGTATCCTCGTTACAGTTCACCGAGAGGAAGATGGCATTAACAAGCCCCGTATTTTCCGCTGGGATGTGTACTGTGACGCTTGGGGTCCTTCGGGCTTTATGCTCTTCCACCATACGTCAGAAGGTCTGAAAAAGATCGAAGGAAATCACGTTCCCCCACCCCCCGAGACTTTGGAGTATACAGAATGGGATGTGTGTTTTGATGAGCTTCTTCCTGGTCAATGTCTTAGAAGGAATATAGGTGATCTCCTCCCCTTCCACGACCAGCTGGTCGTAGGTGAGAAATATGAGCTGCTCTGGCCAGGCGCTGAATATGCTCTATGGGACTGGGGCATTCTCCGTGAACATATAGGCCACAAAGTTGGCGTGGATATGGGAGTACCCCGTGCTATTATTCCTGGGGAGCCTGCTCCTCTCTCACTGTCATACAGGAGGCGCAAGTCTTCAAACGCAAACCTGCTCCGTCACCTATTAGTAAATCTGCGCGAATGTAAGATATGCGAAAAGCTGAATTGTCTCTTTATCTATTGACTTATTGACTGTTTTACAGCCCCGGTACACCTTGTCTTAGTGTGTCTCTAGAAGGCCCCTCTGAGATGATTTGGGGGAAAGGATTACGGTCACAATGAAGGTGACCTACGATGGCCTGACCAACGAGGATGGCGAGACAGTCCTTGCAGAGGCGAAACCAATCATTATACGGAACCTCCCTTTTTCATTTTCGAATTTTCAACTACACCGCCGCTGCCACGATTATGATCAGTGGGATTCAGATGATGATGATCCGGAGTGGGAGGTATACTTTGACGACGATTGGAACCTATCTTACAACCTTGTGGATGGACCCGATATTGAAGTCAATGTCACTGATGAGGAATTGTTCTGGAGCCTCCAACCAGGGGAGAGCTGGACTGATCAATTTACTTTTGATCTCAGTGAACTACACGACGAGACAGCGACCGGTGACTCCTATCGATTCCAGTATTGGGGTGGCTGCGTTGAATGGTGGATTTGGGGTAGTCGGGAAGAACATGCTAATACCACGGTAAAAGTGCCACCCTGGAGGGGTAACATTGTTGATCCGGTTGGCAACGAAGGAAAACCGAAGATCATCATTCCTGGGTCTAATACGGTCGAGTTTGTTGTTGTTGATAACACAAAGGATTCTTAGCGTAGGCTTACTGCTTGTTATCTTATTTCCCGATCAAGACTTATATTCTGAAACACAGATACAGGTACATCAATTTACAAACCATGTATTTTACACGCATTAATGTTGTACAATGGCACAACACCTTTACACTCTGGGTGTTGAGCCGCACTGGGTCAATAATCTCAGAGAAGCTCGCCTTCAAATCCTTCCAACAGCAACTCCTTCCTGCCGACTACTTAAATTCTGAGTTGATCGGAAGGCGAAGGACCGTACTAGATTTCTAGTATATGTAGAATCTGGGAACCTGCACCTGGGCATTGTTTTTTGCTGACAAATACTTTAACAGCGCATCGTTGACACTGTGGTTGGTGCATAGGCCTACAAGGGGCGAGGAAGAACACGTTTTCGGTGCGGCGATCCTTCAAGAGTTACTCCGTACGCCCATAATACATTACAATCTTCAACCCCCTGAAATATTCTTGGTATCTATTTCCGAAAGATTGAATCTCGTATTGATAAGCTGGATTTTCTTCATTCCGAAGTTCTCCAATCTTCCCCGGATGTGCCTTACAGGAGTTCGCGTGAGAGGTACAATAAAGATAAAATGTTTCGAAGTCGCGTCGAAGAGCAGCATGACGCGCCATGGGGTTATCGCTGGCGATCATCCGATACTTTTATTATCAGTACAATGAGTCTGGCAATGTTCACTGGTAAGTGATACGCGTACGACGGAGATGGCCTCAGCTTCACATTTCGCTAACACTTATGGTGACGCTCAGATGAACTGCTTTTTGCGTTCATGATACCTCTACTACCTACTTTACTAGAAGATCGAATCGGATTAGAGCCATCTCTTACCCAGAGGTACACGTCCATCTTTCTTATGGAGGGAGCATTTATTTCTATTGTCTCGAGTCCATTCATTGGGGCCATCGCCGACGCAAGCTCTAACAAGAAGAGACTCTTATTGATACTCCTTATACTGGCTTTGATCAGTACGGCCTGTTTATCACTCACAACCCACTGTATGTTTCTTTTATTCTCTGCTGGTGATCGATCGTCGCGTTGAAAACCAAGCTGACTTTGCGTGCAGTGGTATGGCTGTTTGTTGGTCGGCTCTTCCAATGTATCACTAGCAATGGATTGTGGATTATAGGAATGGCAACCATGGCAGATAATCTTGGAACAAAACACATGGGCAAGATCGCCGGCCTGACTTCCACAATCACAGCTGCAGGTACCACCGCCGGGCCGGTTCTCGCAGGTCTATTGTTTGAAGCAGGAGGGTACTGGTGCGCGTGGGCAGGCGCGGCTGCGTTTCTCTTGGTGGATATCATCATGCGTCTCCTCATGGTAGAAAAGCCTGCCAAACTTCGGCCAGTGTTGGAGAACCAGGAAAGAGAGCCTTTGCTACAAAATGGCCTGCCCACAGTCGCCGGCGAACAGTCCAATCGTTCAGTTTCTTCAGAATTGAACGGATGGCGTTTTCACATTTGCCTGTTCCGCGAAACGCGTTTCTCCGCGGGAATTTTTTGCGCTTACGTTTTTGCCGTACTGATTGGCTCTTTTGAAAGTACTCTGGCAGTACATGTGCGAATCGCATTTGGATGGAGAGCACTTCATGTTGGATTTTTGTTCACTTTGATCCAGGGTCCTGGCATGTTGTTGGCGACTTCAGTCGGCTGGATGAAGGACCGGATAGGATCGCGAACTCCAACAGCGGTGGGCTTTTTCGGCTTAGTGCCTTTCGTCATACTATTGGGTGTTCCTGGCGACAATCTCTTCCCGTGGGCAAAAGATGAAGCTTTGGGAAAGAGCCTCTACGTGGTTTGCATGGCGGCTACCGGATGTTTGTTGTCTCTTCTGAATGGGGCGGGCTCTATTGAGGCAGCTGGTGAGTGAGCCCAGATCACAAACATTTTACAAGGTAACACCGGTTGAACCCATATAGAAGTGATTGAAAAAATCGAAACGCGCGAGCCTGGTAAATTTGGACCCAACGGGGGCTATTCTCGCGCCATAGCCGTGACTAGTATGACTTGGATGACTGGGTTGATGACAGGTCCTCTTTTAGCGGAGGTCGTGGTCGGAACCTTCGGATACTTCGAGCTGCAATGTTGTCTCGGTGAGTTAGTTCCTTTAAAAGCTTAAAGTCGCGTTTTCTGATCGTCCTAGGGGTCATATCCTTGATAGCGGGGTGTGTCGCTCTCTTCTTCTTGGGCTCCCGTAGCCCGTTGACTGCAGAGCAGCCAAGTGTGTGATGTCAATGTGAATTTATATATTGAGTTTATCTAGAAACCTTGGAACAAGATTGTGACCGGTCAATTAGTATTGGCACGAGGACCATGTATTGACTCTTTCTCTATGTCAGACGAAGACATCATGGGGGAAGAAGCTGTGTGTCTCCAAGATGGGTGGTGGGGCTGCTGCGTGTCTCACGCTCTTTGGCATAGAAAGTTTGTGCAAACAATCGGATCATTCTGCGATCAGTCTTTTTTGAAGGTGTTCGCGGAACTCGCGTGCCTAGCAAAAACAAGGTCGGGATCATGTAGAGCGGGAGGGATATGGCAAGAGATTCCTTGATCTGGGCCACCTGTTGACAGGCCGCACGATCTTGACTTGCGTCTTTGAGACAGAGCTCTTCCGTTTCGGAGTTCTCTGGGTGATCACTGAGGTACAAGAATGCAGCAAGACATGGATCTTCTTTGCCATCAATAACACCGAGGAGATCTACCACAATGGCGTCTTTAGATGTGAGAGATCTTCTTGCAAGGTGCTCAACCTCAATGACATCAATTCGACACCCATCCAGCTTTACAATTGTGTCTTTCCGTCCAATATACTCAATGCGTCCCTCAGAGCTCAATCGTGCCAGGTCTCCTGACTGATATAAGCGGGTAGATTGTCGATCTGGATGAAGCTCGTTCAACCAGCACGGTATTTCCGCAAGAAAGCCAGCTGGCTTAGTGCGGTCTGATGCTTGATGATCCTGGTCAAGATAGCCCCTTGAAAGATGAGGTCCCTCAATCACAATCTCCCCGACGGCGCCAATTGGCATCAGCTTCGCTGGGCATTTTGGGTCGACAATCCAGATTGCACCACTAGACGGTCTTCCAATAGTAGCAGGCGAGCTGCTAGGGTCATGTACATTGTCATTGTATGCGCAACAAACTGCGGCCTCGCCCATGCCAAACTGGTTGATCAACTTTGTCGAGCTTCCGGCCCAATTGCTCAGAAGATCTTTCGGAAGTGGCTCTCCACCGACGCACAGGATTTTGAGATTGCTCATTGCTTCTGGTTTTGCTTTTATGGCCACGGTAGGTGTGAGGAAAGCAATGTTGGCATTCAGCATTTGGATGTTGTCGGCCAGATCCTGAACAGTCTTCATCGGCCCTGGTACGCAGCAGCAACCTCCTACAATAAGAGGAACCAAAAACTCCAAGTTGCTGATGTCAAATGCATAATCGTCAAAATGCAAGAACCTGGTGTCCTCATCCAGACCGAGGTTGTGCGTGTAGTCTCTAATGGCGGAGGCGTAGGACCGGTGCTCTTGCACAATGGCCTTTGGTCTGCCTGTGCTCCCAGAAGTGAACAGGACCGTGCAGGCATTGGATGGCTGAATGACTTGACATGAAGCCGACTGTGGTCCCAATGGAAGCGTCCATAGCCATTCAGGGGTGACCGCAATGACCGTTTCAATGGTATTGCGGAACTGTTCTGCAAAGCCAAGGTCACTCAGCATGATCTTGGCACCGGTGCGCTTTATTACTGAATCGAGATAGGCTGGTGGATTGCTGGAGTGAATCGAAATGTAGGCTCCTCCTGCGCGCAAAATGGCCAATCGCGCTACGATTGCCCATGTTGACTTCTGAAAGCTACTCAGAACAAAAGTCTCAGGCTGTACGCCCAGTCGATTGAGGTGAAGCGCCAGTCGGAGCGACAAATTATCCAACTCCTGATATGTCAAGTCGCCATCAAATGAGCGAACTGCAAGTTTGGCTGGATATTTGTGGCAATTTTCCACGATTAAATCATGCAGACACCTAGAGCTCGAGGTCGCTTTTGTACGCGTAAGGTTCTTAATTGTTTTTCGATGGGGCTCCGGGCAGTAGTCAATTTCTTCGAGCTTGAAGTTCACAGGATGAGCGGTGATTTGATGCAGGACTTGTTGAAAGGTCCACAACATGCTGTCGTTTAAGTAATTTGCGACATTTTCCGAGTTCCTGATGCTGGCGCTCATCCGGTCACTGCTTTTAACAACGACAAGCTGGATGGTGAATGATGGCAAAAACATCAGAATATGAAAGCCAATGCATCGCAAATGATTAGCTTACCTCTAGTTTTTCATCTAGTAAAGTCGATGGCGTCAACAGTCGGTCTGGGATAGTTACATATCTGAGTGCTGAACTACAAACGTGACGGGAGTGAGGAATATCTGAATGTCGAGCGCCATAGGCCTGTGCCGAACCTTTCACGTTGCTGAATTCTTTCATCTGTAGAGCTTCGAGAAGTGTCGATACATCCCAATCTGGATTCACTCGCACGGTGAAAGCGATCAGGGGATCAGGTTTCGGAATCGATTCTTCAACATAGCTCAAGCTCATCACCTCCTCTGGGTGGAAGCAACGAAGGGTAAGAATCCATGCGGCTTTCAAAAAAGTTGAATCCTTGATAGGTGCCACCGATAGTTTAGTCTCTTTCGTGCTGGCCCAGTAGTGGCCCAGTTTAAGTCCAATGAAGCCTTCAGACGAGTAAACAGACTTAGTGGTTTGATGGCCTGTGAAACTTTCGATGGCCGGTCTATTTGAGTCTAGCAAACTTGGAGCCATGGCTCAAACTCGAGAAACAAGCAACGAGGGAAGGGGTCGGAGGTTTGTTGGAGCGCAAAAATATGATTCATTGAGAAAGACCCAGGACAACGGTATTGACGCAAGGGGTTACTCTACAACGCCCACCGTAACCGGCCAACCTCCTCCCCAAAGATCTACAGTGTCCTGATTACAAGGGGTAAGAACGTATTTGTTTGTGGTATGAATACCAAGTTGCAATACCCATCGAATCTTTAGCCGGTGCAAATCCAGTGGTGTAAGATACTCAGATGATCTTTCTTTTTTCTTGTCTTTTGTCTCGCACCCCCGACAAATGTGCCCGTAGATCCAGAGATAGTATTATTGGCTTTGAAGGAGAAGGATCCCGAGAAATGTTAGTAAATTACCCAATCAAGGGTAAACCGTATAACACAATGCGTTGAAGCCTGCGTCAATGTAAGGAGCGCGTGGTCATCGAATTACCCATGGTAATTTGTAGGTCGACTTCACTTTCCTTGTGGCCAACATACAACAGTACGGTGTACAACAATTATGATGTAATAAAGTAGCAGATTCACACCCCCACACAAGCTCAGATTTTGCTCATCACGTCCCAAATCCCGTCAATCTGACTCGTCACATCAAGGTGACGACTCGATTCGACCTGCAGATCTTAGTGGGGTGTACGTGGGGTGTTTGGCGATCGATTTGTTTAGCGGGAAAACCGCAACCTGTTGTTTCAGTGGGAGCCGAACTTAATATATTCCGAACTTCTCTTGTGAACAGGGGGAAAAAAAGGGCCGTTTCTATGTGTATCATCTAGCGGAACTTCCTGAAAAAAAATGGATTCTAGATGTAAAAAACCAACAAAAGTAGGAACGTGGTTTTCGCTGCCAAGGCATCCCAGTTCATGCAAGGTTCGTTCATCCACAAATTCTAGACCGCGACTTAGCGTGCATACGAAAATCGAACACACCTTGGCTCCGTTGTGGCGGGCTGAAATTCTGACACGACTGACAAGCGTAGGCCATGTCTTGTATGGACTACCCTTTCCCGTGTTATTGTCGCTGCATTTCGCATAATTGGTATCCACTCTAGGTATTGTTGGGTCGTTCAGCTGGTCAAAATGGGGTGAAGATCATCGAGCGAGATTCAGGCAGTGAATCCGTGGAAGCGGGTAACCGTGAGCCCTGAGTAGGTTTTTCTCGCTTTCCCTCTCTTTTTCTGTTGCCTGATTGAAGCTAAGCTCCTGACACCTACTCCATATTTGCATCATGACCGTCACCATAAACTCAGCTTCCAATGGCGACAACTCGGTGGAACCCCCTCTAGATCACGATTTTCACAACGGCTGGGGCACCATATACTCGAACAGCGGCTTCACCAACGACGACCGCACGCGCCGAATATGGGAGGACTACACCGTGAATCCCGCCAGAGTCGAACAACAGTACCACATTCTTCTGAACGAATATACCGACCGTTTTCAGTCCTTTTTCAAAGGATACTGGCCCATTACATTCCACGCACATGTGAGCGATGCACTCATACCAACAACTATAGCAAGCCTCATTCTCAACACGGCATCAACTTGTCCACTGGTGGTGGAGGATCCCGCATTGTCGCCGTTGCTCATGGATGATCCCGAGCCAGACAAAATGCATCAGTTTGTTCGGGAGCTCCTAGGCTGGACCGATGTACATATTGCGGCACCAAAGTTGGCCATTGTGGAGGGAATTTATGGCAGTGCTTACGGGCCACTAGTAAGTCTGCCCAAAGTTCCGTGGCTGATGGCAAGTGAATAACAGACAAGGCAGGCCCATTCATCCAACGAATGGGAATATAGAATCATCGGATCGGGTCCTCCGTCGGTGTTTATAAGTCTGAGTGACTTCTCGTCCGAGGATAGATTATTGACGAAGCTCATTGCCGCTAAAAGCGAAGGCTGTGTGGCGGTCATATGCGATCTGGTGGATGCCTCAGATGGGACTGTATTTCCTCCCGAGTTCTTTCGCCTCTTGCGATCCTGCTGTGATCGAGCACGTATTTGTCTTCTCGTGGACGAGGCTATGACCGCAATTCGATGCGGAGCGCCTTTGGCCTCTCAAAGACCAGAGTATTGTGAAGATGAAAACCTCCAGCCTGACATGATTGCGTTTGGCAAAGGAATGGGCGTAAGCGGCATTGCAATCAACTTCAATGGCCTGGTGATGAGACATCTTGCTTTTCATAAGCGGGAACAGATTCTTCAGTCCATCAGATTTTGGCGTGCTATGGTAACCAGACCCATTGCTACTCCAGTGTTAATTGAGGCCTTGGGGATTTTGAACGTGGCCGAGGCGGAGGATTGGCCAGCGAGAAGTGAGCAGATCGGAATTGCATTCCGGGAGTTCATCCATCGCTATTCTGAAAGGAATGGTCACGGGAATGAGATTATACGCGGGCTAGGCGCTTTTATTGCCATCGACCGTGAGTTTTCCAGGAAATTCCGCGTCATGGCGGCATTTAGAAGAAAAAGTTCTTGGGCGCGGTGGATTCCTAAGCTCAACAGCACTGCTTTTGTTAATGATCAAGCGATCGAGAATTATTTGGTTGGATCGGGTGCTAAGAACCTCCGGCAGTCGCTGTCCCAGGAAGCGGAAAAGCAGGGGACAGCGCCGCTGTGGTGTTGGGTTTGTGCAATTGACGCGATTGCAAAGGACTGGTGCCGAACTTGCTTTTTGGGGCACTGTGGCACTGAGGACTGTGCAAAGGCTTTTTATGCACATGATTGTCTATAAAATCTATCAAATCATGTCCTTGGTTTGTGTCTAGAATGGCTCGACGTCGTGTCAATATAGGGCGGGCTTTTGGCTGATGGATTCCAAGAATCCGATCCCCTTTTCAAAAACTTACAAAACATAAATTGTATGATTAGATATGTCTGTTGATAGTGAATACGAGGGGAGCCATTGCAAGGAGTGACGCAAGCTACAAAAATTGCGTTTGGCCATTTCCAAGGTTGGTACCTGGGCAGTCATTGGGCATAGTACGAAAGCGGTACTACCCAGTCTTATAGCGCTCAGGGTTCAAAACCCCCCTGTTTGTACGCAATTTGATGCCTGAATGCCTGAATTAGCACCGCTTTCTACACCGCTCTATACAATGAATGTAATGTAAATTATTCATACATTTACATGAAGCTTTTCATCCCATACAAATTCCTGCATCTGCATTTCTTTAGGTGGTTACAAGCTCTCTCTGTTTCGCCAAGTCCAAAAATGAAGCTTGTAACCGCCTAGAAAAATAGAGATGCAGGAATTTGTATGGGATGAAAAGCTTCATCCTTGCAACCCTATAGAACCACCTGGGCAGGGTACTTTGATTATTAAGGCATGTGTAATAGTAATTCAGGTATTTTAATTTTTCTGCCGTTCTAAAAACATGGCATTCAGGCATCAAATACCTCCTAAATGGGGGTTTGAACCCTGAGCGCTATGATACTGGGTACACGACAAGCCCCCATCCAAAACAACAGAAAATGAAGCGGATCCTTTTTTTGACTACCGTGCCACCGCACATAATCCAGAAATATGTTTCTACCTATGAATGGTCAAATGACATGTTACCGGATCATCTCTCGAAAAGGGGTGCCATAGTAACCATCAAACGCTGGACAGACAAGGACATCATCACCGCCATCCTAGACAGTGACCTGGTGACTTTTCTCTGGGCCGAAGACTACATCCAAAATCCTGTTGCCTTTCGTGAATTTCTGGAAACAGCCAAGAAAGCAATCCAAATGGATCAAAATGGGGCAAACTCTCTCTGCGTAATGAATCATATCGACCTGGTCCAATGGAACATGGACAAGAACTATCTCCTTGATATGCAACGAGCTGGGTTCGACATACCCATGACCGAAATCATCGATGCAGAGCAATTTTCGTCCGCGTCTGCTTTGCACCAACGACTACAGACTTTTCAATTATCGGGCTCTGTTGTGCTCAAACCGTCTATATCTGCATCCTCCAACAATACCCGACTCATTCCCGATATCTCAACACTATCAAGCGACGATACCGTATATCTAGACTCATGCACGAAGGGTGATTTACAAAGCTCGATGGTCATACAGCGATTCGAACCAGCCATCGCCACAGGCGAATACTCTTTTGTTTTCATCGGGGAACGGCTTTCTCACGTTGTGTTGAAAACCCCTAAAATCGGTGAATTCCGCTGTCAGGAGCATTTCGGTGGCCTGACTTGTCTTAAGCCGATCGATTCAATCCAGGGGAGAACATTATCAATAGTGAATGCTGCCTTCGACACCCTCAGAGTGTGGTTCGGGAAGGGATCAACGGGTGAGATGGGATATGTGCGTATCGATGGTTTGGTTACCGACGAAAGAGCCTTCATATTGATGGAGATTGAAGCCATCGAGCCTCACCTTTATCTCGAAATGGAGGGCCTTCAAGACATGGTTTCTCTCCTGTTAACATAGTATCTAAGCAATTGATTGTCATTATTCAATGACCGCATCAAACTGAGCAATAATATCTACTATTATAGATATAGATCTCTAAATATAATAACTATTTAAAATCTAATAATACTTTACTATATAGCGTACTTTAATATAAACTATATTTAGAGCTAGCTATTTATAAAAAGCTAAGACTTAAGCGAGAGGAGAAAGTTGATAAGAAGGTAGAGGCCTTGCTCGCCACCGAGAGCATTCCAGGAGTTACAATTTTTGGAATTGTTGTAGTTGTATAATTACCGCAATGACTACAAGTAAAGGATTTGCGAAAGAGAGCTACTCTACTAATCAGGTGAAGATAAAAAGCTTGAGTTGCACTTGATCGCGCTATATCCTTTCCTGATCTTTGAAGTATGCATAAGAACGCTGTAGATAAAGACCAATTTCCATCCCGTTTTAATTGAGTACAAAATAACATCTAGACAGAATTGTTTCGATTTTGAAAGCTACTTCACCTAGACAAGGCGGAAAGCCATTTCCTGATACCATAATTGCCGTGAAATTCCATACTTTTTCGGCGTAACCATGGACCGGAAAGAAATAGGAGCAAGCCCAATCCACCGATAATGGCCCATTGAATGATTGCCATATGTAGAAACAGCTTAGTGACACCATCGTGAGAAAGCCAGGCAGACACCTTCAGTGACAGGGCAAATCGGCTGCATCTGAAGGGTAGCTATCAACAGCGTACGAGAGCACAGTTGCAGGAACTAGCTGTAGCCCGGCTATTTGCATGGCTGATCCCACCGCTGGACCATAGAACGAGTCGGCTATGTATGTGTATCCAAACAAGATGAGTCCTGGTGAGCATATGAGGAACGGGATGATGATGCTGATCAGGCGATCTTCTGGCCGATGAAATCCTTTTGACCGACTGGTAACTTGGGCTAGTCTGTCCACCAAGGGACTGAACATGTAGCCCACAGCAATGCCAATAATGCTGGTTGCAGCCCAATTGCCCACGGCAGCAGGCCCAAAATAAAAGGGAGGCAAAGCAAAGAGTGACGGGGACAAAACTGATATAGCGACAGCCCTGTTATAGATGAGTATCTGGCATTCCATGGAATATTTTATTTCGCGCTTCTTACCAAGCCACAGTTATACCCCAGAGCGCAGCACAACACAGCACTACAGGGTCCAATAAGAATTCGAATTGAAGAATGAAGGATGTGCACCATGACATCAGTCCCTTGGACTTGACATCTGGGTGTCGAAGATAGAATGTATTCGTTTTCCAGATCTTCCAGGTTCTTTGCTGCTCAGAGTTGGCATTGTGGACGCGTTGAATATGAGCGTCCAAGTCGGCAGCAGTTTCGCCAGAGAGCAAGGACTGATCAAAAGCCGTTTCAGGACAAAGTACAATGACCGACACCAAGTTGAATGCGGCTATGATGCAACAAACGAGCTGGAACCACCTCCATCCCAAATGCTGCATCAAATGTCCACCCACCAGAGGTCCGCCCTGGGACCCAAGACAGAGACTTGCTGTATATGCACCCATGGCTTTTGTAAAATCGCGCTCCATAAAGATCTCTACCAATCTGTCAATAATCTTGGAACGTATTTGTGTGACCAAAGCTAGCTTACCGGCAATTAGTGCAGGCCCAATGGCCTGCACGGCACCTGCGCCAAAACTCCCAAAAACACGTGAGCCCATGAAACTCTGGAACGAGTTCGCCTGATGACCCCATACACAACCCAGAATAAATACAATCAAAGAGATTATAAGTACTAGACGCTTGCCGCATAGTGAAGCAGTTGGGACCCAGAAGAATGTGCTGATGCCGAGAAGCAGTACAGCATACGAAACGGATGAGGAAACCTCTTCATAGCTGATTCCAAACTCAGCTACAAGCAGTGGGAATCCAGGCGCGAGTCCTGCCTAAAATAATTTAGTACTGTCTCTAAATCAAGAACTAGGTACATTACCGAATTTAAATTTCCAAGGAAAACCATCAAGCACACATTGGCGAGGATCGCAAGTCTAAGCCCAAGTCTCCAAGTCTCGGACAATATCAGTTCATAATGTCCGGAATTGATCAAGGGAAATGTACCTTTGGATGATGACGCAGGTCCTCGGCAGTCTCGTTATGGTCGTAGCTAACTTTGACAGGGTCAGACATCTTTTAATTCGAAGATATCATTAAGCAAAAATGGGAGGTATGGTGAAAAGACAAATAATATTGCAAACCCAGATAAGTTGACCCTCTAAATAGTCACTCCAAGGCTAGCTAGAACAGCCTTTAGCATGTATAGTTTCCGCGTTCTAGCTTATGCCGGTGCTATGATATCGGCAAACCCAAACCTCGGCCCCACACGAACGACAAAAGAAATCCGGGGATGCGGGGACCAATAAAAGAAGGGCTACTGTAGTATATGCAAACCTCTTTTGGGAACAACACTATGATGGAATGTCCTTTCCCCGCGCGGAAAGTGTATGGCAAAGACGGGGTCATTCCGCAGATGTCTTACTATGAAACCCGAGACTTCGCCTTCCTCATATTCCTCTAGATAAGATGTCTTTCTTCGAGTCAAGTGAAGGCCGCTTTGGAAGGGATATTTATACTAGTCGGATTCAATCTACTTTGTTTTGCAATCAAAAGAGAAAAGAAAAATGGTGCAAGGGGCGTAACAGCAACCGATATGGAAATGAGCCTTCAAACGAAGAGGAAGTGTAAGTCGCCAAAGACATGCGTGCTTAGATGGCTAGCATATAGACCCTTTCGACAGATTCCTCAGGTCGTCTTGTCACTGCCTTGGCCTTTTTTCACTCGTACACATTGTTATCTTTTCGTGCGTGACCGATTCGGAAATCCACCCGTGAGTTTCAATTTTTGAATCTATTGGGATAAAAAGCAGGCGGTCCGTATGTCTTTTTGGATGGTCAGGTCCTTTCTCTCCCTCTTTCTCTTCTTTCTTTCTCCAGTGTCTAGTCGTCCAATACAGGTCATATTGTCTTTGTTTCCTCCTAGTCTTTCATCATGTCTTGCTTGCAAATAAATACTTAGTGCATTGAACAACTTATATTGTTAAAAGTCCCTAGGTACACCGGCTATGGGATGGGCCGCCCCGAGGTTGAGTCAATACAGTAATCAGACTCTTTCATCCTGACGGGGCGGAATGACAGGAAGAACAATCCAGCTGTTCTCTTGACCGACTTCAATGTGATTGAGCCCTCCGAGAGCTTCGGGGCTGCGATCCTCAGGGTGCTCGTGGGAGAACTTACCCACGCCCTGGGTATCGTGACCCCCAATCTCAAGGACCAGAGTCTCACCAGGCTCGAGAACAGTGTTCGTAGGCCACACTTCGATATCAACTTCGTAGCTCTCACCCTCGTTCACAGGCTGGACCTCACTACCGAAGTAGTTACGATAAGGCAGGATATCTTGATGAGAGGGGTGGGCTGTGTTGATCTTGCGCAGCGACGTACGTAGCCAGCCCTTCACAATAGGCACTGGATCACCCATAGTACCAGTATAGAAGACCTCTTGGCCGTTGGAGTTAAGCTTGCGCAGTGTGACAAACAAATCAATTTCCGAGGGTGGTGTTGCATCAGGAGTAGATCGTGAGCAGGAAACCGTCAGATGGGCAACGATATGGCCGGTGATTTCGAGGACAGATGAGGTTCGATAATTGAAGGTGATTGGTTCACTGCATGAGCATGACAGATCGTTAGACAATGGGTATATCTTGAAACTTCGGAGCGAAGAAGTTACTTACCCGTTGAGCGCATCGTAGGTGCAAGTGGCAGTTTCCAGGCCTGGCTGCTGAGATAGCTTACGGTCGGAAGTGAGGAAGAGCCTAGTGTACTGAGTGTCTGGAATAGGCCAGTCGCTCTCATCACGGCTGGGGAAACTCAATTCTCTCTTAGGGTCATCCACACCAGAATCTCCTTTCCGCACATAAAGGTTAACCCGAGGTTGCTTGCCCGACTTCCAGCCATCATAGTCATTGTCTTTAAGGAAAGCATCCAGGAATGATAGTTGCAGTCTGGCAGAATGGGGGTAGTAGAAAGGCAGATCGTGGCGACCAACGATGAATCGCAAAAATTTGTAAGGCGAAGATGCACGCACCCAACCGATGACATTTCCACGCAAGTGAAGAAGAATTCCACCCTAGCCAGATACTGTCAATTTACTTCTCACTAAGAATCCACTGACTCGCACTTACCCAGTTGGCAACACTCAGCAGAGGAACTTGGATGTCGGAAAGCTCAAAGTTCCTTGTCTTGTAGTAATCCTCATCCATGTATTTATATGTCGCAGTGTCCAGAGTCTGGTCACGGCGGTTCTTAACCAGTGTTTCGGGATCCAAATCGCCCTCCAGGGTATCATCACCCCATTTGCGAGCGGTGCGACCGGGCATTCCATACTGATTGGGCTGGACACCGTTGTTCCACCAGAAGTCTTTGAATGTAAGATGTAAGTCAACAGCATGTTGGTTCTCGAAATATTGGGCACTTACCAATAAACCGATCGGATAGTATACCGCCGTGGCGAACGCGGTCTCGATAGTAGTCACTCATACCCTCCCAGGGGATGATAGCAGAAAGACCCTTAGGTTGACGAGCGGCGACTCGCCATTGGGTGCCAGCATAGTAACTAATTCCTAGCAAACCAACCTTACCAGAGGACCATTCCTGTTCAGCAGCCCATTCGATGAGATCAAAAAATGCGTCGCTGGTCCCGTGCGACATGGTGTCAAGCTCTCCAGGGCTTTGCCCGGCACCTCGTTCGTCGGCACGGACAACAATATAGCCCTGTCGAGTCCAGAAGCCGGGGTCGGGAGTCTCCCAAGACGAATGAGTCGATTTCATTTCAGGGTTAACCTGATCCCAGCTCTTCTTGAAAAAGCTTTCATACGGAACATCTTTGCCATCTATTCCAGTGAAAACGGTGCGTTAATTCATATTGCTGGCTCCATTGATCGAGGGCTGATACATACAGGGTCCGTATGTGGCAATGACAGGATATGTCTTTGAGCCAAAAGGTGCGCTATCCTTGGGAAGATACACGTTGCATCGAAGAATGCCTTTTTCGTATGTCTTCAGCGGAACGTCCACATTTTTAATGAAGACATAGGGGAAGCTCTCGCAGTCAATTTCAATGAATTTGTTTCCGACCATCGCGGAGAGTTGGCGGGAGTGGAGTTGTCGCAACAAATTCTTCATCTGGCGAAGCGTTTGACCTATGTATAGTCTTTGGCTCGTAACATGGTTATCCACCATCAAGACTTCGGCCCGTCGGTATCACAGTAGATTATTCCGGCTCGGCCCCACACGGCTATTGACCTCTAATTACCGAAAGGCATACCTGAGACCGACAAATGCAAGGGTCCAGATATAGGGAGGACCCAGAAGCGCGCATGAATGACTGCCAAGTGCGGCTCTCCACACATCTCGACTTTATTATCTCGACATTACAGTCTCTTTGTCGAACACGACGATTTGGGAATCTATACCACAATTTCAGTGCCACCATGGCTTCAGTGACGGCAAGAACAAAAGCTGGACAGAAAGCTTCAAACCTTGATGCTGCTACTCTTTCAATCATCGGCGACTATGACATACATTATTCTTCATCTGAGCAGCCTCACGCAGCGCAACATACAAGCAGACTAGTCACCGTTGCTGGTCAGATACAGCGGGAAGCACAACCAACCGAATTTGATCCCACCCTTGCACCGCACCCTTTGGTTAGCTATCCTGTCTCCAACCCAGATTGGTGGCAGAAAGCATATCGTCAAGTCCCGGCCTACCGCCCAGTCAATAAGGACCTAGATCGCGAGCAACGGCGGCAGAGCCCACTTTTCCAGGCTGTGGGCTTTTTCATGATTGCAGGATGCTCTATTATTGCAGTGAGTCTACGTGAAGCGTGATCATGCGAGAAAGACCGGACTAATTCATCATTAGAACTGGTCATCGCTTTGGAGGAATACGGCTGGGCAGCTGACTGATTTTGGTGTTGGTAAAATTGGTGGTGAATTCTGATCAGTGTAACGTATCGAGAGATCTTTAGTATCTGTAGTGCTGGTATAAGTTGACGAGATTTGAATGTACCTATCTCAACGGTGGTTGTTTCTAAATACTTCCATCCTATCTGAAGTGAAGGTTTATACTTTCGCAAGTTAGGATACCCAAATACTCAGATCATGATTTAATTACGATTTCTGGGCCATTTGCGTTGAAAGTTGCGGTGTGCGTTTTATTCCAAGCAAACATACATTTAAGTGCAAATCAATACGGCGCCCTTTACTCCCTTCGAAAATAATGATTTGGCAATTCCGGGTCTCAAAGCGTGCAAGAAAACAAAGTACAGATGAAAGGGGATGCTCTAACTCTTGGACTAGTTCCAAGAACCCAACTGATATTGAGTGTTACACATGTTCACGAGCTCCCAGCACTCGCCCATAACAACGTTGGATCCTCGCTCATCGACGCCTCCAGCGGCACCAGCAACGAATAGAGAAGCCATCCAATGGTCATCAGTCCCATGAGCTTCTCTGAAACGTGGGTGCTTCATTAGTCGAGTTAATGCACGGCGCAATTGCGGGCCCTTATTACGCAGAATTGCGTCCTCCACAGCTTGACGAAACTGCAATGCCCAGTCATCTGGAGGAACTGGCTGCGCGAAATTATCTCCGAAGCGGAACATGTGCTCCCAATGGTTCCGATAAAGGTTGTGCACAGAGCCCCCGCTTCCAATGATCAACGTACCATCATATCGCATCGGGCGCAACGCAGTGCCCATCTTAACATGAAAGTGGGGATCGTACCGAGCATTCATCGAGACCAAGGTAGTTGGAATAGGCACGCAGTGGGGAAACATGCGAATGATCACAAGAAAAGTGTCATGGATCCAGTCAAACTTCGGCGCTGCTCGAGCCTTGAAACCTGCGGCACATAGTCTGTCTATAACCTCCTGGCCTCCTTCAATATCGGGCAACAACTTGTAGGGTAGATACCGATCATCGCGAACGCCACCCATGGGCAGCTTCTTTGGGTCTGGGTTCATGCTGACTTCAACATCATCTCCAAGTGTCGCCCAGTGAGCACCCTTTGCGTGGGAGGAAATCAATTAGCCTTTGACAAGACAGAATGGAGACTCGCACGGCATCGAAAGTAGAAGAACTCACCATCATGACTATACGCTTAACTCCTCGTCGTAAGGCTTCGTTACCTACTTCCTCCCATATCTTTGCAGGTTCCGACTCCTCGCCCAGCATCATGGTCGAGCCATGTGCGAAGAGAAACACAGGGGTTGCTTCTAGATTGAATATGGAAAATGTAAGTCTATCTAATCGCTAAAACCCGCCGGAGTGTGTCTTTCCCACATACTGTTGTCGCTGTCCATTTCGCTGAACCTGGCTTGTGATGAGTGTGCTGAATGATAATTGGTTAATGTGACAAATGTAGCGATTTTGAGATCGAAGGCTTCAATCTCCTTTCAGGCATGTCCTTTTGGGTCCCCTAATTTCGGGCCATTGGGCCAAAATCAGTTGCATGGGTTCCCCGATGGCGTGTGGAGAGTTCGGGCCGCCCCACTGCTGCGTGTGGAGCCGAACCTACCGGTCAATTAGAGGGGCGGATGGAATGTGGGATCATCCGGTTTGTCCTCGGGCCACCACTCATGCTCCTGCTGGGTAGTACTAAAGTAAAAATAATCAATAAAACGTGGGGTGAGCACAAAACTGGGTATTCATTGACGTGTTTGCTGTCCCAAAGTTTGCTTATTCACTTGGTCGAACTGAAGATCTACACCATGTCGCTAACCGAGATGTATGAGGCCGTACAGGCAGCCTGGGTCGAAGGTCGTCTCGAAAATGTGCTTCAAAGACAGAAAGAACTTGTTCGCTTGCACAAGATCTTGGAAGAATCTCGATCTGATCTGATGGCAGCAGTTTCTGAGGGTACGTAGCAATCTCCCTCAAAGGTAACGGAAGTTAAATAACAGCTTCGTGCGAGCTGTAGCACTAATTCTATCCTGTCACAGATGTCGAAGTCTCAGGACCCAACGCATTAAGAGAGGTCGATCTCGCTCTTGATGCAATCCAACAACTTTACGATCAACTTGACTCCCCTTCCGCGCTCGCGAAAGAAAAGTCCGTCCAGGCTGGTCACTCAAGTCCCTTGAACTCGGTGGCGCTGGGTCCGGTGCTTATTCAAGCCGCCTTACCGTGCCCAATTTCGTCTGCAATTTTACCTCTGGCGGCTGCTGTTGCTGCCGGAAGTTGTTGCCTTGTCCTTTTGTGCACCGAATCGCCCGCGGTCAGCAGAGTTCTCCGTACTGCCATCCGCAACAGCCTGGACTATGAGGCGGTTGGTGTCATGGACGAATTCCTGAGCCCCAGGGATCTCAGTTCACTGTACTTTGAGTCGGCCGTCTTGCAAGACTCCACCACTGGCCTAGAGTTCGCAACGGTTTTGCGGCAGACCAACCCGACTGTGAGAGTTCACATTCCAGCCCTCGGACTGCCTGCTATTTTTATTGACCGTAGCACCCCGGCACTGGAACTGGCTGCACAATGGGTAAAAGACTCTGTTCAAAATAGTGGTATCAACCATACTGGACGGATGCCTCGTATCTGCTTCGTGGATGAATTCGTCATTGAAAAGTTCCATTCGATCATGCAGAATTACAATGAAAACTCGGACAAGGCTTGGGCGCCATTGCCTGAATCGACCATGACAGAAGAGATAGCAAGGAAGTTTAAGTCTCTTTTCCCATCTCTCGGGAAAAAGCATGAATTGCTTAGATTGACCGTCTTGCAATCCACTGAGTAAGGCTGACGACATCTGAGTTCCAAATATTATCGAGTGGATCTAACATATCTAGTCCCATCAACGCTGAAACTATGGGCCAGGTGGCAAGATTGCTCACTCAGTCTTACAAAGGGATATTATTAGTCCCAACTTGCAGTTTAGACCATGGTATTGACCTGTGGAACAAAGTGTAAGTCCAGACTCCAGATCCCAAGACCACTTAGACATCGACTTAACTTTTTTAGGAACTCTGGCATGTCTGCCGCTGCAACTTACATATTCGGGCAAGATAGAGAAACCTGGTATCTCGCACGTTTCCTGAAATCAGATCATTGCTTTATAAATTGTATTCCTCCGCGGTCATTTGGTACGCCTCTTCAATGATGTGCAAGAAAAAGCTAAAGCTAACCTCGTGCTCTACAGCTATGATTGCGCCAAGCTCAACACAAGATACCTTTACGCTCCCTTACCGCCCAGAAGACTTCTCCACCAACAAGGTTATTTTGCGGGACAGTAGCCCGGCTTCGCCACGTGGGTTGTTGGACTTGAAGCGAATCGCGCAAACACCTGGTGGTCAGCTCTCATATTTTGAGCAAGGACTTATTGTTGGATTAAGTATTACTGCCTTGGCTGTTTCGGGTCTTGTATTTGCTATTTTCAAAGGGTTCAAGGGCTATTATCAGTGGAGAGGTTGAACAAAGTACCAGCAGTCACTAAATCCCATTTGTATTTATAGCGATCACAATATTGCCCGTACAGATGAGCTGAGTCTTGATACGTAACATTAGTTATTTAGTCCACTGAGCCTAAACTACGTCACCTCGCCCCCCATTGATAGAAGATCAAGGGTGTACGAAGGTCGCAGAGCAAATTATGCTCGCGAATCCTCGAAATTCTAAACATCAGTAGATGGATAAACTTACTCTGTATTTGAAAGTGCCTCTTATTTAGATAATACGCAAGTTAAAGGCCAATAACATAGCTTGATCCTTCAAATTATAATAAAATTATACTAATAGACTTAGAACTCATCGGGCGGGGAATGTATTGTGGACGAGAATAACTTTGGATTTAAACCTAAGTACGACAGGGGATGGTGCAGGAAGGCAGTGTGGAATATCGGCTGAATTGCACCCATGCTTTCCAAGTCAAGGAATTTAAGTTGCCGGCGTAGTTTATTCCAGTGGGATGATGCGGTTTCTTCTGCAATTTCGAGCAACTTCCTTGAATCTTCATTCACCGAGGACCTCTAGAACGGTTCAACAAATGGGACAATGAGATGGCTTCCATCTTCATATCCCAAATGCAGTGTATGACGCCCAATGTTCGCAGTGTCTGGATGGTGATTCAGGAACTCAAACTCCATCAAGCTCATGTAATGACCGGCTACCTTCAGAATGAGAGATTCTCCGGCCTCGAAAGTGATTCCAGACGGCCATATTGGTACTTCTAATCGATAAACCTGATTTGGATCTACCGCTTCTTCCTTTTTATCATGGCGATATCTCGGCCAGGTGTTCGAATCTGAAGACGGAATCTGCGTGCTGGCATGTGTTGCTCGAAGAACACCAGTAGGCCCAAGATACTTGAGAAAGCAGGAATTGGGTACTTCGTCTGCACTGCTCTTTGGCGGCACAAGTTGATCAAGGGGAACATTCATATGTTGCAAAATCTCCCCTGACTTATTCATTTTTCGTAGTTGAACAAAAACGTCCAAGTCCTGCGCAATATCCGCAGAAACGTATAGGATAGCTTTGCTGTAGCCTATCAACCAAGTCGGCTGCTGAAACTGGTAGGCAAATACAAGCTCCTCAGCAATGCCATCAGGCTGGGTAGGCACGAAGTCAGCTTGGTATGACAGTCGAGATGAATCATCCGGCCGAGTAAGAGAGAGCTGTTTAGAGCCAGTGAGGAAAAGTTTCGAATATTGCGTCTGAGGCACTGGATATGACGGGAATGGGATATTCTCAATCGGAGACTAATTTCGCAGCGCCGCCGTTAGTCAACATCCAAGATTGAAGGATAGAATGACGCATTTTACATCGTTGAAAGGTAGCAACGAAACACGAACTGGAGGTGTCGAAGGCCATCCGTTCGGTTTCTCTTTAGTGTAGTAGTCCAAGAATCTGCGGAGATCCTGCGTGCTTTCATCTGAGTATAGGTCTGACCACTCCTGCTTGGGATGCACTCGTAGCCTAACAAATTAGTTAAAAATGTACCAAATGGCAATGGGACTAGACCAATACGGGCTTACTTACCATTTGTCTTTAGACCCTAAGGCGTTAAATCCTCCAATAGAGCCACTAGTATGTAGTGAGGTTGAGTAGCTTGCGAGCACATAACATGGTGCTGTAACATGCTCCAAATTAGCTACTTTGTCCTCCCAATACTCGTTGAAGAGTGGATAGCGGTTCAGCATCTCAGTTATTGCCTCAACCTGACCTCTTCCCACCATGGATGATTCTAAGATCTTCCAGAATTTTTGATAGGGATAGGGGGTACCACCACGGCAAAGCGTGTCTCTGTAAAAGTCGCTGGCCCCCTCCCACGGGGCAAAAGCGGCCAGATGAGGAGGCCGCTCTGCCGCAATGAACCATTGGGACATAGCCAGCCAGCTATTGCCAGCAAGTGCCACCTTTCCGTTGCACCACTCCATTTGGGCCACAAACTCGATTGCATCGTATCCATCGTGGCCATCTTGAGATCCTAGCCATCTTCACAATGTTGAATTAGCATTTCGGTATGTATCTTACTGTAAAGGCGTTCAACGTACGGGATATTTCCTTCTGAATTCCAACAGCCACGTAGATCAAAATTGACAATCGCATAATCATGTTCAACCCAATCGGCAGGATCTAATCCTTCAAATTTTTCGTAGCCACTCAATCTTTCCTCGGGGACTCCAAATCGGCCTTCAATCATGTGGAGTCCGTGGGGCCCTATATGGCGTTACTCTCATCAGCCTGATGATCTTGGGACGAAGCATCCCTAAAGATATTCTGCTACGTACCATTTCCACCTTTACCGTATGGACTCCACACTAAGATTGCCGGTATATTGTTCTTGTTCGTGGGCCGAAAAATGTCACAATAAAGTTTGGTGCCATCTCTCATAGGAACCGCCACGTCTCGTTCGAGAAGAGTATCCACTGGGAAAGCGGCGTTCCTCTCTCCTTTCCGAAAGCCCTTCCGAAGTACTGTCTTGGAAGGATAGAATGGGGCTGACTGGCTGGCAGCCTTATCCTCCGGCACAATGGCTGGGGCAAAGGCAACATCAAAAGAAGCAATATGGAGAGACATTCTGAAATAGGATCGGGTGAATGGCAACAATATCAGAGTGTGTTGGTTATGGCTCCATCTCTGAGCTTACTTTATATCTTTCCCATAATCCTGCGAACTATGAAAATCCGTTAACTGGGGAAGCGAGCAAGTGTGGGGTAGCCGAGAGGGGCCGAAAGCATGCCCGAAAAGGGCGTTTGCACAACCGCCAGCCAGAACTTCTCCCAAGTTTGGGGGAAACTACGGGGCTAGTCTGGTGTTTGCTGCTAGTGGAGCGGATGCATTCCGCAGCCTATGATCCGGGGTAGAACAAGCGGGGATGCGGAATCACAAGCTAGCCTGATGACCTCCTTAGAAGCACGAGTGGTCAAAATCAGTCTATAAATGATCAAGTTGAACGTGAGTAGTGTTTGGGAAACTCGAATCTCTTGTGGGCTTTTGTACTTGCCTTTGCCCTGACCGCATTTCTTCAAAATGGGTTCAGATGGTGCTCCTGTTCCTCTTCGACGTGTCGTTACCACCCACAAAGGCAACGAATCGGCAATTCTATCGGATATATATCTCAGTCCTAGTGATGGCTTCGCTGCCAAAGCCGCAACTATCTGGATGACCAATCAATACCCGGCGGAGTTGATGATCAGTGATCCGAGTGTTGACACTCGAAGCAAGCAGATGTATAGTAGGGGTTCGCTGATTCGCGTAGTGGATTTCCCACCCAAGTCGATCGGACATAACCACCGCACACAGTCGCTTGACTATGCCATCATATTGGATGGTGAAATGGACATGCTCCTCGATGACGGATCAAAAACTAGGGTTCAGGCTGGCGATGTCATCGTGCAACAGGCAGTGAGTTGATTCTCGGCATTTGATCAATTACCACACACTTGACAGCTAACGTACAATTTAGACTATGCATCAGTGGAATAACCCAACCGACAGAACCTCACGTGTTATTTTCGTCTTGCTTCCCTCGGAGCCTTTCATTGTAGGAGAGCCACTGGGGGATGAGGGAATTCCGGAAGCCTACAGAGTGAAAGACTAGTTGAGCGCTTATTGTCTTGATAATTTGGTCTATTTCTCAGAGCCAGGACGTAATTGTTTGCTGGACCTTCCTTTCACTCACATATTGGAAGTAATCTTTGCAATATTGTTGAGATCACGGATCAGGTGACTCAGTTCTCAAGGAGTATTTTGTTTCTCTCTCTGTTTGTCTTCCTTTCTTTCCCATGGCAGTTAGTCAATACAGAAATTTTCTATCTCGATCTCCCTTCCTGGGTTTCCATTAAATATACTTATGACAAAGTCAAGCGGCAGCAAACTCTTCATCATAAAAGCTGAAGCCTATACACCAGCAAGAGCACAGCTCTCAATCAATGAATGTAATGATGGTTGGTTGTGGGGGGGAAGAGAGAGAAAGCTATCTGTAAGGTGAGAGATATAGAGCTATGTGGGTTCACCCCCATGGGCAAACAAATATGTCAAACACAAACTTCAAATGTTCGTAGCTTTTTGTAACGTTGGTTAACCTAAATTAACTGAGCATCACTAGCTACTTTGAGTAGTTCTCCTGATAGCAACCAACCCATCAGCTACCATCCCATCATCTTCTCCCTGAGTCCTACGGGTGCAAATGTACATGGATTAACAAAATTCATATCGGATAAGCTGTTCCTCTCAACTAGCAAGTTCGACCAAGGCATTCAACCATTTCATATCATATTTGAAAGCTTCAAAATTAGAATAACTGCCCCTGCCTAGCCTTGGGTACACATCTACTGATTCTCTTTGATGGCTCTAACCACCAGATCCCTATAGTTATGTAAGATGTCAGCTAGCTGATTACGTAGGTAGGATCCAGATCCACCACACCCGGGCAACCTTGGAAGCACCCAGATAACTTACGTATCCATATAGGCGCGAATCTTGACAATCTTATTCTGATCGTCGAACTCGCATATCCAAGTATACTCGTTGTTAAATGGGAGGCCATTCTTGCATTTAGTATCCACGGCCTTCATCTCGACCGCAGCCTGCCGACCATCGCAGATGATGTTCTCAACTTGAAGTTTCAAAGGGCTCGCCCATGTAGAACTGAGACCTTTTGTTCCCTCGTGAAATTGCTTTTTGGAATGGTAGTGGCCAGCGATGGGGCAATATGTGCCTACCACAAACTAATTCAGCAAGGAAAAGAGCGGGCTTGTGGGTTAGAATTCCCAACCTTTCACCTGCCAGTCCACATCTTCGGCGATACTCTCAAAGAAGGCAGCGGCATCCCCTTTTTCGAAAGGCGCGAAAATTTCTCTGACTTGCTCGGTTGTAGGCATATTCACCGAAAAGGGGTCTTCACAAAGGTCTGGTGTCGCGAAAAGGGTAAACTGGCCCTTCAATAATGGATAACCGCAAAATTAGTAGGCGGCCCAAAAACAATAAACTCCGCACCTGCGGAAATAATGCGTGGATCGCCCCTTTGCTCGGCTCAGGTTCAAGCATGCTTCGGCTGTGTGTGGGGAGACCCGAAAAGAGAGCCGAAACGAGTTTTCTTCAGTAACATGAGTAATGAAATCCCGACGGCACCATAAATCGAATTACTCCCAAGGGATCTGTCGGAGAAGTCACCAGACATTTTGCTTAATATGGGTCTCCAAGTGGTTGTTGTTGGCGCAGGCTTGGCTGGCCTTGCAGCCGCAATTGCTCTTCATCGTGCGGGTCATAATGTAAAAGTACGTGGAAATACATTTCAATCATTTGGACAGGTTAGAACCCAGCAATACTTACATGATCATCCGATTAGGTTATTGAACAGTCTGGCTTCCACAATGAAGTCGGAGCCGCGATCCATATCGCACCCAACGCTACTCGAGTCTTGAAAGATCTGGGCTGTGATTTCAATAGCCTCCACCCCGTTCAATGCAACCGCCTGCAAGTCTGGGATCCAAATGGAAGCCTTCTTTGGACCCCGGTTGTGCGTTTCAGCTTGAGCTCTTTCAATACTTAGTTGAAAGCTGGAGTATGCTAATACCCTATTGTTTCCAGGTTACCAAAGACCTACAAATCCTGCTAGGTACTACGGACAACTGGGTTCTTACTCACCGGGTCGATCTTCACAATACTCTTCGCGACGCTGCCACCCAAAAGATCGATGGTCGAACTATCGACATCTCTCTTTCCTCCCGAGTGGCTTCCGTGGTAAGTGCATGCCCCCAACGCAGATAAACCGAAGCCCACTGGTTTCTAACATTTGTATTTTGCGCAGGACCCAGAGGCTGGTGTTGTCAGGCTGGAAAATGGAGATACCTTCATAGGTGATCTAATTGTCGGAGCAGATGGAATACACGTAAGCAACACCGAGGCCGCTACCGATAGAACAGTTGCTAATTGAGCGTTGCGGTAGTCACGAGCTGTGAAGGCAATTGTGGGAGATGAACGCGGAAAGGAGAGCACAGGCCAAAATTGTTTCCGTTTTCTCGTTCCACTGGCAAAGGCGCTGGCCAATCCTTTAACTGCCGCTCTATTATCCAAGACCGGGTTAGATGGGGTTCATGCCTTTTCAGGCCCAGACCGCCGTCTTGTCATCTATCCTTGTCGCAATGGCAATTTACTCAACATTGTGGCAATTCATCCGGCAGGCAGTGATAAGGCGAAGGAAGCTTCTTGGTTGGAGTCGGCAGACCTTGAACAACTTCTCCAAACCTACTCTTCATTTGGTCCAGAGCTTCGGGAGCTTTGTGGCATGGCCGAGGATCTTAAGCTCTGGAGCCTAGTGTCGCGCTCTCCGCCGAGGACATTCATCAAGGGCAAGATGGCCTTGGTTGGCGATGCAGCACACCCAACACTTCCACGTAAGTCTAACTTCTTCGGTTCCAAGCATGCCCCCTTCTAATTATTTATCACGCATAGACCAAGGTCAGGGCGGCGCGCAGGCGTTTGAAGATGCTGCCGCTTTAGGTGGTGTATTTCCAGCAGATACCAGGCCTGATCAGGTAACCCAGCGTTTAGCTCTGTACAATAAGGTCCGCTACGACCGAGCGGTAACTGTGATGATGATGTCGAAGACTCATGACGAACGCCGAGCGGAAATGCTGGCCGAGCTCCGCGAATATGTCCCCAATGCGGAAGTGCCCAAGGACATGTTCTCGTTTACCTGGCCTTCGAACCCCGCTGAGGATGCCAGAAGACTACTTGCAGAGCAAACTTCTTAGAGTGAGAATGATATATCGGCCTTGGCTCGTGTGTGCATTACAGAACCTTTATTTTAAATGAAGATTGCCCCTTTATCCTTTCGTTCTATTATCGAAAGAGTATTCCGGGATAGCTGGAAACATTAATATTCGTAAGAAGATTCTCAGAATTTACATAAGGAATACCAAGCAATGACCACTGCGCAGGATTCGGACAGGTGGAATTTCCGAGTGTAGTACCGGGGAAATGGGGAATGTGGGGAGCCGATACGAGCTACAAACTATTCCGTACACACTTTGAAACTACCTACATAGTAGATATGACCCACCTGGCCAATTGATGATCGCTTTCGCCTCCCCGCGTAATCCTTGATCTCGTGACTGCGAGTCCGGGGCGATCGTTTGCCGGAATTGACGGCGGCGTAACTGCTGGTAGTAGCAACCGTCGTGAGATGCATTGGCTTAAGCTTCTGTCTTGTTCCATGCTGTGATACTCGCACTCTGTGAGCCAGGTCATAGCAGCCATGCAATCAGATATATTTAATTGCGAGCACTGCGGCAATTTATTCAACAGGCGGGAGCACTATCAACGACACCTTCTCACTCACACTAAAGAAAGACCATTTGTAGGTTCCACTACAACCCCGGCCCTGGCCACACAAGATATCTTGATTCTGTCGCTGACCACTTACAGTCGTGTACGGAATGTGGCCATAGTTTCGCCCGAGTGTACGTTCAAATATGACGTCGCATTGCCATATGTCCCCCTCTGAAAAAAGAAGTATTAACAGTCGGTGCAGGGACGCCTTGACCCGACATAGCGCCCTAGTGCATACACAAGGTCATGTCGAGGGCTCGGGTGAACGACGACGAGTGGCTCAAGCATGTAAACCGTGCAATCTAGCCAAACTTCGATGCGATGGGCAGCGACCCTGCGACCGCTGTCGTCGATACGGAGATGAATGTCATTTTGAAGAACGCCAGAAGCGCCGGACTTTGGGCCGTACCTCGTCATTCTCTTTACCACGAGCTAAACGACCTCAAGCCCAAGCACCATGCATCAGCAACGAGATACCGCCACGTCTCCCCCGCCAAGGGGGTAATTTTCAGAATCCGAGTCCATGCGCGCCCTCCGTAATAGGAAATGAATCAATAACACCCGGAGGCGTGGAGCCATACACTCCATCCCAAGGCTCAGCTGACTTGCCAGATCTCAATGGCTTTTTTGTGGGTGGCCCGGATCAAATCGCTGCTCAAGCTGCAGCGCCTAGCTACCAGCGGCCGCTTGACCCCAGAGCTCCGAATTGGGAAAGCTTGCTAGGTGTTGAGGATTTGAATATCGGGGCGGACTTGGATGCATCTATATGGTCGGACATTTTGAATTCTCAATCGGCTATTGATCGCTTCGATAATATCTGGCTAAGTTCAACCCAGCCGCCTATGGTGCAAGATGTGGAAGCAAATCCCTCCCAGATGCCTACTCCTCTCACGCCGGCTGCCCTGGCTGAAATCTACAATCGTGGTTGCTCTCCTGGCCCCAGCGACCAAGAGGCCATCGAGCCTCGCCAATACCACCCAACCGCAATCGACGTCGACGCGCAGTTAACATTTCCAGACCTACGGCAGACCAGCACGGAACAAATCGACCAAGAGGATCTCGCTCATGTTCAGGAAACACAACAAACTGTTGTAGATGAAGTGGCTAAGTTAGCAGCAAATTTGGCGTCAAACTCACTATTCCCACCATTCAAGGAACTTGAAATTCCGCCTGCTCCAATTCTCAACGCGTGGACACAGCTCTACTTTGAACATTTCCACCCTGTCTTCCCAATACTTCACCCAGCCTCATTTGGATACCCCGACACTCATTGGCTGTTAGTATTCACTGTCAGCGCTATTGGGGCTCAATTCTCCCAGATACCTCGTGCACCAACTTGTTCAAGAGCCATGCATGAAATGATTCGCCGACAGTCGATGTTTCTAGTAAGTTCATGGCGCTCTTTCGAGCCATGACTCCGAACGCTCGATTAGCTTTCAACTACGGACACTGAGATACCTTTCTCTTCTAGTGCGAAACCCAGAACAAGAATGGTCGAGAATTATGGTTGACGCAGGTTATTTTACTCAATCATATTGGCTTGAGATATTCTGGAGAGCGAAGGGCGCTAGAGATCGCAGAAATCCTGCAGGCCCTCCCGGTTACTCTAGCTCGACGAAAGCAACTTTTCACAGATATCTTGTCCGCAAAGAAATTGACAGAACTCGATCTTTCACTTCGGCAGAGGTGGCAAATATGGACTCTTGATGAAGAACGAAGAAGAACTGGATTTGCTATATGGGTCAGTCTACTATCCAAATCTGATGTTCCTTGCTACAAGCAAATATTAAAGCCCAAATCAGCTTGTTGATTCAGGATTTCAATGTCATTTCGATCTAACCCCAGTCTTATGGGTCGGAGAACTTACTAATTCGCTACCCCGACGCGAGGACCCGTGGTCCGCTTCGAGCGCCGGAGGCTGGGCCAGCTATTCTACACATCCTGGTTTGTCGGCCGATTTTTCGCTCCATTATATATGAACACTGTGTCTCATTCATATCTAGATCCGGAGAGTCAGGTCACCCTGCAACAAGTCCTTGCTAATAATTCCTGGGTAACCGCATGGAACGGAACCGGCGTACTCGGCAAGCAAGCGCTTCTTCAACTGCTGATGAACGTTGTATCCAATGACGCCAGGCATCTATCTTTCTCTCAGGCTCAGTATACTCTGAGCCCACAAGCTGCCGAGGAATTACTCAAGGGCTTTTTGGCTTCCTTAGAGGACGAAGAGTTAGGCATTTCAGCAACAGAACGTAAGGCTTGCGGCGCCTACCGGCTCATGATTCTCTCGGCTCTAATGTCACGCAATACTCCTCAATTCTCGCTTCTCGCCACGGCTATGCGCATCAGATATCAGCGTTGCAGCGAGAAAGAATTTAGCGAAATGACCTCAGAATGGAGGAAGGCACCACAAGAACGTCGGCGAGCCGCTCTATACGCGGCACGCATCATCGAATCCGTCCGCGGACAATATTGTGCGCATTTCTCAACGCCAGTGCTATTGTTCCGCGCCACTTTGACTCTGTGGCTCTATACCATTCTTGATCCCCTGCCTTCAGATCAACATACAGCTGCGTCGCCCACAGTGATTTTAGGAGGTTCAAGAATGAATGATTCAGTTCAAAAGCAATGGGTAGAAACCGGGACCGGTCGTGTGAAGCTCCAAGGGGTTGGAAACATTTTTACCCCAAATGGCCGTGGGCGACTCCTGGACGAGTCAATATCTGTGATGCATACCATCCACTCGTGGGGAATCAGCAAAATATATGAGCAATTGCTGAGCCAATTACGATAGGCTTACCAAAAGCAAACTTTCAGATCTTAGACAATTATTGAATCGATACCACGTTCTTCTCTTTTTTCAACTGGGGACATAAGGGTCACATCAATGGAGCAAATATCATGAATTCCAGGAACGACGCCACTGAACAACATGGTCCAAATCGACTCCTTTAAAATTAATAAATAGATTGCCAGTGGGCCATGGAATCGGCAGATCCCAAAAATGCATGTCAACAATAATTAAATTACATGAATTTTTAGATGTCCTTACTACCCAAGGAGATCTTTGTGTAGTATAATGAATGGGTGGTCCCAGAAAAACTCCTCGTAGCCGACGTATTCCAGAACATTTTATGTGAACTTCAGGGTCAAGCCAGTGAGAGAGGCATCTTGGATAGATCTTTCTCCGTATACGAACTCACCTCCTGGTTGTATCGTTTGCACATTCCAAATAAAAAAGCAACAAACCCAATCAGCCATCAGGCGAAGAGGATGGGCAAGGTTCGATGAAGAGTTGGATAGCAGCCGTCGGTACAGATATCAAGTAGAAGTTGGTAAAGCTGGTAGGCCGGGAGTGCATATCGAACTCGATAAAACCCAGGTGATAGATCGAACGGCGAGAGGCTGCTCGACACGTTGATGATGATCCAACGGCATGGACTTTATTGGAAGCACCACCATAACCGAGAGTAAGCGCCGTTCGTCGCCTGTACCAGCATCCCGAGACTAGAGTAAATGGTTTGGGCATAGATTTCTGGAGACGTCATTGGGCTGCTTCTGGCCCTGATGATTTCTATTTTGGTGCAGATAATTCAGCAGTCTGCGATATATGATGTGGGATGCAACGCTTTAATCCAACACTTCAATTCCACCTATTCTTTTCACCCATCCTATCTCTGCCAGTCAGGGACTTTCTTGTCATCCCCTTGCATCTCCTCTTGCGATAATCGATAAACTAATTATACCAAAAAGAAATACTTCCCAAAAAGGGTATGAACACTATCTCCACAATATAAAAGAAGCACTAGGGACTGGTTGGATTGGGCTCATCATCGTACCTAGCCTAAACTCTGTGCATTTCTTGGTACCCTGTCACTTCCCAAGACTTGTTCTTTGCTCTTCTATTTTGAACCTGGAGTCTGAAGGTATACACCTTTGGTGTCTGCCGCGTTTCCTAGATAAACAATATTCAGGCTTGCTCGAGAATATCTGGAGGTGACGAGCTATGTACTACCCGATACCCTTCCAATGCGAAGCAAAATAAGCCGAGAAACTCGCACGGTGGGTAAGCTGATAAGTTTCTAAGTTGTCTTGCTGTGAGAGTCAACAGTGCTGTTGGGGGACAATATCAACCAATTGATACGATTACTTCGAAGGAGCGAGCTCTATATACAGCGAGAACTGGGCCCAGTGAGAGAATCACGCACGAAATGCCTTAAAACGAGATACAATGCCCAGAAGGTCGGGAGAGTGTCTCCTCTCCACCTTAGAGTATCGTCTTGTGAGATATCGACTTCTCTCTCCCACAGAGACATAACTGTCCATACAGTCACCCCTCAGAGCAGATTCTTCTGAATAGGTTCCCAAAATGATGAGGCGCTCCAACCTGGGAAGACAATTTGGGTTATGCAACGATCCATTTTTGCACGATATAAGCTCATTCTGGTGATGAAAAACAGGCGGGATTCAGGGTCCGGCCAATAGGATTTGCTGCAATCACGTGGGCGGTGGTCCTTAACCCACTTTGGAAAAGAAAGTTTGTCAAATCGAGAAACAGTAGGCCTAATTAGGTAGGCTCGTTGTTTACTGTGTATTATCTAAGCAACTTTTAAAAATCGAACACAAATTCATTGAAATGATCTTCACAGAAAAGGGTATATGGAGTACAAACTAATGAGGTGCGAGTGTATTTTGTATCCCCCTTCATCAGCCCCTTCCTCAGCCACTATACAAATTCCAAAGTCGGTATTCAGGGTTCCACTGCTAGGGCGGAGCGGAACAGCCCCAGCCGCGCGGCTGGCATTGCTGGGATTGCGTAGATCGGCCCAAAAATAACTTCTCGAATAATGTGACTGCCTGACTGCTTCACCTTTCTTTCATCTCTTGGGTTGCTCTTTGTTATATATACGCTTCATCGCTTAAGCCCCCCGCCCCTACAACACTTTTGACAGTTCCATGGATTCGCCTTTCTGCTCCCGAAACTAAAACAAAAACTTAACCCAGGCACGATGGCCTCCAACGAATACTATCACACGAACATCCCACAACCCCCCAGCTACGACCAAGCTGTTCCCGGGAAGACAGATCAACCCCCGCACACAGTTCCTGGATTTGGCTACGCGAGCCCAAGTCACAACCACGACGATCCCTCAACCCCTTATCACAACCGAGAAAGCCAACAGTCATTTGCATCAGACAATGGGCATTACCAGACAGCCGGACGGGCAACGGAAGGCGACAACTACGCAGAGAACATCCCTTTGAAGACCAACACCCAGTATGGAAATAATCCAGAATGGATGCGCCAACAGACGCATTACCCCCCATCACCAGGGGGTCTTGAGGATAGCCGACAACGTGATATGCGAAAGAAGAAGGGGTTTTTTAGCAAGAAGATTGCCTGGGTGACATACATCTTGACATTAGCCCAGATCATCGTATTTATTATCGAACTCGTCAAGAATGGTGAGTTCTGTTCCTGCCTCGGTACTATTCTAGCAATTCGGATCAACTAACGAAATCTTTCCGCTCCAGCCCAGTTGACAGGGTCAGTCATCGAGACAAAACCCACCTTCAATCCGATGATCGGGCCCTCGCCGTACGTCCAAATATACATGGGAGCACGCTACAATCCGTGCATGAAGAACGTTAAGGGGATCCAGGATGCCAATTATACCATTCCGTGGCTCTGCCCAAATGCCACATCGACGACGGTGACGGGAACGGGATGTTCACTGTCTGAAGTGTGTGGCTTTAGCGGTGTTCCCAACCCCCATATTGGAGGGTCAACGGATGATCAGCCGGCTCCCAACCAGTGGTACAGATTCATCGTCCCCATCTTCATGCACGGAGGATTCATCCACATCGGATTCAACCTGTTGGTTCAGATGACTATGGGCGCGGATATGGAGCGCATGGTTGGCATGTGGCGCTATACCTTGACCTACTTCGCCAGTGGTATCTTCGGGTTCGTTTTAGGTGGAAACTACGCCGCGCAGCTCGATCCTAGTGATGGCTGCTCGGGTGCCCTATTCGGTATCCTTGCACTTTACCTTCTTGACCTGCTGTATGACTGGCCCCAGCGCGAATCTCCGTGGGTTGAGCTTATCATCATGGTCCTCGGAGTGGGTGTCTCGTTTGTTCTTGGTCTTCTCCCAGGATTGGACAACTTCTCCCACATTGGTGGCTTCATCATGGGTCTCGCCATTGGCATGACTATCATGCGGTCACCTAACGCTCTCCGCGAGCGGATTGGTTTGGCACGCCAGCCATATGTTGCCATGAGCGGCGGAGCTGGCCAAGCTGGCCCCGAGCAAAAGACCACCTCCTTCATGGATTTCTTCAAGGGCAAGCGAGGCCTCACCTCTAGCTCGACAGAGACTCCCGGTTCTACAAGCGGCCCGCTCAACTTCTTCAAGGGCCGCAAGCCTCTTTGGTGGCTGTGGTGGGTAGTCCGTGCCGGCGCCCTGGTTGCGGTCCTCGTTGGTTTCATTATGTTGATTGTCGATTTTTATAAATACCCCTCCACGAACTGCTCTTGGTGCTATCGGTTGAGTTGTCTGCCCGTCAATGGCTGGTGTAAGCAGAACAACCTGCCGGTCTCCAGTGCGACAGGCAGCAATTGATTGAGCCTTTTTTCGGTGACGTTCGAGAACAGTCCGCATTACATTTTTTAGGCAGAGCTTCGATGAATCTATTAGCATTATGACTGTAAATAGAATTGATATATTCACCTCTATACCAATATGCATATACAAAATTAGTTTCCTACCATTTGGTGACATGCCTGTTCCTGAAAATGTTTCAACGCCGGAAATAGAATATTCAATGTTGTTAGGACGACGCTATACTTCGTGCCCCAGCCATGTACGCACCTTTCGTGGCTGGGGCTGTGGCGGAGCATATCAAAATTACCGTACAAAATTTACCGTACCGTACATCTCACCTGATAGCCTCGTCTCATCGCATATTGTAGGTAACCCTCAATTGTTCAGTCCTGATATTTGTCTTATGATTATCAATGCTCTGTCTATAATGGAACTGAACCCGTCAAACTCCTTTATGCGCAAACTTCTTTTCCCTGTGTCATAAACTCTCAGTCATGGCCACCTTGGCCTCGTCACCCCCCGACCTCGCCCTCGTGGCCCAAACGACGCCCTCGAGCCTGGGCCCTCCGTTGCGAACGATACTGCTGTGCAGCAGCAAGCTGCTTTCCACTCGCCTTCGTCTACGGCCTCACCACATGGGCGGTATATGTCGCTGTTAGCATCGGCATCAGGCCCTCACGGAGTGACTGGATCGGTATGGATATCTCCCGGACTCGAACTCGAACCGGCCTATATACCCGGGTGTACTAACGTGTCGGCAGGTATCCCGAGCTCCATCGTCGCATTTTCCCTCTACGCCATCCTCAACTTCTCGTATACTGTCGCCGTTTTCACCGATCCGGGGTCACCGATCTCTACCAGTCGCGGGGCCGACCGTCATGAGTACAGCGCCCTCCCTCCATCGGAGCACCCGGAGTTCACATCATATACCGTCACATCGAGTGGTGAATCACGGTACTGCAAAAAATGCCAGTGTCCGAAGCCGGACCGCGCGCACCACTGCTCGACGTGCAAACGATGCGTCCTCAAGATGGACCACCATTGTCCCTGGCTGGCAACCTGTGTTGGACTGCATAACTACAAGGCATTCCTGCTGTTTTTGATCTACACATCGATATTCTGTTGGGTTGTTTTTGGAATTGCGGCCGTCTGGGTCTGGACCGAGATCCTAAACGATACCCAGTACATGGATACTATTCTCCCGGTCAATGTAGTTCTTCTGGCTATTCTGGGTGGCATCATTGGCCTGGTTCTGAGCGGATTCACAGCCTGGCATATCAGTCTGGCTGTACGGGGTACAACTACCATTGAATGTTTGGAAAGAACTCGGTACGTGTCGCCTTTGCGCAAAGCGCTAGACAGACAGCGGAATGAGCAGGCGCCCAACAATAACTATTGGGGCGAGCCGGGCGAGGAAAGCATATCCACCCGTTTGCAAGGATATGGCAATCAGATCATCGATGCCCACGCCAATGCAATTCCAGGAGTCACCCGGGCCGAAGAGGGCGAAGAGCACACGTATCCTGCACCGCGCCCATCCGGGCCTCCGGACGGCTCAGGAAACGGCCTCACGCCAGCACAGCAAGCATTGACCCGGTCATACGCCGAGATGGAGCGGCAGCGCGAGCACTCGAGGTACGAGGAGTACCAAAACGACGAAGACAACGAAAAAATGCCCAGCGCGTTTGACCACGGCTGGCGGCGTAACCTGCTCCACCTCTTCGGGGAACGGCCGCTCTTCTGGGCTGTGCCCATTTGCAACACGACCGGCGACGGCTGGCGTTGGGAGCCAAGTGCTAAATTCCTAGAAGCGCGTGACCGCATGCGACAGCGTCGAGAACAGGAATCCACCGAGGAGCAGCAGTACTACCGCGAGCTCTACCAGCGCAATCTCGACAACAGTAATAGTTGGAGAGAAGGCGCTTCACAGCCGCAAAAGGTGCCAACCCGCGGTAGCACGCCTGATCGGCCTCCGACATCCGTGTCGATGCAGACTCTTGCACCCCGGTCGCCGAGGCCGAGGCCTGGTGATAGTGATTATGGAGATGACGTCGAAGGGAACGGGTTGTTGGACCCGGGCGCTGGCCGCCAGCAGGCTACACGCCGTGACACTGATGAATGGCGGGCCTGGGACTAAACTAAGTGATTGTGTGTAGCATTTCTATGTAGCATGTTGAGGGCGTTGTATCTGTATCATTGTGAAAGTATTTATGTCATCTATGAAGCGTATCCGCTGCCTTGGTATGATGGATCTTCCATTTCAAGGCTTTTATGACCATTAGGACTTTATCCTTATTGTATACTGTCTACCTCTATGAGATAGTAGTATGCTATTATTGCAATGTACATAACCTTGAAAGGTTGCCACTGCCCGATAGCACCCTCCCCGCAAAACCGGGACAACTGTCATCTTGTATCTCTTATCGCTCTCTTCCTCCAACAATCCAATTCAACATCCCCCAACTCCAATTCCAATCCCATACAAAGACATAGAGACACAAAGACCAAAGAAATGTCCTCCCCCTCAACCCGCCGCCTCCTAAAAGAAAGCACCGACCTACACAAAAACCCAAGCCCATACTTCACAGCCGCCCCAATAAGCGACACAAACCTCCACGACTGGCACTTCACCCTAGCTGGACCCCCTCCCCCTCCCCCTACGCCCAAGGCCTCTACCACGGCCGCATCACCTTCCCAGCTACATACCCACTCCGTCCCCCGTCCTTCCGCTTCCTCACGCCTTCGGGCCGCTTCGAAGTCAACCGCGAAATCTGCCTCAGCATCTCCGGCCACCACGAGGAGACATGGCAGCCGGCTTGGGGTGTGCGCACTGCGCTGCTGGGCATCCGCTCTGAGATCTTTAGTTCGGAGAGTCAGGGTCAGGTTGGTGGCATGGAGGGGAGTGATGAGCTGCGGAGGGAGTATGCGCGCCTCTCGCTCGGGTGGTCTTGTCGGGAGTGTGGCGTTGGGAATCTAGAGGCTATGAGGGAGTTGTGGGGGGTTTGTCGGGAACGTGGGGTCGAGGTTGAGGGTGAGGTTGCTGCTGTGGATGGGGATGCAGGTGTTAATGTTGGTGGTGCTGCTGGTGTCAAGGGCCAGCCGGAGACGGTTGAGGTTGATGCTCTGGCTCCAGCTTCGAGCGAGAATGTTGTTCCTGTTGGTAATGAGGACCAGACTCGAGGGAATGATGCCGTAGAGAGTACTCCGGCTGCGGAATCTGTTCCGGTTCCTTCTGCGCCTGCACCGGTGCCCGCGGCACATGCACAGGCACCGCTCTCTACTATACAAACACCGGCTGCATCTGTTATGCCTACGCGGACCAGCTCTCAATTGGCTTCGGCGGAGTCTCCATCTGAAGGTGTCTGGCTGGACCGGGCTATCATTGGTGTGATCGTTGCTCTTGTCTTGTTGATATTGCGCCGGGTGGCAAATGTCGACGATCTGTAAAGGACTTGGGGGTTTATGTTGAGCGTTTTCTTTCTTTCGGCGGCTATGCGGGCGTTTGGGATTACATTACAGGAGTTGAGATATACCTCTAGATAGCTTTACGAAATCAAAAGCACAAAACATCATTGAAATGACTCATCCCCTTGTTCTTTTTTATTTTTCGTAATTTTTCTTGAGAAGTATGGTCAGCGAGTATATTCATACATAAACATAATATTACATTCGAATTGAGTCGGAAATGAGTGTTTCAGTCAATGGGCAATCAAGATAGAATCATCCACCAAGACTCCTGTAATCTCCAGCAAGCCATCTCTCCCTCGCCGTCAGCCTTGACAATGCCAACGTCCTCCAGCCATTGTAGCATCAGCACAGTTTCCCATGTGCCCATGGTGGGCTTGATCATGCTAGAGATGTTATCGGCCTTGATGCCGGGTCGCATCACCAAGCACCCGAGGACAGGGCCAATCACCATATCCCAGAGACGGCGTACGAACTCTCCATTGATGTCGTACCAAAGGGGGTTCCTAGGCGGCATTTCTGCGCCTGATGATGAAGGCGCCGGTGGAAGGATCGTGGCTGCAGCTTTACCCTGGACGGGGTTGCCGTAGCGGTATGTTGCGGTGGGAGTAACCTCGACGGGGAAACGGAAGCGTTTCTTGTCCATCTGCCGGGTTTCATATCCGCCATCGGTGAGACCGAACTTGGCGCGGGGAGCATCGCGAGGTCGCATTTGAATAGCACCCGAAGCGTAGAGATTGATCAATGCGAGGATATCGCCGTCTTCTGCGGTGTACTCGACGTCGGATGCACCGGTAGTCCGGAATTGAAGATCTAGCATATTTGACTTGAAATGAGCGGCACGTCGCAGCTGGGTGCTTTCAACAGCACGTTTGCGGCTCAGTGTCTGCAGGAAATATTCTGAGATATCATAGTTGCGACCCGGAGTGATGCGGCCACGGGTTGTTGAGCTGATGACACGTTCGTTGATTAGTGTCTGCGTCGCAGTGGTGATGAGTCGATCGCCAAAGCGCTGCAGGATATCGCTCGACTCATTGGGTCGATAGGTTTCTTCTGCGGTGACGATGTTTGCACGAACCCATGTCTTTGCAGCCTCAAGTTGTGCCGTATCAACCTTTCGGGAAGCCAGTTGAGTGCGTGTTTCATCATCCAGGGGTACAGCAAATGGATTGCGCGCCATTAAGTTGCGTTTGTGGTTGATAGTGACACCATGCACAGCCTGGTACAGTTCGTCGCCTGCCGTAAGAGCATCCTCGCGTAGTTCGAAAACACTGTCAAATTGCTGCCGTGTTGCTGGAAGGTCCGGAGCCCGTTCGGATCGAGAAACATCGAGCCTAGTGCTTGCCCACTCAACCAGGGCAGGCCAGTCATAGCCGTCCAAATCGTTATAGTCAATGCGCGGGACTTCGTCCTTTTCATAAGCCTCAAGGAAGCACTCTTGGAAATCTCGATGCATCTTCGTAATCTGCAAGCGATTCTTGCTGAGTATCTGACGCGCTCGCCCTTCGATGAAAGACGAGTCATGATCTGGGAAAGCTTTGATCACAAGAGCCCAATCTATCACCCTTGATTCCGCTCCACCTGCAAGCACACGAACGACGACAAGAGCAACCACCAGCTTCTGTTTGAGATCCTCGGATATAGGGCGCACGAATCGTTGTCGGCGAATACGTTTTGGGGTCGCTGACTGCGCTTCTTTGTCGGCGGTTGTAGTATCATCGAGTTTGGCCAAACGGCGGTCCGTAACAGGAGCACGCGGGGCCCGAGGAGCCCGTGTCCTTCTTGGTTTTGGCGTCGGTTTTGGTGTCTCATCTTTTGGAGCAATTGGTGCAGGAGGCTGGGGTAGAGGCTGACGCTGGCGACGGACCTCGCTGCGCCGTGGTGGCAAATCCGGTTCCACTTGAGGCTGTTTTGGAGGGGGCATGTCAATATCAAAGCGAATATCGCCTGTGATCGGCGCTGACTTGAAACCATCCTTAATGGTTTGGTTGATGAACTGTTGGCCTTCAAGGTTTGCTTCAAAGATATTTGGATGATGAAGCTCCCATTTGAGGATCTTTTTGGTCTTTTGATTGAACCTCGAGAGTGAAGCTTGAGCTTTGAGAGCCTTGGGCATTTCCGGCAAGTCTGGTTCGTCACGAGCCAGTCTAGATAACTCATCGACAGAGTCCTCAATGTTCAAAGCCGGCTGTTTTGCTGCCATTGGCTTCGACCTTCTGCGTTTGGCTGAGCACGACCCTGTGGAGAAAGTCCCAGTAGTTGGCTCAAATTGTTGCACCGGATTCATCAACATGGCATATGCTCCGATGGCGGAAATAGGCTTCATCACCCGTTTAGGACGTATGATAAACTTTTGGTCCTTGCCAGGACCACGTGTACCTGTTCGAACATATGGACGAATAATCGATGTGTGCGGATGAGGATCAAGGTCCAATTCAGGGGGGCGTGCAAGTGTCATGAGTCGCTGGACTCCAGGCAGGTCAGGCAGTTCATCCTCTTCTTCAGCAGCCTTGGCAGCCTTGGCTTTGGCTTCTAGACGTTTAATGAAATTCGCCTGGGCCTGTCTCCTTCTTCTTGCCTCTAGGTTCACAATGGAAATAGGCTTTTGTTGTAAGTGAACCTGGGTTCCTTCTTCGACCGGGAAGGAGAATCTCTGCGCACGGGGAGGTGCGCCGTGTGGTCGACCACTATTTCTTGTCAAATTTGGATCCAGCTCGACATGGGCCGCAAAGAAGGGCCGCGACTCGTGGAAATCAGTAGCCAGAATCTTGCTCTGCATCTCTTTCACCAACGGATCGTCTGGTGACATATCAGGCTTCAACAACAACGTCCTTGTCACCATCACTTTTCTCGTGTCTCGGCCGCTGAAAGTCAGCTGCCGAAGCTGGCCGGCATCAATCAATTGCTTGCATGCAGTATTGATAGTTCGCATGTCTGGTTTTTCATTGGGATGGAACTTCATCCACGCAGTGACAAAAGGATACCACATTGCAGTGCCCGCGGGGTATACACCATTAGCCTTTTCCATGATTTCCATGATGAGCTTTCTCCGAAGGACACTGATAGATCCGCCTCTCCCAATCAAAGGCTTCGGGGATCCCGATTCTTCGTCTGGAATCTGCAAGGTTCTGATATTGATTCTGTTCCGAACACGTGGCTTTTTTGCAGGCTTGGTGCCATGGACGTTGAAATTGAATTTCTGGGGGGCCACTGAGCCCGATCGCGGTGTCGGAACATCAGATGGACGGGGTGTCGGGGATTGTAGAGTCGTGTGGTCAGAGGATGCCACGCGGCGTCGCTTTGATGGAGTTCCGGCTTGTTCGTCTTCGAGTAGATGAACGCTGGCACTCTTGTCGCGATGGCGTGGTGTACTCGCTTTGATTGAACCCTCTCGGGGTGCTGGAACTACAACCTCAAACAATACCTCGTTGGCGTTCTTCAATGGCCCTTCATTGGTTTCATCTTGGGCCTTGTGAAGACGAGATCGTTTGGCAGGTCTCCCGCTTCTCTGATCATTGGCCTTTAAACTCGATGAAGGTGTGGGTGAGGTCGCTGACTCGGTAGGTAGAGTTCTCTTGGCTCGTCTTGAAGCTGTCGGGGTGGGCGTCATGATGGGCCCTTCGGAGTTGATAACTGAAGGTGCAGTTTCAAGGGCAAGGCTTTCGGATGCTCGAGCGGTGGTAGCAGCATCCCGTACCTTATCATCATCACTTGAGTCATCTTTGTCCTTGACAAACCAAGGGATTGATGCTAAGTTTGGCGATTTGAAGATCGCGATTCGGCTTTGTCTCGGGCGACCTCGGGCCTTGCCGGCTGGTCTTCTTCGGCCATGGGGGGTCACATACACACCAGGAGCAGGCTTGTCCATGACAAGAGCTTTGTATTCAGTCCAACTCTCATCCATGCCAAGTGCTTCAAACTTCTCTAGCTTTGATAACCCCCTAAGATTGTCGTGCTTAATCTTGGCTCTCTTGGCTCGCGGGGATTCCTCGACATATTCCCAGCCATAACCTTGGCTTGGTTCCAGCTTGGGTTCAATTTGGGATTCCATGGCTTGAGATCCACTGAGTTCGGGTTCGCTAGCTTCGGGTTCTCTAGCTACAGATTCTGCGGCTATGGGTTCTTTGGCCTTGGGTCCTTTGGCTTTGGATTGTCTGGCAAGCTTTTCCACAGTCGCGCGGTTCAATCTGCCTTTTGGTCGTCCCTTGGGCCTAAAACGGGGTTCATACTGCTGCTTGGAGCCAGGCGGGAGTTTATCGGTACGTGTACGAATCACTGTAGCTTAGTGTAAGATTCATGACAATTTCTCTTGTAGAGACCAAGGAAATGAGGGGGCGATCATACCATGTTGACCGTTTGGAAGTTCAACAACAAACGGATCGCTCGAAGAAAGAAGATAGTTGGGCGGTTTGACAGCCATGATCCCGTCGAGTAGTGTTGAATTTGGATCCTTCAACATATTCTTTGGGAATTCCTTTTTGAGAAATCCATGTTCATCAAGCTGAGGAAGAACACCAAAAGGTGGTGCCTCGATTTTTAGCGATTTGGCTTTCTTGGGTGGAATCTCAACGGCTTCCCATGACGCCTGGCCAGCTTCAACGAGCTTTGCGAAATTGTTTGCCGAATAGTGGACATAATACATGATGGTCTTTTTCATTGCCATATCTCGAACGATGGCGTAATGGCGGAGATGAAGTGGCTGGGCCACTTGCCATAGGTCCACCAAGCGATGTACCATACTTTCAGCAGGTCTCTTGTAAAAGGACCCAAAGCAGGTCCAGTTGAGCGTCTTAATTATTTTATTAGCTAAAAAAAATCTTCACTTTTGCGAGTAAGGCGCTTACCTGGTTTGTGATGCCTGTTGTGCCTGTTTTTTGAACGACGTCAAAGATTTGGTTGTTGAGGTTACGATCCGGCGTCCAGGATGGTACGATGCGTACAGCATCTCCAACATGCTCTTTGATCAGATCAATTTCACCGTC